CTATGACGGCCAGCGAGCAGGCTGTGGCTGAGACGAACACAAAGACACCAGAGTTACTTACGAGTGACTACGAGTTACTATGTCCTTACACTGTAACTTCGAGCGTCGCCACACATTAGTCATTCCGTGCCCTGCAACCGAGAAAAACGCAGGGCGGGCCGAACTTCCCGGTTGCGGGTACAGCAACTGCAAGTTGAACTTCCCAACTACTTCCAATTTCTGCACCGCCACAGCCCGGTTATGAGCATTTCCCGCTCCGGGACTTTGCGGGTGGGCACGTGGACCAATCATCCTCGGGTTGATTCTCAGGGATGAAAGCTGAATTGACTAGCACGGAGTAAGTAGACTATTTGAGTTGTTTCTGTAAGTCTGGAGTATGAAGGGGCTGTCATTCCCCTGAATGCTCCCGGGGCCTGGGCACCGTTCTGGTTATGCTCCGGGCCTCGTACAAATGGAAGCGGACCACGACTCCCCGCAGCCATGTCACAAAAGGCCAACCAGCATCAAGATAGTTATATTATTACCTCCCCAAGCTGTACTAGTACTATATGCAAACATCATCCTTGTCTAGCCTTCCGTCCCCCGCCCATCCGCCTTTTCAAGTCATCAGATATCATAAAGACCACAGATCGCTTTGATCGGGACAATAAAGCATTATATATCAGGCATTACAATCATAATATATGTCAGTTCCCTTGAACTCCTGTGGGTAAGCAAACCAATAAAAAACCAATATGCGTTATATATATATATATACTCTCATCCTTTTACCGATTGGCCCGACGAACCTGTTGCCGGGATCTGCAGCCGGGCTGGTCACACGCGTGCGCCCTTCTGACTGACTCCCGGCCAACTTTGGTGCGTATGACCGATAAAGGACCAGTCGATTCGAATGATTGCAGCTCTAAGGCTCTCTCTCGCCCGCTGCTGACTGTCCCACACGCTGCTCCGTATTGTTCAGCGACCACCTGAACTTGTCCGATTCCCGGATGGGAGACTCAGTCGCACTCCCGCCAAACGCATCGGGAGGCGCTGTATAGACCGTGGGGCTGGCATCGGAGATGAAGCTCGCCCGGTTCGACGTCGAGTGTAGAAGTGGGGGACTGCCACTGCTGCTGCGTAGACTGCCGTTGCTTCCACCCCAGGCACCACGTCGGAGCTTCATTAAAGCGCTCAGAGACATCTCGTCATCCATAGCGCCAAGGTCGACCAGCTGAGCCAAGCCTGGGCTTGCGATAGGGTTGGAGTGAGCAGCACCATGAGCTGTCAACGAGATGACCGAGTTCCGCGTGCTCCATTCACTGCGTTCTGTGATCGGGGTCAAGCTTGGCTCTCGAAATTTGCCCCGACTACTGAAGCTACGATTGACGCCCTCGACCCCTCGTGGACCAAAGTAGCCACCGTTGGTGAGCTCACCGTTGCAGCCACCATGTGCTTGTGCGTAGAACCCGAACTCTTGACCATAAAATCCCTCATCGTCGTTTTCCAGGGCTTCCGCGTTCGCCGCTGCAATGATGGGGTCGTCAAAAAGTGCATCATCATTGTCATCGTAGCTGAAGTCTTCGAAGACTTCTTCAAATGCAGCCATATCCACAGTCTGGCTCAAGCGACTGTCGTCGGAAACGAGGCCTGAAGGTGTGTCCATGGTCTGCGCGGTGCTTTCTTGGCCCAACGACTGCTCGCTGATGCTGGCCTCGCGCCCGAACCTGTCACTTGCAGCCGCTTCACTGGCGGCTTTGGCCAAAGCATTGTGGAAAGCTTCGAGGTTGTGCTCGGAAAGCACCCCACCTTGAGCCTTTGCAGACCCCAGATTAGCCAAGCTCTCACGCGTTTGTCCGTAGACTCTAATTGACCCCTTTCGATAATCGCTTGCCATGCTAGGAACATGCCGAAGTCCGCCATCGTAGTCTGGCTCTGGTGTAAACTCGTCGTGTTCCGCTGTAACATCCAGTGGATTAGTGCTCCCGGTCCCGTTGTCGGGCGGCGGCACAGGTGCAGGAACAGGTTGTTGCACCACTGGCTTCCGCTCGTACAGGTGACTCGTCTCATCATCGAAAATAGACTCGTCAAATTTCTCGCCCATGTCCTCTGTGGACAGATCACCAAACTCGCCGTCATCAAAGTAGAGGTCGTCATCATCTTCTATTGGCTGCGGAGCCGGAGGATGTGAACCCATAGCAACCTGTGGTGCATTATTGGGAGCAATTGTTGCCACTGATAATGCCTGGAAATTGGTCGTGACATCAGAGACAGCGGGATCAGATACGGGTAAAGGAGCAGAGATGCCTGCCAACGGCCCCTGGGCCAGTTCTTGTACATTTTGCGAATTCGTGCTTCCAGTTGGAAGCGGACTAGCAATGATTGGTGAGAGTTCAGGAGCAAGCCAGGGCTTGTTGAGTGCATTGCCCGGGCCGGAAAAGCCAGAGAAGTCATCATCCTCGTCAGCATCAACATTAACACCGGGTATCTTCTCTTCCAAATCATCCATATCATCGAGCAGATCTTCGTCGAAATCGTCTTCACCGTCACTGAAACTTGTGCCTTCCATGCGTGCCTTGGCTCTTCTTGCGGCCTCCTTCTCCTTATGTTTCTCTTCTAACAGTTTCTCCTGGGCGGAGGATTCGACGCCGTTCATATCGAAACTAAATCTGGAGGCATTGCTTTTTAGGTGTTTAGGCAAGCCGGATGGCTGATGTGGTATGACCTCGATCGTATCGGTATCTTCCTGTGCTAATTCTCTAGAATTGTTAGGTGGGCTATGTTGGCTGTCTTGCTTCAGGGTCGTCTGGTCGCTTGGCACCTCAGGCGACACTTCTTGCTCTGGTATCTTTGACGGCAACTTTCGTGCAAATACGGGAAGCGTATGTGGATCGTTTTCAGCATTGGTTTGCGCTGTCAATAACGATGACTGCAGATATGCCTTGCTCTCGACTTGCAACACCTTCTGATCGTCCTCGAAGTGTTCTCTGAAAACTGGGGAGTATTGTGTGTGTCTCTTCCGTTGCTCGCCTGACTGGGCACTCTGGTCATTGCCGTGCGCAAAGTTCCCAGTTCCATTGTAGGTCACATCTGCCGAGCTCGATTGGTTGTTCACGTCATGCATAAGAACAGGCGCCGTTGACAGGTTCCGACGCGGACGAGGAGCAGAGAAGTCATGAACAATGTTGCCGCGAATTCTAGGATCATAATCGTCCGGTATAGCCGGAACTATATTGCGAGCACCGACTCTAGTGTCTTCTGTCCGCAGACTAGCCAGGTTGGAAGAACGCCTTCTGGCCAATAGAGACATAGGGTTCAGCAAGTGAAGCCGAGTCCTCCCTGACTTATGATGTGCCTGTTCCGACGAACCGTCCCGGTCTGCGGAACGGCGATTGCCCGCACCTTCATACTTGTATTCCTTGTCCTTGTCCTTGTGTGACAAAGCCATCCGGTCGCCCGGGGAGATATCGGGAGAGGTCCTGAATCGGAAATGACCGGAAGATGACAACCCCGGAGTCGATGAGCGTTTGTTATAATGATCGGAAGTGAGATTATGGGAGTTCAGGAGGGATTTGCCCAAGGACAGTCGAAACGGGGAGCTTGGCTTGGGAGAATCGCCGTCGCTCTGATCTGAACGCGGCGGGGCAATGGACGATTGGGAGTAGTTCGACTGCGAAGTGGTGGTTGTAACATCTTGCTCGTCGGAGATTGAAAGAGGTCGGGTGTGGCTGTCGGAGGAAGAGGAGGGAATTGCGAGGTTTGCTGAAGAGGAGCCTGGCGCATTGGCCGGGGCGACGGATACGGCGATGGTTTTTTTCGTTGCATCATAGTAGTCCTCATGGGGGTTGTTCGGGACCTGCGGACTTGAGCTCTCCACAGAAGATGCCCCAAGCGCAGTGAGATTATTCGGCCTTGTGCTAGACAGTCCCGGTAGTTGAGGAGGGTTGCTAGTGACCGGTGCTTTGGAGGTGGGCTGTAAGGAGGGCGAGACGGGGGAAGCGCTCGATCGGCGATGCTCGCGACGCCAGTAGGCGAAAACGGTGGAGGGTGGCATGATGTTTAGAGGATCAGCCCGAAGCACCCAGGGCGCGTCCGAGTAGGCGTTCAGGATGCGAAAACCTTGCCCATTGTTCCTGATGGTCGCAATGCGTATGGGTTGGCGCTTCTCGAAGTTCACACTGGCCTTGACAGCTCTGCGGAGTAGAAGAGGAAGATCAAGGTTGCGGCGTGGGGCAATGTCTCATCCGGGCGACGAGGGCGGGCCAATCCCAGGGGAACGCGCGCGAAATCGAGACGGAGGGTTTAATGAGTTAATGCGGTGGGTTTGAGGAGACGCAGCAGATTCAAGCAACGATCGTCATAAAACAGAAATAGGTCTACCAATGGTGGGAAGGTGTTTTGGGTGAGACCGACCGACGTAGGGGATGGAATGAGTCTCCTGATAAGCAAAAGAGGCCGAAGGGGGGGAAGGAAAAGCACTACGAGACAGTCGGCCAGTCAGGAACGGACCAGCCAGCAGGAATGCGCAACCGCAAACGGATAAGTCTGGAATTAGAGTTGGAAAGAGAAGAAAAGTTATATTTAGTAGTGCCCTCCATATTGAGTTCCTACTGGGCATTGCAAAATTGACGACGAGATAAATAATGCACACCATTCATCCAAGGTTAGTGCCAACCATTGCACATAGTACCGTGCTATATCTACGATGCTAGACACTCTCCTACAGGATAGAGGACCCAATAATTTGCTCGTTTCCATATGCAAAGATCGTCACCTCTGACAGGGCGACTAAGATGACCCGCATGCTACTATAAGTACAACTGGGAAATGTTCCGCTAATCTAACTCGAAATCAACACCACGCAATCGCTCATGCTTTCAACTCATGCTAGCAAGATGCGCTAGAACACCTGTAGATGTACCCGATAACCAAATTGCCCTAACAGATGAAATTGGAATATCGATCGGCTAATATGCTGAAGCAGAAATAAGTGTAAAAAATGGAAGCAAAGAAAGATTGTTTTAGACGATGCTCTGTCGCCAGCGGTCGATAATCTCCCGCTGCCCCGGTTCATTGACCGGTCGGACCATCTTCGCTTTAGGCGGCACAGCATAACTGAGATGGTTCATGCCTAGTAATGCATCGCTGTAGAAGGTATTGGGATGCACCATTCCGGGGCCATATGGTACCGTGCCGGCGGGCCCCTGGTATTGGGCATACCCAGCACCCGGCATCGGCCCATAATTCGATGGAAACTGCTGGAGAGACATTCGATGGTCCAGTGTGCGCTGAGGCATCGGCTGAGGCGCTGCAGTGCGCATTGTCGACTGCCGTCCAACAGTAGTGGGACGTCGAGCGTGAAGGATGTCTGCCATACTTCTTCGGTACCGGGGGATCTTCAATGTGGAGTTTTGTCGAGCCTCAGCCTCAGCCTCCTTCTGCAGGCGAGCTCGACGTTGGGCCAGAGTTTCATCTTCCGGTGGCGTTTCCTTCTCTTGGGTGGCCTCTTCATCGTCCCCAACCTGTTTGATCTCCGCCAAAATCTCGTTCGCAAAATCACTGTCGGCGGGTGCACTCGGCTGGTCCTTTTCTTTGAGCCGCTTCAAGCGTTGGGCTAGAGTCTCGCCTTCGTCACCACTATCTTCTTGCGGCTGACTGTCTGGTGCGCCCGTGGAATACATGGTGGCCGGGCGCCTTTCAGGGCTGCGCGGGGCGGGCTCACCCCGGAGTCTGGCACGGCGCCTACTGAGAGGCTCCGACTCTTCCAGTTCCCTTCTTTCCACCAATCCCAACGGACGCACTTCAGTGACCGCATTGGCCTTGTCGGGAAACAGCATGCCCAGGGGCACATCATCGTCATCGTCACCTTCTTGGGGATGAGCATCTGGGGCTTCCCATGCCAAGGTCACTGGTCTTTGCCGTCGATGTTCACTCTGCTTCTGCGCAACCGCTTCGAGCTGGAGAAGAGTCGAATGCAACGCCGTAGTCTCGGGGGCCGATCGCAGTCGTTGTTTCAATTCGCTCTTTCGATATTCAAGCTCGGCCAGCAGCGTGTTGGGGGGCCCGGTGAAATCAGCTTCAGGCTCTTCGTGATTGTGCTCTTCCCCATCGGCTTCGGGAGCATCAGGACCGCCAAGCGCGTCTTGGTTGTCATCCCGTAAAGATGTGCCTTCATGCACATCCGCAGCCTCGCCTTCAGTTTGGTTGTGTAAGCGACTCGAACCAAGAGGCACATCTTTAAGATCCGGATCGGACAAGCGATGGTCAAGCCCAAGCATACTTGTGGAGTTCAGCGTCTTTCGCTGTTCTGTCAAATCCCTCGATGATAGTTTGCGGCTTGCTTGACTGAACCCTTTGGGGTCCAATTGCCCCGTGAATGCACTGACGGGTGCAGTCGTCGAAGCATCAAGGATGTTGTCTAGTGTTGCCACCGCAGAAGCCTGGGTGACCTCTACATCAACGGCTCTAGCTGGTTGCTCGAAAAACATACTCGCGCGCAGCTGGGGAGGTACGCTTGTCGGCTGGTTGTTATGACTTGACTCACTACCATCGCCTAGATCTTGACCAGCGGCTAACTGTGTGGACTTGCGGTTTTTGGCAGCGAGCACACCAAGGAGCTGTGAACGACGTTTGCCTCGTGGTTGATCATTTTTCTGCGACAAACGAGGTGGTAGATTCAACATCCTTGGCACAGGGGCAGGGTAGTAAACCATATTCTCGCCTGCCTGCGGCTCCTTGTATGCCTCGGATCTGCTTGCCAAGGGTGGTCGCGTTAGCGACACTCGTCGGCCCAGATGATTCTCATTCGGAACATAATGGACGCCATCAAAGTCGTTGAAGAGGACCCTAGCCTGTTGATATGTATCGGTGGAAGCCGCCGTATATGTCCGTTCGAGCTCTTCTCCCAGCTCCTGGTCGTAGTAATCCTGCTGGACAAAGTCGTGCTCGCTGTGCGCAGCCGGCGCGGGGGGAGGAGGAAGGTAGGGCATCGCAGGAACTCGAGTGGTGGAATCGCCGTAGAATCGTGTAGGGGCGTGTTCTGCAACCTGTGCCAAACGGGAGGACTGTATGGAGCCGTGGCGAGACGACAGACTTGTTTTGAGGCCGTCGTAATTGCTGGCGTGAGTGGAATTGGAGGCTGAACTAGAGCGTCGCTTTTGTTCCTGGTCCATTTTGCGAATTTCGTCCCCGATATTGGAACTCAGGCTCATGCGTTCAGCGCTCCTTTCAAGCCGCTCTACATTATTGATGTAGGCTCCTTGCAGCGATTGAAGGTCGGGCGTAGGATGACTGAGAGGGACCGGCTGGTCGGTGACTGGAGTCCGCAGGGCCGGTTCAGGGGTGTGGGCATCGGTAGCGGTGGTAGTCGTAGAACTAGTCTGAGGGACTGTCCTTAGCGGAGGGACGTAACGGGGACTATTGGAACTCTGGTCCGCAGAAGGATCGGCAGGCAGTTCGTAGTCATCTTCCTCCACTATATCATAGCTGGTTGAGGTCATCGATCGAATCATAGAGCCCAGTCTCTTGACGCCCGAGTCTTCATTCGACTTGGCGGGTTGGAGGTATGAGCCCGCCCCGATGTGGTCGGCGTCCAGCGGCAACTGCTGGAAGTGACCATTGTGCTGAGAGTGCGGCGACGGACTACGGGAATGGTCCGAATCGGTCGCATTGGATGCCACCTCGTGGTCGGCCTGAGAAACGGCGTTGTAGGCCATTTTCAGCAAGATTCGAAGCAATAAAAGCGCGGCCAAGTGCCGTTCAGGGAAACGAGCCTTGCCGGGGGAGACCCGTTGAAAGAGTGAGGGTGAGGGGGTGGGAAGTCAATAATGGTCAGCCGGGGACAACGTTTACGTCGGTGCAAACCTAAGATAAGGAAAATGCGCCCGGCGGGAACGGGATTGCGCCCCCCTGCTGTTGAAGGACACGATCACGACCCTGGATCCAGGGTAAGAAAGAAGGGAGATGGAAGGGAAGAGAAGAAGAGAAGGAGACAAAGAACGACGCTGCAAGGAACCGATGGAAGAAGAGTCATGGTGGATGGTTTTTGTTCTGGGCTTCGCTGCTGCTCCTTCCTGCGACAAATTAAGTAATTTAATTTCACGTATTGAGCAGGTAAGGAAGGTATGGGGATTGTTTTCCCTCGTTTTGACGGTCCCTAAAAGTTGCTAATTTTGGATACCAGGGAAAAGGGAAAAAGAGAGCCTGGACCGGCCAGAAGTGGCCCGCTTTGAGACTGTCCGCCCTGTTTGCGGTGCTCCATAAGTAGTTTTACTTACTCGCTCTTATGCAGAGTTCGTTCTTAGCTACATACAAAGTAACCAGGTAGTATTCCAGGAATTCACAATCCTCTCAAGATACTTTCAGGGAAAAGGAATTTGCCAGCAAATCCGGGATCAGTCAGTAACGACTAAACTATCCAAGCACTTATCTGTCGCCGCGTTTGATTGATGCCGCTAAGGTAACACCGCATCCAGATTGTACCTAAGCATAGTAACTACTAACTATGTATGTGTACCGGCGGCTATCTCTCGATACAACGGCACAACGGCCGTGAGCGAGGGGGCCAGGTGGCTTTCTGACAGAGAGGAGTCGACTTATACGGTGAGCCTCCATCCCTTTCCAGGTCTCTTCGTGATGATCACCAACATTGTCTTTCATAGTATCCATCCCCATGAGGTTCTACGACTGTGTTCGGTTCTTGTTGCAGTAGTATACTGCGTTACAAAAACGGTAATTTACCCATCCCCCCCCGAACAAGGGTCTGGCTTAGTCACCAGATAGACTTGCCTATCTGGGCAGTTGCTCACTTGGTTTGGCTGATTCGAGAGTCAAACATCGACTCATCCCTGTCGCCCCCTGGAACATGGTACTTGATACATCAACTCCTGGAGTCTCGTTTGGTCTCAGGTCGGATGCATTTTGCAGCCATGCCAAAATATTAGAACCTTCGACGTGACATTGATTGTGCGGAGGACAGAAGAACCCAACGACGTCATGTTCCCACCAACAGTAGACTAACTAATTACCGAGACCAAGGCAGAAGACCACTTAGCTTTGCAGCTGCTCCAATCACTGGGACGTCGACGTTGGTTTATACCCTTGCTTTTATAAATACAGTGACCATACCAGCGCAAAGGCCTCTTCTTAAGTAATTAAGTTTACAAAGTAATACCTCAATTGCACTTTCTGTCATGGGATGCTTGCATTAACTCACTAGTGTCTCCATCAAACATGTTCCTATATACGTTTCCATCCTCTGTGCATATCACTCCTGCAAAAGCGCCTTAAACCCCTCCAGCAAATCATTCTTTAAATCTACCCAATTCTCCAACCCGATACTCAGTCGCAGCAACTTCCAGTCCACCCGGGAATCCGATAATGCGCGCCATTCGATCAAAGACTCAACACCGCCCAGACTCGTGGCGTGTTGGAAGAAAGCCAACTTGCTAGGTAATCTTTGCGCATACTTTTCACTTTGGAGGACGATCGAAAAGACAGGACCAAACCCGTTAGGCATCTGCTCCTGGATCCACGGCTCCTCCTGCAGGCTGGTATGGTAGATTTTCTTGACAACAGACTGGACTATTTGTTCATCACTTCCAGCAGCAGTAGAAGGAGTCGACAAAGCCTTATGAAGCCAGGAAACTAGACTTCCGCAGCCCTGACTCGCTCGTTGGACACGAACCTCCAGGGTGCGTAGACTCCGGAGTCCAAGCCATGCCTCCAGGTTGCCAATGACATTGCCCAATGCGATTCTATCTTCTAGCAGCTGCTTCTCCCAGTCTTTGCGCTGAGTAGCGAGTACGCCACATAGAAGGTCACTATGACCTCCGAAATACTTGGATCCCGAATGAAGAACGAGGTCAGCGCCCCACCGGAAGGGGTCCTGAAGGCCAGGAGGTCCGAAGGTGCTATCTACCACCAGATAAGCGCCTCTGGAATGGGCCTTCTTAGCGAACTCATCAATACTAAACGAAGTTCCGAGCGGATTGACGGGGGTTTCCAGGAGGATGACATCGCCTTTGTCAAGAGCATCAGCAGGGCAATCGAGCGGTAGCTTCTGCAGCCCTGACAATCGGGAGACAACAGAGATGACCTCATGACTGCCGTGGTAGCCTTCACCGACTGAGATGCGGCGGGGGTTCAGGAGGACTAGAGCGGCCTGGAGGGCAGCGAGACCGGTCGAATAGCTGATGGCCCGGCCGTTGAGAAGTGACGAAACGACAGCTTCGAATCGAGTTGCGTTAGGTGCGAATTCCCTCGAGTAAATGTAGTTCTTGCCGTCGAACTCTTCCTGATAATGCTCTTAGTCGTGGGGTCGTTGTATAGGAAAGTGTGCGTTGGCTGATCCGTAAACATACCACAGGGTCTACCGACGGGATCAAATCATCTGGATTATCGGGAAATCTGAAGGTTGTAGATAGATGGATCGGAGGTGCGACATCTGTCACCCTGTTAAGGTGATCATCTGCATGCAGCGCTCGAGTCGAGGGATGGTGAAGGTTAGAAGGAGCCATCTTGCTCGTCTGCTTATAGGTTTCTGAATTGGTGGTAAGCCTGAAGGTAATTCACAATCAGGAGGGCCCAAGCAAAGATAATTGCAAAATGTGAAATGATTCCCTTATATAGACAGAGAGTGAGTCGACTGCTTTCGGGTTCTGCCCTACAGTACTTCCATCTTCTTTCTGTGGCGGGGATCCCGCCCCACTCCCCTCAAGTTCCTAAATAGGCAAAGTTTTGGAGAGGACAAAAGCCTTTAATTGGTTCGGGAGATGTGGCCCCGCCACTTTTACTGTCACAGACATTTTCCATATTCTAGAATCCAATGCCTGAGGGATTGGCCAAATGACTCTGAAACGACTTGCACGTGTAGGAACGGACATTAAAATTCGTTGATAAGGCTTCACCTGGTGGCTATGGACCACGTGCCGCAATGCTTAGGCACGTACTACTATCTAGTATCCACCAGATTGCTCATCCACTCAATTTCCGAAATCCGAGGAGATAGTAATGATGTTTCCGCAGAAGCCAAGAGGGGTCTACATCTACTAGCCAGTACTACTAGTACTAAGTACGTGATGTTATTCCTCGGCGAGACTGTCCAATCAGCATGCTGTCCGATGCGCTGACACAGACAAAGTATGACTCCTCGGCAGATAAACTCATGAACTAGATAATAATATAAGAACCCTTGTCCCTCCTACTACACTCACGATCGTTCCAACATACGCCCATACTTCAAATTCGTTTAACAGTATCTCATTCGAGACCGCCACAACCACAATGTACCTCCGCGCCATCCACGCCGAATCCCACATCCCAGCCCTCCACCAACTCATTCGCCAAAACCCCCTTGGCATCCTCACAACAGCAATTAAATCCCCCCTCTACCCCCTCCTCCAATCAAGCCACATCCCCTTCATCATCGACGTCCCCTCATCCGAAGACTCATCAGACGGCACAATTCCCAATGGCACTCTCCGCGGCCACATGGCCAAACAAAACCCCCAGGCCAAGGCCCTGATGGAAGCACTAGCAGCGCAGCAGCAACAAACCGGCAACAACACGTCTCTCGAACTTGAAGACGAAGTCCTCGTCCTCTTCACCTCCGAACACCACCACTACGTCACACCAAAGTTCTACACAGAGACCAAGCCCGCCACGGGGAAAGTCGTCCCCACATGGAATTATGCTGCTGCGCAAGCATACGGCAAGATCCGGGTTTACTGTGACTCGAAGTCCGAGGAGACGGGGACGTTCTTGCAGAAGGCCGTGGAGGATTTGACGAAGCAGAGTGAGGGGTCTATTATGGGGTATACGGGGACGGAGGGGCGGCCGGGGCCGTGGAAGGTGTCGGATGCGCCGGTGCCGTATGTGGAGATTTTGAAGAAGAATATTATTGGTATTGAGATTAGGATTGAGCGATTGCAGGGCAAGTTTAAGATGAGTCAGGAGATGGGAAAGGGGGATCGCGAGGGGGTGGTTAGTGGGTTTGAGGCGTTGGAGTCGGATGTTGGGAAGGGGGTTGCACAGATGGTGAGGGAGAGAGGGGAGATTAAGGATGCGCAGAAGTAGGTCTACGGGTTTGCTTGTACGAATGGATGAGTAAAGATTAAATGATATCTGACTATGTGGGGCGCCATGCATGAAGTGCCGAAGAATGTCACATATCTTAGTGAAAACTTCTGGATAACCGCAGCGGTTGCCTAGCACATTTAAGATGATGGAAGTTATCACGCGTATCCTGTCATAATCTCGTATCCTAGATGTCGTGTGAAAAATAGATTGCATCTCATTTCACTCTGCTGATTTCGATTTCGTCCTGATACACATACATTTTTAGTGCATATAAACATGCAATAACGACAGGGAAACACTTACGACTATATCTTCGGGGAAGAGAAGACATTTCAATCCCCAGCTCTCATACTTTGAGCTCCCGCGGACAAACTCGCGGTAAGCCGGCGCACCAGGATGCACCACATTATCTGCGAGTACCAAAGAGCCAGAGTGAAGAAACCCAAGCTGCTCAGACAGCTCCAAATCGGGAACATAAAGTTCCTTGATATGATCAATAAACATGAGATCAACACTGGAGAGCTTTCCCTCCGCACTCAGGCGCTTGAGCGAGTCGCTCGCCGGACCAACAACGACCTTCACGATGTCGCTCAGTCCAGCCAACTCAATAAAATTCATGGCGATAGATGCAATGAGAGGATCCGCTTCCAGACTCCACAAGCGGAGGCCTGTCGAGGATCCACCAGCGGCTTGCCGCATGGCGTCTGCAAACATGATGGCGGAGTAGCCGACATAGGTGCCGAGCTCCACGACAACCTTCGGCTTTTCGTCTGCGAAGAGCGTCGAAAGCTTCTTGGCTTTGTCTGGGCCAAGGCTGATGAAGAAGGCTTGCTTTGCAGCGAACTCGTCGATGAGAGCGAGTAGGGCGGATGGGCAGCCGCGGATTTGGGCCAGGGATGGGTGGGAATAGATATACTTTAGCAAGGAGACCTCCAGGGTATCGTGAGGCTCGGATCTACAGAGAGAGGCTGGTTTCTCGTCGACCGGTGCCATTGTGTTGGATCAATATGAGACTTGGCAAGATATAAAGTCCTAGTAGTATATAGAGGGGAGGGAAGAGCGACGAACCAAGCACCGGGCTAGAACAACGAGGGATTTACGCAGACTTATATACTCATTCACATCTTTTGCTTATTGTGCGCAGAGAGAAATGAGGAATGTAGAATGCAAGGTAGGAATGAGCAGAGTAACTGTCATGGCGTGGTCTTTGGTTGACCGATCATCCAAGGGGCGCGGAACGGGTTTTGATTGGGTGGCGGGGATACTTTGGCGGCCAGACTGAATCTCCCCTGACGAGTTGCTTCCGGCCTCGCTGGATCTTCTTCCATCTCTCATCTCCACCCTGTCCTATCAGAGCCTTGTCAACCAACTTTAATGTCTACTGAGTCTGCATGTCTCAGATTTTATGCGACTGCAGATCACTGCCTGTCCGTGCGTTTGGGCGTCGAAATTGGTGGATTGGCACTCGATGAGGGGACCCGACAATCTCGCCACGCAGTAAAGACAGCGTCGCTACGCAGCCTCCTATAGACTGCACGCTCAGCGAAACATGGAGGAGCCGTGCTACACATGTCGGCGTCGGCGAATTCGCTGCGACCAGTCTCAGTCGCCTTGTGTAAAGTGCGCGACAAGTGGCTATCAATGCTTTGCTTCTAGGCCTCTGAGATGGGTCGAAGGCCTAGCGATACGGGGGAAGCTGCGGGGTGTATCACTGGCAACCAACTCAGCTAGTTCAGCTAAGAAGGCAAAGTCTCGGAAAGAGTCAGATTCGAGGGATAGTAGTCTTGCACCGGCGACCGAGTCTGCTCTTTCTGTTGTGCGGTCCTCCGAAGGTCACGGTAAGTATAGCTGCTGCATACCCCATTGAGAGTATTCAATAAGTCGCTTATTTCCAATCAGTCGCCCCATCAAAACCTTTGATTAGTATACCCTCGACCATAGGCGATTTCGCCGCCTCTAACCTGGACGCAGTTTCCAGGTACTACTTGGATTATTGTTAGTCTTCTCGTTGGGCTGTACACAGACATGTCTAACGCTGCATCAGATAATGAAAGCATATGTGGGCTCTTCATCGTTTACGATAGTGATAGGAACCCTCTTAGGGCCCTCATGTCGCTCGCGCTGCTTGACCACACTCTCCTCAAGTCTGTACTGGCTCTTGCAGCGCGACACAGGGTAAATAGACATTGTTCGTTCCATGACCTCACCATCAAAGCATCATCCGATCAAATGATTGCAAACGCCGACGCTCTTCGCTTCAAATATCAAGCTATACAAGGGATCGCGCAGGCCCTGGGCGATGCGACATCACGAAACAAGGATACGACAGTGGCAAGCATATTCCTCCTAGTATTTCTCGATCTTCTGGAGTCTGGAAGTGATCGATGGAATGTTCACCTAGAAGGTGCCAAAAGATTGATGGAGCCAAGTACACCTGATTCGCAAGCTGTTTCCAGACACGATTCCGGACAAACTATTGAGGATCTGCGTAATTTTCTTGCCAGTCAGATTTACTCGTAAGCAAGAAGCACTTCAGGTGTTGATTTCCTGTGACTGACGCATCATCTGACCTTAGGATTGAGACCTTGGGTGGAACATTTGTACGCCCAAAGCTATTGTCACAGTTTAATTTGCTTGAGGGCCCTCAATTTCAGGAGACCGTCGAGCAGTCATTCCTTGGATGTCCGGAATACCTACTGGACGCTATACGGTATCTCTCTGCGCGAAGAGACACCATTGCCAGCTCCGAATGCCATGATGACTCTACCTGGAGCTACTTCATTCAGGATACCATGTCGATGATAGACTTCATCCAGCAATTCGACTGTTCCGTATGGGCTTCGTCGCTACCATATCTGGGCACCGTCCCTCCAAGAGGTACAAGCTCTCTTTGCACGTTGGCGCAATCGTACAAGATAGGAGCCCTAATTTACGGGAAACGTGTCCTTGGAGCTCTCACTAAGGAATATTTACCACTCGATGACCTGATACAGGAGTTGCTTGCCACGATTGAAAGTTTGCAGAACAATGAGACTTTATACAAATGCATCCTCTGGCCTATAATCATTGCTGGTCTTGAATGCCAACGACAAGAGCAAAGAGAGTCCGTGCGGACTTATATGGAGAGTTTCTGGGAACACACCAAATGTGTGAATGTGATTAATGCTTCCAAGATTATAGAAGACCGCTGGCAGCGATGCGACAGCACAGAACCTTCACACTGGATATTCTCAATTGGTAATTTGGGCCGTGACTGGCTTTTGATCTGAGCGGCTGGCTCAGACAGGCGCACAAAGATGGAGCCGAAAACACGGATGTCATCTAGTTCTAGAGACGGTGTTTCTATATGAGAGTCAAAACAATCTGTTGACCTTGGATGAGGGCATTCAAAAGCTCAACGATGGCTTGACATTGTGATGTTCAAGCAGGCGTTACTCATCCCATTGCCTTGATTTAGCCGTATGAGCTGAAAGGCCCCTCATAATACTCAGCAGAGCACATCACTTTGTTACTAACTGCATCGGAAAGCCTTTGCGCCACTGATCAGCTATAGAACCAAAGTCTAACCTGCAAAAAAGGGGATCAGACAAAAGTCGCTGATGAGCCGCGGTTCAGACCCTGGCGCCCTTAGTCATGCTTCTGTTATCAACCCCTCCCCGGACTCTTCTCCTATCTTACCCCTCACGAACCGTCGATCGTCTTGAATGCCACCATCACTTTACTCCTACAAAGCGACATGATATCAATCTCCACCTCAGCACGCTGTACAGACTTCTTATACCATCCGCACCATCTAGCAGCAAAATGCCCTCCCCTGAAACCTACGATGTAACCATCATTGGCGGTGGCCCCGTTGGTCTGCTCCTCGCCTACCAACTCAGCCGCTTCGAACTTTCAGTCTGCGTTGTGGAAAAGCAAGACAAAAATAGTCCAGAGGGCCGCTACGGCCGCGCCATCACCCTGTTCCCACGGACGCTGGAACTCCTCGATCAATTGGACTTGGTCCATGCAATGCTTCAACAGGGTTTTGCTTGCAGAAGTAGTGTGACATACAAAGATGGAGTGAGACAGCAAGTATACCTCTCTGTCTGTACCAACTATTTCGGCTAACCAGACTGGGTAGGTTTCCAGGAAAAGTATGGACTTTCATGGAGAATATCCAAGGAACAGTGTTTGATTTTGCCCTCGTGCTAAGGCAAATGTACACCGAGGGTATATTGAGAAAGAGGCTAGATAAGGAAAAGGTTACTTATCATGGTTCTATGGAGTGTGTTGCCTTTGAAATCGGTCTGGACGGTAGTGAATACCCGGTGACTGTACATTGCTCAGGACCTGGTGGCATGATGACAGCAAAAAGGTATGTTTTTCACACGAAGTGCTGTTATAGGAAGGATGATTCTGATTGAAGTGCTAGTAAGTACCTTGTTGGAGCAGACGGTGGCCATAGTCTCGTTCGCAGATATGCCAATATTCCCTTCGATGGTGATTCATCAGAGGATCAGTGGATTCGCATCGATGGCATAGTCGAGACGAATATGCCCATAAATCGGGCCTATGGGTAAGCTAGACCCTGAAATAGTGATCTCAACATGGTCTGACTGCACATAGGGCCATAGAAACAACAACACATGGGAATGTCCTCTGGGCCCCTCTTGACCACGGCGCTACCCGTATCGGCTACGCATACACACCCGAGATAGCAGCCAAATACCCGGAAGGAGTAACAGAGGAAGTTGCTGTGAACGAAGCAATTGCGTGCTTGCGGCCTTTCAATTTGAAGTTCAAGGAAGTGCACTGGTGGACATTGTAAGAAACCTAAGCAAGTCACTAGACGTCCGACTAACGAATCGTCAGATACAAAATCGGCCAGCGCATGGCTCGAACTTTTGCAACGCACAACAATCGCGTCTTCATCTGCGGTGATGCAGCCCACACCCACAGCAGTGGCGCCGCTCAAGGCCTGAACACTGGTATCCATGATGCCGTGAACCTCGCATGGAAGCTGGCTTTGGAGGTGCACGGACTATCTCATCCCGAGGTCTTGAACACCTACACAACCGAGCGCCAGTCCGCCGTGCAGAGGTTACTCAACTATGATAGAGACATCTCTCTATTGATGACGCATAAATGGCCGGTTTGGTACGATGGGGATCGAAGCGCGGATCCGAATGTTCTTCTCGGAGAGATATTCCAAGATGCTGCACAATTCAACACGGGTCTCGGTATAAGCTACGAGGCCAACGTGATCAACCAACCCTTGGAGCCATCCACCGAGGTGGCTGTTGGAGTTCAACCGGGGAGTCGGGCTCCGGATACCGAGTTGACCATGCCAGGGACATTCCAGTCTGTGCGGATGCACCAAGTTCTGCGGAACCGGTGCCAGTTTCTTGCGGTAGTGTTTACAGGAGGTGATATTGAGACAGCGAAGTTGGATTTACTTCCTCTTCGGGAGTACTTGGATAGCCATCCAGAGCTTTCAACGCACCCGGCCATTGCTTGGCTAACAGTGTGCGGCTCAGCCGGCTGCTCGCCGTACGAGGTGCTCGGGATGACGGGCTTCGGCGATACCTACTTCGACGCGAGGGGGATAGCACACATCGCCTACAAACTGGAACCACGCAAAGGAAGACTCGTAGTGATCCGACCGGACGGGCTGATAGCATTCACATGTACATTAGACGGAGAGGCGATCCGGCAGCATTTTTTCCGGATACTGAAGAGCCAGCCAGAGAAGACCTGCTCTTGATACCCATATATCACAAATAGACCGAATCAAACACACCCCCTCCTCAAATTCTCAAAGCGACTCAGCGGATAATACAACGTATTCTCCGTACCGTCCAACCCACCCAACCTACCCAACCTCTCCGCAGTCCCCTTAACCAAGCTCCTCTCATGCGAAACATGATGATCCCCACTCAACTCCCACCACATAGCTCCTCCCAACCTCCTCCCGGCAATATACTCCGTCTTCATCCCGGCCACCTCCGGCGTATCATAACTAACCATCTTCCTCTTCGCCGGATCAAAACACCAACTGGCCATCAACCGCCCATCCACCACCTCCTGACTCCCCTGCAACGGCAAAGCCTTATAATCCCACACCCCATTCTCCCAACTCCCCTCCCCAACACCCTGGAACCCGCTCCCAGGCCCATCCGTCCCCTCAAAAGCCCTTCCATACAACGGCAACCCAAATATAAGCTTCCTCGCATCCCTCACCCCACCCCTCAAATACATCGTCACCGCCCCATCTGCACAGAACGGCGTAATCTCCCCCCTCCCCGAATGGAACACATTCGCCATATGGCCGGAACACTTATCCCAGCTCCCGCTGAAATCATAACACATCAGATTCCAGAAATCAAGATACGGATCCATATCGCCTATCCGCAGTTTCTGGATATTGTCCGGCCCGCACGGCGCCGCGATCGTCAATAACAGTCTCTTTCCGCCAAGATGGGTGGCGGAGTACTCGTCCAGCACGCGCCTCACATCCCGCAAAAGGTGCACAAAGTCCATCGCTTGCGATGAATCGGCTGGATACTCCCAGTCGATGTCGATGCCGTCGAAGCCCAGGTCCGCGAGGAGGTGCACGGCGCTGCGGGCGAAGGTTTCGCGACCGCGGGGCGTGGATGCTGGCGCGGCGAAGTTGGGACTGTAGGTCCAGCCGCCGATGGAAAGGAGGGTTTTCAGGTGGCGGTGTTGTTGTTTTAGGAGGTAGAGTTGCTTGATGCATCCGTAGGCGTTGGTACCGGGCTCGGACCAGCTATCGGTTGGGTAGTGCTTTTCGAGGTCGGAGTAGGTGTCGGTGAGGAAGCTACATTTCTAAATGTTAGCTTGGTGGATTGGTTTGGAGGGGAAGAGTGAAACGTACACTTCGCCGGTGGGGCGGATGTTGGCGAAGGAATCTATTGATGTTAGACTAGCGCTATGATAGAATTGGGATAGAACGTACAGAGAATGTGAGTGATATACTCCGCAGGAATATCTTGAGGTTGGTAATTGCGGCCGTAGACTCCCTGTCACGTTTATTAGTCAAATGATTTATACAAATAGTTAGAGCTATAACATACCCAGTTAGTAAAGTACCCAACAGTCTTATACCCGGGTCTCCCGGCATTGATCCACGGAGGCGGCGGACGGGCCATCGGAGGACGCGGGGGAATGGCGGGCGGTGCTCCAGCAGCGCCTGGAACAACCGGCGGCCCTGGGGGACAGACGGCAAGGTGAACAGGAGGAGCAGAAGAAGGAGGAGGAGCTTGGCCTGGGACATCACCCGGGATGCTGCGACTTTCCGGAGGAGGCTGATCAGGCCCCGGAATATTCAGCTCTTGCCCCGGATAGATAAGATCTGGGTTGGTGATCTGCGGGTTGGCTGCTCGGAGGGCGTCGAGGGTGACGCCGTGGTCTTGGGAGACTTTCCATAATGAGTCGCCGCTGACGATGGTGTAGGTGGACATGATGGAGTGAAGTGTATGCTGTACGATGAGAAGGAAGGGAAATTGAAATGATATGGTTGGTATTGATTGATGATTGCTTATTGAGTGATAATCAGCAATATAAGGCTGTCTGTTGTGGTTGATATATGCGGCACCGCCCGGTTGTGGCGCGGGGGTTTCAGGGGTCCTTCACACTTTACTGTGTTGGGTTTAGTGGGCACAGCCCTGGGGTATTTTTAGATCGGAACTGGGGGGTTTTCGTATGATGTCACATGGTTTTGACAGCAGGCAGACATTAATTGTAATTGGTTGGCCCTATTGGTGAAACGGTTCTTCTATTGAGATAGATAATAAGTATGTCTTGAAAAGAGGATATGCCTGAGGTTGACACCGAAAAGGACATGAAGTACTGAATAACCGTTTTTAACGCGTTGCCAGAAATACCGCTGTAACAGAAATACGTATTTTTAAGGATACGAAAAGGAAGGAACGCTTTACGAATCTGATAGCAATCTGCCAATGGGAATTCTAACGAATTGTTTTGAACGATCTGTTTCAGAGAAGAACAGTAGACCAGAAAAGGGCCATGGCGAGAATACCCCTTCCACCGGCAGGGCGACCCGCCAATAGAAACCTACTGATGTCTCATGGCTGCAATTATTGATCAATTCAGCGCACTAGTATTCCAGACGATGAGTGCAGATTGGCATAATTGTACTCGTGTTCAGTTCTAATGTGGGTCAGAACTGTAGCTCCGGATGGACCCGAAAGATGAGGTATTTAGCATGGCGGATAACTTGGAGGGCTAGAATCTCCAGGAGCACGACTCGCTAAAATTGCAGATCCATGCCGCAATATATTCAGGCTCGTATATTCTTGAGATAAGTATGGGCATAAGGCTAATGTTCTAATTGGCTTTCAGCTTAGCCAAGCTCAACTATCTGGTGATGTTACAGTAGTCCAGCGTAGGTCAGCCAGCCACATATAGCCCCAGCATGCATAATCATCCAATGCTGATAGTATCTTTTTATTCCTACTGCTGCTACTAGAGCAGTTCTAATTATTGCATCCAGACATGTCAATACACTTGGGATTAATTTATTCAGCTCAATTCAACACACTATCAACTAAAACAGATACTCCGTGAATCCGTTACCATAACTATCATCAGATCTAATATTGGGTTTGACCCAGCAACTAGTTTAATCACAGCGTAGTACAGTACTATCGAAGTTTACCAAGTAAAAGCAATCAACTATGAAACCCTACAAATTTTGGTAGATGTTGTGCCACGAGATGTCTGGGAAAGATAATCCGCGAACACTGACAGATCATGAAGAACCTAAATACTACGACTAGTAAGCACTGTCATGTCCATGATTGGATATTATGCTGTCAGGTGCGAAGTACGGTTACACCCTCCAGGAACTAGTAGCTTCTGTGGCTTCCAGTAGGCTCACCGCTCAGATTTATTGTTCAGTTCTGGATAGTCAGAGCGTTATTTCAATGAGGAGAGTTTGTTTTTCCTAGCATGCGTCCTGCCCGGTGCGTCCCTCTCACTCGTTACTTTATTGGCAGGCTTTGCACTAGTAGACTTAGTAGAAAAGAAGGAGCTCTATGTCATTGAAATCTGTCATAAGTGAGCTCATTTTTGGTCACCGGAATTCAACCCTTGAATTACTCTTGCTCGGTCACAGGCCCAGAACGAAATATATTCCTACTCATGCCGTAATAATATTTTCTTTCTTATAACGGTGGCTCTTATCACTTTTGTGAATCATGTGTATATTTCTTTTTCTGTCATACTTACTTTCTCAAAATGTCCGTTAGGCCCAGTTCTGTCGAACTTTATTCTTAAGTCCATCTGGTTTCCCAACCGTCTAATATCAGACCAGCAGGCACTATACTGCCCCCACTCCTCCCTCCCCAACGCTGCATATCCCAGCACTCCATTCCAAGCAATGGTGAATCAGAGGCCAATCAAAAGGTACCAGCTGTGGCGCCTCATTGGAGACTGATGATGCCAAACGCACGTTTCTTGCCATCCTGCATTCTGGCCATACACGATTCTTATATCCGCTCTGGAAAGGTTTTCCTTGTGGGAACTCCAGCCAGCCCTCAATCTGCACTGGAATGAACTACGGAGTTTCTTGGACGCGATATCTTAGAGAGAAGCTACTGACGGAGTATGGTGAATATTTTACCAGTTCAGACAATATATAAATGGCACACTTTCCTGAGGATTTGGGATCATAGACACCATTGCTCACTCTCCATAAATACATTCCTATAATCTCATAAAATCTTACTTTACCCCAGAAATGTCGCCAGTCGATATCCCCTTTATCCATTCCGAGCTTGTTGACAGTGAGGAAATTGCTCGTGTTTGCGCAACCACCCTACCTGTTCGCAAAAGCAAGTACAGTCATTTAGCAGAGAAAGCTGTCTCCGATTTCCAGCAGCAGTGGCAGCAGGAAGTTCGGTTCGCATACTGTGGAGGAAGTTCTCCGCAGGGCCCCGTCACTGCCTTCTTTCCCCCGGAAAGTAAACCAGATCGAGTTGAGGTTTTCACGAAGCTCATTGAGTACTTTTTTGCTCATGATGGTTAGTCATTGTTGCTATTAATATTATTGTTACTATTATTCTGCCTCTGGAGTCTGCAAAGTGAGCATGTCTATTGTACTGAAGATTTGGCGTGACAGATGTTCTCGGAGTTTCCGGAAGCGTTGAGGTATGAATGTGTGGTGCAAAAGATGCATAGTGCCAAGAGCCTACTGATACTGATATTTCGACAGGTCGACAGAACCGAATCCCCAGATGCGATTGGATGGGGAATACGCAGAGGAACGATCAGCAGTGCCCGAACCAGCGCAATGAAACAAATTCAGTCAGAAGTGTTTTTGCGTCTTGTTGAAATCGACAGACCACGAGGAAACCTCATCCTTCACGCTATCAACAAGCTTTCCCGGGTTCACGAGACGATAGACTCTCGGGACCTCAAGACTTGGGATGATCTACTGCAGTATCGTGTCCAGGATTTCGGAGCAGAGTAGGTTCACCAGTCGCTGAGATTATGACGTGCTGCGCAACATGACTCACTGAAGTAAATATCAGATTGAATCTCATGTCGATTGTCTATTGCTGCGAGCTGGATCTGACGCAAAGAGACATCGACGCACTGGAAGAGGTTTGGTGGCCGGCAACTGCCGCGGCGGCGCTGGTTAATGATCTGTATAGCTTCAATAAGGAGGTCATATTGGAGCCCGGCACGGAGACGGAGACGACTATAACGACGCCAAACTCGATCTGGTACCTGATGATGGCCCTGAACTTGACTGTATCCCAGGCAAAAGAATTCCTGCTGAAAGACAAGATTGCGCCTCTGGAAAAGGAATTCATGACTAGAAAGGCCGAGTATCTGGCCAACATGAATCCCATGACACCCAATTCAGGCGATATCATTTATTTTCTGGAAATGGTTGGCCTAGGCCTATCGGGAAATTGGTACTGGCATGCTATTGCTGATCGCTTCCATCGATGGGCCGAGTACCTACAACTGCCGCCCGCCAAGTTATTCGATTACGATGAAGCCACAGCGACATGCGCTACCTTCCTGAATAGCCAGTCTCTGAGAGCAAGGCCCAGTCGAATCGTGGATTCCTTTGAGGGTCCGCAAACAATGACAGATGACCCATACTATAAGGTTGGCTGCCAAGTCGATGCTTTTTGTTGTCGCGAACAGACAGGGAAGCTGACACTTTTTCCAAACAGGTTCTCCAGCAGCCGATTAATTATCTTCGGAGCGTACCGTCGAAGAACATAAGAGGCACCATCATCCAAGCGTTGAATCTATGGCTCAATGCACCCGAATCCGTAGCAACTCAGGTGGAAGACTTGATCGGACATCTTCACGATTCATCGCTTCTGCTTGATGACATCCAGGATAATTCAGAGCTCAGACGCGGTCGGCCAACTGCCTATCGCGTGTTTGGGGTAGCACAGACCATCAATGCTGCAACCCATGCACTTACTCAAGCGTTTGAAAAGGTTGTCCCACTAATGAAGCCAGGCACCTCACATGGGTTCTTCGGTGAGTTCCCCAGCAAGAATGGTGATGGTATGTTTGCTGATTGAGGTAGATGAGTTGCGCAACCTTCATGTTGGACAAGCGATGGATCTTCATTGGACGCGGTCTGGGTATCGTCCTTCCATTGCAGATTACCTGGAAATGAATCGGTTGAGTAAGTATTTGTACAGTCACTGACATTCCGAGTCGATACTGATGGAGGATACTCAGAAACCGGCGCACTGTTTTGTCTTGCGAGCAACCTTCTCTATATTCAAGGGTCATTCTCAGCAGAGTATGTGGAGGTAGATCACCTCGCAGCCGTAATGGAACTAACAAGATAGCAGAGCCATCAAGCAGACTGATTTGAGCGACCTCATGATCTCTCTAGGCCAATATTTTCAGGCTCGAGACGACTACATTAACCTGGCATCAACAAAGGTAGATCACCAACCCACTGAACGAAATATCCACTTGTCTAACACAATATGATTCATACTACCAGTATCAAGAACAAAAAGGCTTTGCCCAGGATCTCGACGAAGGCAAACTGTCTCTGCCGTTAATCCACCTCCTGACACAGTCGCCGAACGCGGCATTGATTGAGAATATCCAGCAGGAACGAGCCAGGCATGGTAAGCTGTCGGCTGATTTGAAGCAGCTGATCTTGGATGAGATGCGGAATGAAAAGATTCTGCAACTCACTGAAGAGACACTGAATGGGTTGGAGGCCAAGGTCTTCCGACACCTGGAACGGCTGGAAGTTTCCAGCGGGATCAAGAACTTTACGTTCCGGTTTCTGCTGGATAGGTTGAGGGAGATGTAATTATTCGCACACTGCCGAAGTATATTTGATGGTTCTTCTTTTGAAGGAAGGTTATGTGACCATGCTTAATTCTATGTCATTAGAGTACAAATGAATGATGAACTAGATGTGGTTTCCAAATACTATCTCCACCCGTCAAACAGACACTATCTCAGCCACCGAGATTTAGAAAAAGTCAAATCCCGATGACTTTCCAGCGTTTGACACCCGATCGATCACAGAGTGGATCACTCTTCAACAATGGGAAACCCCGTATTTAGAATTCGAGAGATCTCGCCAATTACCGAAGTCGGAAAATGAGAGAGCTGAAAGAAGTATCGACTATCGCGGCAATTGATCATCCCTGCCCATTCTGGATGAATGAATGGTTCGCTACGTTTAGTGCAAGGGACGATCGGCAGTCTTCAGAGAGAGTGAGAAAGAGAGAAAAGGGAAAAAGAAAGTGTGGGTTCGGTTCGGTTCGGTTCGAATCGAATCTTCTCCCCGAGAATCATGTCAGTGTATGGGTTTATCACCATCAATAACCAACATTCTCACCGTAGCAGGATAATCAAGACTCTCGATGGTTTCAATGTCAAATGATTGACTGCTGACGGTGGCAAGCAAAAATATTCGGAGAATGAATGGGGCCTCGGAAGCTTCGGGTCGAGCTAACAACGAGGCTAATCCGGCACTAGAATGGAGTTAGTGGCTCATCAGCAGCTCGTGGTCGAATTGCCGACATTTGGATTCTCCCCTTGGCTTTGGCGGTTCCATGGTTTCTGCGTTGGCATGATTATCGCCAATGCTTGGAAAGCATTTGGGAAAGGGGCCATGCAACGACCGGAGAAAACTTCACGCTATCGCCACTTCCATAAACCAATCCGGGCGTCCCGAGGGAATCCCGTTCAGGCACCCACGATTCTTTGGTTGTGCAGCTAAATTAGCAAGTCAGATAGAGCCATCAAACCAAAGCTTGACGGATCAAATCATTCCCACCGAACTACTTCCTAGTCAGCTTGGGCGCCCCACTGCTGCTTATATGGGTGGAAGAACCTTCACATCGCCGAAGCTTTTTCTTGAGTATTTATCTCCGCTTGCCCCTCTTGGGCTTTTTGAAGCTGTCGATTACTCGATTTCCCCTCCCCCTTTTATCGCCTTCAAGATGCGTCGCATCCCCGCTGTCGCTCGTTGATTCGCATTCCCGCCCTAGATGGTTCCTGCATCCCGTCCAACATGAATTTCAATGTCCGACAGGTGCAGACGCACCTTTTTCGGCTGACAATCTCCACTGCCTCCTTCTGCTTCCTGCTCTTCCTCTACATTTCCTTCGAATGGTCTCCTTCTGCCTCAGATCCGAGTGGATTCAGCGCATCGAGTTACGAAGATGATCTCGATGCCGCCATTCCCGCCATCTCCGCCTGCAACGGCTTCAACCCCGCGACGGTGGCAGATGTTCTCGATGCGACCCTCACCGCCAAACTGCCCATCAATGGCAGCGCTGTCGATGATTTTGTCTGCAGCATCATGACACACGATATGAACCTGTCTGCGAAGCTTGACTGCCCGGCTACCATCAGCCCGCGCTATGCCGATCTTCCCGTTCGCGCATCCAACAGCTTCTTTTCCAAGCCCAAGATCAAGTATTTTTTCGCCCTGGATCTCTATCAATCCGCTCACATCATGCTTCCCCTGATGGGCACCATTGTCGAGACGATGCGCTTCCTCGGACCAGAGTATTGCGCTCTCTCGATCGTCGAGGGTCGGTCCACCGACGGAACCTACGATATCCTCAATCGGTTAAAGAGCGAGATGGCCGCCATGGGCGTGAGATACTATCTCTCCACCAGCGATCTTAACCCCAAAGCTATCTGGGCAGACCGAATCAAGCACCTCTCGACCCTGCGCAACCAGGCTCTCGCGCCGCTAGTCTCTGCCGGAGCGGGCAAATTCAAGCCCTACGCTGCGGACGCGACGATCCTCTTCATCAACGACGTCGTCCTCTGCGTAGAGGATCTGCTCGAGTTGCTGTATCAGCACCGGCAGCAGGATGCGCGTATGACTTGCGCCTTTGACTGGAATGCTGCCGGCGGGCCATTCTACGACTCATGGGTCTCGCGCAGCATGTCCGGCAATCTCTTCTTTGAAATCACCCATGATGCGCGATACTGGCTCACCCAGGATATGTTCTTTGATGACCAGCCAAATCAGCAGCGATATGGGAGGAAATTGCCGGTGCAGGTCTATTCGTGCTGGGGTGGCATGGTCATCCTGGATGCGGCGCCCTTTGTTCAACGGAAGCTTGAGTTCCGCAATCACAAAGAAGGCGAGTGCCATATGGGCGAGCCTACATTACTGGCCAAAGACATGTGGGGCCAGGGACTGGGAAAGATCCTGGCAGTGCCTTCAGTGAATGTGGCATATGAGTACAAAGCCACTCGGGAGGCCAAGAATGGCCAAGGATATGTGCACAATGTCATTGAGAGTGCAGACTACAAAGCAGGCAAGGAACTGGTAGTGTGGGATAAGGAGCCACCCGTTCGGATCAAGTGCATGCCTTTGTTCAATCAACAATCGTGGGTGAAGTCGACATGATCGTATATTTTGTATTTATATCGCATCTCTTTGAAGCCTGGATATAGATATTCCCTGATACCCTTACATGAGCCATGCAAATCTGAAATACCCCTTTTCTAGCGATCATCTGATGCATTATGGCTCTACGATCACACATCCATGACCATTTTCCAGCTCAGACGGTCACAGCCGTTCACGCCGTTCACTACTTGGAACGGTCGTCTTGTCGCACCGTGACAAGTAAGACGGTGGTTGTAACAAAAAGTGCGTGTGTTTCACTCTTCTTCCCACGGACGTGTTCTTCCTTCCACGGAATTTGTTGACAGGCTCCGACATCTCCAACTACCTCCGGCATCTGCCTGCCACTGATCGCAAATATCCCACTTAGACCAAAATTCTCATTACGTGCATATCATCATAAATAAGCACAGGATCCTGCCATACAGTGAGCACACCACATCCAGCTATTGGTCAGCCCACCTAACAGGAAGGCTGCATCAACAGCAGGAATGGCGAACAACGACGTTCTCCCCGAAGGAGCCATTGAGGCAGACGTCATTCGTGCAACATCTTATCACCGCCGGGACTTCGACATGTCGGTAATCAGAATCAAGCCAGTGGACAGCGAAAGCGTTGGACCCGGTATCACACACGCTTTCAACCGTCCCTTCCAGCCCGCGAAACCCGGCCTCCTTGACTATTTGCCCGTCGAAATCCTCCTCAAGTTCATCCCGGACCTAGACATCCAAACCCTTTTCAACCTCCGCCACGTCAACGCCCGTACCCGCGATGTTGTCAGCTCTCTGGAGACTTATCAGCAGGTGACGACCTACGCCGCGGACCTCATATGTGCACTCTTACGCACCACCCTAGCACAGTGGTATACTCTCCAAGACGTCCTCGAGGTCCTACATACCCGGGAATGCTCCATCTGTCACGCCGAATTCGGAGGCTTCGTCTTCCTCTTCCCCCCCAAACTATCAAGATGCTGTTTCCCCTGCATCCGAAGCAAATCCGATCTCCGCCGCCCCGTTATCGACCCACATACTCACCGTTTTCACTATGACCGAGAATACGAGCTGATCACGCTCGCCGAAGCGCATAACTTCTACGGAATCAGCCCGGCCGTGCTGCGTGCGGAATCCGTCCCAATCCTGAAAACCGTCCGGGGATTCTACACGATGAAAGAAACGCAGCGGAAGATCCGGCACTCTCTGGTGCATGATAAACGAGTGCGCGAGCTCAGTACGGCTCACCAACATGGCATTCCCTGGTCTGATACCTTCCGCCGCGGACGGGTGATGCTTCTGCGATGGTGTATGGCAACCACTGCGGTGCCTTATGTGGATCGGGAGACCGGGGAAATTGAGCGTGGAGTCTCGTGTCGAGGCTGTCAGGGCCGGTTTGAGCAGGTATCGTCTGATTGGAGAAGGGTGGGTGAACTATCTGCTCCTAGGGATAAGGTTTACTCGAAGGCTGCGTTCATGGTGCATTTTAGGGAGTGTCAGTGGGCGAAGAAGCTGTGGGAGGATAGTAAGGGCGGGACGGTGGTGGTGGGGGAGTCCGAGTTTGTGCGTCGCGGTGGGTTTATGGAGGATAGGAAAGATGATCACGGTTCGGAGGTGGTTGCTGCTAAGAAAAAGAGGCCTCATTCTACGGTTGGGTAGGCGTTGGATCTTTCTTTGTGGTCGTGGAGGAACCTTGAACGGATTTCTGGGATATTCATGGGCTGGGCTGAGTAGACTGCATATGGGAATAACTATTATCGAGGTGGACATCGGATTGAGTCCATAAATGAGCTATTGCTCTTTGGTGTAATCAATCAAAATATTTTTATTCCACGATGACTCTTTGCTAGGAAGCGCTTATAGTCAGAGATAGTATGAGCGAAGTTTAATCAATACAGAGTACCCTAGGTCATGGATTAGACCAAACAACATACCACGATGAAAGAAATCCTCCATTCTTCTTATCGCCACCCCCCTGCCCCAATGCCCACCATATATAGTATGGTAACGAGCAAAAGACTTGGGATTCATAACCCGATAATATGTCATCATATTAGCCATTTGACAGGGGTTTTATAACCATAGACCTGTATTAGTGATTGAATTACCTAGCTTGACTTGACCTGAACTGACCTCTATGAAATGTTCCCATATCCTGCTAAGACAAGAAGATCCCAACAGGATTATACAACAGATCGGAATCTCTTCGTATAAATAACTACTGCTGCTGTTTCTGCTACAACGCTCTGATAGTACCACGGTCATCATAGCTTACCAAAGATTGTCTACGTGGAGATCGACTAATATGTACCATGTCTCTACGCTATATCTTATACTCTTCCTACCGTATACCCTAGGAAAAGATATCCAAACCAGGAGTAAAGACTGCAGAACACTCAGAGGTTAGTATCTGATAGTATATCCAGCTAATCCCCGCAGCTTGGGAACTGCACGCTAGTAGTACCTTTAAAAGAGTTTCTAGATGAATAACTTCTCAGCATTGAGAGTGCACCACACTGCCCGTGCAGAAACATTAGTTGACTGAATAGCGGGCTGTGAGGAACTGCTTAAGTGGCACAAGTTGAAGCAAAAGTGGCAAACGACTTGGTGCTGTATGTGTATATTATGTGCAATTGGTAGTGGTGAATAGTATTCTACTCAAACAATCAACACAAACACCCACACCCAGAATCATCGAAATAGAATCTCCATAGCAACACAGAACCAGTCTAAATACAAAAAACAGCTACTAGCCAGCTAAATTTGGATGGATGTTTACCCATCTGCTTCAGAGTGATTGAGCTACTCGTGTATGCTGATTGCTGTCTTCCTCATTCAAGACCAGTTGTTCCTTAGATAGTCATCAGCCTGATACCCCTCGACTCAGTTCGATGGTACGTATATCAGTGAAGCTAAGCTAATCGGGACAGGGAAGCGATCCTAGGGTTTGACAAAATAGGCTGCGCACCTGTAGATTATATTAGAGAGATAATTAAAGATAGCAGACAGAATTATAGAAAACGATGAATAATATAAAATAGTAGACTAGAAACAATATGTAAAATAATAAACAGCAGTAAAACTCTAAATAAGTTAGTCAGATTATTAATCTATAGTTAAATACGATCAGCCCGTCCAACTTCAAATAAGTGTACTAAATCAGGAAATAATAAATAGATTTATTTCTAAAGTACATTTATAATCTAAAGATCTAGATCTATCTTCTATACCATAATTATACTGATCTAGTCTTGTTGTTGTGGTTTCCAATACAGAGCGCCGATTTCATCTTATCAGTACGACTCGTTAACTGGTGAAACTGTATATGGTCTGGGTGTCAGATCATGCCGCATGCGGCCGCGTTAATCTACTGAATGAGCCGTTATGTGCTTCCCCACAAACGGCGTTAGTTGCAGGCTTACCTACGGAGAATTCAGCCTCTTATGCCACATGACGCACGTCGATCATCCGACTGCAACCCGGTACCAGCTTCTGTTGTTCAGCCATCCGTGGTTCCTCCTCGCTGCAAGCCATACCCACGTTCTCATACCGAATTGATATCACGTCGCAGGATAAGAACTAGGCTGTGCTAATAGAGAGCAGACGCCAAGAAAAGTGTATTTAGGATATGGGAAATCAAAGCCTATTCCTTCTACCCAGGTTCGTGTAACGGTGTAAAAACAGCCGCTTAGCAATGTGTCCGTGTCATGGATCCCCCCCAGTAAGTCTATTCTGAAATACTCAAAAGGCGCTGCATGGTTTCATATCACTAGTCTTGTTCAAAAATGAAATACGGAATATGACGCGAGACTCGATGACGTCTGAAAGCCTACGTGGCGTGCATAGATGAGGGGATCCTTGCCTGGAACAGGTTCACTACTACCTTCATATAACAAGGCGATGGGGATTCTAGATGAATTGTCCCCTGGATACAGTACTCTGCGTAGGACTGGTACCGGTTCGATTCGTTAGTATATTAGGCGTTAAGTAGAGCTGAACACCTACGCCTTGCTGTTCAATGGTTTTCAAACAACAACCTCGGTCTGCTCGTATAGTAACAATTCCACTATTGCCCGAGACCCTCTGTCCACGCACAACCTGCCTCGAAGGCCTTAGCCAGCCACTATACGTCTCTTTCCGCGCTGATTGTTCGCCATGGCTGCCACGGTCGTGTCTTCCACAGAGCCAATGCCAAATATGACGCCCGACTATGAGGTCAGACTTTTGCTCAACCCGGCCAAAGTGCTTAGCTCCGAACATGAGTTAACAGACAATGTCCGATCGGCTTTAAATCTGGCCCCGACCGCCATCAAACTGAATGTGCAGTTTCTCGACACGTGCGCTAAAGAAATATATACCGCCGGCTGGAGCGCTCGCATTCGCAAGGCCGACAACGAGGACGACCTTGAGCTGACGTATAAGAAGCGGTATGCTGTTACGGATGGCAACATCGACTCCGCTCTCACTGCGACTAAGAATGATGGCTTCAATGCAGGTGACACGAAGTACAAGGCTCAAATCGAATGGGGATACGAAAGACAGATACTCTCTATCAGCCGCAAGAAAACTGTAGCTGATGCTGTTGCTGGAAATGACAATATGGATCTGCCGGGCACAAGCGACTCGCGCCAAATGTTAATCGACGAAGCGCCGGACAAATTCAAGAACTGGCGTCCCAACAAATGGGGCACCAGCGTTTTAGCGATGTCGCGGATCTATGGCCCGGTCTTCGTTAAGCGATTTGTTGGCACATGGGGCAGGATCCCGCTTTACGTCGAGATTTGGCCTCTTATCAACTCCCAGCGCACAGGTATTGAGTATATCGTCGAAGCTTCTTTTAAGACGGAGAACATAATGACGGCCTCGGATGAGCGGAGCAACTTGATCACCGACTTGCAGAGCAAGGGTTGGTTGCTCCTTAAGGAGTTACTAAAGACGCAGCTTATTATGGAGCGTTACTGATAGGAAATGTCATTGGCAGACTGGTAGGGTTTGTTTTGGCTGAATTTCGTTGAAAGTAACTGATTGTACTGTGAATACTACGGTCATGGTTTAATAACTAATATATCAAATACAGCTTCCTCTTCAGTCATATCTTTGTACAGGATCGAGACGTAACTTTATTCCGTGCAGGTCTCGCACATGCATTCCTACATATCAGCCCCCTTCTCTCGTGCGCAGACACTATTCCGAGCTGGTATTGCACATTCGAGTCGATGAAAAAGCTGGATTGCGACTAGTAATGCCGCAGGCTTGTCTTACTCGAATACTATAGGCAAATAAGAGCAGACAAAACAACCTCGCATTATGGAAAGAAAATCCAATTCAGCCAGCGAGTTACCTTAGCATTCAATATCATCGTAATCTTTGATTTCACACCATCTGTTAGTCTCTATTCACCACTTAAGTAGAACATGCATGGATTACTATCAATCACTGCAACCTTGTAGATGGCGTGATTGAGCTGGCAAAGTCCTTCGCCCAGTTAATCATAAAATTTCAATAAGAAAGCTCGCGGCTCCGCTTTCTGATATTAGTATCTCTGTGAAGACATTAACATCTCTGTCTCGGCTATCTGATAGAACATAGTCTTTACTTGGCCGATAACTGCTCTAGGCTCTGCTACCTACTAAAGCTCTTTTTCATGTGAGGGCCAATCTTTGCGGATACCGGTCCCATGCTATGCCCGTAGAAGATACCGCGCTTGATCTCCATAGCAACACAAGACCAACTCAAGTACATATAAATGGCTACTAACCAGCTAATTCTGTCAGGTCTGATGATGGAAATGAATTATTCCGTTGCTCTAATGTTGATCCAGATACTCGTGCATGCTGAATGTTCTGATGAACCCGAAACTCTTATTCCCCTCTATGATTATGAGAGATACAAATACTAGTTCAATTATATTGTATTCTACGTCAACTTCGTCTTCCCATATTGTCACATACATAAAATGATATTTTACTGCTCGGTTGTATCATAGTGATCATCATGTAATCTTATTAAAAAACTATGATATCAAATATCGTCATATATAGGAACTTTTTGTATTACTACTAGCATATAGATTCCTTCTGCCTTGTAATTTATCCAGTCCTCAGCTTTTTGCTTCTTATTCTCTCTCCTACTCATTTTATCTATCTTTAAGGAGACTCTCTATTCCGGTAACCACCGAAAAAGCACCATAGTTCGTGATACTTCCCTACATACCTACATCAGACCCTCACAGCCCACGCCAATCCGCTTCTGCTCGCTTTCCATTCTACTTACGAAACTAACACCCAGACTCTGCCATACCCGAGCATCTCAAAAATGGCACCAATCAGCATTAAAGTATTTCAAAATACTCTAAGAGCAGCAGCAACACAACACAGACACAACTACACAAACATCCACTCAATCACCGTGCGGTGGGAGAAGGACCATACAAAAGCAGACAAAGTCTCCCAATATTTCCAGAATCTCCTGAAAACATTGAATATCCCACCAGCCGCCGAGCACATCATCCGCCACAACAGCCCGAATCCCGACATTCCTTTCCAACAAGCTTTCCATGACATTCTCGAAGAATCCCAACCCAAGACTAACAGCGACCATAAACTTCTAATATTCCACTACGCAGGACACGGCTTTATCAAGAACGGACAGCTTACATTTGCCGAAACCGCTACTGCCGAGAAGACTCTTAATGCAGGCAATTGTCTGTTCGAAGATACTGGGCTCATTCCCGACTCAGTCCATCTAGATATATTACTTATCTTCGATTGTTGCTACATTGGGCATATAGCGACTCGGGCTCCAATTATCTCAAATAGGGTGGTGGAAATATTAGCAGCGACAAGCACACAGATACCCAGGAATAGAATCCTACCGGAGAATGCATTTACTGCTAAGATCGCTGAGGAAATCACTCGCAGGAAGCGGAGCGGGCATCAATATGTGGAGTTTGCTGATGTTTTTCAAACGTTGAGATCTCGTGGAGAGAGAGATAAGCTCAGACCTACTCATGCTTTGTTGGTTGGGGTTGGGTCGGTTATTTTGCCTCTTAATAATTCCAGGACTGTTGATCCGGTTACTATTGCACCGATGTGCACGGCTCTCTTTAGTGTGAGTGTTGCGAAGGAGATGACTGCGGAGGAGCTAAGGCAGCTGAGTTCATGGATGAAGAACCTCCCTTGCTTTGCGGGTCTTGAGGTTGATAAGGTATATCCAGGTAAGGCGAGGTGCTTGATTTTGCGTTCTGCTCTGTCAGTTTATACCAAACTACACAGAGTACAGGGCTATTCGTTGATTGCAGAGGATGTCAGGGCGCCTATTGATCTTGATAACCTGGTGTGATCAGTGCCTCAAGCGAACTATTCCTTTCAAGTAGGTTAACTAGGAACTTGCTTGGAATTTTGCGTCACCAGGGATAGGAAAAAGAGATATTATTTAGCTCTTAGATAAAAGAAGGTTTGATATCTAGATTGACTATTGCCAATTCAGTCCACCGGTTATGAGAAGTATCACAACGAATAAGCCCTAAGAGAGTCAAAGTCGTAGGCAGTAACTTCAACAATTAAGATTAAGACCTCGTGCTTCTTCGTGTATGTGTGACCCAATTCTTTCGAATTAGTATTTAGTTACCGGGATTTGGCCAGACTGGGAGTTCCATTAAAGAAACTGAATGGTATGAAAACTGGGTTGTCTCACAACTACGCTGGATAGGAGATACATGACCTGTACACAGAGAGTGCACGGATATCCTCGGATAAATCGGATCTCCGCAAAGAATGAGGCGAAATTCCCACCCATGTCAGCCTGCTGTGTTGTAAAAAGCGGTCTCGGACGTATACAGCTGTCTTGTCCGCCGACGATCGGGCTCGGCGATGATACCCGTGTCTCCGGACTTAAGTAGTCCGCACGGATTCCGGATCAAAGGGTGTTGAATGCAAAGTCTCCGGAGATGTAACCATAAGGTCGTATCTCCGACATCTCGCCGACGGAGAGACCGAGTAAAATAAATCATGCCAGGTGAGTTGGAAATTTGAAACTAAGGACGTCGGTAATTGCACGTTTGGTCCGTCTCGGCTGCTATTTTCCGGCTGCGGCTGTTTATCTCCGATTGGATGCCGTACATGAAGTTGAATAATGTGGTTCTCTGGATTTGTCAGTCCTTGACTAACTCGGTGGAAGGTCATCTGGAGGAACAAGTGGATTCCTGATACAGCTCATTTATGGCGAAAGCAAGCTAAACCTGACGCGGAATGAATTGGGTCCGGCAGATCTTCCGGATGTGACAGTTATAGAGTCGCTCTTTTAGTATCACACATCGGTGGTGAATTAACAAGTCTTCAAGAACTCATTAAAATCTTCTACAGCATGAGCATCACAGTGAATGAATCATAATCAACAGAAAGCTACAGCATATGTTCTTTCCCTAAGGAGATCTAATAGGAACTTTGTTCGCGACAGAAAACACAAGATCAATATGGCCAGTCGGGTGTCTGCTGCTCTGTGCCGGTGATTCCTTCCCAGAGTTAGAGTCAAGTGGACCTGACGCCAATATCTGACCGTCCGGAGATGTTCCATTTCAATTCCAGATAGGATCAATTACTTATGACTTTTCGTACTGTCACGCAGCTGTCCCCCGGTATTGTTTGTTCCTTTCTGCAGATAGAGAATACCCCTATACTCTGTCGTTGAGAAATTGTCCTGTGTTTAGGTTGCGGCGTGTGAAGAGGCAGGTAACAGCCTCATAGCCATTCGCTGAAGCCATGTAGCGATGTCCTCCCAGCCGTTCGGATGTGTTGTCTTGATTTTGGCGCCTCTTTCAAGAAGCATATTGACGATACCTCCATGTCCATTCTCCGTAGCGAGTGATAGCAATGAGTCCCACCTCCACGTATTTTGATTATCAGTATCGTCGCATCTCTCAAGAAGCATCTTGACGATACCTTCATGTCCATTCTCCGTAGCGAGTGATAGCAATGATTCCCACCTCCACGTATCTTGATTCTCAGTATCGTCGCATCTTTCAAGAAGCATCTTGACGATACCTTCATGTCCATTCTCTGTAGCCTTCCACAGAGGCATCTGAAGCCATTGATCGCTATACTTGTTTGCAGCACCTCTGGCAAGAAGTATCTGGACAATGCCTTCATGTCCGTTCGCTGCTGCCAGTGACAGCGGTGTTCTCTCGCCCCACTGACCCCTAGCCTCAATTGCGGCGCCAACTTCAAGAAGCATCTGGACAATCTTTTCATGTCCATTCTCCGCAGCTAAAGATAGCGGTGTCTGGTCTTTTGAACTTCTGGTCTCAGTTGTGGCACCTTTCTTAAGAAGCATCTGAACAATGCGTTCGTGCCCATTCGCTGCGGCCAATGATAGCGGTGTCTGACTATCCGAATTTTTGGTCTCAACTGAGGCGCCTCTCTCAAGGAGCATCTGCACAATGTCCTCCTGTCCATTCTCTGCAGCAAGTGATAGGGGTGTCTGACCATTCTGATCCGTTATCTCTAACCTGACGTCACTTTGAGTCAACAACAACCATACACCACCTCTAATGCCTGCTTTTGTGATCATCAATAATGCTGCTGGTTCTCTATAACGCATCGGAAGCCTTAGCTCTTCAAGAAGTTGAATCATTTCTGGGGGGATGACGTCTTGTTCTACGGCAGTACGCTTTTGTATGAGCATTGTGCGACCGCCTCGGACACAAATCCTTCTCACGGGATATCGGGTTGGTCGAAAGGTTCCGAGATCGATACGTCGCAAAACCCTGCTTTTAACCCTCTTGAACAGATGCAAAGTGAAAGTCAAATCCTCCAAGTAGATGGCAATAACCTTATCTTGCTGGGTTCTTTCTGTGCAGGTTCTTTCCACACAGTTAAGGATTCCGACACCTTCGCCGTCGGCTGATAATCCTGCGAAGCCAATATCTAGATGCACCCCTCTACTATTCACAGCGAAAGGGTTATCAAGACTGCCATACGGATTGAATCGCACAATGTTATAGGATTGGGCGAATGCGGCAGGAGAGGTGGCGAGAAGCCCGCCGCGATCATCAGAAGACGTCCAAGCGAATAGACTCTGATCATCTGAGATCCGCATGATTTCCTCCTGAAGTCTGATGAACGCATTTTCGCCTTCCCCGTAGATCAGCGGCATATTGACATTAAAGATGCCCATTAGGGAATAGGCGCGGTCTTCCACTCGCGACGTTTGTCTTTTCGCAGCCCATGACATTCTCTGTGCGACGCTGGACGTTTCAAGGTCGTCGTTCCCGGACAGAATTCCGGCGGGAATCCCAGTGTATTCACATAATTGGTCTCGGAGGGTTGCTCTATCTCCCAGCACTTCCCATCTTTCGTTCAAGAATATCACCCTTGATGGAGCGATCAGCTCTTGAAGTGTCCAGCCTCTGGTAAGCCATTTGCTCTGGGAAATTTCATCTTCAGACCGTACGTCCGCAAGAATTGCGTAGCATACCTCAGCCTTTTGGTACCAGAGATACATGGAGTTGATCGCCTCAGATAACTCCGCACTGCTTGTCTTGTCAATGCAACATGTATCTATCCAGACATACTTGTATCCATTTGACCTAGCTACCGAGCAGCATTTTGTGATTTTCTTGTACCCGCTCTTGGTCTTCGCGCTGGCCGCGTTTATTTCCTGGTAAGTAACTTCCTCTTTGCCCCAGGTATGTGACAGAATAGCGTACGGGGGTAGTTCATAATCCAAGAAATTTTGAATGACGAAGTCCCCCGTGTCAGACAAGCACGTGTTCAGCAAACGCATAGTACAAGTCGGTCAAATATTTTCGTCTTGTAAGTGAATAGTGCTCTGTGTACTGTTAAGGGGATGATGTATTATTGAGTGGAAGGGATCAATTTTCGAGTCCGCCAGCAGTCGTTCTGGCAATCCACTTGATGAGTTGGCGAGGCTGAAGGACAGGGATGTGCCCGCTTGCATTTAGCCAGCACAGCCTCATTTTGTGGCGGTCCGCATCTTACTCCAGCCTTGTACCTCTACCACGACAACAGTCGAAGAAGTTGTCTCTGAGAAGGTAATATGGTGGATACCATTGCCGAGAAAGTAATATTCTGTAGGCTCGCTGTCAAAGTATGCGCTGATAGAATAACTCGAGAAGGTCGGTTGTGCGGAGCCGACATCCTTCAGAGGTCGTTATAGCAGCACGTGCTCTTGGAAGGCTCTGGCCCCGAATAGACACTGACTGAGATGCATGCAAGCTATATAATAGGAATTTGTTGAGACAGTTGAGTCACCAGATCTGCTCGGTAGCCAGCGATATATCGTTTTGGCCTACTTGGCACAAATCGCTGATTTGACAGAATCTACCTATGGCACGCAGACAACATCCCTTTTCAGTACTCTCCATATTCCCATAATGGACCTGTGACACACGAACACTATGAGTATTGCAGTGTATGCTGCTCTGCTTATTGTCCTATTTGTTTGTTAGCAGATGATCTCGGTTCTCTGGTTTATCTATACGAAGGGCGACTCTTCCTACCCAACTGTTTATTATCAATATTCACAAGAGTTCCGCTCTGCGGTGGATGTAATGTCTTGATGAAGTGGGCTGTAAGACTCCGAGTTCGCCAAGCGGCCACTATCTCAGGAGCTCTAGGGACCACCGGTATCTATAGGGACAGAAAGTGGTAGAGCACTTGTCGATGGTCAACCCGTTCGGATCCCTCATTGTGATGGTACTTATTGAAGGATAGCGAGTTCTCTGGACATTGCATGCTTATAACAAAGCTGCTGGTTTGGTGATGAACAACATCATCGTAGGAAGTATGTGATGGGCATGCTACAACATGAAGAAAGCAACTCATGCCATTGTGTGTGCATGAATAGTAAGGACGACAACAAAAACAGCAAAACAATCACTGAATTGGCCAATGATAGAAGATAATTCAGCATGCATAGAATCATCCAGTAGCATCCAATCAATCCTGAAGCGGTGTCCGTTCTAATACTTGTACTACATTCCAAATTATCCCTCGGATTAGAATATCATCCCAAACCCCCAAATCCCCATTACCTCGATCCATCAATGGATATACATGTCAAAAACCAATATATTTAGTTTCTCGTATTCGTAATCTCCCATATATAAGTGAACTTAACAACGAATGACCCCAAAAACGAGACCTACACCCAGTCCAGTGGATGCCATCTCCCCCTCCCCACCCTCACTCAGCCTTACAACAATACCTATAGAAACCCGCCACATCAGTCCTTTGTAGCAAGTAGTCCCGTAGTCCCCACCCAGCTGCCATCGTGTTACCCAGCCCCCAAACCCACGGATCATGTCGGCCGACCGAACTATGAGCGGGGATGGGCGATGCTGCTTGCGTGCGCAGGTGTCAAGTGGTGTCATGCTGGCGTGAGCGACCCGGGTCCCTACCTAATATGTCTCGTGATCAGGGTATCCGCGGGTATTTACCCGGTAATATTCTGGACATGATTGTAACCATAGGACTTACTTTACGACTTTTGCCATCTGGTTACCTTGGGTTGCAGTGGCTTTGGCACAATGATGTTTTCGGAATCAGAGGAGTGTTCGATTACTAACTAATAATAACCTGTCATTAATTTGATAATTAATTAGGTTTTTGGTTGTAACCAGGAACCAACCGATCAAGCGAGTCAGTCCGTCAGTTTGTTAGTAGTACTAGGCTATTGGAAGTAAGTTCTGGAGCACAGAAACCCGACTATGAGAGGCCCAGACCAATAGAGGGTGGGGAATGCGAGCTCGCTTGGGAGGTTCGGCTAGCCACGCCGCCTGTTGGATAGACGGGTTTAGCTGGGGATCCCTGGCTTGGCGGGCTTGGGGTCGGTAATTAGTATAGCCAGCATCTTTCGATCTATCTGTTCTACCATTGTAAATGCCGGTTAAGAATAACCGGTTGATGCATGTTTCACTGCAGAAGGTAGAATATTTTACGTGATGGATTGCGAATCTGACCAACCCAGCACGACATGGGATAAAGGTGGTTGCGATGACGACAAAGGCATGGGCAGGTGTCGGTGTCAACTTCCGACAGACTGCAAGGGGAAGCCAAGACGGGGATGACCTGGCTATGGGGACTATGAGTAGTGTTTGGTAATAGTTGCTTACTACCTGGCTTGTTGTTTAGCATGTTTATGAAGTAGGATGGACCGGAATTGGGAGTTCAAGCTGTACTGAAGGTTAGCGGTATTATGTTGGCCAGGATCCCCTTTCATTGTCTTGTCTTGGGGTTGAGCACCTCATTTGGTCTGTTCCAGGTGATTCATCGCCTACTGCATTCTTGACCCCCGACGCCTATGTAATTATTCAGCCACCACCACATTCAGTAGACATCATATGTGCAACCGTTTCAAGTAGACAGGAAGCATGGGTGTGGTCTGGTCACACTGGTGTTCCATGACTTTCAATCAGCGTATGACTAACTACCAATGATGGCCTGAGGAGTCAGCACACCCATCGCGGACGATCCCTGTATGGAGATATGCGGGGTATTTTCCGGTGTGGTAGAAACATGCTGTACTGCCTGCGTAAGGATGTAGGATGAAAGCCTGGTTGCACGAACAATATCAGAAGACGACATCAAGAGAATTCGTTTCGTTTCGTTTCGTTTGCTGTCGGCACTTCTGTATCCTGGATTGATCAACCCGGCCAGCAGCTTCAAGCAATGAGTTGCTGCATGAAGAGTGAGGTGATCGTCCAGTCGAAGACTTGGCTGTTTCGGGAGATGAATTGTAGTTCTCACAAGCCAATGCCCTTTCGTGGATTTCGGTATCGTGTCAGATCATCCATGCGATCTAGGAAGTACTAAGATCAGCCTACCAATCAGGGGGTGCTACATAGTTCATGCCCCCTGGGGCACGGTAGCCTAGCTAGTAGCTCCCTACCGCTAGTCTAGTTCCTCTTTGTGCAGCTACCCCACAATCATTAAAGGCTCAAAGATGGGGTGATGCTGTCAGTCAACCAGGAGTCATGCCCCCGATACGAGCGCCAGTAGTAGTGTATTGATCATGCTTCAATGACCCGAGTCAGGTTGATTTAGAAATTTACTCGGCCGTAACTTGGACATGTGGCCTGGTTTCATCAATTTCTCCTTGGAAGAGATGAAGACTGTCAGGGATTGAGTTCTCCTGATCTCTGGATCAAGGGAGACATGGCTGTGGATGACGAATAATGGAAAGAGGAGAAGGGGGAGGAAAGGAGGAGTGACAGGACTAGCGTTCTCCGCAGGATCACGGGATCCCGCCCGGAGCAAATGAAGGGCGGGCGAGTAGTAATTGTTAGGTAAGGAATATTGCATCAGGGGTGCGTGCAGGTCTGGGGTAGATGGCGACATCACTTTTGAGAAACTATATCTGTCGATACTATAGGGGATAATGTCTTGGGAGTTCATGGGAAATGAAGATGACACGCATCCAATTACTCTTACGAGAATGGCCCTCTCATCCTTTACTACGGATACTACTATGGAGTAACGGAGGACCAGATGGATAACTCACTAGTGTTCCTAGTAGGGGAGGAAAGTCCCGATGGTCGGAGGAGTGCGGAACTCGGCCTCGAGAAGATCCCGCCCCGTCGGGCAGGTCACGGGGCCACCAGCGGCGGTTTTCCATTATGTCATAGAATGCAGGCGGTGATCCCGATCGAGCAAGACTCGGCCATGGCGCCAGCAAGTCCGCCATCGAATCATCACTTTTGTCGACTAATGGAAATCTGGCTGGTAATCTATTTCTTCCTTGTATATTGCGGTATATTGCAAATACCATCTCTCACCGGGGAAGATGACAGACACTGCGTAGCGCGAGTGTGTGTGTCTAGTATGTGAGGACACCATCCCTCAGTAATTCACACGACGACCTCTGCATTATGTCAATTTCCGACCGGTTTGATTGATAACCTTACTGCGTAGACCGGGTATCGCCCCCGAACGTGGATTAAAATAGTACTATGGTAGTTCGGCCGTGTGAGAAAAAAGCAACCAATCCGCAGCGGGAGGCGATCGATCAACGGTCAAAGGATTCAAGGATGGACCAGGAGGACCACTCACAATGCAGCAAAGTACTTTGGTAAGAAGTAAAGAATGGAGCAGCCAAATGGTACCTCTTTTTGTCTTTGCTCCTTCCGAACAACCGGATTCGCCGCTGGGAGGGATGGAGGGCCCCATGTGGTCAGTTGAGTTAGTCCGACCGAGTCATCGGCGGGATCCATGGGCTTCTCTTTCTTTTCGGCGCTGAGCTTTGCTTTCCGCCTCCACTCCGCGGGCAAACCCTCTGTAAAAAATATTACCAAGACAGTGCCAGTGTCACCGTTGTTTGTTGGCTTTTGGCTGGTTGGCAAACCCGGTCTGTTCGCCTTACTTAATGGAAATTTGACGTCGACTTGCAGTTTCTTGCCGCTTTCTCTTTCTACTTTCTCCCTTCTTTTTTTTTTTTCTCTGTGATTCTCTCATTTGGCATTCCCCCCCCTCTACTTTGTACTGTTTGATTACTCACATCATTTTTACCTTTCTCTCCCCGTGCTTGGTATTTTTATCCTCCTCCTTGGATCAAACATCCACTGGCCTCACTTCCTTGATTCCTATTTCCCCCCCTTCCCCTCAATTGATCTGCACAAAAAAAGCAGCCCTGTTGAACCAACATTGCATAGCTCACTGCACGGTCCACTGGCTGCCCCTCCGCCTAAGCGAATCATTACTCTGTCCGCTGGCTTGGATCTCTTGGAGTCAAATAGCGTGTGCCCGCCTCGGGGCGCGGCCTCGTCCCATCCGCCGCGGATTCTGTGACTAACAGCAACAACCTTCACGCTCTGGCTCCGAATATACGCTTAATTACGTCTCCAGCGCCCCTCTTTGGCATCTTCTAGCGTCCTCTGCAGACAGGGGTGTTTTGGGTGGAATCTGGGGAAAGAAGAAAAAAAAAAAGCTTTTCCGTTTTTCCCTCTTTTCCTCTTTCTTCCCACCGTCCCTCTTGCCTGTGTGTGCGTGTGTGTGCCTCTCCTGATCTTCTCGTCACCTCACCACCCTTTTCTGGGACCGGCCCTACTTTCCTATATAGAGCCTTCCCAAACCATACGCCCTCCCCCTCTTCATTATGTCGGCCGCCACCACCGTCCCGCTGTCTTTGCACAAGACATCACAGCCTAGATACTCTCCCGCTGTCTCGGGAAACACCTCGCCTACTGAAGGCTCCCGCAACGCCTCCCCTCATCCCTCCACCTGTTCCTCCCAGAACTCCCGGTCCAGCAGTCGCCGCCGGGAGTCATTCGGTTCCATCAAGGAAGACGTGGATGGTATGTATATGTCAATCAATGCGCAGGAATGGTGTCATAGCAGGTCACTTACACGTCATAGGCATTGCCCAGTCCTTCGTCGATACCCACATCGAACATTCCCCTCAAGAGCCCACCAAGCGCAACCCCATTGAGATGCAGCCCGACTTTTGCTGCCCCTGCGGTGGTTTTCTCGGCTGGAAGCAGATCCGGCTGGGTGGCAAGAGTCTGAGTCGGAGCTACAGCGATCTCCGCAGCCTGGGGAACTTGCACGCCCGTGGTTGGGCCTGGGATACACCCGATGTCACTCCGCCTAGCAAGCCATTGCCGGTGGAAGAGCAGAAACTACAGGTGCCGGAAGTGAAGGAGGTGGAAGTGGAGCAGAAGCCGCCTGCAGGCACATCGGCTCTGGAAAGGCTTCCCCCGGAGGTTCTTGGTAAGTGCTGGATCTTCACATGGATATCAGGCCGCTAATTGGTACAGACCATCTTATTTCCATGTTGGCATTGGACGTGCCCCCCAATGGATATACCCCCCGTAACGTGGATTTGATCTCGTGCCTGCTTACCTCGAAGACATTGCACGCCGCCACCCTCAGTGTGTTGTACCGGAACATGACATTCCCCCACTCCATCATCTTTTCTAAAGCTCTCAATCATATCTCTCGCTATCCGGCTCTGGGCACGCTGGTTCGCCGCCTTGACTTTTCGCACTTTACGTCGGTTGGACTGGGTCGCACCAAGCAGATGAACGCTGAGATCCAGAACCTCACCTCCAAGACGCTCCTCCAGTGTCTGGAACTGCTGCCCAACCTCAAGGAATGCTTGTTGCAGGAACATGTCGAGGGCGATATCAGCTTGGATGTGCTTCGGAAGCTGTTCACCGGTCTCCCGAACCTGTCAGCCGTCGATTTCTGCGGCTGCTCCTCTCAATCCTTCTCCACCCTCTTCTTGGAGGCCTTGATTTCCGGTCCTGGTCTCCCCATGACCCTGCCGAACTTGCGACGGGTTTCCCTGCATGAATGCAGCAGTCTTCCCGCGGCTGCTTTTGAGATTCTCCTGCCGCGCCTGGTCAATCTCACTCACCTCGATGTCACCCACACCCAGATCAGCGAGGAGGCGCTGTTCTCTATCCCCGAGACCGCCAAGATCACTCATCTCAGCATCTCCCGCTGCTCCCGTCTGCGGGGCTCTCGAGTCGTCGAGTTTCTGTCCACCCACCCAGCCGTCTGCGACTCGCTGGTGTTCCTGAACGTGCTGACCGACCCCACCCGGTCCCGGCTCCTGGAGGAGGAGGATGTGCAGGCACTCCTTCCTCGGTTGCCTTCTACCCTTCGTTCGCTCAACCTCGGAGGGGCCAAGGTGACCTCCGCCCATACCCAGGCCTTGTTACCCTTGACGAAGCATCTGGAAGAGCTGGGTTTGAGCTCATGCGAGCTCAATGGCCAGGATCTCAACACCTTCTTTGTGCCGCCTAAGCCGGTGGAGGGAGAGCCGATCACCCCCTGGGTTCCATCCACGCTGTGCTACCTGGATTTGAACAAGGCCAACCAGCTGACGATCGGCACCATTTTCAACCCTAACGCGTGCGTCATTCTCTCGCCGCAGAGCTACCCGCTGCAGGTCATCGAGTTCAGCGACAAGCTTATCGCTCCTCTGCGCGAGCGGGCGCGCAACACGCGCACCTCGCCGGACTGGACGGTGCGTGAGCTGGGCCGTCGGGGATGGTACGTGCGGGACCCGGCCTCCATGCCGGAAGTCATGCTCGACGACGGTGCGCGTTCCTGGAAGATGGGCGCCCGTTGGTGGGGCATGCGGAAGATTCCCGTGGCCGTGGGCGACGTAGGCGGGCTCTACGGGCACTACATGTTCAAGAAATGATCATGTATTTGATTTATACCCTTGCTTATCTTCTTGTTGTTTTATTACTGTGTATGGCGCATTTGGCCGGCGTTAAATGATTTGGGCCACTGCAACGGAACGCGCCAAAAGTGTGGTTCTGACGACATGATTGTTTTGTTCTGCATAGCGGGAGCGAGTTTCAGCGTTGGGAGAGCTTGACGGACTGATTGGCTTGGCTTGCTGCTGCGCTTATGATACCTTGCTGTTGGTCGGGTTATGGTTTGCGGGAATTACTTAGCAAATTGATAGTTATAGAATCTCATCTTACTATGAAATCTACCATCGTACACAGTAGTATGGAGATATAAGTAGGGAATAAACCAGCACACTAAGCCAACAACAAGAAGAACAAGGTGCTTTAATTTTAAAAAGCAACCTTCACTACCTAGCTAGAACTATCAACTAAGTAAGCGTCGCAACCAACCTCTCCCCCAATCCGCGAATACTCTCCTCAAACTCCCACGTACTCCCAGCCTTCCAATTCGCCCTCCCCCCAGGAACCGCCTCCTTCCCAACGAACCCAATATACAGGACATCATCCCCAACATGCCCATTATCCCCACTCATCCCATCACCAGGGAAACACAGCTTAGCCAACGCAATCGACGCCTCTCCCGTCCAACTCCCCCCAGCCGTATCGCCCCAGATACCATAAAACTAGATGAACCCTTCTCATCAGCAACCCGTCTCCCCCACCCCCATACACACTAAAATAAAACATCTCCTCCGGAGGGGACCGACCACTCACAAGCTGATTCCCACAAACAACCACCATAACACTCAACGGCCACATGCCATCCCTCTGGGGATCATAATCCGTATTCCCGAAGACCACATACGGATGTATATTGGCGTCCAGATCGGGAATCCCGTACTGAGATGATACAAGATCTTTGAAACTCGTTTGGTCTTGGATGGACTCGTCGTAGCCGCAGTTCCCGCCGTGAGAGTTCGCCCCGTCGCAGTCTATGTCCATGTTGTCGTAGCGGCCGCCGAGCGTGGGGCTGTGCAGGAAGATGGATTTGTTGCTTAGGTCGCTGCAGTAGGTGAATGTGCTGTCGGTGGGGTTTTGGCCGTCGTGGAAGCCGGTGGCGAGGGGGTGGAGGCACGGTTTGGACTGTTTTGTTGTTTTGATTTAGTGGATTGGGGGGTTAGGGGAGGGAGTAGGGAAGGGGGGGTATTAGGGCAGACCTTGTGTTTGTTGTAGAGGGCGGATAGGTTGGGGGGGATGGAGTAGGCGGTTGCTAGAAGGGTGGTGATGGTGGTGGTGGTGGATAGGAGGAGGGTGGTTAGGAGGTGCATTGTGGTGGTTATGGGGTTAGTATTGGTGTTGGGTGGTTAGGTGAAGATATGTTTTAGGTAGGTAGGTAGGTAGGAGTATGGATAGTTGTGTGGTGTTTGGCTTGTTGTTTAGAGCCCTAAAGATGCCGTCATTAGGTGTATATGACTCGAAGCGAAAGTCAATATCTGTAGATACTGATTTCTACAAGTGGTGTGTCTTATATGGAGATGAGGATGAATATTGGAGATGCTTTGAGGTGAACTACAATAATAGGGTCTTTACACATAGGCAATGAAGGTTGTAGATAGTCTATAGATATTCTATCTTACAATGTGCTGGATGAGAGGTTGCATGATAGTCCGATACTGGTAAGAAGCAATTTCTACCACAGGAAAAGTATCTCCGGTCCAGGATGTAGGGTTTCACAAAGTGACCCCATAATTGACAGAATTGATTTGGTGGGGTTGCGGAGTTGATATCCGACGAGGGGAGCGAATGGTGTAACTCTAATGAGTGAATATGTCTTTATTTTTGCAACCATGTGTACTACAAAATTGAGATAAACATACCCCGTCTGCATATGTAGCCTGTCAACATGATATTTAGATTGTAGTACAACTATATGCAGTTGACCTTAAGCGATGGAACCATCATAGTACCGAGAGACCTATGAATAGATATTTGCACACACACACAGGGCATTAAGGCATTTTCATGATAAGAATAATTCTGCGACAAGCCACAGTGGCAACACAACATATCTAATGTGCAAGCACAATGGCCCTTGTCAGGGGCGGAGAGAAAACCCGCGTTATCAGCATAATCGTGATTCCCAGTCCAGGCACCGCTGCATGTCTGGGGCATCACGTTCTGATTGGGTGGCTCGTGTTGAGGTGGAGGGTGGGGTTAATAGCAAGTGGGGCAATCTGGCCATGAGTGAGAATGACTCATGCTCGATGGCCCCATCTGTATTCACTTGGCGGGTGCAGTTTAGTTGCCTCTCTGCTGTGCTCATTCTGCATCATCTCGACTCACAGAGACTCATGATAGACCATGCTGAACTCATGCTGGACTCATCATGGTGGACTCTGACGATAACTTGAGTCGAGCCAGAGCAGCAGATAGATGTAAAAGAGATATATATCTACGTAGGAAAGCGAGCATATATCAATTGAATGGACTTGTTGAACCCATCTTCATCTTCTTATCTGTCAATTCCCTCCAATACGCCACCTAATCATCCTGCATGCCACTTTCCTCCGGTCCGTAAGCACCAGCCCCATTCTGGATAGTTTAGCACTACCGCACGATGAAGACAACCCCCGATCGCTGACATGCTCCGCATGCTGAGGCGCTTGGAAAGATGAAAATGGAAGAACCTTTCCAGGCTTGCGGGCCGACATCATCTGAGTCGCTCGCTCGTGTTCATAGTGTCTTTTCCATCTCCACTTGGATACAGCTAACCCGAGATTTTACTAGACAACGTTTTGTTCTTCACAGGTGTTAGAATGAAGAAGATGGCTCAGAATGACGAGGGTACATAGATGGAATACTGCGCTGGTTGTCTTTGTTTGAATGTACATACTACACCATACATCTTTCCATAATCATTGCAGAGTATACTATCTATTGTTCTCTGAAGACATGAATAAAAGCCACCCAACTAGCACGCGCCCAAAACGCACCCGCCCCACCCGCCGCACTAAACCCAAAACGAAGCCCGCCTCCTCAATCCGCAGCGGCCTTATAAACCGGGCCTCACCCCGACCAACTTCATCTTCTCCTCCCCCTTCTCATCCTCCATCGCCTCGGCGAAAGCGTCCCCTTCTTCCCTCTCTTCGCACCGGCTCTCCCGGGTCCAAGGACCCGGCCCTAAGTATAGAAGAATGGCTGTCACTGCAATTACCGACATGCCTGTCGCCCGCCAGACCTTCGCGTTCATCTGCGCAGAACGAGACCTCTCCGCCGCCGCCGTATAATAGTTCCCATTTCTACCAGGACCTCTCCCAATACCCAGATTCATTCTACCTTCCTCCCGAATTTCATAATAATCCTACTTTCGACTTCTCGTCAGCGGCCTTTCCTCCCGTTGACACTACTTCCTTGTTCTATGACGACTCCCCGCCGGATACTTCTCTCACTGCCGGGTCCAATTCAACTATCAACACAGCCTTGTCCAGTCTGAGCGATAGTAGCTATCAAGATCAGATCATTGGCTATCCGGATCCGACTACTCAACATACTTCTTGCGCGACGAGACTTCACCCTCATCCTCACTCTCTTGTGCCTGTTACCGCTGCTGGACCTGATCTCGACCCGATTGATTCCTTGCTTAGTTCTCCGGAGTTGAGCGAGGAGTTGAACCTGTTGGCTTCGCCTGGTGTGAATTCTCTTCCTGGTAGGATGCTCCCATAATCCCCTCTCTTCAAAATACCATCAGAGATACGGTGTGACTAACGAAGTGATGAAGAACCTGAATTAGAATACCCACCCATGCCAGCTGTCAGCTCAACTACATCCTCTCGAGCCGCCGCTCCTCCGAAAGAAGCCCCGAACCGAGTCAAGAAACGGGAGCTGAATACCCTTGCTGCGCGACGGTATCGTCAGCGACGCGTGGATCGGATGAATCAGTTGGAGGAGGAGCTTGAGGCGATTAAGCGCGAGCGGGACGAGTTGAAGATGCGGGTTTCCAAGTTGGAGGGGGAGACGGAGGCGTTGCGAAGTATGGTGAGGAGTCAGAAGTAATAATACAGATACCAGTTCATATTCCTCCTTTCTTGTATAACAACAGCGTAGCCAATATTCGTAACCCATCTCCCAATCCCTACTTACTAAATACTAAACACTCTCGAATAAATCAAATCCACCCCTCCACCAACGTCTCCTGTGACGCTCTCCTTCCTTCCCTCCCCTTCTCACCACCACCATCACCCTTACTCCTACTACGATTCCCATAAACCAACCCCCACCCTACCCCCCTCGCCCCACCAACCCCAACAAGCCTGACCCCAATCTTCCCCGTTTCCAACCCCTTCCACCCCACATCCGCCGCCCTCTCCGCGATTCCTCTCCCCCCATTCGCACCTCCCAGCACCAACATCCTCGCATCCAAATAATCAAACCCAGGCAGGGCCTTCCACGCACCTGTCCGTCCCATCTCGAACCCAACCCCCAGCACCACAAGTACATTAACCACAAATACCGCGACAATATACACCCTCGAACCCAGACGCAACGCATCAATCGTAACCGTTGCCGTCGCGGGGCGAGAGAAATTCCCCACTATGAGCTGCGCAGAGGCATACGCGGCAAGAATGTCGTCGATGAGGGAGATATAGGTGTTTTGAATGGCTGTCAGGGTTGTTGTTTCATTGTCAGTGGAGTTTGATGTTGTGGTGGTGGTGAAGTTCGAGGAAATGGTGGCGGTGGTGTTGGTGTTTGTGGCGTGATCCGCGATGGAGGTGTTGAATGCGTCGCCGAGCGTGGAGCGGTAGAAGGAGGTGAGGTCGTTGGAGATGAGTTCGAGCTGGCGCATGGCGACGTGGATGGTTTTGTTGGTGGGGTCGATGTCTATGTCGGTGTCTTCTTCTGGATAAGAGGTGGTGTTGTTCAGCGGTACCACATCCACCACTTTCTCCTGAATACCCACGTTCACGATGAACCAGCTTGGTACGAAGCTGATTAGGCATTGACTCGCGTTCAACGACGCATAGTAACTCCCCGCTGCCGCTGCGACGTACCTCTCCTTTGTGTATGCCGCTGGCTGGCTGGCTACGCCCAGGGCTACGATCGTGTCTGTCGACCACCCCGTGTAGGTGGAGTACTCGCCCGAGGAGACGTTACTGTCCGGTAGCGGGCCTTTGGCAACATATAGGGCTGTGTCGTAGGTATCTTCCAGGAGGAAGAGAGAGGAGGAGTTATATAGACAGGAGACGTGGGCGAGATAGCCGCGTTCGTGGTAGGTGTAGTTGGCTGCGTATGGGTAAAACGAAATGACATTTTCGTCAGCGAGACCGACAGGACTGCCGACGCCATAGGAGCGGCCGGAGTACGAGTAGCCTGTAGAGTCGAGTTTGGCGTGGGAGCGGGCGCGGAGGGAACCGGTGAGTGGGGAGGCGGTGGAGGCGGAGGAGACGAGGGAAGTGAGGAGGCCGACGCCGACGGAGTAGGTGAAGTAGCCGAGGGAGGTGCGGAGGGAGGGACCGGTGGTGTCGATCTGGGAGGGATATTCTTTGATGAAGGAACGGTTGGCGTAGGAGGGGATGAGGATGGTGGTATTGGCGGTGGTTGTGGTGGAGGTTGGGGTGAGGGCGCCGGTCCAGAGGGCGGAGAGGACAGCGGAAAGGTTGGCGAGGAGGAGAGTGAGGAGAATCTGGGGTAGAGGAAGGGTGAAGTTGGTAGTTGGGGTGGAGAGGGCGGACCAGAGGGCGAGGTCGTTGAGGGTCGTGTGGTGGGTGGAGTGTTTGAAAAAGATGCGAGTGGCGTGGTTGATGAGGCGGCAGATGCTGTATATTTGAATAGCGCCGAGGAGAGTGGCTAGGACCTGAAGGGCCGTTTGCACGGTCGTGCGGTAGCGGTTGATGAAGGTGTAGAGGTCGCCCGTAAGGGTCCAGTGCTGAGAGTCGCTGAGCAGGAGGGTGATGCTGAGGGCAGTGGGGAGAGTAAGGAGGAGGTAGATGAGATGGGAAGTCCAGGGGACTGCCCGGGTGTTAGCTTTGGACATTACCACTCATGTAATTGAGAGGATGAGCTTGGGATGGAATGAAGGTATAAGTATCTCTGGATTCTTTATCTGCATAGCGCTCGGACTACGACCAGGATGGATGGCGGTTAGGGCAGGCACCGCATTGGAGCAATAGTACCCTAAGGCTGAGGTGCATTGGGGTGTTTCAGCTGGAGAAACGTGGCCGGGAGACAATGCCAGAATAGCCGCCGGCACGCATGAATAATCTATTAGTCTGTATATGTGCTGTTCTATCCCTTCTACCCTTTTCGCGCCTAGAATAAACACCCCGGCATCGCATTCGGCTCGAATCCATTGCCCAACCAGAGATGATTGCCCTCCATTTCGGTCCAACCGACATCATTCCCCGCCAATGAGCCAATGACTGTCACGTCCGCTGGGGGAAATGTATACATTGACAGATCGGGATTCTCCCCAACCTGAGCAGATGCCCAGTTACTACTCAGTCAGCATAGTCTGACAACAAGAGGGGGAAACATACTCTAACCACGGGAACGCATCCATCAAGACCTGATTAGTGTCCACCACCGGATCTGCCGCTTGCACCGCTTGCTTGGCCACTCTCATCAGGTCCAGGCTCAACGCCTTGCCCGACGTGTACCCCGTATGCTCTATCTCATCGAGGCACTTTATCGCCTTTTCCACGACTGTGAATGTCTGCCTAGCTCGGTCTGGATCAGTTCCTAGATTGAGCACATCATATAAGAGAGTCAGTGACGCAGACAGAAGGAACGAAGCTAGAGCTCCGTCATAGCGTATATCTGGGAAACGACGGAAATAGACGTCATGAGCGAGGTGGATCAAATTCCGCGCTGCGGAAGTCGATGAATTGATGAAAGATTGGAGCTCAGTGCAGCCAGTGGCGATCTGGGCTTCTTGTACCGAGGAGAAAAATGTGGTAAGCACCAGTGCCGGGCGGGAGAGGAGCATCCGGACGACGTAGTAGCAGAATCCAAGACTCAGGCGTTGGATCTCCTGCCAGGGCTCGCCAATTGGAACGCTGTCATCGAAGAAGTGCAGGTAACTTGGTAGTGTCGGGGTGACAGCTTGGAGGGCGTGGTCGCATTCAACGCTGATTTGGTTGAGCTTGTCCAGGTCCGTAGGGTTTTTAATGCTGGCCGGCGAATATATCTCGATAGAGATGCGATCCGCCAGCTTGGCGATCTCGCCCATGGCTCGGATGAATGCGCATTCTTGCATGGGCGCACAAGTGCTGTCATAGGGATTCGGCGGCAGGTCCTCGGGATAGGCTGTGTCAATTTGTCGGTCAGAAAGGCTCGACGGACGGCCCATGTACAGAGAAGATATGCGCTCGCAAAAGAACGTCGTCCAAAAGGTCAAACGCAGCCGGTGTACGGTGGGATCGCGGCCATCGGTGACCTGAGCCCGGTGCAAACCTAGTACGAGACAGGTGCGAGTGGCGTGACCCAGGTAAAGATAAGCATCGTTTTGTCGCATCAGCTGCAAAGCGTACATAGACTTTTATTGGATTAGCGAGTTTCAATTGGCAGATGTCGGTGACGCACCTTCAGCAGCATCAAGTGTACACCTCTGATACTCGGTTCCTGCAGAAAGATGGGCCCCTCAGATACTCGACTGGAAAAGTAATCGGCCCAAGCCGCGACACTGCTTTCGGGTTGCTTCCCCTTCAGGTTGGCGACCCGAGCGCCGATAGCCAGCACCATGAATAGGATGTCCTGATTTTTAACGCTGTGGTCGCGTACAGGAGACTCCCACATTTGGTTCCAAGCATCGTCAATCTCGGACTTTATGAGGATGGGTATCTGTGGGTGCATAATGCGGAAATAGGCCTCAATGAACTGATCCCCCAACTCCCTGGGGAGGAACATCTGAGATGGAAAATGAGTCCGCCGCGGATCCGAATCTCCTGGCCGGGCAAACATGAAGCGCTCCAGACCAAATCGGTGGATAGCATCTGGAATGGAGCAGCTCCGTCGAGCAAGCAGCGGCTCACTAGACGAGCCTTGCTTGATGCGTTGGTAGACCCGGTGGATGAAGCAGAAGCCGGAAGAGGGTCCTTCGAGGGTTAACAGAGCCAGCCAAACGTAGGGAACTGAATGTACCATAGAACTGAAATGCCCCGGTCTCCGGGTTCTGTACGCCGATGCCAGCACGGAGCTCATGGTGTCGCTTATACTGCGCCGGGCCATCGCTTAAACTGGTGTGGGACCAGTCGCTTGGAGTAGTCGGCGAGTCGGTGGTCGGGAGAGGGAGTAAGGTAGCTGGTGGTCGCGGGGCTTCCTTGGTGCGACGGTTCTTCCTCTGGCGAATGCTTCCTGTCCGGTAGAGACATCGCTCTGGATGGCGCGCGCAGGCATTGCACGGCTGCTGGCCATTGCATTTGATCTTGCGGGCCCGGCAGTGTTCACAGGCCCGAGGGACCCGCTCGCGGGGAGGAGGCGTCATTCCCGCTGGCGGAGCCGTGGACGGGGAGTCAGTCGGGCTGGGTTGGGCAGAGACGAAGTTGGCAACCCGACGAATGTCATTGGGCCGGGCCGACATCAATAGCAGTGAGGTGAAGAAGAATGAAACAGAGGTAGATAGTTGACTGTTGGAGAACATGGATCGGCTGGAGAGAAGCTAAAACTACTGAACGGATCCATTTCGGGACCGGCGCTGGTTAGCGAGTCCCGATCTCGAATCACATCGCAGCAAGCCAGCCTTAGCATCGTGGATTATTAATGACCTCGATTAATAATACAATGCTTAGCTGTCATCCCTTCAGTGAAGAAGCGGAGATAAGAAGGACATCGTCCGGCACAGAAGCTGTGACGTGATAATCTGCAGTCATGTAACATTTATTAACCCCTCTGCCACCTCGTTTGTCTTTGTCTTTGTCTGTAACTCTCACCTGTTTTCCAGTAACTCGCCCCATACCAGTACACTCATCTCATCATGCCCAAAGCCCTGGTAATCACTGCGCCCGGTAGTCGCGACGTGGTGGATCGCCCTATCCCCACTCTGCCCGACGACTGTCTTCTGGTCAAGACAGTTAGTGTCGCTCTCAACCCTACCGACTGGAAGAGCGCCGACCGGAAACCTCCTGGACAAGTCATTGGGAATGATTACTCCGGTGTTGTCGAAGAGGTCGGCAAGGGCGTCAAGAAAGCCTTCCGCAAGGGCGACCGTGTTTGCGGTTGGGTCCAAGGATGCAATTCTAACAATCCGGAAAGTGGAGCCTTTGCTGAATACTGCATCCCCAAAGCTGATCTTCAGATCGCTATCCCCGACCGTCTCAGCTTTGAGGAGGCTTCAACCCTCGGCTTGGGGACAATCACGGTGGGCCAGGGCCTGTATCAGAGTCTGAAGCTCGCACCACCAGATGCCCCACTGGCCCAGCCTGAGTTGGTTCTCATCTACGGTGGCTCCACAGCCACCGGTACTCTGGCCATCCAGTTTGCCAAGTTGTCGGGGTACACTGTGTTGACAACTTGTTCGGCGCAAAACTTTGATCTCGTGAAGAGTCTTGGTGCAGACGCAGTGTTCGACTATAAAGATGCGAATGCAGTCCAAGCCGTCAAGGATTACGCTCAGGATAAGCTGTCGCTAGTCTTTGACACTGTTGCTGTTGAGTCTAGCGCTAAGTTCTGTGGCGAAGTGATCTCTAGCAAGGGCGGCGATTATTCTGCCCTGCTGAAGGTGGCCGTTCCCCGAGACGATGTCCGTAGTCTTTTCACCATTGGATACACTGCCTTTGGTGAAGACTTTGATTTTGGCGGTGGTATAATCCCAGCCAAGCCGGAGGATCGAGAGTTTGCGGGACAGTTTATGAGCAAGGCAGCCACTTTCCTTGCAGAGGGAAAGGTCAAGCCTCATCCTGTCAAGCTGGGGCCACGGGGACTCCAAGGGGTGGTAGAGGGTCTGCAGGATATGAAAGATGGCAAGGTCAGCGGACAGAAGTTGGTGTATAACGTGGCCGACACCCCATAATTCTCTGGGCCCGGATATATTGGGAGGCCACGGACAATAGTGGAGACAACCATGTACCTGGGTCGCACTCAAAGGAGCCATTTATAAACCGTCCAGCAGTATATATCCCACAATGAAACAAGTATGAAATGACACATACAATTATGTATCTCATTCTTGACCGTCGTAGTTGGATGCGAATAGGGGGTGAGGGAGAAGATGGACATGATGAAGATGGAGATGATGAAGAGGGAGGAGAGGTGAGGTGCGGTCATACAAACAAGGCAGTCAGGTGATACCCTTGTGACCGTCAGACACCCTTAGAGCAAGCCAAATACTACTATTCAGTGTATGTAGCTGTAAATATCTGTTGTATCTGTCTTTGGACCATTCAAGTACGGCACGAGCCACCTACATCAGGACACTATGAGGAGGTTTAGTTGACGATTTGATCGTATAAATGCAAAAGAGTATGTTCTATGCTAGATACAAAGAAATATCTTAGTGGAATACGGATATCAATACCCATTCTGCGCAAAATAAACATGCTACTTCAGTTTTCCGCACAAGTGATTCTGCTAGAATAGCCAGAGCCTGTCACTAGTATACAGCTGGTATTTAGTTGAGTTTATCTTGAGGCTATCTTCTATAGTACCTCTATATATAGAGTGATCATCCATTAGTCTACCCCTAATTCCTAAAACCCATTACTTGCATAATCTCATACGTCGATAGTCCAACCAGAACACAAAACAAACTTGAAACAAAACCATCTCATTCAGCAACCGGCACCCTCCTATCCCTCCGCATAACAACCCACTCCTGTGACCCTGTGCTCCCATACTCCGTAAAGTCCAACCTCGCCACCTGCAAATCCCGCCACCCATGCTTCCAATAAAGCGGATACCCATCCTCGGTGGCCTCTAAATACACTCTAGCATTCATCGCATCAGCACGCTCAATGCCCCATTGCAGCAAAGCCGTTCCGACACCCTTGCCTTGAGCTTCCGGCAAGGTAGCGAGGAATTCCAGCACTACTGTAGTCAGTACATACATACAGCAAATCTTCCAAGTACTAGAATGAGAAAAATATAAGAGCAGGTATAAACATACTGATATCCCCCTCCTCAAAATGTAACCGGTGCATCTCAGCCAAAAGGTCCTTAAATGCTTGATAGATTCCCATGTTGATACCCTCAGGGTACGCTTTCCCGTCTTCATGAGCCGCTAGTGCATCTACGCCCTCGGAGGACAAATCGACAACGCTCGTTTCGTAATCCTTCGGAAACAGCCATCGAGAATATCCGATGATTTTGCCCGAGTCATCATCGACCGCTGCCACGACATGCACTTGCGGCGACCTGAGCTTATCTAGACAACGGGCTGTTTTGAGGGGCAAAGTTCCGGGCACGGCGACGTTTGGGAAGAGCGCGGCCCAGAATGCCTGGTGATTGAAGCTGACTACATTGATGTTGGCAAGGTGGGGAGCGTCTTGCTCGGTGGCGTAGCGGATTGTGAAGGTCATTTTGAAGGATTTTTATTTGATTAGGATGAGTCCTGTATGGGGTTTAATTAGTCGGGTGAGAAATGAGGCTACTTATACGACTAGGGTGTCCTTTGCTTACATTGGGAGAGTGGAGAACAGGAGGATTGCCGACGTGAGTCAGTGTGGGTGCGGATGAGTCTTCGTGGCTAATTATTGGTGAGATTCGGAGATAATGCCGTCGGCAAGTAGGGCATGGCTTGTGGGGCAGGCGTTCAGGCCCAAAATTATTATTTGTTAACAACGCCGAAATTTGGCTGTGTTTCGGCAGCTTGGTTATTTGAAGTAGGCCCATTGTGCAATTATGCACTTGAAGCCCCTGTTTCTTCACAATCCCATCGAAACAATGTTGCAAAGTTCGTATATTAGGAACCCTAATTGTTTGTTAATGGTATCATGAGGTTGGCCGTGATTCACCTTCCTTTCTGACTCCATTGCTTATCACAACCATGACTTCCACAGTCATGATGAACATCAATCAGTTGTTTCGGCTGCATTACTCTGACTTCTTTAGGGAAGCTGTTTGCCTTGTAATATAGGGACCTGTCAATTCCTTCCTATCATGGTACGTTTTATCTATGGCATGTAGCAACCAAACTCAACCCCAAAAAAGCAGCGTTCTTCCTCCAAAAACCAAAACTTCCACAATACCGTATGTTGAATACGACGAAGAGGATAAAGTACAGCGTCCACATCTATATCGCACCTCCATTCAGGAGTCAAGATACCAATCCACAGCCAAATCTCTAGCAGTAGTCGCTGCGGTCAGTGCCGCCATCTTTGCAGCCACCATCGCAAAAGGTGGTGAAGGAGATATCACCATTGCCGCCACCGTTGCAGTGAAAGAGGGATTCACGAATATGGGCATCGTCGGTGGGCTGGCCGGCAGCTTCGAGGGCGCCATTGACCTGGGCTCCGTATTTGCCTATGGAGAGGGTCTCATTAGGGACTTTGAGGCTGGACGAAGTAGGCAAGCTCACATACCAATGCTCAAGAGGTTCCAACCACAGTAGTTCAGGCCAGTCTTGCAGTTCCTTGCGGCGGCAAAGGGGGCCATTGCAGCAAGAAGAGCGAGGGGGAAAAGGGCGGTCTTGACCATGATGACGATGATATATGAGTACGGAAAAAAGCTTGTATAATCGAGATCAGAATGAGATACTGGTTATTGAAAAATGAGATGAAAACTCAGAACAGAGGTAGACTTGTCCTCGTTCTTATACCCCAAGGCTCTTCGACTTCATTCCTAATGAAATGATATATATCCATATTGATGGAGTAATGAAGACATCAAGGGCGATCGATACATTGTAGCACGCCTAATTGGACGCCTGATGCTCTTCCCAAGCGCCTATTAGATATGTTTAAAGGGGTAAACATTTGTTATTCCGTCAGGCCATCATGCAGGGTCCACTTGACATACGAGGCTTATTTCTTTTTTATGTAGTATAATCTACTGAGGCATTCAGTGTATTCAGACGCATGATGGAGAGGGCTTCCCATGTTTGTTAGCCTTACACTATATGGGAAGATGGCCCAAGCAATTAGTATACAATCTTTTCTCTTCCAGAATTCTCGTGAACGAGAATTATTAATCCTTAGAGAGTCAAGTTGGTAACTGTGATTCTGGTACCACTTAGCAGTTACAACAGCCCCAATGCACTAAAGTCAGGGACCTGCCTGGTTTCTGCAATCGGCGATCCCAGCCCTATAAGTTTCGTATCATTGACAAATCATCCACAAGCACCAATGATGCTATTGCTTACGTGCTACCATCTGCAACTAAAACCGCCCCTATGCAGGGTTCATCCGTTGGTGGAATCAGGCCTCCCATTGTTGCTTACCAAGTTACCGTCTGCAGTAACTGGCCCTGAACACGACCATTCCGCCTGGGCGACTGAGAGAGACGATATTTTTATCAACAAACTGTCAGGGCAGTTTGTCAAAGAAATGGGGGTGACTCCACCATTGATTATCGCAGGGCCGAAACTATCTGCAAGGCAACCTGTTACGACAGGCTGTTGCAGCAAGGCGCCTTGGGCAAACAGCACTTGTTTCGTCAGGCTCCTACGGCGGTGATCAGAAGGAAACAATTCTCAAGCTAGCATCAAATCAGCATTCTGGAGAGAGAGAAACTACCGCGGGCCGGTGTTGAAAAGGATGATCTGCATCATGCGATTCCACTTCTGGTGATTAGACAGGCATGGTTTCTTGACTTTCTCGGGGAAATGCGCTAGTAATTTCCTGTAAGATCAAGTCAGGACTCCTTGATGGATCAATTTCAGTTTTGGTGAGTATGTTCTGGTGCTATATATTAGTCGGAACTAGTGGAGCTCCTATTATGAGTGCCGCTAGTCATGATACCCATCCCTACTTTTGTTGGCAGCTTAGACAGCAGTAACGTCTGGGTTCAGCTCATGATTGAGTGGCGGTGACGTATCATAGAGTGTGTTGGCTATTGTTTCCACCATCCTTTCTCGGGAGGTAATTCAGCCGATATTCGACCACCCCAACTCTAATCGAAATACATAAAAATGTCGGATTACATGATCCTATTAACCTCGCCTACCCATGCCATCAATGTTTATCCATGTCCACTGAGCCTCGTTTTCAAAGGAAGACTGGATCAAATATATCAGCTTGGGCAGACAACGGCAAGCCCATTCGCTATTCTACACTCGCTCACGAACTACCACCCCAATTTGAGACACGATGACAGCTGTTCTTCCTATCTCGCTGCTAACATTAGTAGTTGATGTGGTACTTGCCAAGGTTTAAGCTCGACTTGGCAGAGAAGCGCACAATAAATGATAAGGGCCGGTAAGACCCGGTGGAATGTAAGAGACGTGACGAGGGGCGGGAAATAACATTACGGTTAGAGGTGACAAAGGAATACATACTCATAGGATCCCAAATCACTGTGCCAACTGTAGATAAATGAGTCATATGACATAGCTATGTCTTTTTGTTTGGTAGTATATAGGTCATAATGGTACGTCTTTGTGTTTGTGTACGGGCCGTTCCCAAGATATACCCAAAGGTATGCGCTGCGTACGACACGAGATATAAGCTGTTGGTAGTATTTGACCATCTGACTAAAGTCCAGCTCTTCTCATAAGGCCAAGATCCAAAGACCAATAGGGGACATCCTCCCAAACGAAGGCTTCTTCCACACATTATAGACTCATGAACGCCCACCAAACTGATAGCAGAATATATAGCCAGCTACAATCCCATTCAGCCCCAGAAACTGATGTAACACAGCAGCAAAATGATGCATTAGACCAATTACACCCACCCTTCTCGATCTACTAACCCTGCCATTAAATAAATCAACCCAACGACAACAAAATGACAGTGTTTCTTCTAAGAACAGCCCTAAAGGCAATATTCTCCGAAGAATATGTCTTCACCCCCGGCCAACCTGGCTATGAGACCCTCAACAACTCCTACAGTTCAGCCACAGAAAGCGATTTCAAACCAGCATGTGTCTTTTGTCCACGAGATACCACGGACGTGTCGCGCTTCCTGAGCATCGTCAAGCCCTTCACTGATCGGGAGGAAATCAGGTTCGCCGTCCGGAGTGGAGGTCAACAGACAACACATGCATGTGCGAATCTCGACAACGGGATCACGGTCGATCTGAATCTGCTCCGGGGAATTGAGCTTCAGGATGGAATTGTAAGGATCTGGGCTGGGGAGCGATGGGGGCGTGTATACGATTTCTTAGCGAGTCAGGGGTTAGCGGTAACGGGACCGCTTTCGCCGGAGAGTGGGATCGGGGGTGTTGTGTTAGGTGGTATGTCTTCCTTCCCTCTCTCTTTCTTTCTATCTTTTAATCACGATGATAATGACTGACTCCAACCAGGCGGACTATCCCTCTTCTCTTCCCGCGAAGGCTTCGTCTGCGACAATGTGCTCAACTTCGAAGTCGTGCTCGCAAACGGGGAGATTGTGAATGCCAACCCGAAAACCAATTCCGATCTCTGGGAGGCTTTGCGCGGCGGAGGCAACAATTTCGGAATCGTCACTCGATACGATATGCGGACATTCCCTCAAGGCTCCCTATTCGGAGGGAGCCTGTGGTATGAGTGCTTCGGGTTCCCACACCAGATTGAGGAGCTGGTGAAGGTGCTGCAGACGTCGCAGCATATGAGCGATATGTATCTGCGAGCGACCATAGTGTATCAACGCAAATGGGGGTATTTGTGTGAGAATAAGTTGTATTATACACGTGCCGAGGCAGTTCCAAAAGCCTTCCGACCGTTCATGGAGATGTCATATGAGGTGCAGGACTATCGGCGCGTGGGGATGGTGTCGGTTACGGAGGCTGTTGCGTCTGTGCAACAGCGTCGGAGTCGGGGTCCTGGTGTGGAGATGGAGAGTTGGAGTCAGAATCCAGATGTGAAGGAGAAGGACCAGAGGCAGACGAGGTGTGCGTATATGAACACAACAGTGAAGGCAGATGAGGACACACTGTTGAGAGCATTTTATGAGTTCTTTGCTGTAGTGGATCCGGTGAGGTTCACGAAGGGACTACGGCTGTCGATGTCGTTTCAGCCGTATCCAGTGTCGTTGATGAGGAAGTCGAAGGAGTTAGGAGGGAATATGCTGGGGTTGCATCGAAGGGATGGGCCGTTGGTAGGGATATTGCTGCTAGCGTATTGGGATAATAAGGAGCAAGATGGAGTGGTATTGGATTCGATGAAGTTGATGCTTGGGAGGGTCGAGGATGAGGCTGTCCGGCGTGGTACGGGGTCTCGTTTTAAACTTATGAACTATTCATCTGACTTTCAAGATCCGATTGGATCTTACGGGCCTCGCAATAAGCAACGGCTTCAGCAGATTAGTCGGAAGTATGATCCGAATGGGATGTTTCAGAGGGCAGTACCTGGGGGTTTCAAGTTGATGGATCATTATTGGGGTGGGGGTGAGCCGTATTGCCAATTGCCTTATCTTGCATGAAGTTGTACGAATTTCCTTTTCTTCAGTATGTTGGAGTGCTCTACTATATATAGTTCTATGCTTCGTGATTTAGCACGAGCCGGCTGTGATCTAATATGCAACTGGTCTGTGATGTTTTGGATATCAGGATGAAACTGGGAATGGTAGTCAACATTAAAACGTCCCGGAAACTGTTACCTCCCGTAAGTGGAAGGGACCTGGGATTTCGGCCAAGGGGTTTTCGCCATCTTAATTCTTGTATGATTAATTCGGCATACCCCGGACTTTTACAAGGAAACACAAGCCCAGGGGGTGAACAATTCAAGTGCCTTCAGATATGTATTTGTGAAGCAATCAATAGCCTCAATTCCTTATGTCTGACTATACTGACCTAAGCGATATATATACAAATCAAGCTTGCCCTTATCCAATTTCCAGCCTTAGTACACAGGCATAGGAACCGCATCCAAGTCATAATGCCAGCTATCAATCGAACGCTGGTTGTACACGCACTCCATGGTGGTTCCGTTGTTGGTCCACAAGGGCCGCAGTGGCCAGGCACAAAGCTGTTGGTTCTGTCCTTCGTTCTCTCCCTGGAGCACGGTCGCATTGAGCGTTGTAGGTACTACTCCATTCTCCACCCAGTCGATCATCACAGCCATGTTCGTCTGTGGGAAGGGGCCGTTGGGCATAGCATCGTTGGTCGCACAATGACCCGCTCCTGGGACAGTGTACAGACGGTACCACTCGTTAAGCGCCTCGGCACTGGAGTTATAGTCTTGATTGGGGTACATGATGCTGCGTACTGATTCCCAATAGCGGATGGATGCGGCGGTGGGAATACTGAAGTCGGCATCACCGTGGAAATGGATGACTTTGCCTCCTGCTTCGTGGAAGGGCGTGAGGTCCGGCCAAGTGGTCTGCAAGGTGCTGTAGTATTCCTGCAGGCCCGAGATCATCCAGTCCTTGAGGGTATCATAGGTGACACCATCCAGGCTGTCTAGTGTAGTGCCGTTCTTGTCTACCAAGAGAGCAATATATTCGCCTCCGAGCTGATCGATATCCAGCCCCCACTGACCTGTCGTGGAGTTGTACTGCGTCTCAGCGTCATCGAAGGCGGCCGTTGGCTGGTAGGAAAAGTAGACCCGGCGACCCTGCGAATCATGCAATCCATTGATGATGGTTTTTGCGACTTCGATACCCTTGGCGGAGACCGTGCCATTCTGTGCAGGGGTACCCCTTGATGCAGCGCACGAGTAGGGCTTACCCTCGATGGTACTAATGTCGAAGTCGAGCAAGCAGAGATCGGTCCGTGCAACCACCCAATCTACCTTTCCGTCCATGGCATCACAGGCAGCGATGGTCTCGTTGACGATCTTGTCCAGCTCACAGGGGGGTGGGTAGTAATCCAGTGTCTTCTCGACGACGTTGGAATAAAGATGCTGCGTCTGTTGGAATGACCATCGGAAAGCTGGAGCGCCAATAATGGCTCCATCCCATTCATCACCGAAGCGCTGCACTTGACTCCAACCTTCACGGCCTCCTTCAGAGCAGCCTTGATAATATGCATACAGCTTATCGCTGTCGCTCATCCCGTATACATTGCGGGTCAAGGCTTTTCCAATCAAACTAAGCTCCCGATGCGCTTTGTATGCAAACATGTAAAGCGTCTCGTAGTCAAGGGTGCCATTTGCCAACAGCATAGCCGTGTCCGCATTGTTTGAAAATCCTCCAAAACCACCATCCGTCATACCTGACGCAGCACCGTACATTACGCCTCCCGGCAGCGACTGGTCTCCGGAGTTAATGGCATAACCTCCTCCACCAGTGGAGAGCCAGCGGTTTTGGAAATCCGTGGGTGCAGGAAGCCAGATTTCCAAAAGGACTTGGTCACCGTCAATGCCATCGTGGGAGTAGGCGAATGTGACATTGCAATAATTGATTGTGGCGCTGGGGTAGAACTCGCTGGAGACACTGCTGTTTGTTACGACTTCTGTCGTCACGGAGTCTGAGTCAATTGTTATGCCTTGGATGAACTCAGATGGTGGTAGAGCTGCCTTCACGATGGAATCAGTGCAAAGCTCTGCCAACGTGGAGGGAGTTGCAGCATTTGCCAATGCCGCAAAGGCTGTGGTGGCTATGGGAGCCCAGGCGGGTGAACGCATCCTGTCAACAAGAGCCAGAAGCTGCCAGCAAAAGATGGAAAGAAAATTGAGAAATGGGTCTGTCTGCTCGATCCACAGAAGGACACAAGCATCCCCTAATTTATATCGCAGATCCCAACACCCAATGAGTCGGGCAGACTCCCTGCCACAGGAGTCGCAAACAAAAAGTCGTCATCGGTCATCCGGATGTGCCGCTGAATTGATTGAGTTTGTGGGGAGATTATGGGGATCGTCTTCCACGATACCGCTTGTAGTGTGAGACTCGACCGGTCCTCTGAGTGCCGATGCCCGGCAGGCTCGATCCCCGCACATTTCCACACTACTGCGGGGGACTGCCGGAGTACATGTCCTCAAAGGGGGTTCAAGACCGAGCAGGAGATGTCTCCCTGCGGGCTATGACCGGTTGCGACCGCACCATGATCTTTTGCAACTATTTCTCATCGAGCGCATTCCCAATACAGGTGTTTGTTGCGTTTGGTATCCAACGCACAGCTTTTGAAGGGTAGACACATATTTACGTTCGGCATATAAGCGGCGACGATTAAATGAACTACCGTCGGTTTTAAGCAGCATTGATGACCAAAGTAATACCTCGGTGTATACTCATGGAGCGAAAATTGGCCGAACAAGCTTTTCTCGGGAGCATTGTTCAGGGTACAATAAGCTGCACGCAGGCCAACCATCATATCGTAAGCTGCCATCCGCCCGCGTCATCCGCTCTCGAGTGATGCGAAGCTTTCGGCAGAAGCTCAGTCATTGGCTCAAAACTAGCTATCAAGGATCGCGTAGTGATGTTTGCGAAGCTCCCCACACCCGAAATGAAGGACCAAGGTCATAGCACCCTTATTTCCGGGGTGCTGTCCTAAACCCACAATACTTGGGGACGTGCCCTTCTTTGGCTGCACCAACGCTATCAGTACCCATTCACCTAGATAGTCAATTAGGTAGTTCGGACTACCCATCGTGCATAACCTATCCCCAGTTTTTCCAACGTGTTTTTGTGGAGACGCGGAGATTGGGAGTTTGTGGGGAAAAGGCGGGGGAAGTTGCTAGGCTTGGACCCCGTCCCTGTTGTGATTCGTAGGGCGGATAAGACGTCTTCCGGAGAGGAGCTCTCAAGGTCTCAACAGCATGCTGTGTTTGGTCTGGGCACAGTATCCATATTGATGAGGGCTATTTGAAATCACCGGTGCCAGATTCATGTCAGTCAATTGGCTGCATGGCCTGGTGCTTCCCCACGGGTCTCATCTCCCATCAATCCATGATCTCGTATAGACTCCACCCCCGAAGTTACAATTTCCTAACCTCCTTTGGCAAAAGTGACAGGTAGCCTTCTGCTACCTAGGGTTGGTCACTTGCAATGTCTAAAGATAGTTGTTTAAACCCCTGGGGTTGTGCAGCTTCTGAATATCATTACCCCCACCCCTCTCTAACCCACGCTTAGTATACTCTTCACGCTGGCGAATAATTGGCCACCATAGAGGTCAACATACTCCCTTTTTGAGACCTTCCTGGACTGCATGGCCACCTGGTCATTGGCTTCGTTCCATCTTACCGAGGGATCTGGAAGAGGGTGCGTGCAAGCATCTGATCCAACCTTGGGTGTGAATCACCACGGTCGAAAGGCAGCCCCAGCTATTACATCAAGATCCCACAACCCGATGCACGTATCGGTAAAACATTGAAGTACGGCGATGGAATAATAACCTTGTCAATTGAACTACCTTTTTTTTCTGCAGGATTTTGTCATTAGCAAAAGCCCGTCGTATGGTATCTCGCCCTTTTGAAGCTTGCTTCTTCCCAGTCGTCTCGTACGTCAAGCCATTTGCCTCCGCAATCAGTCCTACATGTTGTTCGCGTTGCTGAAATAAATTCATCGGGAGTCAAGCGTGAACGAACAGTCCGTATATGCTAGGGATTGGAGGTATATAAGTGGATGCATAATGGAGCCCCTCCGCTATTGCAGTTGACTCAAGTCACTTGATAAGTTGATGCATTCTCCGGAATGAACAGTGATTCTAAAAAATTCATCGAAATATTAGCGCAGTGGACGTGGCAGCTCTGTACTTTATTTGGTCTTCTATCGGCATTGCAGCATCGATGTGGTTTGACTTAGTTTGTCTTGTCCTTAATGAAACAATAGCTATGCTGGCAGTAGTTCTTGAACGAGCCGCTGACGGGTTGAGGGTGCGAAGTTTAGGAGTCAACCTTCACGTGTGGAAATATGACTTACACTAGACTATCAAAGAAGACATTTTTAATACCTCCTGTATCTCTTTGATGATTCAGATACTGTATCGTAAAATATTACGTGATCCAGCAGGGATGAGGTAGCCTTGTCTCTCATCACAACCACTGCTACGGGTTGCCCCGCTTTTCGCACTCTTCAACATCTCGAGACATAAGAAAAGACTTTGTGGCATTTATCAAGGTTTCTAATCTAGGTTGACTTGAACTTCGTTGCTCATCCTAGTATACGTCTTAGTCCATACGAGCCAGCACGCTTCCTTCTCACCAACGCTAACTCACCTGTTACCTAACTCACGCCACGGTCCATTTGGATACTCTGATAATGGAGAGACCCTCCCCTGAAGCCGATGTTATCTGGTGGGACTCGAGTTCGTACTACGTACGATGTCCGTTCTGCGAAGGGGTTCATCGGCATACCGTAAACTGGCAGACCAGTCTGTTTAGAGTATCAGATTGCGAGAAAGGGGAAACTTACCAATCCTGCTTTCCCATTAATGATCAAGGGGAGGTCGCGTATGAGATTGATAAGAAACGTGAGCGATATGTCAATATTTGTGTATCGAACGATAGCGATACTGAGGCCGATGACAATGAGGACGAAGACGACGTTGATCGCCTGGCAACTGAAATGGCTCATAAGGCTACTATCGCAGCAGAGAGGGAAGAACGTCATCTGAGTATCACCAGGGACGCTAAAGAAACTATTATCCACACTATAGATGGTGAAAAATCTTTCGAATATAGACTGATCTATGACGCCATCACAGACTGCTTCAATGGCAAAACAAGAGCGGTGCAGGGATATTTGAAGACGTCTAGTGAGGCTGAGTTGTTTGTTCGGGGACAACACCCCGATGGTAAAACAATGCTTATCTCTGCGGCGTCAGAAAAGACCCCAGAAATGCTGTCACTTCTCATTGAACACGGGGCTGACGTGAATGCCGTTGACAATCACGGAAGGAGTGCTCTCATGGAGGCAGCGCTTTTTGGTCGGGTTGGCAATGTGAAGGTTCTCCTCGAACACGGTGCAGACCCAAATATCCGGGATGACGAGAATCGACGGGCAGTTTACTTTGCTCGAGAGTCTCGCAAAAATCGAAAAGAGAGAAATGTTCGTACCCAGGACACTTACGAAATGCTTGTTGGCCGCCAAGAGATTGTACGCCTTCTCAGTGGAGAGATTCCAAAGTCAAAGAATGCTTTTGGCAAACCTCCCACACCATCGCTCTCTCGGCCCTATCGTTTTCTATCCTCCAACGGTGGATATACGAAGGTATTACATGGACCAATCGAAGAGTATCCAATGACGAAATGCGGGAAAACAGTGGCGCGGCTGGAACGAGGAGGGAAATTCCCGTCTGTTGGTGCGATGAGCGGATGGTCACATACTCCTGCGCAACCACTAAGAGTCGACGCTCGTCAGTGGACAGATGATGTCTTTTACATCGCGGAAATAGTGGGCCACCATTTGGCTTCCCATGCTTGTGATCAGGGTATATGCGGTCAGTACAATGCATGCCACGCAGAAAAACAGTTGATAGCATATTTCATTGATCGCCATGTTTTCCTTCCACGCGATGGCCTCCCAGATCCGAAATTAGAGGAGGAGATCACTAGGGTAGAGGATGAGCTGGAAAGGATAACTTCATGCACGGAAATAGGACGCGTGGTGGCTTCTCTACGGAAGGAGAAGCAGGAACTCGATGATGAGCTTTTTGATGGAGATGAGAAGCTAGTCGGAAAAGATGATGAGATCAAGAAACTGGAGTCAAAACGCAGGGATGTTAAAACCGCACTAAATCAGCTTATTGCTAGTCCTCGCGCGCGACGATTACGGATGCTAGAATGCAAGCTGGAGATACTAGGTGTGCAGCGACAGAGACATGAAGACCTGACCGAAATGGCTGAGGCACCACCGCCACCGGCTTCACTATCCGAAGCGGCCATATTGGTCAGTTCAGTTCCTTGCGATGACTGCAAAGCGTTCACGGAAAGAGTCAACAAGCACTTTGGATTATGTATACAGTTATTCGCATCAGTTTGACTTACGGACCTCCCCGTTTTATCAGGTTCTCGATGCCTGTGCATTTTCAGGCCTACACTATTAGTGATAATACAACTTATTCAGAATTATAGCAAACAGCCCTTTTAACTACTCTACAGATCCTGATGATTGTCATGGCTGTCTGATACTATTATGTACGGCATTTTCCGTATCTAGTCACAGCATTGTCGTACACATGGACGTACTAAAATCCGTGCATACTGCTAGAAAGCAGCAACATACTGGAGTCTGTGTGTGCTCTGTGAGTAGTTTTTTCAGGCTAGCGCAGGAAATGGATACACTTCAGGATGTGGTCGTTGCCTGATTTTCCCGATGTTCCTGGTACGTACCAGTCAGGTGATGTGACAACCTCATGTCGGTTACTGCGACGTCCGTTTGCCGATGGATCGGCTGATCGAAGGTCTACACTATTTCGGACTATCGGTGAACATCAGCTGGGCGCAAGTGGGGCGTGCCTATAGCGCTCCCCGCCTAGACATGCGTCCCGAGCCCAGACCCTATTTGCCCCTCCAACGTGCTTCATTCTAAACCCGCCAAGCCCAACTATACTCCGATCTTTCAACTTGGCCTGTTCAGCTTGGCTGCCCCTGTGGCGTACGTGTTATGTTCTGAGCTCCAAAGGCAGGAAAGGAAAAGGTGGGGATAATATCGTTTGTGGTGTATCTCGATGATGCCCGCATTTCAGGCAAAGTTCCTGGCAATTCTAACATGTACAATGATGAAATAAATCGAAATCAAAGGAAGCGAATCAGACAACCTGTTGCTTCTCCACCCATTTCGCGATCGCCTTCTCCCACCGGACAACACGAGCGCCGCGTGTCGAGAGGCGAAGTTCGACTTCACGCTCGATTTCCTGGGCGGTCTTTCCATCGGCGTCGTAGGTAGAATGTGCGCCTGCCAGTACAGTTACGTGGAAACCTGCTGCCAGCGCGCCGGTACATGTTGCTTCGACGCAGGCATCGCTCTGCAGGCCGAACGCGACGATTTCGGTGACGTTGGCGTTGCGCAGCCTCTGCGCGAGGTCGCGGTTGGATTTGAATGTGTCACCTGTAAAATGTAACGAGATGATTAGCTAGATCGATTCTCATCGAGCATGTTGAGTACTGTACCTGTCTTCTTCGCTACCAAAATTTCACCCTCTGCGTCCGCGCGAGGATGAAAGACGAGCTCCCAGGGCTCAGTCCCCTTTACCAGAGCTCCATCATTCGGAGACTCTTCGTGCTGAATAAAAACAATGAGTGGACTGCTGCTGTTTCCATTGGAGTCGGTGATGGACCGAGCTGTCTGTAGAATCTCTTCAGAGGCTTTGATGACGCGATCCGCTTGAGGGACGCGAGAGGTTGAATCAACGGCCAGGTGGTTCTGGATGTCGATGACGAAGATAGCAGTTCGAGGCATTTTTCGATAGGCGAATCAGTGCTTCGCAGAAAATGTGACAATGAACGTTGAAGTAGGGGTATATGGGATTGAAGAAGTGAATTGGAAGTTGTGAGTTCAAGAAAGTAAAGAAGTGAATGAAACCCGGCTTTGTGGCTCCCTGGAGCTCCTCCTGCACGTGTTGGACTAGCTGGCAACTGACCCCTCCTTTATCTGATTTGGGAAACAGCGGGGCATGAAACTGCTAGTGCTTAGTGGCGGGAATCATGTCCGCCTGCCGCAAGCTAGAAAGTACTTAGAAGTGCCTAATACCGAGGATCAATTTTAGCTAGCAGGTAAAGCGATGTTCTCGGTACTTCATAGCTACCTCTCTATAAGCTTGGCTACAAGGATCGCCCATCGCGAGGTCAAATATCCCGCCAGGATAATTTGACTTCTCCATAACTGGAACCACAATATAATAGTGTGTGGCTCACCGTCGTTTGTTTATAGATACCGAATTAGGATCTTTCGTTCGACAATCTTGGAGGACACACACACAGTATCCGCGCGGAGAGTTTCCAGTGGCCTTAGGCCGGAACGAGGGTCAAGTGCTTTTTATCAAGGACGTTCATGTAAAAGCCTGCACAATGTGGCTTCAGTAACCCAGAGAACAAGTAAGTCTTGCTCCCTCATCTCAGCCATAAGTTATCATAGAAACAGCATCATGTCTGTTCCGGGTAAGCCGGTCAGTGGTTTGATTGATTAGCGTTCCAAGAAGTTTTCCTGCGACGTCGACACTCTTTTAGTGCCTGCTTAACAACGTACTAAATTCTTGCACTCAACATTATGGTGAGCTAAGAGGGATTATATGCAGAAATCATAGTTCCGGAGTTAAGGATGAAAGCAGAAATATCGGAAGAAGGAATTAGATCATCAGTTTGCCTGGTAAAATATCAACTTAAGTGGTGGCCTGCATCACACGCGGTACGGAAAATGACGATGCTCACAGGCCTGCGACGAAATATATCCCTATTGGTATTCATGGTAACATGTCTGAGTCTAGCAGCAGAAACTGTGTCAGATTACATGCACGCGTTATTTTGAAGCAGATGGCAAGGGTGCAGAAATCAAGTTAGAAATATGATTGTACCCTACCATTCCTATGTTTTCAATTCCCTCAAAATTATCTCATCGTTCCTGCGAGAGCCCAAGTGCTGTAGAGCAAGTAGTGAACATGGTGAGTAATGTAGTCTTCGTTGTTGCCACCCCAAGCTTTTTCTCGGGATCCATGAAGTCAACAATGACTGCACTATAAATTATCTCTCGTCGCCATACGTTAGAACAGATAACATGCGAATGAATTTGAGTGATTCTAATCGAAGATCAGTGAACCTTGAACAAAGACCTATCTAAGTAGAACTTTATATATATTATATAATCATGACTATAGTCATGGCATCTCAATTAACGTAAGAACCTAACTCTTCAATCTAAATAAGCAACGATCTGCAAATGAACTCTAATGATTCGATGACATTCAGTCCGGCTTTTGAGGTATGTATCAGAATACGAGCCTAGCAATATCATATGATCGTGATTATAGCGCATTGATGCTTGATTGCAGCGTGGTGTATCGCTTTTCGACCTACTTTACAAGGATCTGCGCATAAATTCAGTAATCCCCCTAGAATATCACTCAGCCATCCTAAAGGTTCGTCTAAGCAGAAAACAAGGGTTATTGCATAATAATGATCATAGAGCATTGCCTCTTGCTTGTAGGCCCCGTTTGGAGCTTGTCTCCGATCAAAATTAGCAAAAACAAGACTATGTGCTTAAAATCCTGATGAAAAGATTGTTGAATACCGGTTATGAGGACAAGCCGAAATCCAAATGTTCATCAGTAATCTGGTCTGCAAAGATATGAAGCAATTCTCTCTCCGTCTGTTCATTCCATATCGGCGTTTCTGTTTTCAATAACATCGTGCTCAGTTATCAAAACTTCTCGCCTCCTTTATTGCAACTACCAATCTTTATATTCTACAAATGGAAGCAATCCTGATCAAGAAGGCCAATGCGGCCCCCGATGCCGTAGCGGTTGAGGATAGTGACCGCAGCGTCAGCTACCGGGAACTGATCGCCCGGGCCGACATGATCGCTGATCAACTAGACCAAGGGTCTTTGAAGCTTGGAAGCCCGGTGTGCATTCTGGCCGACACTGGACTACATCAGGTTATGGCCCAGGTTGCAGTTCTTCGCGCAGGAGGAAGCTGTGTCCCCATCGACCCAGCTGCGCCCGAGGATCGTATCAAGTCGATTCTGGAAGATTTAAACACCAGACACCTCATCGCTGATAAAAGCAACATTGACCGTGTTCAGCAGCAAAGTGCCATTCTCATTGAGTCGGGGCTCGAAGCAAAAATTGACCTGGACACAAAGGCTGAGATTACTGTTCGCACAAATTGTCCAGATTCTCATCGCAGCCATATCATCTTCACGTCTGGCTCCACCGGGCGACCTAAGCCAATCCAGGTCCTTAGCAGCAGTATTCTCCACGCTCTTAATCACTTTCCCTTTGGGCCGCTCCTTTCCTCAGACCGAATGACAACCCTCATCGCCCCTGGATTCGACATGTCTGTCTGCGAGATGTGGCTAACACTGCTCGCCGGCGCGACTGTGGTTCGAGTGCCCGACCTTGTGCGTGCTGATCCACCATCTCTGGAGGATTTCGTGCGTAAGCACAAAATCACCGTCATGATTGTGCCCACAGCCCTGTTCCAGGTCGTTGCTTTAATTGCACCATCCACTTTCGGTGGACTACGACACGTCGTGGTCGGGGGCGAGGCGGTCAGTTCCAGTGCCCTGCGTAAGGTACTTGAGGCCGCACCTCCGGAAAATTTATGGAATGGCTACGGTCCTGCAGAGGCGACCATATTTGCAACGGTGGGCCGGTTGGACAAAGAGGAGATGCGACGCCCACGCGTGAGTATAGGACGGGCTGTTGGAGATACGAAGATCTACCTCCTTGATGAGGACCTCAATCCCGTGAATGAGACAGGGCACATTGGAGAAATTTGTATTGCAGGACCTCAGTTGTCGCCAGGATACCTTAACCGGGCTGAGGAAAACGAAAAAAAATTTATCTCTGTCCCTGCAACTAGGTTGGGTGGTTCGTCAGATAAACATATTCGAGTTTACAGAAGCGGCGACTTTGCCCAGTGGAGAGATGAGAGAGGGGTCCTTGAATTCATCGGCCGAGCTGATGACCAAGTTAAGATATCGGGGTATCGGGTAGAGCTAGGGGATATTTCATGCTGTGTCGAAGAACACCGAAAGATTCACGCGTGCGTTGTTAAATATATTCCAGAGAGCAGTGACGGGTTCCTTGAAGCCTACGCGGTCCCGTCCAACTGGGATAGTCAGGTCTCTTCAGAAGAGCTCATTGATTGGGTGAAAGTAAGGTTGCCTTCATATATGGTGCCGAAAATGATACATATGAAGCGCAATTTTCCCCTATCCCATTCTGGAAAGGTCGATAAAAAGGCGCTCCAGCCAGACAATGATGGAGAGCAACCTTGCCACCGAAAGGAGAGAAACCATCTACAGAACGATACAACCGACACCACAAAGATGAATGATGGCGGGGAAGTTGGGGACATGACACAATGGCTTTTGTCGACACTCCAGGGTTTCCTCCCCAGATCGAAGATCACCCCGAGTGATGACTTCTTCTCCTGTGGATTGACCTCTCTCCAAGCCGCTCGACTTGTCGGAAAGATTAAGCGGGATCACAAAAGCAGCATCACTCTGGCGCAGCTCCATCAAAACCCAACGGTGGAGCAACTTACAAAATCCATGGCCAGCTCCGATAACGACAGCTCGCAGGTCAGCTTAGAGCGTTGCGTGGAGGATTCCAAAAACCTAGATCCTGACCTCCTTCCCCCTGATTGGCAGGCCAAAGACGAAGGTCGCGTGTTCCTCACTGGTGCTACAGGATTCCTTGGTGCACATATACTTCATCAGCTCCTAATTATGCCATCGGTTCAGAAGGTCGCTTGCCTTATACGGGGCCAGGATGCTGTCGATTCCAGCACCCGGCTCCAGCAGACACTGGAGAAGTACAATCTTTGGGATGACAGAGTGGAAACAACCCAGAAGATCATGGTTCTGCACGGCGATATGGCGGACCCCACTCTCGGGATTGGAGAGAAACAATTTAAATGGCTCATAAACTGGGCGAGCGTTGTCTTTCACGTCGGCGCACGGGTCAACTGGTGCCAGCCTTACGAGGCACACCATGTGCCTAATGTTGTGGGTACACGGAACGTCATACGAGCCGCAATGCTAGGCCGTCGAAAAGCTCTGCATTACGTCTCGTCGATTGACGTCTGGACCGTCACCGGATTTATCAACAAGGTGGATCGCGTGTATGAGGATGAGTCGCTAGACCCACACCTAAATGCCCTCCCATATGATACCGGATACGCGGCAAGTCAATTCGTCGCTGAACAGATCGTTCGACGAGCGCGTGCTAGCGGTCTGCCAACTGCAATATACAGACCCGGGTTTATAATCGGCCACAGCAAAAGCGCCCTTGCCAACGAGAAAGACTACTTCTCCCGGTTGATCATGGGTAGCATTCAGTGTGGCTGCTTTCCCCATCTGCCCGATCAGTTCTTGGATTATGTGACAGTCGACTATGTTGCGGAGGCTATTTTGCATATTGCGTCCAGTCGGGAAAACCTCGGTCGTTCGTATCACATTGTGCCTCCTGATAGATCTCTGTCTGTCGGTCACGATCAAAAGTATGAGATGCTTCGCGAGATTGGATACCCCGTGGAAATGGTCGATTACAAGGAATGGGTGGAGAAGATCCGCGACTCTCCCGGAAACGCATTGGAACCCATGATGCCGTTGCTCGATGAACCTGTTTATGAAGGTTTGAGTCGACTGCAGACAAGCAAGAATACTCCTGTGTATGACCCGACGAATACGACGCGCGCTTTGCGAGACCGACCGGATATTAAGTATGTTGCTCTTGACGGACCTTTGCTGAAGCGATTCATCGAAAATTGGGAGAAACGCAAAGCTTTCATATCTTGACCAGCGTTGTAGACGTTGTCTTGATGAAGGACAGGTTCAACCCCCAGCACTATAAATAAATTGGAAGAAAGTGACTGTAAATATCTCAAAATATTGCTCCTAGTATTTTGTATGAGACACATACTACATAAATGCTATTGTAAGGCCGAGCGACACTCTTAGTCGGTAGTAAGAATAAGTGCGGAATACATTCAGAAAGCAATCAGCACAGACTTAGTCGAGACCTAGATACCTCGATATGTTTCGCTCGTACTTGGTAACGGGTCTCTTGATTGCAGCAAGAACATCTCTCTTAACTTATGAATAGCCTCCAGTGAGAAAGTAGACATGGTTAATAAAAGCACGTGTTTCACGTGTAATTGCCACATGACCAACACCGATTTGCTCCCGCTCGATGGAATACTTCGACTTCAATCAAGGTCACAGCCTTGAATCTGATCATCCATATAATCGCAACCGTCATTCTAATTATTGCCAAACAAGTTGTATTGACAGTCTTGTATCCCCTTATGTCGCTATGAAAATCTACAAGTCTATTTCGGCTAGAATGTGCTCAGGATGAGTACGATCAGAGATTGGCGTCGTCCCTTAGTCTTGTTGAAAGTGCTAAACCTGGTATCATTATGCCAGTTAGGTGGGTCCTATAGTTGTACAGTGCTCATTGTTGAAAAGAATTAAGGATTGTGCCACTCAGCGTCCCGTTTCGCAACGCTTCATAGACAACTGATATCCAACCCCCCACCGTCTTCTTGACTCTGCCGTTGATCGTCTCTGGCAAATCGGTCTGGCTCGCTGATGGGTGTTCGACAAAGCCCTGGTGGAATGGAACTCGAAGATCATGTCGAATAAATGTATAAATCTCCTTTGTCCCTGTTCCGAGGAAGTCGGCAGTGGGTTGCGAAGTGCAAAATTCGGCAAACACTTCCCGATAAACACCTTCGAGCTTGAAAACGCTTATCATCTTACATGCAGATATCGCTGTAAATAGGTCTGAAGTCTGCCGATTTTGTGGGATTATCTGTAACAGGGCCCCGAAAAGGACGGGGATGAACATCTCGGCTACGCGCTTGCAGCGATCGCGAAGATCAAGGCGTGAAGTTGACGGCCAAGAGTTCTGGATCGCTTCGGAAAGATGATCCGCTACCTGATCAATCTCAAATGGTTCAAGCGCTTTTCCAAAAGCTCCATGCGCAATTTCTTTGGCGACACCCTGAACTCTTTGGAAAAAGCGAAGCTGCAGGACGCGCAGGTCGAGGGCTTGGCAAGCAACGTATAGTGCACACGCACCCATCATTGACACGATGTCAACCGCCTTCATCGTATACCGTGCTGAAACAAATGCCAGTGAGTTGAGCGCTTGGTTTTGCATCTCTGCAGTCTGAACGTGGGAGCTAACTGGGTTGGCGAGATACGCTAACTCAGACATGTAGGCCGCCATGTTGATATCTACCCCCTTCATGGTGAAGGAGAGGCTGGGATCGTCGGCGACTAGATTGGTAGGCAGACCATTGTTCAAATTGGGGTCTATCATCTCGTTGCACTGAACAAACAACATCTTCCCGAACATTTGCAACGCAAGTCGAGTCTTCTCCATCGCAGAAGTAATTGAAGTTGCTTGGAAGTTCCCTCCAGTGTAGAAGGTCTTCGAGCCCGTATCAATAAGCGGGTTATCTGACGTCGAATTGAGCTCGACCTGGACTTGCCGATCTGCGAGAAGAAGATCTTCCAGTTGGGGCCCAATCCATTGACTGGCTGTTCGGAGAGAATAACGATCTTGCACGAGGCCCGTCCTAGTTTGGGTGGTACTACTTCCTCTCGCAAGTAGGGAGCCTTTCAGGAGAGATAGAATGTTCTCCGCAGCTTCAATCTGGCCTTCATGCGGGCGCACCTGGGCGATAAAAGGATGAAAACTTTCTGTGCTCCCTTGTATGGCCTCTACTGTCAGAGCAGTGACTGCCTGCGCAAGTACGGCCAGCTGATGCGCCTCATAGAGCACTAAGCCGGCAAGAGCACCCGAAGCGGCTGTGCCGTTGACCAAACCAAGGCCCTCCTTGGGTCCCAGCGTGACTCCTTTAGCACCAATTGTCTGTAGTGCCTTTTGAGCCGTGACAACTTGATGCTCCGATCCGTCCTTGACGCGCACATAAATCCCGGGACTTCCTTCAATAGCCCCAACAACGTATGCGAGCGGCATGAGATCCCCAGACGCGGAAATAGTTCCCCGCAGAGGAATTACAGGGACGATATCCTCACGAATCAACCGCAAAATTGCGCTAATTGCAGGCAGGGACACTGCTGAATGGCCCCGAGCAACTGAATTGCTTCTCACAAGCATAGTTGCCTTGACCCATTCAGAAGGCATGGAGTGGGAGCTCTGCCCTTGGAGATTGAGCTGTAAGCCTTCATTGGTAGTATCAGATGCGGTAAGAATGCCGCTTTGGAGTAGCTGAAGGAGGGAGCTCTGCAAAGTGGTCGTTTGGTTCGTTCGTGAGTCAGCACTTCCTCCAAATCCGGTATTGACGCCTGATAGATGGGTTGGTCCATTAGTACACTATTTAAATTCCAATATGAAAGGCTCGACTCACCGTAAATATGATGCCCATCTCGAAGGCATTCGGCTAGTGCTATGACACTTCCATTTATAGCATCGATCGTCTCGGGCTTATCAGTAAGTCGAGGCTGGCAGCCGTATCTATCTCAACTGTTAGACCCATTCGTGTGAGTAGATAACAATTGAATGGGTGTTGGCTGACTTCGCTACCGCGACAACATCGGCAAGACTAAGGCTATAGCCGTCGATACTGAGTTCCCCATTCTGAACAACTTGATTCAAGTCTCTCCAGTGGGCACTTGTGGTCTCCAAATGACCATCTGGTATGTGTTTATCAAGCATGGTGGATATATTCAGGTGTCCAAAGAATTCGGATATTCAATCTTCACTGTGGCCCAGGCTCCCTCCATACTGATATTATATATATGCCTTCTGTGTTCCCCTGCAGCTACTATCGGCATTCGACGGCAAGCATGAGGTGCTCGCTTCGGCGAGGAACTCTCGGAACAGTTACGAATAAAGTACTGCATGACTTGTTTGGTCGCCACCAGCTGAGCGAGCATGCACTTAGCTGTGAAAATGCTAAATTGGATTGGTGGATGAAAATGCTATCACTACGCAGAAGTGTGTCTCAGAATACGAAAATGAACCAGTTCAGCTCCGCTGCCCATACTGCTATCTACAGAGCCAATAATCCAACAGCTCCTGGTTGAACAAATATGGTTCGCTCCCAGGAAATGACATATCAACATGCAATACTCAATCCGACTCGGTCCCCATGGGCTCATGCTATCGGTAACTCCCTGTATCTAAATTGATGTACTGTCGATCATTCGGGATTTGGCTGTTGCGGTCGAGCCAATATCGCGCAAGCTTCTCGGATCTTGGTCGTCGTTTGGTGACACTGCAGCATTATCAGCAAGGTTATTACCTATGGCAGAGGAGACAGACATGTGGATCATCAAATATGGTAAAATGGTTGCCTGGGATTACCAAACAGCTTTGGATGAAGCTCCTATCGTACTCCTCCCACCCCAGGTACGTCCAGTTTCGGATGAGATCGAGGTAGTGGGGCTTCGCATCGGGGTCAAGATGCACCGGATCGGCTGCGCGTATGAGTACTGTAGGAGGCAGTCCTGACGGGAACAGTGGTGGCCGCCAGTCACGCTGCATCTCGTGAGCATACAGAATGCATTGCTGCGCTTGCACCCGCCGTGCATCGGACATCCGGGTCGGTAGCTGGAAGCTGGCAGCAACCTCAGCGATCGTGCGGGGATACCGGTCTGTGACCTTGGAAGTTGGAAAGACACTGTCGATCATGATAACACCCTGTACCGTGTACTGGGGAAGCTTCATTAGTCGAGATGCAACTTCCAAAGCAACACAGCCGCCGAGAGACCATCCTTTGTGCAAAAAGCAATACGTTGTTAGTGCCAGAGGTTCCGCATTAGCGCTCGGATCCCATCATACCTCCTAGGATAACATCTCCAGACTTGATGACCGACCGAAGTAAGTGTGAATAGACAACTCCCATCTGGCGAATACCATGGTCCCATTTGCCTCCTTGATCGAAGTGAGAATTGCTTATGCCGTAAAGCGGCCGGTGCAAATCTCCCAGGCAGAAATACGGGAACACAGTGCCGCCTGCATCGTGGAAGAGAATCAGTGGAGTGGACAAATCGTTCGTTCCCAGTCCAGACTGGATCTGGCACGGGTTCTCTTCCATGTCGATCAACAAATTAGGTATGCTGCTGGCTTGCGGCAGTATACCGGTAGCAAAGCCTGGCCTTCTTATCACCACCTCATCTTCAGGGTATCCATACACATACTAGCACTGCGTGTCAGCATTAGCGTCGGAAACAGTAACTCCGGGACCGGTTGCTCTCCTACACCCTGGTGTCTTTTAGATTCGCGATTGAGATCTTGCAGAAGAAAAGAGACCGAGGGGTCGGCAAGCTGAGGGAAGATCGGCGACCGGCTTCCTCGAGCCAGTTAGTTCATCTCCCTACAGACCCCGAGTTCAGACGCCATACAAGGTTGGTAATCCCGGTTTCTTTCTTTTTTTTTTTTTTTTTCTCCCTGTGCCATTGAAATCCTGCATACCCGGTCGATCTTCAAAACTATTCACTCGCGTTTGTTTGCAAGAGGGCACCAGCATGCTGGAGATACTGAAGTCTTCGGACTACGCTAATGCTCATTTGCTGATAACGCACACAAATTAGGAACGGATCGCAACCTCAGTAAGGCACAACTATACGGAAAAGACAACAACGTAATCTTCCCACATTCTTGAGGCATCCAACAGGCCTCCAGGCCCATGAAGGGGAAATGATATCTAACAGTACGGATATGCACATCTTGCTTAACTTCATCATATTGTCACCGTCCTCAACGTAGTTTACACGAGAAGTTTGAGGTCGCACATCTAACAAAGTAGTTCAGGCTAACGCCAACCGGGGTTTACAAGCCCGAAAGAGCAGCGCCACATCCACAATATGGGTCTCGACCTCCTCAAACTCATCTTCCAGGGCCTTGACAAATATCTCTGAGCTATCATCCGCATTCCCAAAAATGCCTCTCCAGTTGTGGAGGCGCATCGTCAGACGCCCCAGCAGGTAGTGTTGTGCTCCATAGCCAGGATAGTGGCACCAAGCAGAGTCCCTTTGGAGTCAAGTGACGTTTTAGATTCGCAAATACAGTGATCTTGCGTTCTATTGGCGGAGCAGACAATGCAGCAGGTACATCGAAGATATGCGGTCTTGCCTGGGTAGTCGATACGCGTGGCAGACTTTTGCAGGCACGAAGGATTCATGCCGACAAGCGCCAAGTTCTGAGGCCACTCTTGGTGGCGCTGTCGCATCTGCTTGCGATGCTGTGCAGGGAAGAGCCCGACGCCTACACCAATGTCCATTTGGTGAGGTCCTGTGTTTGCCGCAAAGAAGGCACTAAGGACTGACAAGGGACATTGCCACACACAATCGTCATTGAACCAATGAACGAGAAGATCTTAGATAGTGAACGTAAGGTCCGAGTAGATTTCCCAGCGCCCGACATAGTGGTTCTTTTTTTCTCTGGCCTCTCGCTCGTTCGGTAGCCTGCTCAAGTATGCAGGCATTCAATTGGAGAAGATTGACTTGCTACAATGACCGGAGCAGCTCCTACATCGTGCAAACCTCAGCAGGGAAGAGAAAGAACGGAGGAATCCCATGAACAGATTGCTGCTGTGGCCTAAACATGACGCGCCGTCGATCTTGATACTCAGGGTTCGCGTCTCCCGGATGGTGGGTTCACCATACAACTCCGCGCCCGTCCCCACTCCGTGTTCTCCTCCTCTCCCCACCCAAAAAGAGCAGGTATCGAATTGACGCCATCGTTGCTACTAAGCAAGGTGCATTGCATGATGTTTAGCTGCATGTGGCGTCTGCTCCCAGCTTGCTAATATGGTACCGAGAAGTTATCGCGGACTCCTTGGGAGTGGAGATACCCCTCGAGGATGCTCAAGAGAGTCAAGTTCAGACCCCGCCAACCAAGGCCAAAAGCAAAACAGGAAAAGAAACATCCGAAATGAATGAGGGTAGTTACCGAAGTGTCCTGCGAGGTTGCGCGGCTGTATCACACACGATTTGTCACCGTTAGTAGCTCATGGCTCACTCACCACCTGAGCTTCTTCCATTATATACCACGAGCTCGCCAAGGGTCCCAAGTAAGTCCTATGCAATCGTCGATTGATTGATTGTTGATCATTATATAGATACCGCCTTTGTCTGAAAACATCTGTCTCCTCTTTACACTATTGCCTCTATTGATTCGAACTTCCATTTTCTAAGTGACCCCGATGACACGAACGGAGCCAATTGCTATCATCGGCACAGGCTGCCGATTTCCGGGGTCGGCCACCTCACCCTCTCGGCTCTGGGAGCTACTGAGTAATCCGCGTGATGTAGCGTCCAAGCCTCCTTCTGAACGTTTCAATGCAGACGCCTTCTACCAGGCTGGCAAAGCTCGACCTGGCATGACAAATGCCCCCGAGTCGTATTTCCTTCAGCAAGATGTTCGGACATTCGATGCGCCTTTCTTCAAGATTTCCCCTGCTGAAGCAGCATCAATGGACCCTCAACAGAGATTACTCATGGAAGTAGTGTATGAATCTCTTGAAAGGGCTGGGTTGCCACTTCAACGTTTGCAGGGTTCGTCGACCGGCGTTTACTGCGGCTCCATGAACAACGATTACGGTCAGCTTCTTGGGGCAGATACCGATTGCTTGCGTCCTTTCTCACTCACCGGGGGGGCCACCTCGATTCTTGCTAATCGGCTCTCCTACTTCTTTGACTGGCGTGGGCCGTCCTTCGTCCTAGATACGGCATGCTCCTCAAGCTTGATAGCACTGCATCTAGCAGTGGAGGCTCTACGCAATGATGACTGTTCGCTCGCGGTCGTCGCGGGTAGTAATCTGATCCTCTCCCCAGACCCATATATTGGGGAGTCCCAGGCGCACATGTTGTCGCCCACGGGGCGCAGTTATATGTGGGATGTACGCGCAGATGGCTATGCTCGGGGCGAAGGGGTGGCTGCGCTAGTACTGAAGCGCCTTCAGGACGCGGTGGCTGATGGTGATCCCATTGAATGTGTGGTCCGCTCCACTGGCGTCAATTCTGATGGCCGTACTGAGGCGCTTACCATGCCTAATGGCGAGGCACAGCGGGATCTTATTCGCTCAACATATGCGCGGGCTGGTCTTAACCCCCTTCGCCGAGAAGACCGCTGTCAGTTTTTCGAAGCCCATGGGACAGGAACACAAGCAGGTGATCCCCAAGAGGCATTTGGTATTTCTGCTGCTTTCTTCAACGATGACTCACCATCCGATGATATTCTGTATGTGGGATCCATCAAAAGTGTACTGGGCCACGCGGAAGGCGCTGCAGGGATCGCCGGGGTTATCAAAGCATCCCTGGCCATTCAACGCGGTGCTATACCTCCAAATTTACTGTTCAACGAACTCAGCCCCAAGGTAGCGCCATACGCCTCCCACCTTCGGATTCCGACTCAAGCTCTTCCCTGGCCAGATCTTCCTTCCGGGACTCCGCGACGGGTATCGGTCAACTCGTTTGGTTTTGGAGGGGCCAACGCGCATGTCATACTAGAGAGTTTCAGCGGAGCTGCATCTTCATCGTCGCACTGCCAAACAGCAGTACCGGCAATCCTTCCGTTCGTATTCTCAGCTGCGTCCGAAGTCTCACTAACTGCGGTCCTTCGGCAATACATTGATTATTTGGAATACCACCCTACGGTAAACCTATTGGAACTAGCCGCCTCTCTTCTAGGAAAGCGATCCAGCTTGAGTCATCGTCTCGTTTTGACAGCAGACTCACTCGAAAATCTCCAAGAGGCCCTGAAGGGCGAAGTACAACGCCGCTCCACTGACACATCATCAACTGTTACCCGACGGCTCACTCCTGAGCCGAAGAGGATACTTGGTGTTTTCACGGGCCAAGGCGCACAGTGGCCACAAATGGGCTTGGACGTTATTTCCCAATGCCCTCAGGCACTGGCCTGGCTGCAGGAGCTTCAAGAAGCCTTGGACACACTTCCTACAGAATACCGACCGGATTTCACTCTCCTAGATGAACTGTCCGCTCCAGAGGCAACCTCCCGACTCAACTCCGCAGCAGTTTCGCTACCTCTGCGTACAGCACTACAAATCATTCAGGTCAATATCTTGCGGTCCCTAGGCATAGAATTTGCGGCAGTGGTTGGACATTCGTCCGGTGAGATTGCTGCAGCTTATGCTGCGGGCCGGCTAACCCTGAAAGACGCCATTCGGATTGCGTACTTGCGAGGAGTGGCGGCACAGCATGCTGGCTCTCAAGGAAAGTCCGGTGCTATGGTAGCACTTAGTGTACCTTGGGAGCAGGCAGATGCCATTCGTAGCGAAGCGAGTTATTCTGGTACCATTGCCGTGGCTGCCTTTAATTCTCCTATCAGCGTGACTTTTTCGGGAGACAGCGACCTAATCACGGAGTTGGAGTGGGTGACAGAGAGTCTCGGCTATTCTCCACGGCGTCTGCGCGTCGATACAGCCTATCACTCTCATCATATGATTCCCTGCGCTGAACCATATGTTCAATCCATGAGACAGTGCCAGGTTCAGACACGCCAGGGCTCATCGGACACCAAGTGGTTTTCCAGCGTCTTCGAGGACAAGATTATGGAGGAGCTAGACATCCAGTATTGGAGTGATAATATGCTTCGCCCTGTGCTCTTCGCACAGGCTTTGACAGCTGCGATTAACCACCTCCCAGGGCTTGATGCGATTATAGAGGTGGGACCCCATGCTGCTCTTCAGGGACCCACCATGCAAACCCTGTCCGCTATCAAACCTGACGAAGCCGACGTTCCTTACGTGGGAATGTCCAATCGCAAGTCTGGTGGTATTGAAGCTCTAGCACTTGCAGTGGGCTCTTTCTGGGCGAACTTGGGAGCAGAAACTCTGGATGTTCCATCATACATCCGACTCTTTTCACCGTCTTTAGAGGTTAGCTATATTCCTGATCTTCCCAGCTATCCATTCGATCACAATCAAAAGCACTGGGCTGTTTCACGCTTAGCCGCCGCGCGCATCAGTCGCCGCCTGCCTATCCATCCCCTCCTTGGCGCCCTCACTCCGGAGACTGGTGAAGCAGAATGGCGTTGGCGTAACTTCCTGCGGGTGCAGGACTTGGACTGGATGGACGGACACCAAGTGCAATCCCAAGTAGTGTTTCCCGCTACTGGATATCTCGTCATGGCTCTCGAAGCGGCTCGTATCATTGCAGACCAACGGCCGCTCCAACTCGTCGAGATACGCGACCTTACGATTGATCGCGCAATTACCGTACCTGACAATGCCTCTGGGGTAGAGATGTTGTTTACCTTTTATCGGACAGACAACGACAATCACAAGTTCACCGGAGCGTTCACCTGTCAATCGAGCCATGATAATGATGCCTTTCGCGGTTGCGCATCCGGTCGCTTGGAAGTGACATTTGGCGAATCTGATGCGACCCTCTTACCATCATTGGGCCCGACAGCCTCCGGACTACGCTCGGTGGATTCTGGGGAGTTCTACCAGAAGTTAGATGTGCTGGGATATGGCTACTCGGGTATATTCCGCACTCTCCACGACATCCGGCGTCGAAAAGACATTGCCTTTGCCAGAATACCAGCCCTTGATGTCGGTTCGGAGCTTCTAATTCACCCCGCTACACTGGACACTGGCCTACAGGTTATGATGGCAGCAATGGGAGATCCTAACGACGGCCAACTGTCGGGGCTGTATCTTCCCACTAGGATTGCAAGCACGACAATCAACCCTTCTTTCTACCGGGTCGCATCGCCTAGTCCTTATGAGGTAGTGGCCACATTGTCCTGGGCCGACTTCTCAGGGACGCGCGGTGATATTGATATCTTCAATCATCAAGGCCATGGGGTAGTTCAAATAGAGGGTGTTGAGATTGCTGCCCTTGCACGGCCGAATGTAGATGACGTTAGGTCATTCGGAGAACAGGCGTGGGGCCCTTTGCTGCCAAACGCGGCCCTCCTCAGCCCCCCGGACCTTCCTAACTGTTACTTAGAGCTCAATCACCTAGCTTTGCTTTACTTGAGGGATACGCAACAGCAGTTAGTGACAGAGGATCGTCAGCAGCTAGACTGGCACCGAGGCCGCTATGTAGCGTGGATGGATCGGCTGTTGGCCCGGGTGCGCGCTGGTGACCATCCCATCTATCCTCCTCAATGGCTTGAGGGCGAATACACCTGGTCTCTCCCAGAAGATTGGAAGGAAGTCGTCAAATACCACCTGGCAGCACTAGAAGCGGGAGGGCCAAAACTGATAGAGTGGCTGCGGGGCCAGGCCAGCATCATGGAAGAGCTACGCCGCGACGATCTCTTGACTCGATTCTATCAGGATCGCGCGTTTCGAGCCATGACTCGCGGCCTCGCCGATGTTGTGGGTCAGTTGGCCTTCCGCTACCCTCGCATGAAGATTCTGGAGGTTGGAGCCGGGACAGGTTCGGCAACACGAGAGGTGCTCGATCGAATTGGACGGGACTACCATTCATACACATACACCGACATCTCTGCAGCATTTTTCGAGGAAGCCCAAAGTATGTTTGTAGCGGACAAGGATCGCTTCATCTACCAGGTCTTGGATCTGGAGCGGGATCCGACAGAGCAGGGCTTTCCCGAGCATGAGTACGACTTGATCGTTGCAAGCAACGTGCTGCATGCCACCCGTTCCTTATCCAAGACCATGACCCACCTTCGACGGTTGTTGAAACCGGGCGGGCGCGCCATTGTGCTCGAGATAGCTGAACCCGAAGATGTTGCCGTCTCGACCATTTTTGGCGCGTTTGAGGGATGGTGGTTAGGAGAAAACGATAGCCGCCCCTGGGGGCCCATAGTATCCAGTGACACCTGGGACCAAGTGCTGCAGAACTCGGGCTTCGGAGGTTTCGAGACCCTTTCGCCTCGAGCAGTGATAGACAAGACGGGTCTTATGGTGTTTAGCGCTCAGGCTGTTGACGATCGCATTGCAAAGTTGCAGCGTCCACTCTCGGTGCCCGCCACGGAGCAATATCCGGATCTTGTGATAGTTGGGGGTGTCTCTGCCCGCACAGAACATCTAGTGGCAAAAGTTCGGAATCGTGTGGCTCCATATTTCGCTCGCGTCAGCCATGTCGTTACGCTCGAAGCGTTCGTCCCTCCGCCCGATGCATTGTTAATGGCCGTTTTGGTCTTGTCCGACATGGATACTCCCTGCCTGCAAGACATTTCCGTGGAACGTCTGCACGGTATGCAGGAACTGTTCCGAAAGACAGGGAAGCTCCTCTGGACTGCAACGGGGAAGCCCGGTGAGAATCCGTATCAGGTCATGACCAAAGGCATTTTACGCAATTTGGCTAGCGAAATCCCACACGCCCTAATCCAGCACCTCACCATCAGTGAGCCGTGTGCAGATGACTCTGAGACCCTAGCCACCGCACTCATGCGGCTTGTTCACACGGATTTCTATAATGATTATAGCCTTGCAGACGGCACTGAGAATCCGGAATGGGAACTCCGGTTGGAAAATGGGATAATGATGATCCCTCGGTTGCTGGCCAGTCGTACGATTAATAGGCGACTCTTTACTAGTCGTGGCTTCTTCAATAAGGAAAGTGTCGAACCCCAGCTGGTGCCCGTGAAGGTCGTTCCTGATAAGGCGGGACTCACCCTGGCCTCTTTGCCCGAGCGGATACCGTCAAACCAGACAGACCTTGAGAACGGCAAGGACATCATCTCTATCCAAGTCCATTATGCCACTCTTTACGCTGTCTATGTCGAGTCCGTTGGCTTTCTACACCTTGTTCTGGGACGAGACCGGAAGACCCGCACGCGCATTGCAGCCCTTTCCGTCAATCATGGATCAGTCGTTTCTACCCCAGCATCTTGGTCTTTGGACGTTCCTAGCTGGCTCCCCGAGGAACATGAAGCAGCATTCTTGAGCGGAGTGACTACGGCCATCGTTTCCCGTTACCTAGTCAACAAAACACCTTCCAATACCGTTCTCATCGTCGACGAAGCTCCAGCATCTATTCAACAATCAGTGGCCGTGATGGCCTCCATTAAAGGCGTCAGAGTACGTTTTACTACAAGCACTGCGGTCTCCCACAAAAGTCCAACCACACTTTTCATTCCACCCCGTAGCTCGTCGCGTGCGATTTCGCGCCTGTTGCCTGCTGGGGTTTCGGCTTTCGTCAGTTTCAGACCTGAGACAGACAGTACCATCGCTAGGCTTAAGTCTTCGCTGTCTCATGTAGTGGCAACCTACAGCTTGCACAGCTTTTACGGCGGCTCTTCGCTCTTAAACGCAGAGGGTGAGGGTATCTCCTGCGCAGATATACTGGAAACATCCTGCCTTTTTGCAGAACAACAACTTGGCTCTCATACTGCTGTTGTCACGATCAAGCCAGAGGACATTCAAACATACTCGCTCAGCAGTGACCGCTCCGCAATAGTCGACTGGCTGCATTCAGGGCCTGTGTTAGCCTATCCTCTAGCGGCCAGCTCTCTTGTGAACTTAAAGGCGCACAAAACATATCTACTAGTCGGAATGACCGGTGATCTTGGACGATCAGTCTGTCATTGGATGATTAGCCGTGGAGCTCGCCATCTGGTTCTGACAAGTCGATCTCCGAATGTTGACCCTGGCTGGCTCGAGGAGATGTCGGCTCTCGGGGCTCGTGTCGTTGTCATGGCCATGTAAGTTTGGTCCCTATTGCTCAGAAATATATATACTCATTGACAATCTCAGGGATGTTTCGGACCGTACTTCAGTCATGCGCGTACATAACCACATCCTCGCAGACCTTCCACCGGTCGGTGGTGTCGTGAACGGTGCGATGGTCGCCCGGGATTGCGCGTTCACCGAGACTTCATTTGAAGACGTGAACACTGTTCTAAAGCCAAAGATTGATGGCAGCAAGATACTGGATGAACTCTATCAGGATGAAGGGCTAGATTTCTTCATCTTGATGGGCTCTCTTGCCGGTATGATAGGTAGTTTCAACCAATCGATCTATGCTGCCACGGCGGTCTTCATGGAGGACCTTGTGCTTCAGCGGCGACTCCGCGGCCAGGTGGGCAGCATTATCCATCCAGCTGAGGTACGCGGCGTCGGATACGTGACACGCATGGGGTCGCAGTTCAGTAGCAATGTTGTCAAGCTTTTCGGAGAGTGTATACTGTCCGAGCGTGACCTGTTGGAGCAGTTTGCAGAGGGCATCCTGGCTAGTCGACCTGGTTCTGGTCTGAATCCCGTCATCTCGTGTGGTCTTGCTATGACAGACCCGACAGTATATCCCGATGTAATATGGTTCAAAAACCCGACTCTTTGGTCACATGTCCACTACTTCCGGCACTCGGAGAGCCTGGGGAGCAGAAAGGAGCAAGTACCTATCAAGACACAGCTGCAGTCGGCGAACAGCTTGAGCGAGGCGGCCGGGATTATTGCTACTGGGTTCTCTCAGAAGGTGCAGCGCAAGCTGCAACTGCCTTCGAATTCGGATCTACCTGGAACGACCCTATTGTCCGATCTTGGTATAGACTCGCTCATAGCAGTCGATCTGCGGGTTTGGTTTGTCAAGGAACTAGGTGTGGATATGCCGGTGCTAAAACTGTTGGGAGGGTCGTCCATCGATGCCGTGGCGCAAGATGCGGCTGAGAAGCTGGATCCAGCACTACTGCCGCAGCTGCAGGCATAAATTGATATGAGATATGTGCTTTAGCTAGCTGTTCACGAACTTAGTCAATCCAGCTCCTGAGATCGTGGAGGCTTCCCTGCTCACACGCCAAGACATCTGGTGTCTTTTTGGGATTCTGATTTGTAGCTGGCACCTGTTCCGATGAGTTTCTCCGTAGACTCCGTAGGCCCCGAGCTTTCTGGTCATGAGAAGGCTATAAGAAGCCCTGGCTTCCCCCCAACTTGTTCATCCCAGAACCCCCTAATCTTCTCGTTCACACTTTTCTTCTGTCAGTTCACTGCACCCACGATGGAGTCCTCCCATTCACATGACGTGGTCACATTCTCCCTGGACGCCCAGATTGAGTATGACCCTTGCAAGCCCTTATTCATCGACCCCCAGGAGCCCTGCCGGTTTCTCAATGCCACCCAATTCAGGTTCCTGGTGCACACTCTGATTGCCGGGCTGAAGGCCCATGGCCTGGATCGGGGTGATTGCGTCTTACTTCATACGGGGAACAACGTACGTCTATCCTAGCCTACTATGCAAGCCTCTGGCTCACCTTTTCTTCTCTTGTCATCCTTAGGTTCTCTACACCGCCCTGTTCCTCGCCATTATTGGCGCTGGTGGCGTTTACATGGGCTCCAACCCACACAGCCAACTGCAAGAGCTCAACCACACCGTCTCCCTAACCCATCCCAAATGGATCATCACCGAGCCAGAGGGATCTTCAACTGTGCTTACCATTGCTAACAAGCATAATTTGCCTGACGACCATGTCCTCCTTCTAGACGATGCCACCATCACTGAGACCATCCGGTTCGTGCACGACCCATCCATTCCTCCTCCCCAGAATACAGATAAACCCAACCTCCTCACCCTTCTATCGCATGGCACCTCCGCTCCCCTCGCCATCCCCGACGCAGCAACCGCAGCCTCCACCCCAGCAGCCCTCTACTCCACCAGCGGCACCACCGGCCTTCCCAAAGCCGCCGTGCTCTCCCATGCCTCTCTCATGGCCCAACACACCTCCATCGCCCACTCTCCTCCCTACCCCGTGACTCGTCTCATCTCCCTCCCCATATTCCACCTCTTCAGCTCCCTCTGGACACACCTCTTTCCCATCCGCTACGGCGAACCCCTCTACCTCCTCCGCGAGTTCCAACTCCCTGTCTTCCTGTCCACTGTGCACCAATACCAAATCACCGAGACCTACCTCGTCCCTGCCATGGTTCATATGCTAAACCAAGCACCTGCCACTCTGGATGTCAAAACCCGCCTCTCCTCCCTCCGATACATCGGCGTTGCAGGGGCCCCTATCGATCGTGACTCCATGTCTGCCTTCCAGGACATGCTGCACCCAGATGCCTGTGCAGGCCAAGTCTGGGGTATGACGGAGTGTGGGGTCGTCTTTCAACAATGCTATCCTGCGAATGGCAGATCAGGACAGGGTGATCTGGGCAGTATTGGAACCGTTACTGCGGGATGTGAGGCACGACTTGTGTCTGGTGCCGAAGTGGTCAAGGATGATGAAGTCCCGGGACAGTTGTACGTGAGAGGAGCGGGATTATTCACGGGATATCTGGGACGTAATGAGTCAATGGTTGATGCTGAAGGCTGGTTCGATACCGGCGATGTGGCCTATGTCAAGAACGGCGAGTATTTCATCGTCGGAAGAACGAAGGAGTTGATTAAAGTGCGGGGGTATGTTGATACCATTCTCATACTTCAGTATGACTGACCCCATACCAACGGCTAACGCAATCCACTCTGGATTTTATAGATACCAAGTCTGTCCCGCCGAAATCGAAGCCGTGCTGCTCCAGCACCCCCTCATCGCGGACGTCGCAGTCATCGGCACCTGTCTTTCCGATGGGAGCTCGGAGGCTCCCCGCGCGTATGTCGTGCGAGCTAGAGCCCCCGGTGCTAGAGTCAGTTCCGATGAGGTGTATGATTTTGCGCGTCAGCGGTTGGCGGCGTATAAGGCGTTGGATGGGGGCGTTTTCTTCGTTGATAGGATCCCGCGGACTGTTAGTGGGAAGATTCAGAGGGGGAAGCTGGCGAGTATGAATGAGAGACGGGATGCGTTGGCAGGGTTGTTGGCGAGGTTTAAGGCGAAGGATGTTGGGGGGCTAAAAGGGAGGGCGTCTGTGGTGGTTTAGATAAGGTTGAGTAAGTGGCTCTAGGGTATGTGATGATGGTGATGTTGTTCATTCTGTTCTATCTGTTTTGAGTTGCTTTTCTTTTGCTTTACCATTTGATGTTTTTGTTATTGGGTTTCGGATATATAGCGCTAGAGTAGTTGTGGTATTTGTTCCTGTGTGGATGATGCAGTATATTATTTTCAGTTATTAAAACTAAGAAAAATAGACTACTAGCAGGTTACACTCCGTTGGGGAATGGAGTAAATAAGAGTTGTGATAGCCCTTGAACACAAGCGGTATTTCAAACCAGAACAGGCCTGAACTTGGTACTAACTAATGATGAATCACACTTGTAGTGTCCACGTGCCTCGATGTATATCTAGTATGTCGCGTATGTGATTTCATAGAGAACAAGAGCCCTCGACCAGGATCTATACGGACTTTAGTAGAGGAATTGGAATAATTCTGAATGATAAAAGATAATGATGGTGTACTTGACATCGTGGCATTTTTTTTTTTTAGGGTACAACAGCACATAGCTGAACAACATCACTTATTCACACAACAGAAGCTCACAGGGATCCAGGATGATACATACACTTGGGAAGTCGGTTGTTTGCATTGCTGAAATAGACCGGGGCCGCATTTCCTCCGGTCGGCCCCGGCAATTCACCACACCATGGCCACTGGTTCCTAACTTTCAGAAGGAACTCAAGGGATGTGGTTTGCTATCCGTTATCATATCATATCATGGACGATTTGAAGCTGCAAGGCAGCAAGTCTAGGCGATATGTTTAGCTGCTAGTGCAAAACAGATGATGTGAATTTCTGCCGTTTCTGCCTTCCTTTCACGGACCAGGATTTATGTATTCACATCGGAGTGGACTATGGCCTGATCAATGCGGCTAAGGGCATCGTGACACTAGGTAATGTGCTCTTTGGACGATTCCCTGACAAACTCCGCAACGATGTTGAATTGGGGGGGTTTTTTGGCCAAGAAGGGCTCTCTGCCGATGATTCACTTCAATATGTTTAAAGACAAAATACATAAAATATTCTACCAAGACCTTATCGCCAGGTCTCATATATGGCGCAGAACTAACCAGAGACAAAGGACATATATTCCCTCCAGACATGACTCCTTACATGACAACGTAAGTCATCCCCCCTGCGACTATTGGTACAAGCTGCTGAATTTGGCTCACTTACGATCCTAACTTCAAAGAAATAAAACCCCGATAATCTGTCCTGGCTTCATTCCTGGTCCTGCTTTCTGCGTATGTTCATTCAAAGCTAACATAATCCTTTTCGATGAGCCCCAACCAATCCGTAAACGAGACCCAGTCATCTCCAAATGGTACACTGTCCTTCGGCATGTTACGTAAGGACTCTTCCATCCGCGGAGCTCGAAGTAACTCATGTGACGCATTACAAGTAGAGTATGGAAGACGATTCTGCTCAACTTTTCGGCGGCACTCTTCATCCAAATGGACAAGGATGCAATCCTGACACCATTTCATCTCCTCGGCTATATTCATGGAGCGGTTGCAGTCGCCATCGCAATCGATTTGCTGTTCCATAAAATGTACAGCTATAAGAGCACGCGTTGCCAGTGCGTTCTTGATATCACCAAAAGCGATGAATATCGACAGGAGCTGATTGTAGGCTGGTAGGTCATTTCCTTCATCATCATCGGAGAGGATCTCCAGGCTTAGCTGCACGACGTGTCGAGCGATCCGCTTCGCCTCAGACAGATTGCCTTGCTTCTTGTAGTACCGTGCAATATATACCCGAGGTGGGAGTATGACCTCGGCTTCGGGTACGCCCTCGGGTAGAAGCGTTTCAATCTTTTCAAGATAGGCTGAAACGGCTTCAGTATCGGGGCCTGCCGCCATGGCTTGTTGCACGTAATATGGCGCTATACAACTGATCAATGTTGACATTGTGTATGAGTCTGCGCCGTCGAGGGCCTGGCGCCACTGCTTAATTGCCCTGGACGAGCCGTTCTGTTGTGCATTTATTGCCCGCCCAAAGCGGTATCGGAGAAGGCTTAACGTAGCGCGCTCTCCGCGCTCCTCAATCAGCTGAATGGATCGCTCGTAAGCGCCGACGGCAAATGCGAGCTCACTGGTATGAAGAGCCGCCTGCAAAAACATATCATGGGGAAAACTTCTTGCAGCTATCAGTTCAGACGTGCCCTGCTGCTGCTCCGTTGATCTCTCGTCCATCTTTCGCAGAACCGCAATGAATTCCCCCCAGCGCTCACCATTGGCGTACGACTTTAAACACCGGATCACGCGAACATTGTCAGTGAAATCAACGTCAACCGCCCGTGACCAGTAGCTGATAGCCGTATCGGCTTGCCCTTCCTTCCAGCTGAGCTCCGCGGTGATAAACAGCATCTTGGCGAGTCCCAACCGCACCAGAGCGTTTTGCTTCCATTCGTCGCTTGACGCAAGGCGCTCTATGGCAGGTTTTAAGGTCTCAATTCCTCGACTGCCCTCGACTACTTCGGCCAGAAGGGTAGAGGCTCGCCAGTCCGCTGCGTTGAGTGCCAAGGCTTGTCGGGCTCGGGCTTCCGCCAACTCCTTGTGACCATGACTATTCAAAAGACTGCCTATCTGTGTGTGCCACAAAGCGTCCTTCGGCCCTTTAAGTACTTTCTCGCACCACCTCTCAACACTTGCAATTCTGCTGATGGAATCAAGCTTTTCTTGTTCGCTAGGATTTTCGAACTTCAGTGGGTTGTTAGCAAAGCTTTGAGGTAATCATTCTAGCTAGACCCAAAGGGGCAACTTACCTTATTGAGAAAGCCCTCGAGAAATTCAAATGCATGTCTTATGAATGGTACAAAGTGTGGTTCGTGCACCAGATGCCTGGCCATTCGCATCGCCGCTGGCATCAACAAGGCTCGGCGACCCTCATTGCGAATTGGACCGGTGATCCATCCACGAGCTTCATTGTTGACATTCAAAATGACCGCCTCGTCATTGAGCCATTGAAGGATTATATCCGTAGTGGCGTTGTTGAATAATAGCTGACGAACTTCTCGCCGTTGAGAGGGTGAGGGACCGGATAACCCGTTATTGTTGAGCAGGGTATCAATCGAAGAGTCAACAGTGAAGAGCTTAACAAGGTAGGGCCCAAACGTGGTCTTGTAATCAACCTGCACCAGGGCTAAGTTGACAGCGGACATGTGTTCTGCGAGATTGCTTCTCGCGTACGATACAAGGTCGCTTGGTTGGCCTACCTCTTCCGTGAGAAGGCGTAGGCAAGTGAGCGCCATCTTCGCTTCCTCTATGTTGGGATCATCTTTGCATATCAGGTCTTTATCACGAATCTGCTTTTTCTGTTCGAGAAACCGGTCGATTTCTAACTTGTTGTACGTCTCCTGTGGACAGACCGTGGAGAGGAAATGTTTGACCATGGCATTTCGCCGGGGGAGACTGTCCCTGCGCCCTGTAGCTGCTCATCCTCCTCTTCCTCCGCCTTGCTTTGGGAACGGCACTTCGAAGGGATGGCTTCATCAACTTCGTCAGCCCGGAAATCGATTTCACCCTTTATGATCTTGAACAGAGTGTATTTGTGCTTGATCTTATCTGGTAGCGTAAGGAGGGACAATTTCCCGCCCTTCACATATAGAGCTGCCGTCATCGCTTTCACTGTCAGAGGCTCCCTGTAGCGCCGTATCCAAAGACCGATCTCATTGATCTCTAAGATTTCTGTCTCGGAGCAGTGTTTATTGAGTCCTTCAATTTCGCTTCTAACTTGCGTTATGCGTCCCTTGCGTGCATTTGTCAGGGCATTCTCGATATCGGATTCATATTCCCGCTTGCTGATATCGTCCAGAGCAAGATTGATCCTGAAGTAATCACCCTGGGTTGCTTGATAAAGCTCGTTGCAGACTTTCGTCCGTAGCTGTGATATTCTGGGGCGTGTCGCATCCTTGAACGCTGGCATTGAATCCATTCTCCACCGGATAACGTTTTCCACATCCGGCCGATTCTTTGGGCTAATGGGGATGGAATCGAAGGAGATGTCTTCCATTTTAGCCAGATGCTGGAAACATTGTGCGTCGACAGTCAGGAGTACACGAACACGTCGACCTGACTTCAGGGCGGACGCGCGTTTCAGAAACCGTAGCATGCCTTCTCCCATCTGACCAGTCAGGCCGTCGATAACAATGTAGAACTGGACGTTCATTTCATGCAGATCTGAGTTTTCAAAGAGCAGCTCGCTTGAGATGTTTGCTGGATCGAGCTCTCGGCGCTCCTCACATATTCTCGCGACGGACTTTTTATAGAGCCTCTCCATCTGGGTGAACTGCCAAACAATGGACTTTGCCGAGGTCTCGAGGTTCATGGCATTCTTCACAGCTTCTCGCGCAGTCCCCTCGAAGAAATAATATGCCGTGGAGGCTCGGGGATCTGTCTCGTTTGCTGATTTCTTGTGAAGCAGATGATGGATGATTGCCGAGGCAAGAAAGCTCTTTCCGGAGCCACTGCCACCCTCAATCGCCAGGATATTCGCTTGGGACTGACCCTTCTCCCAGTTGGCAAAGACTGGTTCCCTGAGTATCCACTGGCCTGTGTCCGGTAGTCGCTGATTCAAATATTCACGATACCTGGAGCGCCAGGTAGGCGTCGGCTCACACGCAAGCCCTAATGCTTTGATGATAACTTTTTCTCTATTTGCTTCCATGTCCAAGGCGTGCCTCTCAGAGACAAGCCCCTCCACCCTCAAGGTCGCACGATATCCATCATGTGCATTCTTAAATGTTTGGGCCAAGACCAACAACTTCTCTTTGTTGGTCAGTTTGTCCATTTCGTTTAGTAGTGAGCTGATGCCATTGTCGCTCAGAAACATGACGCGAGTAAACACTTTAAGTTTTCCTGCAACTGATCCGCGCAAGGCTACAGCTTTCCTGCATACTTCGATGAATAACTTGAGTGACTGAGCACACAGCGCGCGCAAGTTCTTGTCCATTCGCCCTTCGTAGTAACCTAAGCGGGTTAGGTAATCCGCGCACTGATCGAAAAGGCTGTCCAAAGCATCGTATGCACCCTGATAGCCCTTGAAAGTATCAATGACGAAGTTTACGACATTGTAGCAGTCCGTAGCAGGTGCAAAAACCTATCCCTGTTAATCAACGAGCATTGATGGGGGTGTATATTATATGAGAATCTCTTCAAGTATGTGTATTACCTTCGACGCTACACTCGCAGCAGCACCACCAATTTTCTGGATTGCACCCAAGACGTGTTGAAAACCGTTCCAAATCTTGTCTTTCCTGCTGCTCGGGGCTTCGTTTAGATTTTTCAAAACATCAGCTATGCCTAGGCTGCCGTCAATGGGTTGTCCCCGTTGTTTAGCGAGCTCCTTCACCATGTTGTGGGCGTCAAGCCAGGCTTGTGCATATTCATCGTCCACAGGCATATCCGTAGGCTTTGCGACAACATTGGAGGCGTTGCTGGTAGGAACTTCAACTTCGTGCGTTGGATGTCCATTTGGCTGCGGCGACCTTGCGGGTGACTGCGACTGAAACGGCTTCGGTTGTTCCTGCTTCTCTGATACCGGCGCAGGCAGCGTTGAACGGGGTTGTTCTGCAACAGTTGCATATGGAGGAGTTTCTTTGGTTTGATCTTTTCCAACGGATTGTTCCAAGGGGAACGCCTTCTTCCTCTTGAATTTGCTAAAAATGGCCATGATGGGGTGTCACTGCTGTCGGGAGGAATTACTTGTGAGCAACCTTCGGATTGATCAAATGGACTCCAATGTCTCTTTTTGTTCCTGTGCTGCGTGCAGGGAGCTCAGCTCGCCACGCATTCGCCTGAACTCAATGGCGCTGTGCGCAGGGGGTTCAGCCAGCCCCTCATTTGCATGGACTCAATAGCGCTAATGCATGACGATGGAGCTGCTGTGTTGATTGGCATGTTCACTACTGCATTCGGAAATGTTTGTCTAGTTCCAATTACAGAGAGAAGTGGATACGTAATCGACTACCTCGTTCTCCTTCAAGGGGCGGGTCAATCGGCAGAACGCGTTCTCGGCCAGCGCCAACCGCCTCACCATACCAGATCAGTGAGGTGATTGGTTAGGAAGATCAAACATTTCACGCATTGTTAAAATCGAGTCATCTCAATCCCACTTCTAATTTATTTCAGATACTTCTAGCTCCAGCCTATTACGATTTTTTTGGTTTATGTTATGGCGATGCAATATGAGATGTTAATAGGCGTCATACTTGTACAAATGGGAGAAATAACTGTCTACTATAGCATACAGTGCTTGGTTGCACAGAATACGCGGTTACCGGTTGCGCATCAATCCAAAGGCCAAGCTCCACACGGTGAGGCGTCTTCAGATATGATATACTCTGATCAGGCTGTATCTCAGTGTCTGTACAAAAACATTACCAGGTACAGTTCGGTTCGTGTTTTTGCCTCTCAAATTCTGTCCCATCTATTCTCTTCTGCCATAATTCATAGACTCTTGCTCGTTTTCTTTGTGCATGTCTCGGTCCCATGTCCAGCGATTCCTTTTGAGTTGCTCAGAGAGCTTCTTCCTCAGGATCTTCGTGTCTCTTAACACTGAGGCTACAGGGGGTATCGAAGCTCATAAACATGCGTTCCTGCAGAGCCAAAGACAATCAATGGTTAAGTTTATCCACGACGCACAACTGAATACAGACTAAGGGAGACGCACTTCACGTGGTTCGGTAGTCGTGGGCTGCGAATCGCAGGCCGGCTCAGATTTGTTGATGTCAGCTGTGATCTGGGACTCAGGGTTGTCTGTAAATGATGGTGTGGTATCCAGCTTAGAAGCATCCTGCTGTTCTTGCTTTGGATTCGAAGACATGATTGCTGGTTGAAGGAGTAAGTGATCACAAGAGTATGATAGAAATCGGTACACAGATAGAGACGGCAAGATATAAGGGGGGATCTAGTTATGAAAGTGATCTGTATTATTAAAGGCGATGACTTGTGGTGGCTTACATCCGAGCAGCTGAAGTCTGGAAGATATCCTTGCAAACCAAGTATGCAACTGTGCAAATGTGGAATGTGGGTCCCCAATTCATAGCAGATCAATCCTTTTTTCCCCACAATCTCAGCTGAAGATTTATGGTCAAGCGACGAGAGATTTAAAGTTACCTTACATTTGATTGGATGCCACTTATCACCACCACGCGCTAGTTTATAAGCATCAGCCAATGCGAATCGCAGATTTGAATACCGATCGGAAAGCCCGATTCCACCCACATACGTAATGCCTATTACTGCCCGCGGAGAATTTAAACCATAGGTTTTGGCGACAGCTATGACGCGCAAGTCCAAGTTCTCGCGAGGGATAGGGAGCCGTAGTGAGTTGCTATCTTTCGTTCCTCGGTCCCCACCTAGTCAATCCGTATCCCGTAACCCGGCCCAGCTCTGAGGCCTGTGGGCTATCACTTCATTCGCATTACAGAAATATAATAGAGGCGAGATACGAGAACAAACCCCACAAGTGCTGCTTGTAGTAGCAACAATGACAATTCGAAAGAAGCAGCGGTGATAATCTCAATACATGTCTCAGCATGAGAATAGATACATGGAAACAATTTCGTGAGTGACGTATTAAATACAGTGATTATTGAGTTGGGTCTCCCCGGATATGGTATAGCTGTGATGAGACAGACGTCAGCACAATAAGTAGAGCACACATATACCATAATGCCGAGTGCAGCGATGCACTTTCCCAGATTAGGAATGCTATAACCGGATGCAGTGAGTCGCCATCACTTCAGCTTATGGACTACGTAGTAAGCTGAGTACGGTTGCACCTTTCATATCAGTGTGGGTTCGGCTTTACCGAAGATACTAATGTTCGCGAATAGGAACCTCCGAATGGGGCCTCGCATTGTTATGACCTTTTCTCATACCCCATATCCCAATTTTCACATGTTTCGCGACTGGTAAACGTGATCGTTGTTTATAGCTGCCTCCATATTCTGAGATGCTTCACTAACAGTCAGGCAGATTATTCTAGGCAGCAGAAAATAAAAGGGCCTACCAATATCAATTGGTGTAAAGACATGTATGACAGTCTCTTTAAAGTCAAAGTCGGGATGCATCCTTTTTTTATAGCCTAAAGACCGGAAAAGCACCCCAAACGGACCAATAGACTGAATTAAAGGATGGCTGATCAGGACTGATGGATGTTCAACATCAGTGGGGCTAGAACAAAATCGATGGGATGCAAAAGCAAAAGGTTGCGAGGCGATACACAAGAAATAGTCCACTACTGCAGGTTAAGCATGAAACGAAGTCTGGAGATAGGTTCTTGCACTAGCCCAAAGATTACGCAACAAGCTAGCTCAACCTCCAGGAACCAATTCAAACCGTTTCCCTCTGTGATTTTACCCGGCCTTATTCTCAGACTATTCGCCGGCGGCCATTCATAACTCATCTCGGATAATCATCGGGAAAGGCATCTCAACCTGCTAAGAGAGGTGTAACCCAAACAAGTGTTAGGATTAATTGTTGCCGTACAGTTATTGACTACTGGCTAGGCATTAAAGCCTCAGCCCCGTGCAATGTACCTGCTTCTGAAGGGCACTGACAATCTGGAGGCTGGATTTTCTGAGCAGCGAGCAATTGCCTCTTGAATTCTACTGGGGACGGCATGCCAAAAGTGTTCTAATCAACCATGTCATGTATCTGGGGGTTATTTTCAATTGGGCTGGGCTAGTGTTTTGTCTGTTGCAAGAAAAAGCCTAAGAGAACTTGACCACGTCATGATATCTGTATAAATGCATTAGGGAGATATTCTTAGCATTATAACTGAAATGATAATCCTCTCCCTAAAACATAGTTAGTGGACACCATGTGACTGATAAGGCCCAAAAAATCATATAATCGAGTCAATGGATCTAACATTAACTGAGTCTAGCCGATCACAACGCAACGGTTGATCGCGGTTGTATATGCATATACACAACTCATTTTGGCAGACACTTCCTGACCAAAAGGCTCTCCCCCTCCACCTGATGGAGATGGATGATCTCCATGCGGACAGCGACGTCCCGGGAACGCCGCACATTCTGGAAAACCCTGATTCCTCGGAGCCGCCTACCACTCCCAGCCCCCTCATCTGCAACTCTTCGGAAAGGATAGCACTACTATACCCATTCAAGATTCCTACAGCGCCGTCAAAACCTGCACCTAACAAGCCAGTTGCCCAGCTCATCTACCAGCGGGTGACTGCGGTAGTAACTGATCAACTCCTCCTTTTTAAGAATTGAAAGCTGGCGCTAACCTCGCTCGCAGAGGCATTTGACGCAACGGTATCCTCACTACAGGGCCGACCGAAGGAGCTTGCAAAGGGACATTCATCTAGCTCGCCAAGTTAGCTAAGCAATGCTCCCCCGGAAGTCTGCAGTAGCTCCCCTCCAGTCGATTAGGCAACCAGGTCAACTAGCCCAGCCAGAAGCCCGTCTAGCCAGGCAGACTCCCAGGCACCATCCTAAGCCTCGCTAGCCACTCCTAAGACAGGCAGAAAACCGTGGCAGGCTATTACTCTTAAACCCAATACACGAGAGAAGCAATAGCCAACGTGGGAGAGGCCTCAGCAATCAGGACCCCCGCATCTTTCTCCGCCTCCCAATTTCCTCTGGCCAACGCGCTGTCGGTCCCCATGGAATCCTAATGACTCTATCAGAGAAGATCTCCGGTGGAATTACGCGTATTCAAATCATACCTAGAGGTTATGCAATCTCAGTGAATGAGGAAGGAGGAGCCTTCCTACTACCCGCCCAGGCTAAGGAACTAGCCGGAGATGAATATTTTGAGGCCCCAATGGATTACCATCAATATATCATCGCCCGAATTCCTTCGCAGCTCTGGCCCCTCGATGGATGAGATATTTACAACGTTGTTGTTGCTGATTCATACAGTGTCCCCTCGCCTGAGCGATGTACAGGGTAATACTATATCCACACTCTATGTATACCTATTCATTATAAACTATCACTTTCCTGACAAAATAGGAGCCTTATCAAAGTCTATAATAGCCAGTGCCTGGAATTATATTTTACTATTCTTATAATGTATAAGTTTCGGGATCCCTGCAATACTTCCGCAAAGTCTAGGACTGCTCTGAGTATACTATTATTTTATAGATGATTTCTGTGATAGGATCTACTTGTCAGGGCAGAAAGCCTGTCGACTAGGTAAGGAATCAATCACTAAACGCCATAGATTCGTATAGACATGGCAGGGCGAGCCCGCCACCAGCGGGCTCGCCCGGGCCGAGCCGGATCCTGCTGACTAAGACCCGCGAGCCTGAAGTCACTAGCCTGGACCCGCCCTCCGAGCTTCGAGCCCCTTCTATAGTTCTGGTATTTTAAAGCCCCGCTCGAAATTACCCATCTTCCTCACATGGATACTGCACAGGCCATATCCTGGTTACACAAGAAGTGATTCTTTATGCAGAGCTGCGCATAAGGGTGTGGAGTATATTGTGTCTAATAGCCAATGGTATTATGGTTTGGGTAGCACAATCATGCATGTCAGCTTCTGCACAGACCATGTTGAAGAGAGGCGCTAATGCACGGTGTTGCAGGTTGATGGCTCTAAATAGGGAGCTAATGCACATGGTTGCATATGGGATGGCTCTAAATATGGAGCTAATGCACAGTATTGCAGGTCGATGGTTCTAAAAGTTGCATTCATGCCCAAGACTGCATATAGGATGGCTCTAAAATCAGTACGCATGCACGGTGTTGCAATGCGATTGCTCTAAAAGATGCACTAATGCACATGGGTGCAGGACAGTCGCTCTAAAACCTACCACTAATGCATGGGCCGACTGAATGGCTATACGAATGGCGCTTATGCACAGTGTTGCAGGTTGATGGCTCTAAAATGTAGATCACCACGTGATGTGTCCAATCATATGTCATTTGTTACCTGCTACAATCGACCCACAGAGTATGGAGATATTGGGACTGGGGTCAGTTACCTGGACTACTGATATTTTCCAGAAGCTGCTGCTTTATATATTATAGCGAAGAAGAGCATGCCACAATTTGTAGCCTATGCCACTGCATTATATTTTAGCTCTGGAGGAGAACATGCATTAGGTAATCTACTATTGATCGCCAGCACAAGGACCAATGATTGCACTTTGTCACGGTCGCATATTTCCACTTTGGGTCATTCACTGATATCTAGTCAATGGATGTACTCTAAGTAAGATACATTAGTCGTAAAGACATTATACTACAGCTCAAGGATGCTGACCAGCTCGACATCATGTACTGAAAACCCCGCAGTGCTAGGCTCCATCTTCATCCATATTACCATTAAGCTCGTCCAAAGTATCACCCATCGACGCCATAATGCAGGCCAGAGCTGTGTCCATGCGGCTTAGTTAGTCTCACAGACAGTACGAGCAAACAGAAATGAAGAACTGTCGACAAAGCGGCGAGCGCAGACGCGTAAAAGCGAGCTCGTATTCCAACCTAAGGATATAATTCCGTACGCCTCACATGCAAGGTAGCTATTCGCTGTAGGTAATTCGTGGTTATCCCTTTTTTGGACTACTATAACCTGTCTCGGGGGTGTATGCCTGCCAGGTTCTTTCCTGCGGGGGTCCTAGTCGTCGCAGTTATTGTCGTCGTGGTTGGTGTCCTTCATCGGCAGGCTGCGCATTTGGCCATGGTTTGACATCCGGGGGGTCTTTCCACCATGGAAAGACAACAGATAGAATGTGGAGCGGCTGGTAGAATTAAGAATAAACAAATCGGCCCCAATCTGCAATTATATGCTAAATTGTAATAAGCACTCTTTATCTCTGATTGCCAGCACACTCTACTGGTCGATAGTCATCTCCTCTTCCCTCCTTTGGTGAGAGTATAATTCAAGGGCTAATTTCCTATGCCTTCCTCCCGATTGTTTGCTGCATGCTAGCTCTCATCTTCTTGGAATAAAGACTGGCTGTCAGAAATGCCTGCAGAATTCTTACTTCCAAGAATGGGATGGGGGAAATCCGTTTTAAACTTCCTGGTCCGTAAGTCGATGTAGCCCCAATCACTGCAGAGAGCCTGGAACTATTTCCGTTTTCGTTCTGTTTGAAGACTTGTATATATTCACTGTTCACTGTGGTTTAGTTTCCATATCGGTAATGACAGTTCCTAGCCATCCCCAACGACAGCAAGGGGAAATGTTGCTCCTAAAAGACAGCTGACCGTATCCTGTTTCTCAGCAAACATAGTCCAGCGAAGATGAGGACAAGCTGCCACATTATTTGCATAGTCTGTGTCACCATCCAACCGTCCCTGTCACTGATCATGCCGGTAGAGATGACCATGGACTAAGGCTTGGGCTTATGGCTATGAAAGTCAGCTACAAAGCAACATTGCGAACGTCTCTCTCGGTCAAGAGTTGAAAAACTGATAATAGCTCGCGTGCAAAGTATATATTCTTTCCGGACACGACAAGCTTTTGAGTCGATGTGCGAATATAGTGACGAGAAGCCAATGACTGCAACAACATGGTCCCAGAACAATCACGATACTTGCATCAAGCGACGGCCATCATTTGTCGTGTGGATACACTGGTATTTGGCATCACCGCAGCTAACGCCATGTGATCAACCCTGCGGCCCGCGTAAGTGGTTTAATTGATGACTTTCACGAGGCAGGGTTTTGGTTGTGGGATCTCCGAATTTGAATTCCATTCTTGTGGCGTGGTCTCGTCTGATTCTAGTCCTTATAATATGCCTCGTTGGTTTCCAATTCTGATAACTTCGCCTCGTTTGAATCCCTTTTAGCGAACATCCATTCTTTCGTGGCCTGTTTCTTCGAGGAGTGGCCACTCTGCATCAGCCACAGCGAACGCATGAATGGAGGAATAACCCACAATTTGATGTAGGGCTTTTGTAAAGCAAAATCAGCTAATCGTTGATAGACCGCACGAGGCGCTCGAGAGCATAGTACCTGTTTCTGGTAGCGGCTGCCGAAGATTGACTGTCTCCTCCAATCCTGTGAACATAAGCCTTGCTCGTCTCTTTTTATCTGCTTTTTCCCCACCGGTCCAGTACCACGACTCGCAAGCCCACATGCATTGCTGGCTTTTTGTCTCGGCGTCGAGATGATCTGTATGTCTTGGCCGTGGTTCCACCAATAGGTATAGAGAACATACCAGACCTATCATAGAATAAGCTTGTCAAAGTCCAACTGTTGAAGAGTAGAGACTCCCAGTTATAGCAGTCAGTTTCTATGCCCGATATTCTTATGTATACTCCGCGTGCGTCTTGCCGAGCATGTGGCATTGAAATATCAATGATATCCTGCTCGCCTATATATTTGAGATCACGAGGGCTCTCTAAGATGTTCGGAGAGTAGTAGTAGTGACGGTGACAAGGAGGATGAAGCGGAGCTCTCGACTGCCAATGATCCTCAGAGTCATACAGTATTTGCTAGCATGGTATTTCAAGCGTTCAACTTGAGAGAAGGGGTAGGAAATACCATATTCTCTGGTTTTTCGTGTCATACGCAGCCGTCGTCGCTAAGCTTTGTAGACGTCTGTCTTCCATCATTGGGTTCTCCTTCCAAGCCACAGCCAGAATTGCTTGTAGCTATCCACGCTCCCGACACATGTGTACTTTCCCGAACCTCTTCAGGACATCACGCAATTATATCAGCTTTCAGAATGTATATATATATATATATATAGCGCTTCCATCCCACGCTAGCTGCTTCTCCGTAATTTTTGTCCAAGTGTGGCGCTGATCAAACCACTAACAGGTGATCTCGTAATGCCGTTTCATGGGAATATGGTACAGTGCGCGAACGGATAAACCGTCAGACAGCAGAAGCAGGGACATTTATCGGTTCGCATATCCAATCGTAGCTTATCTGCTGCGCCTCTCGCTTGATATGGAGGGGTCATGAAGAACGACTCCATCATTTGTAACCCTATCCATGCACCTTTTGTAGCGTCAAGTGCCGGTAGCCCTCTTCTGTCCTTCTTTATTCGAAAACTTTTCACGATTTCTTTCTCGCAGATTGCACCAAACAGTCGGAGTTCTGCAAGCATTTTGAGTCTCTGCGGAGGTAAATATGCCCCCTAATCTTGGATAGTGGTAAGTTCTTCTTCCAATAATTATAAGGTGTTGTTCAGCCGGTACTTCTCCAAACCAGGCTATGGGAGTTGGTAAATTCGTAGGAGAAAGCCATGAATCCATAGCATAGCTTTTGGTCCCGCATGTGTCTCCAAAGATCCAGAAAATGTCAAGCCCAGCGTGGGTAGCAACCTTTTCTCTATGTAGTAGATTATTGTGAGGTATGCTGTATTGGTGGATATACACTTCCAATGAGCGGTACACAATATTCATGTGTCTGTATGAAGCAACCACTGGAGAGTCCATCATAATCACGGATGGAGCCGTTGATGTTGTCGAATCGAGAAGCCATCGAAGATTCCTCAATTCAGGTCTTTACAACAATAGCCAATTACTGCCTGCCTCTTCGAATTATATCTCGAACGTTTCTTCAATCTCTTCGGTTTTGAACCTTGTTATAGATAGAATAGGAAGTTTCTAAAGGCTTTTTTCTCTTCTTTTTGATTGGTAGATGGCGGTTTTCGCGAGCTTGAATAGGTGGTCAATGTTATAGAAAATTCTCCTTGGCACCGTATAGTAGTTATATCACGATCTCCATTCTTCGAATAGAGTGATACTGGTATAGAAGGCATGCTTAGGGCATGCTAAATGTGTGTGTATTGCGTGAAGCTGTTCGTATGGATTTTGTAGCGATGTTTCTGCTTGAATACTTGGAAAGTGTATGGTGTATGGAAATGACAATGATGATAGAGACGAAGATGTTGAAGAAGAGAGTCAAAGGGGTAGGGGATCATGAGTATTTATGCTACGCAAATGGACGGGGAATGATGGTAGCTTACATGGAATATTCTCCATTGCATATTGAGTCCGGTGAAATTGGGAGTGACATACATTGAATTGCATATACTGTGGCTTTCAAAGTTGTGAATATGAATATTCTTCCCTTGTTGGAAGCATATGATTCCAGTCGGGACAGGGGGCGCGAGCATCATCCTATTTCCAATAGTCGGATGGTAATTCCCTGAGCCTTTGCATGTTTCCCGAAAATTTACTGTTCGATATTCAATTATATCTAGAAACCCGCTACGGTATCTTCCTGGTCTTGATGATTCTGGGGTATTCATTATGTATACTGGAATTACCTCTCGAAACACTCACTATCTGTCAGTGACGGTATCACCAAGAATTGCCGTTCAGCTTTTTGTGCTACCAATGACGGGTGTAATACATTTAATATACATCAATTCAAACTGCAAAACAATCCTATCCTACATTATCAATAACGCCAGCTTTCCCAATTCCCCAAACGCATTTCCCTCACATAATCCTCCAAATAATAAAATTAAGGCACAACAGCCGACAACCCCACCAAGAACCCAGCGAGTGGCCACACAGCCCTAGCACCATTAAGTAACGCCCATCTGTTCAACAAACCCAACACTCTCTCCCCCTCCTGGGGATCCTTCTCCTCCTGTACGCCCACCTTCGCCTTCTCCATCAAGGCATTATTCGTCCCCTTCATGGCCAGAATGGTCCACGGCACGATCGCAATCGTCAATGCAGCAGAGATTGCATACGTAGTGGTAGCTCCCCGTGGTGCGATGGCCGCCAGCGTACTCTCTGCCCTCGTCGCCCAAGATAGATACAAGAGGGTGGTGGCGGTGAAGAGAGCAATTGGGGGAGCGCGGTTCTTTCCCGTTTCGTAGACAACGGCCCACTGTTTTGCGATTGTTGATAGGGGAATATTGTGCTCTCTGTGGGATTGAAGAAGGGCTGGGACTGTCATCAATGATAGGGAGAAGATGTTTCCTGTATATATCATTGTTAGTTGGGGTTTGGTGGGTTGAGGATGGATGGGGAGTAGTACCCGAGAGCCAAGCGGCGCCGCTGAGGCCGATTGCTTGGGCTATGCAGAAGCTTGTTGGGAGGGTGTCTGTCGTGTACATGGTGTGGTACTATTATGCAGGTGGTGAGATGTGGATTGTGGATTGGGTCTGGAATGCTTAAAGTTGGATGGATGAGTGTGATGTGGCTTATATATGAATGCTACTGAGGAGGTGGAGTCATGATGCCATCGGTAAGCTTAAATATTTGTTTCGGGGCCTAGACTTGTAAACTTGTTCTGGCGATTGCAGCGTCCACTTGACTACTACAATAGTATGCAAGATAGATAGTGAGTCAGGCCATTCTAAATTCTCGCCCCGCATTCTTCCATATGTGGTTGGTGGAAGGAAGTTGACTGGTTGGTAGTGTGGATGCCTCGGCTTTTGGCGGGTTTTGGACCGGTCGGGTTGGGTTTTGCACCGGTCGGGTTGGGTTTTGGAGTCCGTGATGTTCATCCATATCAAGTGCAGATGCAGCAACACCAATTATTCTGTCTAAATGGACTAGTGTCTAGTACAAAATTATCATGCTGATTCAATATAGACTGTATCTACGCAGTATATATTATCAATTCTGTCCCTACTTCTATCTCACCTGTCCTCCCACCACTACGCAACTGCTGGCACTAACATCAAGCACTACAAAGTCAACAAACACCAACAATCACTACATTCACATACACACCATCAGATTAGATTTGGACACGTCGACGCGTCTTGATGCAGATAAGTGGATTTTCGCGATGCTTCAACATCTCGACCAGCCATGGTGTATAATTGGCCTGTTTAACAAAGATGTCTCTGATATCCTTTTATCTGATCAATTTGAACCCATTGTCAGAAGTGAATAGGACAAAAGGAGGCGAGGTTGATCCAGAGTGAATAAGTACTCTAGAGAGCATCCCCAACCGCAGCACAACAAACCAATTATCTTCTCCATGTTGATCAAATTATCAAGAACAACGTGTCTACCTACTCCATAGTAATCACCAATAACGCTTTCAGTCACTCGCAGCATAAGCAAAGAATCTTTTCCATACTAGCCAAGTTCAGCCCCGAAACTTCCAGGATCTTACTGTGTCCCGACTAGTCCCAACTTAGTAAGTATTGCGCAGCTCGTTATGTAAGCCTCACAAGGCTGACTGTCAGACACCTGACACTCCAGGAACGCAATCCTCCTCTCACAAACCCCAAACAAAGAATTCTGACAGTCTGACTGGATGCCACAGCCTTCCCTCCCTCCCATGGAGACCATCAGGGATTTCAGCACCGCCTCTCTCTTTCGGCCAAGACTTTCCGAACGACGAAACGCCGGCACCTGGAAGAAAACGAATACGGAAGACAGTCTAGTTCGGACAGTGCCCGACCGACAACTTTACTACATCTGCAACTACCCATGAACAGGAGGAGGAGGAGGAGGAGAAGGAAGGGAACAAGGGGGTTGCGAGTGGTTGACACCGTGACCCGGTGAAAATTGCAGCAAACTCCGCTTAACTAACCAGCCAATCCTATAACCAGTGAACTAATAACCAATAACCAACTAATCGGAAATTCGCAACATCCTCGGCAGCGATCGTATCCGTATCCGATATCCCAATATGTGCGGGAATCATTTCATCTTTCTGCGGAAGTCGCAAAAAATTTTCCCCACAGGGGGAAGTTTTCAACAAATCAAGTATCCCGAACAACAGGCTGAATCTTGGGTCTAAACTCAACTTGCATCTGGGTTCCTTCCTTTCCCTTCCCTTTTTCCCTTCAGCGGTTCAGCCCAGTCTATGGCCCCGCCCCGCCAAGGCTATAAAAAAAATAAGCTTGAACGGTGAAAATAACTTCGTATGATGAGTGGGTTTAGGCATGTTTGACTAAGTCACTAGCTAGTTAGTTGGTCACACCCTCTCACCCACTGCATCTTGTAAGATGGTACGGAGTAGAAAGTTAGTGCCTGGATCGGCGCCCCGTGCGAGGGGAACGAATACGATCTATGCAGACAGACAGGGCTGGGAGAGAATGGAGGATCGTGTGAGTAATAAATATGCGGTCTTCTCTCAATTGAGGTGATGATATTCAATTCATCTTCTATCTATACTACTATCCTTGACATTCCCTCACTTCTTCTACTACTACCACTACCCTATACGCTAGTACTAGTAGTAGTATACAAAAATGTCCACCCAAGACAGCGACGCAGAGAGCTCTATCTCCAGCCAAACAAGGTACACACCTACCTACCTACAAACCATCCATATACTTCAATGACCATAACCTAACCCACCATGACAATCCAATAGAACAAAAACCCCCAAACACACCTTTCCCCTCGCGCACCCCCCTCCCAAATCCTCCCCCTGCCTGCGCCTCACCCCGCGCCTCCTCCTCCAAGTCCAACAACTCTCAATAACATCAAACCGACACCGCGCCCTCCCCATCCTCGAAATCTACCAACCCCCACGACTAGGGAAATCCCTCCCCAATTGTCCGCGCAAACTGCACGGCCGGGATCTCTACATCCTCCAAAGCGACGCCTACACCGACATAACCCCGAAATCCTCCTCGGAAGAAACTACCTACCCAATCGCTGCGGGGGTAATCTACAATAACACAAACACCAACACCAATACCAAGAAACCCACCACTACACAACCCCAACAAGACAATACCAATACTCCCGAAGAAAAATCCGACGAAATCTACCTCCCCACCACGCACCAATCATACACCGCAACCCGCACGTCGCGCGGCAACTACCGCTTCATCCTGCGCCAGAAAAACACGTCCGGAGAAACCGTCATTCTCGAATGGCGGAGAAAGACAACACAGGGTTCCGGACGGCCAAGAACCGCCTCGGGCTCCGCATCGGCGGTGTCGGGATCAACGGACTCCGATACCATACACGATAATAATGGAAAGGCTTGCGAGGAGGAGACGACGAACGACCCTAGTAGTTCCGATGCTAACCCCCGGTTTGTGCTGTGCGTTAGTGCCATCGGAGGAGCAGCTGGTGCTGGCGTCGGCGCCGATCAGCGTGTCAGACGGTCGGGGCTGGCTGGGCTAGAGAAAAAGGGGTTGAGGGTTGGCGGGTGGGATGCGAGACAAGTGCGGTTTTTGGAGGAGGTGGGGATAGGTGTTGGAGAGAAGGTTGTCACGCTGGTTTTGACGCTGGGGGTGTATGTTGGGTGGATGGAGGGATGGTTGTAATACTACTTACTATTTACTTACTACTTACTATCCTGTGAGTGTGTGAGTAGGAGTAGGTGGTTTCAGGGGCATCCTTGGTCGGTGTTTGGTTTGTTCGGGTGTTGTTGGTGGGAGTCTTGGCTGGTGCTTTTTTTGGGGAAGACGGGATTCACAGAAATCTCCGCTCCGATGGCTTTCATTACTATCGCCTGGAGACTGCATATTTTTATTTTTTTGCATAGCGGGTCTACTATGGATAAATTTGTGATACCTGGGCAGATTTTCATTCTCAATAGATTGTTGAGTTGCGACATTTATTGCAGCTGCTCGACTTGGTTTTCCAATTATATCTGCTCCGTACCTATTTCCTTTGTCTTCGCCCTACCGCCAAGTCTCTCACTAACCGTCGTAGGAAGTGACGCCAAGTTCTAGCGCCTTGATCTGTAGCGCCAGCAACCGCGAGAAATACCGACAGACGGCCAGATTGCCGCCCATGAACCACAAGCCTGGGTGTCCGGTCCGCCGCCACATGCGCATTTCGCCCGTCTCGTCGAATCCCCAGACATCCTTCACCTTCGCGCCCTCTTTGCCGAACACGAGTTGTGCTTGGGTGGCCATGTTCTGATACCCAGTCGCCAAGATGATCTCGTCCGCCTGGAGCTCCGATCCGTCCGCAAACCGCAGTCCGTGAGGGAGGACCTCGGTAATCTCCTGACCCTGCTTCACCTTCACCTTGCCGTCAATGATCAACTGGCTGGCCCCCACGTCGATATAGTAGCCTCCGCCACGTTGGAGGTATTTGATGAGCAGACCCGCACCGTCTGGACCGTGGTCCACCTTGAACCCGGCCCGCGCCAGGCCCTCCAACGTCGCTCGGTCATTCTCATTCTGACGCTTGGTGACCTTGATTTGCTGTGCTTTAAACAGCTCCGCCGGAATACTCCAAAGGTAAAGGTCGGCTTCCTCGGTTCCGGGTCCTGCTTCCTCGTACAAGCCTTTGAGGCCGATTTCGACGATTGACTCTGAGGAAACCACGCAGGTTGAGCTGCGCTGCACCATCGTCACGTCATATCCGTTCTCATAGTAATCTTGTGCAATGTCGTTGGCGGAATTGCACGCCCCAACCACCACGGCTTTTTTACCTTTCGATCCGGGCTTCGCACCGCGAAACTCGCTGCTATGGCAGATGAGGTCGCCCTGGAAGGAATCCATGCCCTTGAAGTCAGGCACATTCTTCTTTCCAGAATGGCCGGTGGCCTGGATGATATACCGGGGGTTCAGGGTACGATTCTCCACCGTACCGTCCTCCTTCCGCCGCTGCAAATCCAAGGTCCACTGCTTTTCTTTGTCGTCCCATGAGGACCCCTTGATGTTGGTCTTGGTCCACACATTCAGCTCCAGTAGCTTAGCATAGCAGTCGAACCACTCGGCTATCTTGTCCTTTGGAGTGAAGATCGGCCAATTAGGCGGGAACGGAATGTAAGGAAAGTGGTCAAACCACACAGGGTCATGCAGGACCAGCTGGTGGTAGCGTTGGCGCCAGTTGTCCCCAATATTCTCCTCTCGATCGATGATCAGAACGTCGATGTTTAGCATCTTAAGACGGGCCGCAATGATGAGACCAGACTGGCCAGCACCTGTTCGGGTCAGCACCTAGAATAGCAACAAGTTGTTGGATGAGTAGCATACCGACAACCACAACAGTCGGAGACCGGTCTTTAGCCTCGATTTCGGCCGTCCGACGGTCTTTCCAGTTCTTTCGATCCAAGCTTTCGCCATGCTGTGCTCCCAGGGGCCTTCTGAAGTTCACCGCTTCTGGGTGGTCGACAAAGCTCTCCATGGACGTATAGAAGGTGAAAATTTTCCACTCGCCGTCCTTTTCTGCCAGCCGAACGATACCCTGTCCAGTGATCAGGGGGCTAGAGAGCGTAATGTAAAACAGGATTCCTGTGACGTCGCCAAAGGCATCGATAGGGCCAACGTAGGGTCCTCGGAACGCGGTCGAGCGGTCGATCTCAACTTTACTCGGAAGACGGCCAGACTTGAGAAAGCTTTGAATGTTTTCTCTGCCTTTCGCAGTGTAAAAGTCCCATGTTAAGCAGAGATGATCTCGCCAGTAGGCATCTTCGAGGAACAGGTCGGAAAGGGACTGCACGTCTCCTTTGCTAAGAGCTGTGTTGATCTTCTCGACTAGCTGTGAAGCGACCTGGTCGGCATTGACATCGGTCGAAGAACATGTCTGGGGAAATGTGCCAATGGGGACATTGACCGAGCCGGTGGAAACATCTTCAGAAGGCATTGTGCCTGGTGTGATGAAGGGATTGGGAGCTGAGAGTAGAGCGGGGGTGGTATTCCTCTGTGCGGGTCAAAGAGGGGAAGACGCCGGATTTAAATCAGCGGGGGTAGTACCCGCCCCGCTTCTGGATGCCACAGCTGAGCAACGCAGCAGCCATGACAACTCATTGAGGCGTCAATTAGCGTGGTTAGTCAGATTCGTATCTGCACACTCGATATTCAGCTCGTTCCGGTCGGAGTAGTTCTTCAAGCTAGCTCAATGTGCTGTGGCGGCGCCAACCTGGCCTGTGGGATCGGCAGGTTGGACACCCCGCACTCTTGCGGGTCTGGATTCTGCACATCTCTACAACAAGGCCTCGAAGAGCGAGGTCACAGCATAGCACAGTTATATTGTGGTGAAAAGACTCAAGTATGTGAAATGATGAGTGGTGACATCCTGCTCTGAATAAGGACAGATGGCAAAAGGTAGAAAGAAAGGGAGTATGATTGTCGACAGAGGGAAAGGAGCCCAGCCGGGAACCTGACCCCGCAGGGAATCCCACCTTCTCCCTCAGGTTCCGCAATCGATCCCACCCTGCATAACCTGTGCTACTTTGTACTTACCGGAGTCCATCCCCATGGAATTGGTGATGGGTCTTTCTCTCTGGGTCGGTATATCCATATTGATTCTGGATCTGAACCAGACGAATAGTGCGGGTTCCACTCATGGTCCAGGAACCCGAGCGTCTAAGCGACTTCGGAGGCTATCTGGTGGCAGGGAAGACACTGCCAACTGCTTCACTGCTTCATCTTTGTCGCTCATCAATTATGTCTGTCAGGTTCATGCTGCATCCTAGGTTTATTTATTGCCCTGCGTGCTTCTGTCTCATTATTCAACTACCCGAAGGAACCGACGGATATTGTCTCTTCCAAGATGAGTCCGTCACACCCAACCACCCTTGCATACGACCCACAGCTACCTACACTGCATTTACCAGTATGGTAAGCGTGCAGGCTGCATCCGTGAGCAAACCGGCCGCTATCGGAATCAAGTACGATCATTTCATTGATCAAGGTTTTGCCTTTCAGCGCTCAGCTCGCTGACAAAGGCATGCCATCTCACCATCCATTATCGACAATCGCACCTACTATCCACCTAAGTGGATGTCTTGTCCAGCCCATTCAGCTAGCCACTGCAGATCATAAGCACTCAAAACACCTATCTACCTCTCTAGGCCAAAGAGCGGATTTCCTAGCATTCTTATTGGGGAATTCCCCATCCCTACGACAACCCCGACCCACGACATCCTAGCCGCCTGTCCACAGTCGCAGAATCGGCATCAACAATCCCCAACCCCGCCGAATGGAGCATCTGCAGGTGGGATTGTGATGGCCTGCGTGGCACGGGACAGCCGACCAATCAATTTTTCTTCAATAGACATGATGCTTGACCACGTACTATCCACAAGTGGGGAGCTATCATCGAGGGGTGCGGAATTATCTATCATCGTGGATTTCAATGCTTCTAGCGTGAACCATTCTACGTAGTGGTGGGGCAGGGCCGATGCCGATCGACCCATCGCGACAAATGGTACTCCGTAGATAGAGATAGGAGTGGATAGGGAGGGAGCGGGGTTGGAACCAGAGATTTTTGGGAATGAGGATAAGCAGGCGGTAGCTTAGTACGTAGTAGTATAATATTAGCATTCGGACGAGAGGTCAGAGGTGGAATGCGTCAGAAATGAATTAAATTTGGACTCGACTCTTACAACTATCAACCACTGCCCAGGTACTACACTCCGTACTGCAACAGTAGCGGTTTTATATAATTCCAGTCCCACAGGATAAAGGCAGCCGAACAGCGAAGTTCACAGCAATTAAACACGACTGCCAAACTAGAACTCAGATAGAAATTATAGCCATTTGATCATGAGACTTAATTCATCGAGTAGTCGGTTTTCCGACCAGATGGTCATCCTAGGTGGTGATCATAGTATGTGGCAGACATAGATTCCAACCAATTGTAATTGCGCAATATTTTAGGAGGAATATATTATTAATAGAGGAGAATTTGACATCAACAAGCATCATTGGTCTAGTGGTAGAATTCATCGTTGCCATCGATGAGGCCCGTGTTCGATTCACGGATGATGCAATTCGACTTTCTTTTTTCCTTTTTTCGCCTTTCACTCCTCCTTCCCAGAAGAACTTTCTTTCCTTTCCCATTATTCGCCCGTCCATTTATTTTATTTTAATTTTTTTTTTTTTTTTTTTTTTTTTTTTTTTTTTTTTTTTAGTTTTTTTCAGTGGTTTTTCAGTTCCTTTCCCTTTGTTTTTGTATTTACCTTGCCCATGTGGTGGTTACGATTGCTACACCGTATATCATAATCATCCGACGCTCGTAGCTTCTGATTGTTTCATCCTATATACAGCAGTAATGCCAGAAAATAGGTGGGAAGTCACAGTCAGTCGACCCGACCACTGGCAAATATGTACAGCGAAATTAAAGTACACTTGTATGTACCCGTGAATATATACTCAAAATGAACAAATGACTCAATCGTCATGTAACAACGTCCCTCCTTCGCCTTCTGCCCTGATTCGCATATCGACTGTCCAAGCCGAGTCGACCAAGAGCCAAAGTCTCCAGCGTCTCCGTCTTGCCTCCCCACAGTTTGCCTCTACCGGATCCATCAGGCTTTCTTTGGATAGGTGGTATCCAGCATGTTACTATCGCCCCAAAGAGCATGCATCCAGCAAAGACGATCATAATGTAGCCGTGCCGCTTTACCGGTTCCTCTCCGAAACCACCACCGAAGTTGTAGTAGGCGGAAAAGACCTGAACCACTATAGAGCCGATCTTGCCAGCGCCGGCGCTAAGTCCGTGACAGGTAGCACGGTAGCGGGTGGGGAATATTTCAGCCGGGATGATGTACGTTGTAGCGTTGGGTCCTATATAAAGGTTGGTTAGCGACTTCCAGGAGAACCCTATGGTAGAGGCCGGTTACATACCAAAGTTGAAGAGCGCCTGGCCAATGACGTACAAGACAACGGCCACAGGACCTTCTTTTTGTATGGTGATAAGCATGCAACCCAGGGCGATGAAGAGTGCGGAGAGTGCGAGAAAAGAGTATTTTTGTAGAGCGACTCTGTCCAGTTTGTGGATCACTAAGATGAGGAGAAGCCCGCCGGCAAAGCTACCCACATTCAAGATGACCAGCGCGTGAGTGCAACTTGCGAAGAACATGTCATAGACGCTTGCACCAGGACTGTCGTTCGTCTCCCAGTAAGGCGCAGGCGCGCTCAAATGAATGGATCCCCAGGTTTTGGCCAAAAATTGCGGGCTGGAGAGACTGATACCATAGAAACCAAAGTCTAAGAAGAACCAGGACATAGCTGTCCCAGCTAGAGTTCGCCAATTACCTTCCACCCAGAAGTATTGTACGATGTCCTTCCACGTTAAGCGCCAGTGAGAGTTTAAAGTCGCTGGTTGAAGGATGCCGGTCTGGGATGTGGAGGATCGGTCTTCCGCCGTGATCGTAGTCAGGGAATATGCTTGCCCCGGGAAATTGTGCCAGCTTTCGGTTTCGAGAGTCGGGGAGGAGGAAACAGCATTTGGTTCGGTAAAGAGTGCGGTTGCATCGAACTCGACTTTCACTGGATCATCGTCGATCTCCATGAGGAAGCGTGGCGACTCCGGAACGAAGAACCGGAAGCAAGTTGCTATTGCTGCCGGAATCACACCGATACCAATGACGTAGCGCCACATTCTATCGACAGACATGGTCAAATCATTGGTATCTGAACGGCTGGTGGCGATGACAATCAACGACACAAGGTTTGCCCAGATCTGCCCTAAAGGTTGCATGAAGAACACCGAAGCCATCATTCGTGCTCGGTGCTTGGTGGGGGCAAATTCGCTTGTGATGACTGAACTCAAAGGATAGTCGGCTCCGACACCAATCCCGACAACTATACGCCACCATATGAGCCATGCGTAGATGCTCATCGAATCATTCTCCCCGCGGGAGGCCATAACGACGCCCAGTGTTGACGTGATCATGAGTATCAGCTCCAAGCCATACATCTTCTTACGTCCGTTCCGGTCAGCCAGGTACCCAAACAAGACCTGTCCCAGTAGCGTCCCGCCTAATGTTGCAATGTTAAATAAAGTAATCTTGATCGAAGACACCTCTTTCTTCCAGTAGACGTAGGAGATCATTGGAAGTGCCATGTTGCTTGCAAATAGGGTGTATCCATCGAGAAAGAAGCCAACGCCTGCAACAAAGACGATCAAGTATTGAAATCCCTGGCGGTCGATTGTGTCGTACACCTGCCGAGCGCGAACATCTCGATCCTATGACACCAACACAGTATTAGCTAGCAGATTCAGGATTTGTCAAGCATCTAAGACGCTCCTACCTGCTCATGCTCAAAATCCTGAGCTCGATCAGTCTTGTACCATCGCGTGCGAAACTTGCCCATGGCGGTATTGTTGGTGTTGGCGTTTGGATCAGATGTGGTAAGCCTGATGAACGATTCTAGAAATCAGATTGTACACAGATGACATCATGAAGGGCCATCGACCTGCAGGCAGAGTAGACAGAATGAATCCTGCGGCCCCCAGATCTGAGGATGAAGGTCCAAGAAAAAGGATGGCGCAACGTTGAGAGAAAGGGGAGCATGAGTCTGAGAGGGGTACTCGAGGCCCACCATGAGACCGGAGGCACAATATACTTCTCCCGGGAAGGTTTGAACTAAGCAGGGACGCGACGGGTGATTGGCGGGAGCTGTGACAGTGCGTGCAGTAGCGGCCGGAGTGGACCTCACTGCCTGGGGCACACCCGCCCAATTCCTCGCTCCACGTGCGGCACGTGCGGACAGAATGGGGCCTCATTGGGGCCCACTTGCCCACTTAACTGCCTCTGTCAGATGAACGAGAGACGCCAGTAGTAGCATGATCCCGGAGTACTTTCGGTCCCTGGCCAGGCTTCCGAGATGCCTTTCGCTGGATACGAGGCCAATTTGCCATTTGTGCCATTTGAGTTCGCCAAGTGATGAAACTTGGCTGAAGCTGAAAGCCGTCCTACTGGTTCGACTAAACACGTGTCCCTTGTGCCTCGTAAGGTTCCAATATTGTCTGATGTTTCACAATAGGGGTATATTATTGGAACTGAAACTGACGCGTGGCCGCAGAGGAGCCAAAAAAAAATGAAAGGAAAATTTATGCAAAGTACCTGAGTACCCAACGCCATCCAGACTCCTTGCTGCAGACTCGTAAACAACCAAAATCCACGATGTGATGTTAGTAGATGCTGTATCAATTTTTCAATCTGTGTTGCCCATGGGTATCGTAGTTCATGTCTATGGGGTGTATCATATTATTAAGCGGTGTGTTCTGTCAGAAATTGGCAAAAGGCTTTTCGGTCTATTGAAGCCCGTTAGCAACGGCACCCAGGAGGTTCTAAGAGGGACTCACCCAACTCATCGAGGAATTGGATAGATAATGTTCTCATCTGTGAAAGAATGTCGAAGTTGGGCTGCAGCTGGAGAACCACAGGCTTTCCTGCCTTCTTGCCCGGATTGAAGCTGTCGATGCAGTTGATCGGGATGGACACATAACGCTTCAACTCCTTCCGTTGCGAGTTGGCAAAGAAAAGCATGACCTGTTTGCCGTTATGATTACGTAGAATGCGTAGGTTCTGGCTGATGCACTCCTCCCCTCGGCCCTTGGACTTCGCCTCGGCGATCCCTGCTATGAAGACCAATTTCGAACCCAGGACTAATTCTTGGAACTGCACACAATCTGCAATCAGAAATCAGCAAGGATATAAATGCCCCTCAAGTGTTCTGCTACCCACCATGCCAATCTTCAAAGATATAAGAGATCTGTGTGAGGAACACGTTGTGGGCCGATTGAACTGTTTGCTCGTCCATGAAGGAAACGCGAAGCGACGACTCGTTCGGGAGCTTTGGATGTTCAAGGTGAGGGACTGGAAGCTTGGTGTCGTTGACTACAGATAAACACGGGGGGTTAGCATGGCCATCCGCAGTCTCTTCTCGAGCACTTACAAGTATGTATCAACGGAGTCTGCTGACCCGGTCCCCCGCCCAATTCAAGACTTTTCAAGCTTCCCGTGGCATCCTTGCGTATGTCGATACAGGTGAAGCGTAGCTTGAAGAGTTTACTGCTCCGAACGAAGGAGCTGCAACAGCCCCATCAGCGGATGTTGCCTGCATGGGATACTAGGCGATACGCACATGGTCACAGAATGGTTCAGCGGCAAACGGCAGATGTCCTCGTATAAGGAGAAGCATGAAGCCTGCCTCGACCGGGATCCAATCGAGGAAGCCGTACGACTGAGCGGAGGCGGAAATATAGGTGATGTGGCATAGCTGGGACCAGAAGAGCTCGTGGAGGAAGAGACTATGCTGTCTGGTCGAGATACGGACAACGGAAGAGGCCAGTCCTCGGCTTCCGAATGGGCGGCTGGGTGGCTCATTGCAGATGCAAGGGACGTTAAGTAGCAACGGCCCGGACCTTGAGGCGTGCACACTGCAATGTGGCGGGTAACAGACGGGCGACGATCGTGCGGATCCCCAGGAGCTGATCAACATGTGCTAGAGTTGAGGGCACTTGCATCATTCCCAATGTCGAGGAGGAGAGTTCCCACAGCACAAGCCGATCAAAAGCAGTGCAGAACGGCCGGCCCTGGTTGATTGAGACGAGGTTATAAAGCAAGTGCTTAGTTAGGCAAGTGATAAGGGAACGCTGATGCGGGTGCCATAGGAACCTTATGCCCAGGCCCAGGGCGGGGGAACCACAGACAACGTGCTCGAAAGGGGCTCTGTGATTTGAGACTCCGTCGCGGATGAGTGGAGACACATCCCTGCGGCCGGTACACCTCGTGGTGATATGGATGGTCCGTGATGCGCTTTTCTAGTTGGTGTTAGTGCTTGGAGAGGATGGATTGAATTGCTTCCACGTTATCAACCCACCTATTATACTATGCTGCTCGAGGAACTCGTGGATAGGTACCCGCCCATCCTGGAGTTAGTGCCTCTGTGCGGGTACACAGAATAAAGTGTGGTGGGTACCTCGAGTCATGGTGGGCGAGCCAGAAACACCAATGGTGATCCTTTCAGTTTATTATTTGACTCGGCAATGCACACTCGTGTCGGCAGCGGGATGCAGGGAAGCCTATGAATGCTGGCCAAAAGCCTATGGCGTGCATGAAGGCAGAGGCATGTTGTCGTATTGTCTGGCCGTGGCATCCCCGACAACCCGCGGTCATGTGACGCGAGTCGGATTCGCGCGGCATACCTTACGTAAAATACAAGGCTTGCCAGACTAGCACGATGAGAACGCAACCGATGATCGGTGATGACTCAGGCGTATGTGGGTTCACTGGCTTCCATTGACCATAATCGCAGAAGAAAAAGTGGTATTAGTCTATGTACTTCTATACGGACAGCCCTATCTACACGGGGTATCCTAAGATCAAAAAGAAACGAAACCATATGCGAGACACCAAAAACACCGGTTAGGCTTCGCAGAGCTGAACAGAAACACAACGCAGGAGGATGCAACCCAATTGACCAGGAAGAATGCAAGCGAGCGAGCGTTGGTAACAAAGAACTGTCGGGGCGCTCTGCCATGGGGTCGTAAAATGGGTATGATCCGCAAAGCCGCCAGAGATTATAGGGTATATAGATGCGCACCGGAAAAACAAATATCTTCAAAGCCATGTCAGAGAAAGCCGATCGTGCAATCGTACAATAGATGAACGCTTTGTACAGTGAAGACCAGCGTGCGGTGTTGGGACATAAGCAGGCACTCACTTTATGGACAGAAACACGCCGCGGCCACAGGACCGGGAAAGATGCGGCGATCAAGTCGACGCGACGAACTCATATGTGCCCAAGTTGAGTGACATGCTCTTATCATCGGCATTATCGTGGAGAGAGACGTGTTAGACGTGAAACATCCATTTACGGAATACCGCATGTGTAAAAGCGTCCCATCCAGCTATCACGGTCGGGGCCTCGATGAGGCCCCGGCCCACAAACAATGGTCTACTTCCTGGATGCAAGGCCGGTGACCCTTTTCCGCATGGATGAATCCTCGATGTGCAGCAAATGATCCATTCCCTTTACCCAGTCCCGTACTCAGTGTGTGTAGTTTATTGAGGAGGCTTCTGGGCGATGATGCGATAACTGGTCGTCACAAGTCGCATGGTATCCATCTTAATGAAAGCCTCGCCATCGAGACACAAGCGGTTGATCAGGGTCTTAAAGTGGCGGGGCAACACGTGGGTCTTTACCAGGCCCAGAATGACCTGGCGCATGGAGCGGAAGTAAAAGTCAACCTTGTCGATGAGGGGCGCCTGCAGACCTCCAACACTGGCATTATCGGAGCGGACGACGGAGAAGCCGGCATCGGTAAGGGCTTTCTCGAGACTTTCGGGGGTGGGAGTGCCAACAGCACCGATCAGAGGCTTTACGCGACGCATGAGTTCGGCATGCTCGGGGTTGCTCGGATCATAGTCGGGCAGGCTAACCCAATCCAGGAGGGAGATCTTGGCGCCGGGTTTGACGACGCGGTAGATTTCGCGGAAGAGGGAGGGAAGGTCTTTGCACAGACTGAGCGCTTGGATCTGGTAGAAGGCGTCGAAGCTAGCATCCTCAAAGGGCAGGGGAAGACTGTTGAAATCCTGGACGACGAAGGAGTTGTTGGTGAAGCCGAGCTTCTCGTTGTAAGTCTTCGCCTGGCCAATCTGATTGGGATCGATGTTAAGTCCCGTGACCTTCGCGCCGGAGTATTGCGTCATGTGAGCGGCCACTCTTCCGCGACCGCAACCCAGGTCCAACACGTGATCACCGGCGCTTAGGCCGATATCCTGCGCAATCGATTCCTCGTACAACAACTGGTTCTCCAGCACGGTCGCCTTCTTGCTCATGAATGGGGGAATGTACATCTTCTCCACGTCGCCCAGCGCGCACAAGTGGTTGAGCACCCCATAGTACGCCTTAAGGCAGTCGCCAACCTTTGCCTGATAGTCCGGACCTAGCGTCTCAATCATCGCTTTCTCGTCAGACCAGTCGAGATTGTAGATGACGTAGGATGCCATGAAGTCATCGACCTGCTTGGGGGTGAGGTTGTTCAGATACCGGAAGGCCTTCCAGAAGGTCTTCCATCGCTTGGGAGACGCCGAATTGTGCAGATCAGGGCGAGTTTGGGGAAGCTCCTTGTTGGCGAGCTTCTGCTTCTCAACAGCGTCCAGAGAGCTGCTCTCGGAGCTCCGGCCGGACTGGCGCGACGCCAAGACGGTTGTTTGGGTATCCATTTCTTTTCAGCTATAAGATTAAGAGCACGATCGCGGCGTTGACAGCAACAAAAACAACGGCAACAGCAACAGCTGGAAGCAACGACAGCAGTGCGAGATTAGGAGGGAGGGAAGTGCTTAGGGGGTAAGGTTGATTGGTGACAGGGCAGTGGGTGAGAGACTAGAGACGGCGGTTATTTCGTTGTCCAGAAAGTGCCATGCCAGAGTCGCAATGCGATTTCTCCCTCTTTTTTCCTTTCGATAGGATGGAAAGGCGGGGCTGGGTTTAATTTATAAGCACTGCAACGGAGGGAATTTTTTTTTTTTTTTTCTGACTCCTCTTTCCTGTAACAGTGAGGTGCCTCTGCAACGGCGCTGGGCGGCGCCGTCGGGGGGATCTTAATAATATTGATTGATTTGCCGTATGACCTGCCATGGGAAGTTAGCGATGGCCACTGTGGATTAGCCATTGTCACCGGATCTGGAAAGCATCGGAAGAGTCGGAAGTGGCAGGTCCAGAGCAGCACGGGAAGGGACGGCAGCGACGAACCGGAGGATGGAGAATGGAGAGGAGTCATGGGCGATGCGCGTTGGTTCTGGCTCCGTTGTTTGGGATTTTGCCTTTGGAGAATAACGGCTACCACTACTTTGACTACGGCGGCAGGGTCATCTCCTCTCAGGAATCAGCCCCCCTGTTAGTTTGGCGGTAGACTATTCGCTGGGCGAGGGGGGAAGAGCTGTCGCTGCTACGCACGTTAACTCTTAGTAGACGACTAGATTATCGGCCCTGGAATGAGTCAAGGGTCTGCCGGCCACATCACGGACCTCTTCCCCCCTCTGATCACCAGAGCTACTTTGATGCCACTGGGATGTACTTCGGATAATTTGTCCACCATTGATTGACTGCAAGCGAGCCTGACAGTTAACTACCTGAGACTCCCGGGGTTTTACCAGCAGAATATTTGTATAACAGCCTGACTGGTAACAGTGGTTGTCTCCATCAACTGATGCGATGGTTCAGGGAGCTGCTAGTGTTAGAGCTAGTAGGGGATTAGTGTGTAGAGGAGCTGGGTAGCTGCCCACTTCTCAGGGTACTTACTGTGTACATTATTCCTTAGCACCCACCGCTACCATTGACTAGTGCCGTGATCCGTCCAGGGTGTTTTGCTGACGGTGTCCACCAGGGCTATCAGCTCTCTAGTCTATACACCGAGCCCGAGCCCGTTCGTCTATTTGTTCCTGGCGCGCCAAGCTGTCTCCATCGCGTAGTGGGATGCAAAGGCCCATCCACGGATGAGCTGATCAATGGGCACCGCCGTGCAAAATGAGCACGGCCTTGGCAATCAATGCTTACTTCTTCTCACAAGCAACACTCCCGAAGCCGGACCTTTTCGAATTATGATCTTAGAGGCCTTCATACACAGGCTTTTATGAACCAGACTAAAAGTCGCTGCTTGGTTTGGCATTACCGTCTACCTCTGCCCTATAGGGATGCTGCCACGGCTTGGCTTTGAAAGAAGGGGCGATTGTTTGAAATGAGGAGCCATTGGCGATCCAATCTGTTTGTTCCCTCCATACGGAGGACAATTGTAGGTATTACCCAAGAGTTTCTGGATTATCCCTCATGTTCAGGCCCTATGGTTCCCTAGTGGCCTTGCAAAATTTTTTCCAACGATCGCATCTTTTTTCGAACCAGACGGCTTCTGGCTGGATCAGGCAATTCACCGCGCCTCGGACTTTCCACCCGAGCATCCGCCCCACCCGCGCCTCGCTCTTCTGCCCGTATTTCCGTCAAACTCTTCAACTCGCTGGTCCGCTGGTCTTCCGTATCCGTATCTCCTGGCTCCGGCTCATCTCCGTTCGTTCCTTTGGTCTTCTGTGTCAGACATTGTCTTGCTGAGATAAGTCCCATTCTTCTTACTCTTCTAGCGACTTCTAGGGTTCCTCGGATCGGGGTTTGCGGCACTAGAAGGCAATTTCTCGTTCATGGCGTTGCTTATGGATCTGTTCTCACCGATCGCCTCTGTCGTCATCAGCTCGTGGAGACATGCTCGAAGTCACTGCGCGATGATCACAAGGTCATCCACCGTTTAATGCGGAGATGAGGGAGATTGGCATGTTCTCAGTGCCAGCCAGCCGTCCGGGGATTTTGGCCAGAGAGATCTCGTCGTATTTACCTCATGTAGCATGGATTGACGGTCGCATATACTTAGTCGTGGGATGCAAGTCCATCCTGCGGAGTCGACTAGATTGATGGATTGATTACTCTTACGCGTGTAGGCCAATCTGGAAATGACGTGGCTGGCCTGGCCTGGCCATTTACCACGCCCGTTATCCTTGCTCGTGCAGGTGCAGCCCAGTGGTCCGACCTTTTCTTTGTCTCTCGCGCGTCATGCCGTCATGGATCGTCGCACGCTTTGATACTACGTGGGACAACAGGAAGCGGCGGATGTCTCCCGTCTTATGTGGTATTCACACTGAACATCATGCGCTTTTTTTTTCTATTGTTTGTACCCTTTTTTTCCATCGCGCTATATTGACAGTACCCACTTCGCTCCACTCTTGCTCCGACTCTATCCTCATCGCGGCAGTCACACCAACAGCATTACTCGAGGGAGAGAGAGCATGCTTTCGCTTAGCCTCGCTCGTTCTCCCGGAAGCCCGAAGATAGACAAGTTACCACGATAATCAAATTCAAATCAAATAAAATAATATAAAATCCCAATAAAACAAATAAAATAAAAACCCTACCCTCACAAAAATAAACACACACGTGACCACACTGAATCGGGAACAACATCCGCATTCCTCCGTACCCTTCATAACCATAGCAGAGCCATCCAAAGCATCACCACCACGACAAAGAAACCACCAAATCCAGGTATATAGCATCAAAAGACGTTCAAATAAGCTTATAATTAAAGCCTAGCCCTCCCCGAACGCCTACAGCAAGCCATCCTCCAAACGGAGCGCACAGCGAGCAGGTTCCAGGCCCACTCTTGCCATTAGGCAGCCAGATATTTTCCCTCTACTATCCTACTACTGGGTACATCACAGCGGGAAGGCTTGAAAAAGCAAGCGCCAAGATAATTCTCGAACTTCAGATCAGCTGTTCGCCCGCGCCACCGGGTGGCGACTGCTTTGGGGGGAAATCATCTATCATTCGTTCGGTGGGCTGTGGACGGGAGGGTCGGTGGTGGACGTCGTGGTGGGATTGCCCTCGTGGGTACCGGTGTAGTACTTCATCTTATGGGATGATCTCGGTGTGCTGAGATGTACCTCCCTGTAGAAGGGAGTTGTGTAGTAGTCTCTGCTGGATTTGGTAGGGCAGTGTGGATTCAGGGTCCTTCCTACTACTCCGATGGGCTGGGTCCTAGTACTACTTTACTCACTCCGAGTCACCTTTGCTTTGTTCCGACGGTTGATCCTATTTGTGCGTGCATTGATCCTGCCTGATGATTAGTTAAGTAGTTATTCGTTTTCTTTGTCTTATCTAAGCTCTTGCTGCTTTGTCGGGTACTAGTAAGTAAATGCACGGCCATGTCAGGATGTCTGGCCACTCTGGAGAGGGATTTGTGGGTTTGTAAGCCTATGAGTAATGTATGAGTGTCCAATCGTAGACTAGGAAACCTTTTTGAAGCTTGATTTGGAGTGCTAGACCCAGTGATGTGCTTTCTTCCTGTACTGATGCCCTAGGAACATGTCGGATGTACCGGCAACGATAGCGGAGTTCGATGGATGACAGCTAACCTGTCATAGAAATGCAGATCATCCCGAAAATCACGTTAGTATGGGTCCTAGAGCTTGAAGTTTAGTCATAGTAAGTTGGCTTCTTAGCTGTGGGCTGTGCCAATAGAACAGCAGTTGGGTCTTCCAGTTGTAGCTCCCGCGGCAACATGAAACATGACTCGCGAAAATCAGTGTACAAGAAGAGTACAAAGAGATCAGGTGACCAAGGTTTTGGCATCCTGTGATGTCTGCAGATGTCGCATGCCTCCACTTTGTCTTTAAGTTTTACTAGTCGTCTCATATCTGCATCTCCTTGTTCCTTTCTGCAGGGTTTACCGAGTACTTGTTATGCAATCGCTTACAGTGTGCATGGTAGCCGAGAAACCATCTTTTTGATCTCAATAATTCGGCTAAGTCAAGTGCACGGTTTAGTCGTAGTTTGATGGCATACTGTGTACAGTGCCACTAATAGAGCATAGATTGCAGTCTCCAGAGTTGGCTGACAAATCGCCTTCAAAACATCTCGCACACAATTTATCAGATAAGACTTCGAGCTGAACACCAATAATCTGGCACTTGCTTGTTTAACTCATCCATCCGTTGGGCTTATACTGCTTTTTCTTCGTTATACCTGTGGGAAAAAGGAACGATGTGTTGGATAGAGGTCAACTTCACCGAGAACACACTAACACATAAGATATGTAGCCAAAGCTCCTATTAACTACAATGACACATCAACAATGAAATCATCTTCATATACAAGAGTTACTCATACTTTGTCAGCGATTCTGAGAGCCTTGGCTGATCCATATCTTTGGGAGAAGTATAGATCGCAGCCGATGATGGGAACGGTGATAAATTCGTCGGAAGAGCCTGATCTATCGGGGATATCCACAGACTTTTCATAGGCTAGATCGGAAGTATCCCACGAATACCAGGTAGCTTAGCAGGCCTATAAGAATGCCTCACCTTTCTCTCACTTCATCTTACAATCAAGGTCATTATATCAACAAATTTTAGTCAAGTCTTTCATTCATCTCTATGAGGTTCAATTTAACAAGCCTACGAATTCACCTGAGAACTTGTTGCTCAACTTTGTGAAAAGTAGCGATTTATTTCATGCACTGGAGCAATTTCACTCTCACGGGAACGCCTGGAACTGGTGCTCAAGTGTACATCAGTGCCAGATGAGCATCCAGTTGTGAATCTCATTACGGCCTTGCTATTATACACCTATGAAAGGGCCAGGCATATATAGAGCTCAGGATTGATCTTGGAAAATAACTTGCCAGCTAAGCAACCATGGCCTCCCGAAGCATGGCCGCTAACTCGGATTCTGTGATTCGCTCCATACTTGAGACTTCCACTTGTCAACCTCTATTAAAGGGGGAAAACCCCCAAATCACGGTATATCATTACGCACTCTGATGGAATTCACATCTACAAATCATTTACCGTAAACCCCGAAACAAGCCACTGTGGTGAAGGAGCGCACGACTCAATTTTGATCAAGAAAGAACAAGAAAGCACCTTCCTTCTCTTGTGCCAATCCAACCTACACCTTTCATCAAATCCTTATAGCCATGCTTATATTCTACTCATCACTTTTTCATTTTCTTATCATTCGCTTCACAGCATTACACTCGTTCATCGTCTGCTATATCCTTATACATCTATAACCACACCTTCCAACAGACGTCAACAATCCTCGTTTTACACCATGCCCCCTAGAGTAAGAAATATTATTTACTAATCTTCACCAGCTCATCACAAATTCTGGCTCATATTCTCATCAGAGATCCTACAAGAAGAGATATGAAGCAGATCAAACCGATCGTCCAAAACAGCGCATTGAGAATATGACCATGGCTGAAGCGGTATGTCACGCCAGCCTATATACATATTGAACTCTGCCACTAATGCTTGAATTGTACAATATCTAGGGACGTGAACTACAGCGGCTCACTAGAAACATCATGCTCGCTAAACGGAATATTAAGCGCTGGGAATCAGAGCATGAAGAGCTTATAGCCCGTTTCTACAATTCCGAGGGAAAGATAGTCGTGCCACCAGCAGTGGATGAAAAGACCAGTGTGACTAGTGTTCAAGGCGAGAGTACTGGTGAAGACTGCTCGCTGAAGGGAGCCACCAATGAGCATGGGCAAACTCCCCACGTTTCCGAGAATGACGAGGTGCTGGGAGAGGGCAATATGGATTTGGATGAGGACGCACAATGTGAGAAAAGTAGTGATATTCGCGGCGATGCTGATGGTCGCTTACAAGAGGTAGCCACGACTGCTACCGCCGGTTGCGACGATCAGCTTCTTCCCGATGCTGGGGACGTTGGTTTTTTGGAGGATTTGATGGATTCCACAGATGAACCGAAGGGTGAAGAGGATTGCTTGAAGACTGCCCTTGGGTCCCTGACTATCAATGTTTAGGTTGCTCGGTTGGGAGCGGTTTCTGTACTGGTTTGATTTTGAATGTTGTTGTTGGAATAAGTTTCAGCAGTCTATGCTAGAGAGAGCAGAGTGTTTATGTCGAACCTCAATGTTTTTTGCTGGTGTGATTGTTGACGTTTTTTTTTTTTTTTTTTTTTTTTTTTTGCAACCTCATAGTGACACCTGAGCGGTGGAATGCCAATCGTTTACCCATCTTACTAAGATCCTTCATGTGTAGAGTCTGGGATAGGTAGAGGCATTACTAGTAAGCCCAGAGTCACCATAGCAAATAGCTATCTGTGTCCGTAGTAGCGCTCCAAGCCGCACCTCAACAGTAGTGTCCATCACACCTCGCAGCAAAGGCCATACATGAGAAATGGAATCGCAAGAATAAATCCAAGACACGCACCCCACAAGAAATCGACTCCAGGACCAGCTCGAAGTCCGACCATACCACAACTCGCGGTCGGGCCGCAAGCTGCACAGTTCGGCACCGGTGGGGATAAGCGGATGGGAACTTGTTGAGTGGGAACCAATTCCTCAAGTTACTCCACTTTGAACAGTAGCTCAGGCAATGGAAATTAGGCGGGCCGCATACTCGCCTCGTCCAGTTTACGTAGTTCCATGCATATGACGGAGCGCAGAGTGCTACTTGCACATCGGAAGAAAAGTAAGTACAGTAAGTAATAAGGATAACCCCTCATCATGCGGGGTTGGAAGTATGGAGGAGCGATCGGGCGGACACTCTTCCCAATACATTTTTTTAGTGACTCTGTTCTTGGGTTTATCAAGAAACCTATAAATAGCCTCTGTTGGCTGAAAAGCCATTGAATTTAGTCTATTTATCTTATCTTTTCTGCATCCCACCTGGTCACCATGGCTACGAGAAGCGACTGCAATGTTCACGGCCTTGAGTTCCGTGAAGCAAAACCCTCGCAGGGGGATCCTGCTCGTCCTGTTGCTGATCTCTTTCGTCTCGATAATCGCACCATCATAAGTATATCTCCTGAAAGTTCGAATTACTGTTATTGATCTGCTAATAACGGAGTTCATATACAGTCACCGGCGCCACAGGCTTCCTAGGTACCACGCTCGCCATTGCCATTCTCGAAAGTGGCGGCGATATCGTCTGTCTTGATCTTGCATCCGCCCCGAATTCCCCAGATTGGAGTACATACTTCTATAACCCCTATCTAATTAAGGGATGAAAGTGCCTCTAACTAGAGCCTGATTACAGATAAAGTCGAAGCCGCCGCACAAAAGCATGCACGCCAACTAAGCTATTACCCCCTCGACGTAACGGACGAATCCGGCGTAGAAAAAACATTCACCCAATTCATCCCTACCCTACGATACCCGCTGAAGGGTGTTGTTGCCTGCGCAGGCCTATCCCGTAATGGCCCCGCGACCGAATTCCCCGTCTCGTCGTTCCGCCGTATGCTAGATATCAATGTCACGGGAACGTTTCTTGTCGCACAAGCAGCGGCTAGGGAAATGCTCAGGACAAATACTACCGGAAGCATGGTGTTTGTGGCTAGTATGAGCGGCTACGTGTCGAATAAGGTCGGGACACTATCTTCTGTGGTTGTGGAGGAGTGGACTGACATGTCACTAGGGTGTTGATACAGCCGGATACAACGCCTCCAAAGCGGCCGTTCATCAACTCACGCGCTCTTTGGCTGCCGAGTGGGGATCAAGGGTCGGCATGCCCCTGATCAGGGTCAATTCGCTCTCACCTGGGTATATTCGGACGGCCGCGACGGCAGAGGCGCTTCAGAAGCCAGGGATGGAGAGTCAGTGGGTGGGTGATAATATGCTGTTTCGGTTAAGCACGGCGGATGAATTTCGGGCACCGGTGCTTTTCATGCTTGGGGATGGGAGTAGTTTTATGACAGGGGCGGATCTGCGAGTTGATGGAGGGCATTGTGCTTGGTAGCGAAGTCTTATATGTGTCTGTTTTAGCATGGTATGCAATCCTGAGGCATAAGGTGTGCACCAATTTGGAACAAGATGAGTTGATAAATGTGAAACGAGAGTCTTGTTTGTTCTGATTCTCTATCTTTGGAGGAACAAAATGAGAACACAAGATGGGTGTTAAAGCACTAGTACGTGGTCACCTGATCATAGAGAATGGCACGATTCTGCGAAGCGGTTCTGAGCCATTCTTCTGACCGAAGTGAATACAGTCATTTGTCTCCTGACATTCATCTGACTGTTAAGTGACACTTTCTCCCTCCTTTCAATTGGACCACGAGTTGGGATGGAACCTGCTTCATCGTGGCCGGTCGGCCTTAACCCCAAAGCTCAACTTCCCATCAACTTCGCAACCTACGAAACCCCATTTGTCTCACTTGTCTCCCAAAAACCATGAGGAACATCACCCCGCCAAACGCCGGGAGCGTAATCAGCCCAGCAGAACCGAACAACCATCCCGGACCAACTCTGTCGTTCCACGGGGTGATGAAAACGGTCGAGAGCAATCCCAAGATAAGCCTCCAAACCCCCATCCCTGCTGACACCTCTGAAACATAGTTCGGGAAACAGTCACAGAGATACGTCATTGCAACCGGTAGAAGAGAAATGGCACCGAAAGTGAGGAGGAGGAACCCGAGTGCCAAAAGCACCCAGTGGTAATGGTACTCCAGACTAGCTCCGAATAGACCGAGGCCAACCGGAAGCATTATCACCGGGATCCAGAGACAGTGAAGTCGATACTCTGGGCGCCATTCTGTAGGTTCAATATCCTGCGTCTTGGACTTCCGGTGGGAGAGGTATAAAGGAAGTCTATCGCTGATGAAATGGCCGTATAGTTCCGCCAGTGCGGTGCCGATTGCTTGGGTGAGCGTGACTGTCGTGTTCAGGTTAACGGCCAAAGTGAATAAGAGGGAATATTGGGGCAATACATGAGGCCATCGAAATCTTTGACATTGCGTATCCACCATCGTCTCGAGGGGCTTCAAGGAAGTTGACACCGAGCACAATAGCCATTGTCGCAAAGCCAAAGTCTACCATGATAAAGAAACCAATTATTATTGAGACAGGAGAAAACGACACCAGGGTGATATCGGAAAGGCTGGTAGTCTTCTATATCTCAGCATAAAGTATGACTGCTGGTGATGCGGTAAGAATAAGACTCACCATGTTCTTCCAGCTTGCTCTAAGCTGTGGTGGAATCGCTCTTCCACGGACATACATGTTCCATTTTCTTTGCAAAAAAGATTGCCGCTTCTGTTCTCCCTCTGCATATATTGCCTCTTCGAGAAAGATAAGGATTACCAGAGCCAACACCCCATTCAATGGTACAGTATACCAGAAGGAAACAGTCCATGAAGCTCTCGCATCGATATATGCACCTAATGTTGGACCAATTGAAACCCCCATGAGGAAGGGAATATGAAGTATATGCAGACATTTACCTCGCTGATGCCGGAAGAACGCCCGCATGACGAACTCGGAGCCAAGGATCAAAGGTACCCCTGCGCACAGACCGGCAAAGAGGCGAGATATCAGGAATGGAATGTAGTCCGATGAACTAGTCATCATGGCAGACCATACCGCCGCGAAAAGGATGCCGATTGTCGACCAGAAAAGACAGAAGCAGGAGCCGTACCGGCGGCTAAGGGGGACGACTAGGATGGAGCCGACCATAATGCCAATAAGCCCGCATGAGACCTTTCACTTTCAGTAACATGCTGCTATATGCTAGTGTGCCACTTACGGAGAGAGAAATCTGAGTAGCCGTCTTGTGATACAGAGGCGCCTGAAGATATGATCCCTGCATGTTCGTCATACAAGTAGCTTGGCTTGAGAAGCAAGCGATTGCCCATATTGAAAGTATACGTGCCTTTCTCGAAGACTTCCAGTTCTGGTTTCGTCAGCTTCTGTCCGCTCAAACCCGACACAGAACATACCAATGGATCTTTAGGGTCGTCCGATGGCTGCGGGTCGAGTATGAGCCCATCAGGGGTGGTTTTGAGGCCATGAACAACCTCCTGGGTCTTCTCTTCATCGATCATTTTAGGGATTTTGGTGGATGAGAAATTGTATCCTGCTTCGACCGAGGTTCATGATGGCGGTGGTGTTAGTGAGCCCCTTACATCTGAGCATACAGAGACTTGACGTCTAACTTCGACTAGCACCATAATGTACAGCTAAATTTTCCGTCCCTTGATTGCAGCTCTCACCGCATTGAAGTTACTCCGTTGTTATCGGAATGATTGCAGGTCCCACCGCATAGAAGTTACTCCGTTGCTATCGGGAAAAGTAACAATGAACAAATGCAGGTCGTGCAGCCGGTCCGAGCTCCAATCCCCTCTCGAGTCGCACTTGCTGCAGTGATACCCAAGCAACCCTCATTCAGCATGAGATAAATATTCTCTTGCTTCGTAAACTTCTAAGTTTTTATCTATCATTGAAATCGACTCCGGATAGGCATAATGACCCTAACTGAGACGCCCTTTACCATCGACAACCTTCCGTACGGTGTGATCTCCACTGCGGAAACACCGACTCCGAGATGCGCAACAGTTTTGGAGGACGATGTCATAGACCTGAGTGCACTTGAGAAAGATGGATACTTCAAGTCTATTCCAGGATTGAAAGGGGACGTCTTTTCTATGGTATTTAATAAAGACACTCGCCCCTTTTCAACTTCCCAATAGATGAGGCCTAACTTCTGCAGCCAACCCTGAACAAGTTCGCCTCTCTCCCAAAAGAAACCCATGTACGGACCAGAGCAGCGCTTGTCGACCTTCTCTCAGACAATGATATCCGTAAAAAGTATGCCATTCCCCTCTCAACGGTACAGAACCACCTCCCAATGGAAACCAAGAACTTCAGCGACTTTTACTGTTCGTTCGAACACACCAGAAACGTACGTCTACCCCATTTTACCTCTCTGCATCTAGAAACTTAAATTATAGTGCTCCGAACTCTTCTCTATGAAGCCTCCAGCCTCATGGTTCGTCATCCCCTCCGTCTACAACGGCCGACAAAGCAGCCTCCGCATCTCTGGTACTCCCATCCGACGACCCTGGGGCGTGACGCTCGACTCCAACAAACCCAACGACCCACCAGCATTCAGACCCAGCGCGCGCTTTGATTTCGAGCTAGAAATGGGCGTCTACCTATCCCATCCACTCCCCCCAGGCGAGATCCTCAACATCAACAACGCAAAGGACCACATCTTCGGCCTAGTCATCCTGAATGACTGGTCTGCAAGGGATATCCAGACGTACGAGATGGCACCATTGGGCCCATTCCACAGCAAGGGCTCGGGAACAAGCATCTCACCATGGATTGTACCTATCGAGGCACTGGAGGGGTCACAATGTAATGCGAGGGTGCAGGACCCGGCGCCCTTGAAACACCTAGCATGGAAGGGCAAGGAAGATGAGGCAACCTTCGATATTGAGCTGAAAGCGAGAGTTATTCGTAAGCTCCTTCCTCACCGCTCCTTATCATGCCCTCCTCTTATCACAATATCATCACACGACATGCTGACAATTCCACAGGAGATGGAAAATCCTACACCGTCACCGAAACAAACCTGAAAGAGCTCTACTGGACTCCATACCAGCAGGTGACCCATCTCTGTAGCGCAGGCGAGGGTCTATCGACCGGAGATATCTTCGGTACGGGCACCATAACTAGTGATGTACGTGACACCTCCCATTCCTTTAAAAATATAACAAATAATACTATACGACAAGAATAACTAACTAACAATTGTAAAAGCGCCTCAACGCCCAAGGAGAAGAAATCGGAGTCGCATGCCTCCTGGAGCGAAAATTAGAAAGAAACATCCTCTCCGAAGCCAGCAAGGACGGTCTCGACTTCCTTGCAGACAGAGACGAAGTCATCATGGAAGGGTGGTGCGTTAACCGTCTCACGGGAGGTAAATTCGGGTTTGGAGAGTGTCGTAGTGTCATCCTTCCTGCTTTGAAGGAGGGGTCTTGGGAGTGAGTGAGTGATAGCGGCCTGGTTACGCAATGCGCCAGCCTCAATGGATAGAAGGATGCTATTCATCTTCTAATCAAGCAACTAGTATCTTTCCGGTATGAGATACATGAACTGATCAGACTGTCTACAAACTCAGGAATAGCTGAGTATATCAGAATAAATGAAATCATTACTTCGTACATTTCCCAGTATTCTTTAGTCTAATCATTGATGAGTGGTTAGACCGTAAGGTGAAAAAGTCTCCGAGATAGTTACAATTTCCTCCGACTGGCATTTGCATTTACTTCCCCCCTCCCCTGGCTACCCCCTTGCTGACTAGGCTGACAATAATCCTCGGTGAAAGACCACCAGCAAGAAACGGGAGTACATATTGGCATTGTGTATCAAGATAATAGAATTGGGAGAATTTACAAAGATGAGGATAGATATAAATAGATACCACTGTATAGTAATGCCCAGCACCCTTTTCTCTGTTCAACTCCATCACACGGTTATTAGTATGAGGTGGGGAAGTCGAGTTAATAGAAAAGGCTCGAGTGTCATACGAACTTACTCATGGAAAAGTATTGATCGTGTATGGTATGATTGATATGGGAAGTGCTACGCATAGTCTATGCGGGATATATTATGGCGGCAGAAACTGGCAAGATGAGAGGGATTAAATGGGGAGCAATCGGAGGGAGGGGAACTGGGAGGAAGGAAGAGGGGGAGAAGCGCGGGGGCGGCCACATGCATCATCAACAAACATCGCGTGTTCTTTTCAACTACAACCATGTCAAAACTACACATAATATGAGGGAAAACACTCGCTTTGAATTCATTCTAGGCTGGAATTTTATTCTTATGGTCATCAAGCGTTATCATCAACTTTCATCCATCTAAAGATCGATATCCAACTGGCGCTACGAATTCAGGGCATCTCACTCGAGGTGGCAGAGACGGTGTGCAACCGCATCACTCACGCTTGGGCTTCTGATCATGGATCAACCATAACGATGAGTCAAAAACCCCGCGCCCGTACGAGTCCTCTGCTCGACACGACAAGTCATCGTCTCTGGTCGGAACAAGCCATACTCAGATGCTGACGATGTTCAGGCACTGTCGCGGTTGCGTCGATGTACCAAGTTCATCCCAGTGCGTTTCCCACTAGGATACCATCCGTCACCTCCGTGGTGTCTGGCCTCTAGTTCTCGAGGCTGACCTTGACCTTCTTCTCCGGCGGGGGAATGACCTCATCCTCAGCCGCACCGGTGAGCGTGGGGAGCTCGTTGACGGCTTCCTTGATGATGTCCAAGGCCTTCTGGACCTCATCATCAGTGATCACCAAGGGTGGCGCCAGACGAATGATGTTTTCGTGAGTTGGCTTAGCCTGAAGAAGAAGTTAGCATTTGATCGAGAATCCAAGGCGACTGTATTGACTTACCAACAAACCCTTCGTTTTGAGCAGCATACAGAGGTCCCATGCAGAGTGGCCGTTGGTCTTGGACTCATCAATGACAATAGCATTGAGCAGGCCCTTGCCGCGCACGGTCTGGATGATGGGGCTCTTGATGGCCTGCAGACCATCGCGGAAGACGTGACCGAGCTTCTCAGCGCGCTCGACCATGTTCTCCTCTTGGACGACCTCCAGGGCTCTGATAGCGACCGCGCAGGCCAGCGGGTTACCTCCATAGGTCGAACCATGAGTGCCCGGCTCGATAGTAAGCATCACATCCTTGCGGCCCAGCACGCAGGACACGGGGTACATGCCACCGGAGATGGCCTTGCCCAGCAGCACCATGTCAGGCTTGATGCCGCTCCACTCGTGGCAGAGCAACTTGCCAGTGCGGGCAATACCGGTCTGAATCTCATCGCAGATCAGCAGGACGTTGTGCTTGTCGCACAGGGCTCTGGCCTCCTGCAGGTAATCCTCGTCGGGGACAACAATGCCTGCCTCGCCCTGAATGGGCTCCACCAAGAAGGCGGCGAGGTTGGGACCCGCCTTCTCGAAGGCCTCCCGCAAGGCGGCCTTATCGTTGTAGGCGATAGGCTTCTCCGTTCCGGGAATGGTGCAGCCGATACCGGGCAGGTAAGGGCCATAGTTCTCGCGCGACTCGGGGTCAGAAGATAAGGAAATAGCAGCGAACTAGACAAGGGACACGCCGGTCAGTCTGGGATCAAATTCCAATTACACGATCTCATTTTCAGATACTTACTGTGCGTCCGTGGAAGTTGTTCTCCGCACTCAGGACCACCGCCTGGTTCTCGGGAATCCCCTTCACCTTATAACCCCACTTGCGGGCGATCTTGATGCCGGTCTCGACCGCCTCCGCACCGGTGTTCATGGGCAGGACCATGTCGAAGCCAAAGTACTTGGTCACGAACTCAGCAAACCGGGGGAAAACATCGTTGTAGAAGGCACGGGAACTGAGAGTCAAACGCGAGGCCTGATCGACGAGCGCCGCCACCAGCTTGGGGTGGCAGTGACCCTGGTTGACGGCGGAGTACGCGGACAGGAAATCGAGGTATTGACGACCCTCGGGGTCCCAGACGGTGGTGCCCTGGGCACGAGCAAAGACGATGGGGAGTGGGTGGTAGTTGTGAGCGGCGAAGTCCTTCTCGGCCTGGATGGCCTCTTGGGTGGTGGAGGCATGGTAGGAACTGACGCCATTGTGGCCGTTAGTTCCATTGGTACCGTTGGACGCCATGGTGGTGAAAGAAGATTCAAAGGGCAGTTTAAGGGGAGTAGTGTTTCAGAGGATGAGGGGATATAAGAGGCTAGTATGGGGAACGAGGAAGAGAGATATGAGAGCAGGAGGAGAGGAAGAGGAAGGATTGAGGGGGTATCTGTGAAGTATAAGATAAGAAAGAAAGAAAGAACAAACGAAGCACAGAGAAGGGGGGGAAAGACACGGTATAAGAAGGGTTGAGGCAGGGGAGAAGAGAGTGCAGCAGTGACAGGAAGGCTTTTACCGATTTGGCTGGCAAACACACGAATTGTGGTAGACAGGAAATTTGCGAGGCCGAAGCTACACCGTTAAGCGCAGGTGGACGCGGAGAAGACTCCTAAGTGCAGGTGGAAGCGATCATGATGTCTTTCTGACTAAGGCGGGCGGCTCCGCTCCACTTCCTGGTGGCCTGCGTTTTCTGGCCGCCTTCCTTGAATCTTCTGGCAGCCACTCATCATCCCGACAATTACTCTTTTACCTCTTCGAAAGACCCACGGAGCGGATCTCGACGCTTGCTATCGGTCCGACCCAGTCCAGAGAACACGAGATTGGCTGGCTGGCTGGTTGGCTGAACTTGAGAAGGGACCAAGTGGTATCTTTCTTTCTTCCCTTTCCGATTCCCCCGTAAACAAACTAAACCAAACCAACAAAGATGGCAGTTTATCGTGACCTGTAAACTTGGCAGTTCACCGTGACTATTACTTACTACTAAGAAGGAGTCATTACTTGGTTTAGTTAATCACTAACTAGTGACTAGTTAGTTATTTAGTGACTAGTGACTAGTGACTAGTGACTGCACTGAACTAGTGCTGCACACCGTGGTACCTCCCAAAAAATCCACCCAACCACTCACCATCACATCGTCATCCCTTAATCCGGTCCAGAGGCTCCATAACTTAATCATCCCAGAAAATCTGGGGTGTGTGCCTGACTAGTAAATAATTCCTCCGACCATCATGTCTGGGGTTCGTCGTCGGCGGAGAGCCTCTTCAACAACCTCCTTCTCCTCCCCCTCCTCCTTATCGGACAGTGACTACATCGCCGATGCTGATGCCACCGATCCCGACGCCTCTCTTCTGTATGATTCCTTCTCCCGCTCCGGTCACCTGAGGCCATCCTCTTGGTCTTCCTCCTTCTTTTCCTCCTCTTCCTCCTCCTCCTCCACTTTCCTGTCCACCCCGCCATCCTCTCTTCGCATCTTTCTCTTCCTCATCGCCTTCCGTCTGGTCAACGCTTTGACCGTCCGAACCTTTTTCCAACCCGATGAGTTCTTCCAATCTCTCGAGCCTGCTTGGCGGGCCGCATTTGGAGACGACCATGCGCCTTGGATCACTTGGGTGAGTTTTCCCTTCCATTGGAGCATCTCGCTCTGCACCTCCCTGCGTCTTCCAAGAATGTTGGTGTCATCACTACATCTCTGCAACCAATCTGCTGGGGTTTTCCAAGACTAATAATCAATGACGATGTCGTTGGACAGGAATGGCGCCACCAGCTGAGATCCTCTCTTCACCCCCTACTCTTTACCGCTGTTTACGCCACCACCGATCTGCTCACTCGCCTGCTCCGCCTTTCCCCTGCTTGGCAAGCAGAATGCCTGGTTGCTGCCCCCAAGGTTGCTCAAGCCGTTATCGCCGCCGTCGGTGACCTATTTACCTGGCGATTGGCTTGTCGCGTGTACGATCCCATGTCTCACGAGGCCTGGGCTGCAGTATGTCTCAGCTCTCCAGCCAGCATGCGTCGTATCAGGGCTAATCACTAGATGTAGCTGGCCTTGACCATCATCAGTCCCTGGCAATGGTTCTGCTCCACAAGGACCTTGTCGAACTGTCTGGAGACCTCCCTTACCATTGTTGCTCTTTATATGTGGCCATGGGTATGGTCGTCGGATCCCTCAACCACCACTCAAACGAGAGGGTCGCCCTCACGTAGTCTCAAGTCCCAGACCAACGAGGACCAGTCTGACACTGCTGTTCTGAGCAGGTATGACCATATGTTTTCACCCAATTTTGTAAGATATGCACTGACTCTATCTCTTGGGATAGGTTTCGACAATGCCTTGTGCTAGCAGCTGTGGCATGTATACTGCGGCCCACCAACCTCCTGATATGGATGGTGCTAGCTAGCCTGCTGTTATACCGGAGCACTCCCCTGCGACGGGCGACACTTGTCCGCGAAGCTTTACTCTGCGGGTGAGCTTAGCGGTTCCCTCCATTATCTCAAATGCGCAACTACTTCTAACACTCCTACAGTTCGGCTGTCCTGGCCGTGTCGACTACAGCAGATCGGTTCTTCTACGGATTCTGGACTTTTCCACCCCTGCGGTTTTTGTACTTCAACCTTGCCCAATCGCTGGCCGTCTTCTATGGGAAGAATGACTGGCACTACTATCTGTCCCAGGGCCTTCCTCTCCTCTTGACTACAGCCCTGCCCTTCGCCGCAGCGGGGTTGTACCATTCACTGACTCGTCCGCGATCGGGAGGGCTCAGCGAGTTGCAAACTTCGATTCAGGTTCAGCTTGCTTCCGTATGCCTCACCATGATCTTTGGGCTGTCGCTGATATCGCACAAGGAGGTGCGGTTCATTTATCCATTGCTGCCCTCGCTGCATGTCCTTACTGCTCCTGTTCTGGTGAAATTTTTCCGTCCCGCGGTCACCGGGGGAAGTCAGAGACACACCCCCAGGCGGCTCACCTTGGTTTTCTTGCTACTGGCGAACGCTGTCATTGCGCTCTATACGACAGTCATCCATGCATCCGGCCCAGCGGCCGTATTATCCTACCTTCGGGACCAGCGACAGATTCATGGCTCCAACGATATGACCGATACTTCTCAGCCCGGGATTACAGCCGGGTTCCTCATGCCTTGCCATAGCACTCCGTGGCGCTCACATTTGGTCTACCCCACCATCAGCGCCTGGGCACTGTCCTGCGAGCCTCCCGTCGGCCTCGACGCGTCCGAGAAAGCAACGTACTTGGACGAGGCGGACCAGTTCTACGCCGATCCTGAGCAATTCCTGCGCACGAACATGATCGGCGGCCTGCGCAGATTCCCTCGAAGACCATCCTATGACAAGTATAATCGGAAATCTTCGCAGTTGCCCACAGAGTACCAGTCCAAAACGCCGCACGAATGGCCCGATTACCTTGTCTTCTTCGCCCAATTAGAACCCACACTCCGGAGTCTCCTCCGCTTCTCCGCGTATAAGGAATGCCACCGCACCTGGAACACCGCCTGGCATGACGACTGGCGCCGTCGAGGCGACATAGTCGTCTGGTGCGTCGATCCCTCCGAACAAGCCGCCCGGGACAGCCTGTATATCCAACGCCAACGCGAGAGCCGGGATCTCCACTTTGATCGCATCGTCCAAACTTTCACCAAGCCTACACACAAGCAACGTTTAACGCGTTTGTGGAAATCTATATTTTCAAGCAAGTCCCAATCGGGATCTTGGTCGTGGGCATGGCCATGGCAACGCCGCAAACGCACAACCATTTTCGGGTTTGAATTGCCGGCCTGGCCGTTCTCAAGATCATCCAGAAAATCATCATCTTGGACATTTCCCGCCTGGGAAGAATTGAACCGGCGGATGAACGATCGGGCAAACTGGGCTTAGTAGCTTAATGTGTGCATATATATTCGTGAAGATAATATCTGTGTTACTATACTATGCTGTATATTCGTTTGTATTATGAACATTTTGGATTAATACCTCAGATACCTCTGCTGCATAGCTTGAAACGGAAGGATTCTGTCACATTGAAGTTATATCATTTCAGTAAATACCATATACCATACATAGTACCTCGTTAGCTACATAACTGATATTTTTGACCTGCTACCCAAACTCATATCCAACAACTAAGAACAATTTATCTCTATGCAACAATCTCCCCGACGGAATAAACAGAAAACTATAAAAGAACCACTATATACCTTTCCGCCACTGCAAAAAGCCAGCAGGAAGCAACATGAAATGTAAAAGAACAATATAGTTAGTAGTAGCACCAGCCGACCACTACAAAGCGAATACAGAAGAATATATACCGCATAAACCCTCGAAACAAAAAATGACAAATAGCGAACGCAACGACGCCCAAAAATGCAATCAGCTAGTCTATCTACTTTACACTCGCCTCCCCAACTTCCAATTCCCTTGCGAATCACATAAAAAATAAAGCTCGAGTCGACGAGTACAAAACCGATAGACAGAAGTTATATATAGATAGATAGATATATGGTCAAGGAGAAAAATGTGCAATAGATAGATAATATATAGGTAGATCAATAGATTTTCAGAAGTGAAAATAGAAGGGATGAAACTATCCATATCGCGCACTCAAGCTGGCAAAGGCATCGGGACTGTGTCGTCCGCTTTGGAAGCCGTTGATATCGACGCTTTGTTGGCTCATGTGGCCTCGCGGGAAGCCGGCGGGCTTGTTGGGCATTCCTCCGTAGACATTGACTGTTTGTTGTTGTTGCTGTTGGGGTGGGGCGGTGGTGGTGAGATAGGGTGTTGCTTGTGCGGTGGTAGTTGGGGCCAGGGCGGAGGCTCCTGGTTGGGGAGCTGTTGTGAAGAAGGGGTTGCGGTTGCCGCTTGCTGATAGGGGGTCTGTGAGGGGGTTGCTTTGTTGTTGTTGTTGCTGTTGTGGTTGTTGCTGCTGCTGCTGTTGTTGGGGCATGGTGTTGAAAGGTTGTGATTGTTGTTGTTGCGGCATGGTATTGAAGGGTGAAGGCTGGCCGGTCTGAGTGGGGGGGTTCACGGCCGTGGAGGGTCGGTATTGTGGTTGCTCTGGGATGGCGGAAGGTTGCGGGGAGAATTGATAGAGGGAGAGGATGCTGTTCTTGTCGACGCGGCCGGTGGGCTGCGGCGCCAGATGCTGCGCGGATGCTTGATATCCGTATTGCGGTTGCGCCAAGTATCCTGCGCTCTGGGGGGTAGCTGGCGCGGTCATGGCTTGATAGGGGTTCAGAGACCCTTGCGGTTGTTGCAGATGCTGCTGCATTTGGTATTGGGGTTGCGGTTGCGCCTGGGGCTGGGGCTGAAGCTGGGACTGGGACTGGAGCTGTGATTGAAATGGAGAAGGCTGGCCGAAAGGCGATGTAGAAGGCATGGCAGGCATGGTGTTTGCGTGCCGAAGGGGACCGAATGGGGAATTTGATGCAGCCTGGCTCTGAGGTGGTTGCTGCATCCCGGTCGGCTGCGGTGCAACTTGACTGAAGAAGGGGTTGTTCTGGGCAATATTGGACGCGGGAGGGGTCATGCTGGCCTGCGGCTGAGCTCCGGTCTGAAAGAAAGGATTGTTGCCACCATCTAGCGGCTGCGGAGAAGAGACATATGCGCTCTGGGCAAAGTTCGTGGGAACCGGGGGTGTCGCCGTTTGCTGGTAGAGAGGTTGAGGAAGCGAGACCTGCCGCATTGGATAGCCACCGGTGGAGTGTGGAAACAAGGGCTGAGCGACCTGCAGGTTCTGGAACGACTGCTCCAACGATTGCACCGGCGCTTGCTGGGCCTGCGGCTGAGACTGCACAGGTGCATCGAACGGGTTGTAGCTCCCACTTGCTTGGCGAGTAGCGGGCCTGGCATCCAATTGATCGAACGGATTGGAAGATTTGCCAGCATCAGGCGTGGGTTGCGCAGCCGGAGACTTTGCAAGCGAGACAGATCCATTGCCTTCTCCCAGTCTCACTAACGTCTCGATGGTCTTTTCTAGATTCCCGTCCAGCTCGCGGAGGGCGATTGCGTTGCGGCGCTCGTTCGCGAAGCCCATGTCTCGTAAGGTCGCCAACTTCGCATCAAACGACGCATCTCCCGAGCCTTTCCTCACTGAGATTCCCGACGCACCGAAGCTATCCGACTGTGGTGAAACTGCCGAACCTCTGTTGGACATCCGGTTGAGGTTGGTCGCAGATGAAGCGGACCGAAGACCGAAGCCAAAGGGCCTGGCAGGCTTAGGAGGTAGGGGAGGAGGAGAGCCTTCCGGAGACCGGTCCTCTGCATGGGGCCTATCGTAGCCTGAATCATGACGGCTGGGGGGCTTTGCTTTCGCCTCGTCGAGGGACCGGTGCTGGTATTTCTGGCGAATGAAGCGTTCCATGCATGCATCGGACTCGTCAACGTCGGTCGGAACAGGCGGCTTAACGTTCTTGGGGTTGTAGATCTTGTTCATGATGTTGTTTCCGTGCGATTTCATATTCTAGACAGTACCACCGGTCAGCGCCCTCATTCTCTGGCTCCGAAATATATCCCGGATCACTATCACAACTCACGTCGACCTGATCGTCCGTCCATGTGTCCATACTCAAGGACTTGACCTTGGAGATATGTGTGCCCAACTTGCGATGTAAAGATGCACATCGCATGCAGATAAAGATTCCTATCTGTATATGCATTCCAATCAGTATATCCCGTCCTTCCCAATGAAACGAAAGAGTGCATGTATGTATGAATCGGGTTGATGAGAGACGTACGTTCCAACTAGCCCATCCTATACCGGAGAAAGCAATCCGTTAGCATTCTGGACCAAAAACAAGACATGCAGCGACACTACTCACCTGGATTCAAAGCCTGACAATCGGCACAGCGGTCATTTCCAGGGACCGACCGAATGAGGTCCTGCAGCGCCCGCTCATTGCGGAACTGCTGCCGTTTGCTGATTCCGGCCACCATGGTCGCAACACTCTAACAGAATGGCGGGGTATCTCGCGCGACGACAGGGGTGAAATTCCGGTCTCACAAAACCCAAGACAAGGAGAGGGGGAGAAGTCGTGAGATGTAGGGGGCGAGTTGGGGGAAAAAAGTCTCAAGCAGCAACAGCACGAGCCGAGCTTCCGGAACGGGGATTCGGGAAAACCTTCAAGCTGAGAGGCAAAGCATATTTACACCGGGAAAGCGTCCGTCAATGAGGCCGAGCAAGTTGATGCACAACAAAAGCAGTAAAGAAGGAGGGGGAGGGGGGAATTGGGCAGGGAAACCAGCAAGCCAGCAAAAGGAGCGGCCAGGGATGAGGAGAGAGGAGTTGGCGGAGGTGGGGAGCACAGCAGCGAGGATGGATTGATTCAGTTAGATTCCCACGATATTAATAGTTAGTTGTTGTCCGCTGCCGACTCAATTCGGCCCACGTTGTCGGCTGTTCAAATTCACTAGATCATAGATAGATAGATAGTAGATAAATATCTACAAGGGAATATTTGTTCGGAGGGATGGCGCAGACGCCCAGAAAGTTTTAATTTCAGAGCAAGCAATTGTACATGAAGGATAGGAGAAAATCAAGCGTCCGGGTGGCATCAGGGGCAGCAGCCCCCAATGGCTGCAAGCAACTCTTGACTTTCGACCCCAACCGGCCAGGATGGTTAACACCGGCTTAACTCTTCTTAGACCAGTCCTGTTCCTGGTGGAAAGTCTATCCATGATGATTTGGCAGCAGTCACGCCAATGAGACACCCCTCTTGCGTTCGAATAACGTTATGGAAGCATCCCAAGCCCCATTCCACAGTGCTTGCCTTCCAAGAGGGGACTTTCTGCATGGATCCCGGGACGCGTCATGAAATCCCACGGCCCGATGCAGCCAGGGACCCTGAGAGGCGAATAATGCGAACTGACAGCCCAAGGCAACTGTTACAGTGTCGCTGATCCGGCACTCGCGGGTGCATCTGGTTCAATTCTATTTTACGTCTACGATCTCAAATCACACTCCATACCCAATTTATCGATGGGGATGTTTGAGCAGCAGGTGACTCCGACCACCATTGCACAGACGAGCTCCGGGAGGAACTCAGTGCGGTAGAGGAGCCAATTATGCCCGGGGTAAAGTTACTCTAGTACGCCAATATGACCTGCCATCCTATGGTCAATTAAGAAGGAATTGGAGGTTGATTATGCGTTCGTGAGGTATGAAAAGTGTGATGAGAAAAAAGAAAGCGGCGCGGAAAGAAAGATTTTTATATGGGCCAATGCCATAGTGGGGCACGTGATATGCGGCATGGGTCGTGGAGGCCTCAGGCGTCACTGTGGGTGGATATCCCAGCCATCGGCATTTTCACGGAGCATATCAGCAAATGGGTCAAGAGAGTTTCCAGTTGTTCGTATATATATATATATCCGTTTCAATCTATTCATAAATATACTACATGTACACATCAACCATAGAGACTAATCCCCCACGCCAACGGAGGCGCCTTGAGGAAGTTTACTGTAACACGGCCCGTGAACAAACGGTGTGGCCAGACTCCATCGCATCTATCCAATGTAGCCCACCCGGTTCATTCCCCAAGACTGTGACGAGGGTTGAAGCAGTACCAATGCCCATCCCCCGACCAATGACGTGGAAGCATCTCATGGCCCAGTTATGCATCGGGCTGGAAACTCCGCCAACAAGTGCAGCCATGGCCAGCGGCAGAAGCAAAGTGAACCCAGTGCCCGCGTGGGTATGCAGGGAATCAAAGACATCCTTTTTATCAAAACCAGCAACTCCGAACTTGAATGGGATAGAGCAGCAGATGTCCGTTGCTAGCTGCCTCATCAGATCACGGATGCGAATGCAATGGTCCTTGAAGAGGCCATAGTCCAGAACTTGATGGCCACTCGAGGCCATTGATCGCAGATGGGTAAGGATCATGCTGTTAACGAGAATTCGGGTGTAGCGATAATTGTTCCAGATATTGCAGGACCAGATGGATTGATAGATGTGATAGGTGCCTTGGTAATGGCAGAAATTGCCCTCGTCGTGCTCGCAGGATGTCACACTACCGGGTTGTGTCTCTACCTTGTAGGTGAAATCGGCTGAGGCATGACTAGCGAAATGCCCTAACTCCAAGTCTATAGCCATGGCCATCTTTACAATCTCACTGCTGTCCAAGAGGATTCCTTCTCTGACATCGGCCTGAAGCCCGGTGAATTTAGCCATGATCTTCACTAGTCGATCCCCGTCAGGTGGGAAAGGATACGGCGGCAAGTCGGCAGCTACTTGATCAGGCATATCGACCAGAACAGAAGGGAGCCTCGTCTTCTTTTGTAGGCAACCAAGGACCTGGAGGGACCATTAGTCAGGTTCTGAGTCAAGAGACTTGGATAGCACCCACCACCTCATTTCGGAGGGCTTGAAACATCCAGAACCCGCCTTCGCGCCGAAGCTGATCTCTGCCGCGAAGTTCAAGGACAGTTGCCACCCCCTGCGAGTGTTCGATCCAGGAATCCAGGCTCTCATTTTTGTGGCAAGCAATAATCTTAGAAGGTCAGTGAGATATATACTCTGTGGTTCGTCATGGACAAACTCACCTCGAATAATGATAAACAAACGATCGCGGTCAGCGTTGTATCTGCCGTAACCAGATTCGGGTCGCACAAAGCTGCGTTCGTCAGCTGTAGAGCCGTAGTATACTCGTGCCGAGCCGACAACCGCATTGATGAGGACCTCTGCATACTAGCAAGATTCGCTAATCCCACGGATGCAATGCTAGCCATCATAGCTTTCTGGCCAAGGGACTCCGCAGGACCGGCCCCATGTTTGAATGAGGTTTCTACTATTTTAGAAGCATTGAACCACGTGTAAGCGTCCAGGAAAAAGCATGTGGCTTGGAAAGTATGATCCAACGCAAAGTTAACTATCGCTAGGGGGAACCGCAGGGTGTGTTGTCCAGGGTAGTATTCAGAGGAAGTATTTCTTCTGGCTAGCGTCAGAATTGGAGATTCTGCGGATGAAGATCCGGTGTCTAAAGTGGCAGATCCCTTGACTCTTCGGGCTACTGCATCGCTCTCGTCCCTAAACCATACCGAGTGCGGGTCTCGATAACCGGAGCAAGTCCGCCTTGCTTTCCTACATCGACGGCAGACAGGTCTGGTTTCATCGCACTATGAGCTGTGATCAGGATTTAATGGAACAAGTGGAAAGCGCCGATGTTTCTGATACGGTATAGAACGGCTAATCACCGACAAGGCCATACTACTTACCTTGACTCTTCGCGCACGACACGTACCACAACCTCCGCTTGGCTTGCCCATCACGAGTGGGGAGAGGCCGCATGTAGACTGGGAGGGTCGTATCGCAAGGGATGCCTAAATGGTGTAAGAGAAGGGTATACCAAGGTTGACATATTGCGGCCCCAACATGTAGGTCCTTTGCAGACTGAGCTCCGGGGCGTAAGACAGATAGGTGAAGTTCGTATTGGGGGATCACCAAACGCCACGAGTCCAGCGAAGCCCCAATCCGGTGGGGGTCGATCTAGCCGCATGTGGTAAGCAGGGCGAGCAATCCCGTATCCTGATTGGTCTCAATGTTCCATCCACGATATCGCCGTTAAAACATCCATCAAGTCTGCTCCATCTGGCCTCCATAGTGGTCTTTGGTTGGGCAGAACTATATGGCTAAGCATAGCCCCAAGCTCCCGATAGCCGCTTGTTTCGAGGTATATACCAGAGAAGCACAGCCTTGTGGGTGCAAGTATTGGTTCCGTGAAGAAAATGTGTAATCCTATTAGAACTATAGCGGCCTTCAAGGGGGGAAAACGGTTGCCTGGAAGTTATATAACTTGCCTCTCTTCTACCGACGTTCCAATGAAGCAGACTGGTCAAATTCAACACTTCTTCTCTGCTACTCCATAGGAGACACTGACTCGTTCCTCTCTTTACCGCAGTCATGGCCGTCAACTACCGACATGGTCTCTCCATATTGGAATTGATTGTATACTTGCCGTCCCTGTTCATCTCGTTGTATATGGGCTTTCGCCATGGCTTCCAGAGAAACGCCGGCTGGATTCTCTTAATAATCTTTTCCTTGGCCCGCATTGTTGGTTCGTGCTGCTACTTGGCCACGATAGCCCATCCTGAGACGATCGACCTTTATATTGCATGGGGAGTTTGCACTTCCATCGGGCTGGCCCCTCTGATCTCCACTTGCGTCGGTCTCTTGTCCCGAGTGTACGACCCATCTCTCCCTTTTCGATATTGTCAAGTTACTAACCAGTCCCTGGTACTCCAGTAACGATTCCATCCAACGAAAAACCGGACGAGGCCTCCTTCCAGCCTTTTTCCGACTAATCGGTCTCCTCACACTAGCGGGCATGGTTCTTTGCATTGTTGGTTCAAGCATGAGCTCCAGCCTTCAGGGAATCACGAATAGTATAGAAGCCAAAGTTGGCGACGTCCTGTACGTCATCGCATGGGCCTGCCTCTGTGTTCTGCTACTTGTCGTCGGGAGCAAGTATGCAAGCATTGAGGATGGCGAACATCGCTTGCTTTTGGCAGTTGGGATCTCAGTTCCGTTGCTTCTCGTGCGCCTCATATACTCCCTGTTGTCTGTATTCACACACAACCCCACATTCAACATGCTTACCGGAAACGTCACCGTCTTCCTGGTCATGGCCGTTCTGGAGGAAATCGTGATTGTTGGGATCTGCCTGGGAGTTGGAATGACTCTGGAAGTCCGTCAACGTCCGACAGAGTATGAGGCCTGCGAGGCGCCGGCTCAGGGAGGTTCCGAGCTCGAGTCACAGCAGAGACCTGATATAACTTCGTACAATCCCAAAAAGCAAGAGCGGAGGCAAAAGAAGAGACGTGGTGGGCCTATTAGCCAGCTCATTGGATTGGCCATTGATGAGATCAGATCTAGAAGGCAGTGAGGGGTTTTCTTTGTACTAGACTTCGTTGATCGATGGAATATACCTAATTCTGCTGATACTTTCATGAGAGTCACACTGATTATTCATATACTTATTCAGTCGAATAAAAATATGCCTTCTCTCGTCTCTCGTAACGATTCAGCACAGTAAACGAGTCCAAGTTAAATAGGCGATGAGTATAGCACCAGGCATCGATAGCATACACACTGGCAGCTATACCATTGCAGTATCCAATGATGCCTTACTGAACATGAAATAAGCGATACATGTAGCAACATATCTTCAATGCTGAAGAAGAAAGAACGAAAGTGCCAGACAGCCCGCTAATATGTAGATAGCTGTTTCCCCATCGAGCAATAGGAACCACCATACTCGCTTAGGCTAGCGTTTACATCACATGACCAAAAGCTTAAGCGAAAAGACCAATTTTCCTCCAATTTTCTCTCACCCACCGTTTCCCGCTTCCTTCTTTCACTCAACCTGCCTTTCAACCCTCAAGCCGTAGGGGTTCTGGAATATTATGAACGATTCCTTCCCGTCTCTATGGCTTGAGTGAATATGTCTTCCAGTCACCCGGTAGAAGATACACTGCAGAATGCTTGCAGGATCATTCAGCTGTCTACCCTTTTCTTTTTTCCCTTTGCTTTCTTGTCTCCGTAGCACAACGAAAACCACACAGTGCGCTTCTAGCCTTTTCAATGGCATAGAGGCATACTTTTTTTTCAAGTTCGTTCAGTGGAAGATCAAAACCAAACAGTTTTTAGCAGAGCTGCGTCTACTCCACCCTGGTGTTCGCTTTTATCGGACGGCAGGACTATTTTTACGACGGACATCCTGAGTTTATCTCTATACCTCTTTTTATCTGTAGATTTGCATACGTGATGTGCGCAGTACGTAGATCTGGGAGGCTGGAATGGGTGTTTTATCGTTTGTACGGAAAGCATTCCGATGAAGGAGTGGACATGTTCGGGTGCTACTGAGAAGGGTGCTTTGCACACACCGGAAGTACGAGCCAATTAACGCCCCTTGCATATGGTCGCTCTCCTCATCCCATCTAGATATCTGGGGGATGATCGTTGCTGCAGCTCTTGAGATCAATCAAAGAGGAACTGAAGCTATGGTTGATTACCGAGCATGCTGTTTTGTTGCGGTCGCCAACGTGTCCTACCATATAGGGGACGTAAATATCACGGCAACTGAAAATGATAGACATCAAGGACTAATAATCAGTTATCAGAAGCGGTGTTTGTCAGAGAGCTCTATCCAGCAGGCTTCTAGAATGGTTCTGAAGGGCTGATAGCAGTTAGATAGTTATCATGAGAGCCAGACTCTAGAGCTGAGTAATGGGAAGATTCTGGACGGATAAAAGTTTAGTAATAGGAACCAGGTGAAGGGAAAGGCAGTGGGCGCCCGGAATTTACCGCGGCTTGAGAGCAGTGAGACCCGCGAGTCTCTGCCAAAGAGAATGTTCCTGTTAATAATATGGCAACGGACCCGCCCGCGGACCCAGAAACGAGCGATTGACTAGTCGCATCGGCTATGATCGTTGCATGGAGATGGTGGTTGTTGCCCCTCCTGAGAGCTCACAACTGTCTCAATGGACGCACATCACCGACAATCGACACAACAATGGCTCAGTCAACTCAATGCTCTGTGGCACTCTGTAGGAATCCAAGATTCGTAGACTGAGATCGGAGCCATGGGTCGGGAAATGGGGGTCATCTTGCCACGGACAGGGTCAATTGCCGGAGATCGGGTCACCCAATTCTGGTCTCCTCACCACCAACTGCCAGTTGCCCGCGGGCTAAAGAGATTCACGGCGCCAGAAATGCGGAGAGCGACTTGCTGAGTCAAAAGATTCGGCCCAGAGCTCGTCAATCTGCGTGTTGCCATTGGTGCGCCGTGCCTGGACAACGGACTCGGCATAATAAGTCGTCGTGGAGGAAGTCGCTGGAAGTGCTGAGGAGACAATTTGCAGCCTATTAGTATCCCTGTCTTCGTCTCCTCTTCTGTCTCTCTCCCCTTCTCCTCTCCTCTTCCCTTCCTACTTTAACTCTCTGTCTCTCCTTTCGTCTTCCTCTTCTCTCCCGTCTTACACCCGAGGTAATCCACCTGTCCCCTGGGTCTCTTCTTCCCACCCTCTGTGTACCATCCAGTGACTTCTGTCATACCTTTGCTTCCAATTCACCCCTGAGCTTTCGTCTCCTTTCCTCTACATTCTTTCACAATGGCATCCGCTGCTAGAACGGCTTCCCGGGCCTTCCTTCGCTCGACCCCCGCTACCTCTTCCTTCAGACCTGCTGCTCGCAGTGCTCGCTTTGCCCTCCCCTCTCAGGGCTTCCGTGCTGCCTCTCGCCGCGGCTATACCTCTGAGGCTGGTGAGGCCAAGTCCTCTAACAGCCTCCTGTGGGCTGGTATTGCCGCCGCTGGTGGTGTTGGCGCCTACTTCTACCTGAAGGGTGGTGATGCCTCCGTCACCTCCAAGGACTTTGTCCCCACCAAGGAGGACTACCAGAAGGTGTACGATGCCGTTGCTCACCGTCTCGCCAACGAGACCGACTATGACGATGGCAGCTATGGACCCGTAAGTGACACCCACCATCTGATGACCTTGGGCCATTGAGTACATGGGAAGCTGACACTACTTGTTGGATAGGTTCTTGTCCGTCTGGCATGGCACGCAAGCGGTACCTACGACAAGGAGACTGGCACTGGTGGAAGCAACGGTGCCACCATGAGATTTGCCCCTGAGTCCGACCACGGCGCCAACGCTGGTCTCAAGCACGCCAGAGACTTCTTGGAGCCCATCAAGGCCCAGTTCCCCTGGATCACCTACTCCGACCTGTGGACCCTGGCTGGTGCCTGCGCCATCCAGGAGCTTGGTGGCCCTGCCATCCCTTGGAGACCTGGCCGTGAGGACAAGGACGTTGCTGCTTGCACCCCTGACGGACGTCTTCCCGACGCCACCAAGGAGCAGTCGCACATCCGTGACATCTTCTACCGCATGGGATTCAACGACCAGGAGATCGTTGCTCTGGTTGGAGCTCACTCCCTTGGTCGCGCCCACACTGACCGCTCCGGCTTCGACGGTCCCTGGGACTTCAGCCCTACCGTCTTCACCAACGAGTTCTTCCGTCTGTTGGTGGAGGAGAAGTGGCAGCAGCGCAAGTGGAACGGCCCTAAGCAGTTCACTGACAAGACCACTGGTACCCTGATGATGATGCCCGCTGACCTTGCCCTGACCAAGGACAAGGCCTTCCGCAAGTACGTCGAGCTCTATGCTAAGGACAGCGACCTCTTCTTCAAGGACTTCTCCAATGTGTTCGTCAAGCTCCTCGAACTTGGTGTCCCCTTCAAGACTGAGGACCGCTATGTCTTCAAGACCTCTGAGTAGATATTCTCGGGGTCTTTGTGAATATTCTGGGTTCGGTTTGTTTTAGGATTTTTGCTGCGGAGCATTGTTTTCTCTTGTTCACATTTTGATATCCGACATGTTCTCGATCGATGTTCGACGACCATAGCATGCGTCTTAGACAGGCATGTCTTGCCGCGGGGCATTAAACCATACAGGGGTGGAAATGTCTAGATGATTAGATTAATAAACCATCCTTTTGAAGATTCAGCTGATATCTCATAGTAATACTATCCGTAATATCTAACCAGCTAACCAGCGAACTTAATGCGATATATATATATATATACATATAATCACGCCTACTAGTACTAGTTGAACTGACTAGTTATTGATAGCTCGTTCGTGCAAGACATCTGCCTTTATATCCTTTGCGACGTAACCAGGATCAACCTGATACTGTAATCACGTAGCACATTGTACTAGTATTGTTGTTGTCACACCGAGTCGGCATCTCTCCGGAAGCGCACAAGAAGTGGCGGCGGTGCGGAGCCGACGAGAAAGTCTTCTTTCAATCTCCGAACACCAATCGCCGCATCTCGTGCGACTGACCAACCCAAAGCCCACCAGAGCCCACGTCTCTCAAGATACAAACCAGACTGGATGGAACAATAACAAAGTTCAAATAAATCTACCCTAGAGAGAAAGAACCGACCCTCCTATCTGTCCGCGCAAAACCCATCCTCATTCGCAGCGCAATACCCAACCCACCATGACCAGATCCAACCACCCCCTCACCCAAGACTACTACGAAGTCCTCAACCTCCCCTTCACGGAGACTCCCACAGCGCTTTCTAAACAACAACTCAAAGCAGCCTACCACAAAGCTCTGCTAAAGTACCACCCGGACAAAGCGCCCGGCGCAATCGCAGACACCAGCAGCCTTCCCACATCAGACACAAACTCTTCATCGCACACAAGCCATCGCTACACAATAGACGAGATCACAACCGCGTACAAAACACTTTCTGATCCATATCTACGCGCTGAATACGATCGGTCGCTGCGACTCGATCGCGCAAGGGTCGCGGAGCGGGAGAAGACAGGGACGGTTTTCCATACGGGGTTGGAGGTTGTTGATCTGGAGGATCTTGCGTGCGATGAGAGTGATGCAGACGCTGCGCTCTGGTATAGAGGGTGTCGGTGTGGCGATGAGAGGGGGTTTTTGGTTACGGAGCAGGACTTGGAGAGGGAGGCGGATCATGGGGAGATTGTTGTTGGGTGTCGGGGGTGTAGCTTGTGGATGAAGGTTTTGTTTGCTGTTGAGGATGGGGATGGCGATGAGCAGAATACTTGAGTGGTGCTGTGTGATGTGTTTGTGTGATTGGTTTCGTCTACGGGCGACGATGGGTGGATTCTTCGCTCGGAGTATACTCTTGGGATGCCTTTTGTCGCGATCTTTGCGACTGAGTTGCCTTTCCTGGTAGGGTATGGTGATGGAGCGCCAGCCCATTATGGGCTTTGCGCACTCTGTCTTGCGCAAAGGAGTCTTTGAGGGATAATCCATGGCTCACCATCAGCATACCGCAGCGGGCGCTCGTGGTCAAGTGGCACTTAGCCTGTCCCACCCTCCCGGGGTGGATTGAGATACTGCTCGCAGAACGATGCAGTACTATGGATGCTTATATACATGTGGTAAAGCTTGGTCTATCTTGACTTTGTTGCTACCACCGCCAGGTCTGTCTGCAATAGAACCTGAGCCACTTGAGTCAAGATATGATATATGAGACATGAGATATATAGAGATTAGACTACAAAAGAAACGATCAGATCTACGTATAGAACATGCATGCATCTTATTTAAATAAAATCATCTTGTAAAAGTTCAAGTCAGATCTTCACCAAAACATCTCATACTAGTAGTAAGGCTATTGTAGTGGCAGGTCTGCAGCAGTCGGCGGGGGCGTTGATGACATATCGGCAATATATCTCCAGTCCGTAACCACCACCGCAGCTCACCAAACCACCGCCAACCTCCTTCCATCTCCTTCGCGTCATTCACTACGCGACATACACCTCCACGATGTCGACACTCGTGCAAATCAACTCACGCGAGCAATTCAGCTCTCTTTTGAGCTCCTCCACCTTTGTTGTCGCCGACTGTGAGCTCCCATCTGCTGTCCCCCACCTTCCCCTCCCCACCACCACCTATTCACTTCCTCGCAACGTCACTCCATCACTTGCATTCAAACAAACCACATCAAGAACAGCAAACTAACCCATAGAAACAAACATAGTCTACGCAGATTGGTGCGGACCATGCAAAGCCATCGCCCCAGCATACGAGCAGCTAGCTTCGCAGCTCTCACGCCCGAACAAGATCACCTTTACGAAGGTCAACGTTGACAAGAACCAAGACATCGCAAGGCAGTATGGGATTACAGCGTACGTGCCCATCCCACCGAGCCACCACCATACACAAACAAAATACAATGCAGCTACTAACCCATACTCAAGAATGCCCACCTTCGTCCTCTTCGAACGCGGCCGCCCAACCTCCACCGTCCGCGGCGCCAACGCCAAAGAGCTCAACGACCTAGTCCGCAAGCTCGCCACGGAAGCCGAAAAAGCGCCCGAGGGCAACGACGCCGGCTCCAGCAGCGGCGTAGGCTGGATCGGCGCCCCGGCTCCCAAGAACTACAGCGACATCTCAGACCAATACGACCCGAAGGGCCTGGAGCTACTGAACCGGGCGAGCGAGTTCGGCACGGCCAAGACCCTCTTCGATAGCTCGAAGCCATCCTCCTTGAACAACGCCAAGGGCAAGGCCGGGGCGGCACCGGATTGGGTGGAGAGTGATACGGACGAGCAGCTGATGCTGTTTATCCCGTTCCAGTCTACGCTGAAGGTGCATTCGTTGCAGATTACGTCGCTTCCGCCATCGGCGGACGAGGAGGTTGAGGATGAGGACGAGCGGCCGATGCGTCCTCGTACAGTGTCGTTGTATACGAATCGGTCGCATGTGCTGGGATTCGATGAGGCAGATGATATCCCTGCTGTGCAGACGGTTACGATTCAGCCGGAGGATTGGGATCCGAAGACGGGTACGGCGAAGGTAGATTTGCGGTTCGTCAAGTTCCAGAGCGTTACGTCGTTGGTGATTTTCTTTGTGGATGGAGATGGGGATAGTGAGAAGCTGCGGGTTGATCGGGTGCGCATTTTTGGAGAGGCAGGTGAGAAGAGAGAGATGGGCAAGTTGGAGAAGATTGGTGATGAGCCGGGTGAGTAGGCAGATACTTACAGATGAGTATGAGTAGCAGTAGTAGATATATGATAGCGACGCACTAGAACAGAACAATTACAGAGAAACCATCACTATGCTCCTACATGGACAGTAGACACATTCACACTTATAATGACATTCATATTCAATACCAATAAATCTACTACGAAAAACACACAAGACTGAAAGATTCCACCACAATCTGCACCACACATAACCAGCACAGAAAGCAGCAGTATCAAACCAGCCAACAAATCTATACTACTAGTAAAGCAACACACCACCATAGACACAATCATCTATGATAGAGATTTTTATAAAAAGTATGTCCGATCCCAAACCAAATGGTCTAATCCTCGTAGAGAAAAAACAGAAAGACCAATAAAGTAAGAACCGGTGTGCAATTCCGTTCGTCTGTGACGCAACTGACACCTGGGGTATGACAACATCACGGGGAAACTGATGTCCAGGCAACACGGGTGAAAATAGTTGCGTCGCCGCACGAAGAAAAAAAAGAAAAAAAAGATTCTAAAAGGGTGTAGGGGGTGGTGAAGTATTTATAGGGTTGGTTGGTGGGGAGGTGGATGATTTGTTGTTCCGGTGTTAAGCGAGATTTGAAGAAAGGAATTGGGAAAGGCTGGTAGGTGTGTGATGACATAAGCGGAATTCGGGGGGAGGTGAAAAAATTCGGTGTGGAAGTTTTCTTGTCTTCTTTTTCTTTCTTTTCTTCAAAAATATATCAGGCTGATGATGAGATAATTGGATGTTTTAATATATGATAGGAAGAGACTGACTCCCGTTGATCTGGGGGATTGATCTTAACTTTCATCCACTGAGGCCTGTTTTTATATTTCTCTATTATTTTGGTTTATATGATCCTTGTTATGGTGGTTATATGATTATGGCGTATTTACTATCTACCTATCGGTGATATTCGTCGGAGGTTATAGACCATTTGCTTATTGCTACTACCATGCTATGCTATAATCCGTCTTTGCTATTGCTTTGCTTGTTGCTTATGCTTGCCCTCTTGTTTCCCTTTCTGTCGGCGTGGCTGTTTCTTACTGGTAGTACAGAGTACCTGTGGTACTTTTTTCTCTCCGTCGTGCGCGTGTTAGTTGATCTTTTTTTTCGCCGGCTGATTGCTTTCGGATGACAAGGATTCTCATCCGTTTGCGCCTTGCGCCCTGGCCCTGGCCCCCAGGGCCTATCGACTAGGGTCGGGGTTCAACTGCCATCATCGCCTAGCATGATGCTTGCTCGGTAAAAACCAATCGCGTCAAGGAGTACCGGCATACTCCGTAGATACCAACTAAATACGGTGACGGCAGATGCATCTGTTGCATTGGTGCGGTTTGAACATGGGGGCAAATTGTCGTCGTAAGCCGGAACTTGGTAGCATCTAGGAGTGTGTGCATGTCAGATTTTTTTCTTTCGCGATGGCTGTGTCTGCAGCTGCAGCTGCAGATGTCCGTGTCCGCGTCCGTCGTCGCTAATCATCATCACTGCCGATGGATCGTCTGATGCATTAACTGTTTGAGCCACCTTTTTTAGCCCCAACCCGTGAGGATTGTTCAAAAAGGACCCATGGTTCCATCCCACTCGCACGTTCTGCAGCCTGCACCGCGCCGCGCCCGGGCACCTCTCACGTCAGGACCTTGGGGGCTGATACAACCGGGCAACGAAGAGATAAAAAAAAACTCTGGTTCAGCACGGTCCGTGAGGAAGCGGGCTGACCAAGGAAGCTGAACCAGCTGAACGAGCATTGTTCTTTTCGGGATGCTCAGTGCTTACCGCGATCCGCTTGGTCTGACCGAGATCCCACTGCGACCCAAGGAACCGCAAGCCTACCTTATCTGAGACGGAATTCCCTCACGTAACTATTGTTGTCGTGATTGATTGATGCTGATAGTGGTCTGTCTTTGCCGCGCCCGCTCTCCCCCACTTGCAGGGTGCAATGTGCAGAGGGCAATCCAAGGGCTTTACTGGGCCCTAGGCTGGGGCGGGCGTCGATCATGTTGGGACACTGGTCGACGCAGCCATCTGTTGGACCTCACAAATCGCATCACTGTCTCTGTATGGATGCTCATTATCCCGTGCATAGTCACACTGGCGACCCATGAGGCAGAGGGGGCTATTGGGTCGCCGCCAAAAGTCTCAGCGTGAGACAGTGCTTTCCGACTGGCAGAAGCTGGCCGGAATGTGGAGTAGTGCGCCATGGAAGCAATTCCTCCTGCGATAAAGTTCACCCGAAGGCACCTTGGCCTCGCGCTATTCTGCGCAGGTTTGCCTGCGACCCAGAAATTCGAATTTTTGTATCCATATCTGCATGACTCTGTTATCAATTCCAATTGCTTAGCGATGTCGGCGTGAAAGTTTCCGCGCACGAGGGAACCGCGCCTACTAACCTGCCCTTTCAAGGATTGGTACCTCCAATCGCATCCCAGCGGACGGTGCCGGACCACCCTGTGTGGGAAACTTACCCCATCAGACAGATCGGGTCTGGTGTTGCTCTTATCTCTGTCTTGGTTGTCCATCGTATGCTGTTATTTTGGATTATGTATTCTGGTCCACTTTGACTCGGAATTGCTGCTCGTAGAGTGATCCGTATTGCAGGTATGGTAGTCGGGTAGTTGATGATTCGAGCTTGCTTGCCGTGAGCTCCGAAGGGACCGTAACCCCAAGGCCAAGTTTAATAGCGCAACCATTTGCTTCTCCGCATTTTTATTTTCGATAGCCCAGGTTTGGCGTCTTGGAAGTGGCGACTAGGCGTCTCTGGTCAGTAGGTAGAATATGGAGGTAGGCAGTATTAGCCTGTTCCATCGGGAGGGTTCGCACTATTTCTCCGTTCTCAACCTTCGCAAAGAGAGTTTGTTAGGGACCGACTCTCTCGGGCGAACGGTGAGCTTCCCCTCTGTTTGCGTGATTTCCGTATCTTTAATTTCCCCAGTGACGCCATTTCCCATGGAGTCACGGACAATCATCATACTGGGAGCGGCTACGTCCTGGGTCCTCGACCAAGATCCCGACTGGAGCCCACTCGCAAGAGCTCTCCAGCTCTCAAATGCGAGCTAGAACCACGGGTCGGAATACTATTCATATACCTGACTGGGCTAGGCTCGGGACGAACAGCCAATGCCCTTGGCCGTCCAGAGCGCATGCCTCCAAAAGCTCCGACAACACGATCCAAAATGGAGCAGCGCTGGGATGGGGTTGAGTAAGAGATACTCATGATTTTCGCCATGGCCGGTGGTGCGAATCACTCTCCCCCGCTGGCATCCACTGGATCACTCCCGAAGTTCTCCACGAATGGAGCAATTCGCAATCACAGCATAGATACACCCGAGTATGATGCTGTTCAATCAGTACGCATGTGCAAAAGTAGGTTGGTGGCTTATCAGTGTCGGGCCTAGGTAATTTGTTTGTCGTATTCAGTGGTTGCTGCGATCGGCCACTTTAGTCCATGATCTTCCCTGCACCAATCCAGGAACAGAACTCAATGAGCACGCCACATGGATGTCTTCCCGTCTGCCCGCTGGGTTCGACAGCATTCTGGAGTGCCGAGACGAGCATGCAGTGATAATTGGAATCAGCACGAGATGGAACAATCACACATCAAAAAAAGGCGCACCTTCCCCAACTAGTATAGGCAGATGGGCCGTACAAGCAGTTAAACACATCAAAGTCACTCGTGGATTGGCACGGTTTAAGCTCAGCTAGCAGCCCTGTAGTAGTAGTCTCGGGGTAATATCTTGAATCCCTGTTGGCTCATGGACGATAAACGCAGAAAAATACACGAAAATGCGGGATGGTAGCTGCTCATCACTATCACACTTGATGTATCCAAAGACCCCCAAACCAGGAATTAAGAAAAAAAAAGCCAAAAGCCAAAAGAGACATGGGATTCCGACTTGGTTTAGTCCGCAGTGGAACACGCAGTAGTGCAGGCCGTGGTGGTGGAAGGTCCCCGCAAAAAGTGCGGTAGCTTCATGCCGGCAATCGAAGGCCGACTTGCGCCAGTCCCAGCCCGTCCAGCAGGCACGAGGACCGCTTGGCGGCTGGATGGGTTAGCAACTACGGCCAACTCGACTGTTGCCATTACTCCATTTGGTCGGACGGCATGCATTCGCTCATGAGTATGAGGGAACATTACTTCCGTCTCGGTTGGCGAGTACATCTTAGGCGAGTATACCAACCCATGGTCTACTGCCGAGGATGGGAGAGTTGTGGCGTAGCTGGCATATGGCATGGTCTGACGACGGGGTAGATTCTCCATCCGAAACGACCCAGAGTCGTGTAAAGAGATCACTCGGAAATATGTTGCAGAATGTGTAGATACTGTGTGTGAACCATAGTTAATAATAACACCACCCCTCTTTATCCTTGGTTCATACAAGGGCTCGGAAGCCTGCCGGAAACAGAACCATAGAAAGAGATAGAGAGGGTGAGGGTCTCTGGATCCTGAGGCCACTACTGTGGCACGTTTGGAGACTCGTACGTGGTGGTTGCTATTGCTGTAAATCAAGCTCACTCGTGTCGAGGTTTAGAAGGTTCGAAGAAGCCTCCAAAAACTTCGGTTGCATTAGGTAAAGACACTATGTTCGACGTTAATTGATCGCGATGGAGAAGGTTTGTCTGCTCATGACGTAGCGACCTTCACAGCATTATCCCGTTTAGTCAGGGGCCATTTGATTGGCTTCAGGATGAGGTGAGATCCCTAATGGCGATTTAGGAGAGGTTATCGTCATTTTGGTGTCGTACGGAGAATATACTCCATTCTACTACCAACTAGTGGACGCTGAGAGGTAAAACAGTCGGAGATGGCTTGGCTCAGTCCCTCCCCTTTTCCGGAGGCAACGAGGACTTCGGAGTACTAACTAGTAGTGCAGAGTAAGGTACTCCATAGTAGTATACGCAATGGGTTAGTGTCTGTACAGTCAGGATTCTGGGGACCTGACTAAGACGAAACCGAGACACGCCCAGACAATGCCCTCTGTGATTGGAGGATTGCTGTCCGCGTAGTGTGTTTCAGATTTCGAGCTTACTGCTTTTATCAAACGCTCGACGTCGGTACTACTAGTACTTGGTAAGTACAAGTAATCCACGGAGAGGAGTTCAGTTTGCCGGCGGACTTCCTGCTGGACAGTTTGGCGCAGTAGTGCCCTAACGGATGGAGAAGTTCCATTACCCTAGTCCCAGCCACATTAGGCTTAGCCCAGTTGGCCACTCTTCCCTCGACTGTAATACTACCTTACTGTGTGTTGAGTAGTAAGGTTCCCGTCTCCAGTCGGTATACGGAGATGGCACGAAGTTGAAGATCTGCTGGTTCTGACTCTGCACGATGTACGCCAGACCCGGTCGCTCGGTGATAGTCTCGCACCGATTTGGTGCTGAAAATTGCTGCGAGAGTAAATTCCAGTCCTGCCTCCCACTTCCATTCTCTGGATGGATTCGAACCCTCATCCACACTAGGCGCTGCACTATTGGTTCGCCTGAACTTTATCGTATCAGTCCACCAAGGCCAGCATGATCTCGAACGAGCTTAACGGGCAATGCCCATATTTTGGGTGTCGCCATAATTCCAATTAGATGACAATGAAATGATCTCTACGTGCGTCGCCTCCAAGTCATGTGTTCACGCGATCAACCGTCAATCATTCCTACCCGGCGTTGTACAACAACTCTATATTTCAGGCGATCATGATGCCTGAAGTATATAATCACCTTCCTGCTTGAGAATTCTTCCCAGTAGTTAGTGACTTATCGGCGTCGCATGATGAGCTGCAGCTTCAATGGTCCAGCATATACGCCGTACGGTGAGTACCGAGGAATAATTAATTGGGGGGATCCGCAATCGGTTTCTCCGGCGTGTCTTGTTCAAGGCAACATCATAAGATGCTGGTGTGTTCTGATCCTGGGAAGCCGGTACCGATAAGGACCACTTCTCTCTCTCTCTTAGGCTCTCCATAGATCTTGTGCTACTGTAAAACCAATTGATATCCATCCATAATCTTGGTACATACTATTTGGGTATCCGATAACCGTTGCTTCCGGTCTCCGCGGAACCTATTGGAAGACGAGGGTAGAATGCGGTGCCATATCTGACCCATTCTGATTCGCTTCTTTTTACCTCTCTGCTCGCCTCCATTCTCGGATCCAAGCGGCATTGAATCTGTCAGGTTTCCCCATCCTGCCACCACCGGATACTCGCAGCCCGGACATCCCACTGTGCTTTGTCCAGCACAACAATTTCCTGACTCTGATTCGTCCGAGAAGAAGGGGGGCCACGCATCCGAGAAGGGCCTTCGCCAAATTGACACTTCTCGCACGGTCGCAATTGAACCAGAATTTTTTTTCTTTTTTTCCCTCACTCGTGAGGACCTGCGTGGCCACCCACACGGGTAACGCTGGCGCGGAAGACGGGATTAAGTCCCCTACCGCCCGTCTGTCAGCGCGGATGCGCGCCCATCCCCATTTCGAAACCCACCGCCGACGACGCAAAGAGGCAAGATGCGCTGTCTTCCGGTGGCGCTCGTCTTCACCACTCATCTAAACTGTCGGTGGCATGCCGAAGCGGCGCCATAGTAGATAATGCGAGACAGCCGTCCAGTCTAGATATCTTTCGTAATCTTTCCTTGGTGGAGTCCGGAAGTCGAATGGAGAAGGTGGGAGGAGGTTATGCCTGTCACCGGTGTACGGAGTAAGGTAGCCACTGGTGTCGGGAAATGATAGAGTTGTGGGTATACCGAGGATCATAGACGACCGTCGTCTGGAGTGAGTGTCCTGAAGAATATGCAGGTACATGATGGGCAATGGATGGGATCGGGACACGCTGGTACACCGTAGCAGAGCAGATGATGCGCCATTCCCATTCCCCCTTCTAGACCGAAACCGCCTTGACGGTGCAAGAGAACAATAAAAAAAATAAAAATAAAAAAAGAAGCTACTTTGGACTATCGCTATCAATTTGTCAACATTGCGGGCGATGACGACGGATTTTCATTTACCGCTTCTCATTACGCTTATGCAGGTTTGGTCCTATCGTTTCCTTTTGCGCGATTAGAATCCTACTACCAGATGGGACCCGCATCGGCTTTTCCTTTGTTGTTGGTTGCGGTCGTTGTTGTGTTGCTATTGCTGCAACGGTTCTTTGTTTGTGGCGACGGTTTACTTTGTGGCGACCAACAGGGGTCTTGCTGCATGCTCTCGGAGGGCCAAAAAAGGACCAGTTAGATAGTGTTACTGGTAATGAATCTAATTAGTGGCATACACTGGACAAATCCCGGATCTTTGCGGTGGGTTGCTTCGCTGCGTACACTTCCTGGGTTTACCAACTCAAGTGAAATCCCCGGCATTGTCGACGGAGTCCGTAGCTGGCTAACTAGCTAATAACTAGCTAGCTGCGACTGTTGACCTACTACTGTAGCTAGGCCTGGCCGATGGAATCCCTCTCGCCTTCCACCACACAGACATTCGCCTCCTTCGGTGTTTGCTGGTAGCGGTACTCCGTCGTAAACAAAGTAGGTCTGCAGTAAAGTAGCGCATCGAAAATTCGAAAAAACTGGAGTCTCTTTCCTTCCAAGGAGCTACACTGGAGCTCCGTAACTTGTGGAGAGTTCTAGTAGGGAGTTGTCCCCTACTACTCTAACTAACTACCTGACTAGACCTCAACTAGGCAGTAGCTGGGACGGTAGAACTTGATTTGCTTCCTTGGTAAGTTTTCTCGAAGCTCGACGGCTTCCATGCATAGATTAAACCAGTAGACATACTAGCCCGAAGAAGTAAGTCGGCAGTTCTTCCCCCCTCCTCCCCTCTTTCTCCTCGTATTGCTTGCTAATCGTTTAACTTACGCCGGTCGTGGCAAGCAATATAGCACGCTTCTAAAGCGTGAGATAATTGTTCTAGTCTCACGACTACGCACTACCCGCGACCTTCTAGCATTTCTAGGCTACGTACTACTGAGAAGCTAGACACACGCCGAGGAACGCAATAGATGTCCTTCCCCTCTCTTAATGTTCCTGATTGCTCCATAGTCATATCCCGATTTCAAATCTTGGTTTTTGCCTAGCTTTCTTCTCTCTACAGTTAGTTTAGTGGTTATAATAGAGTAACTTGTAGATTACTGTAGATAGCTTGCGAAGTAGGTGAGTAATATTATTGGCAATTTTACCTCGCTCGGGGCCCGTTCCGACTCCCGGAAGCTTCGTTCGAAAAAGGAAAAGTGGCCTGGCCAGGGAATAGGACGGCCTTTTCTATCTTTAGATCCACCAACCAACCCCGGCGGCGGTGCTGTGAATACTGCCCATTACCGTATGTATGTTATGATGTATGCATGTAGTATGTATGTATGTTTGGAAGGGAAAGTCAATCAATCAATCAATCAATGAATCAATTGATTGGACAGGAAGTGAAGGAAACAAGAGAAAAGTATGAAAAAAATTGTCTGTGCAACTGATGTACAAGCTGAGATACTCACCAGGGGCAGACCAGATGGACGAGTCATGTCGCTGAGCAGGGGACTCGGCAGGAGAACGTTTCAGACCGGTTGGACCAGTTGCGTGGCGGTGGCCAGGGTTTGGGATGGGCTATTGTGATGCTCATGGGCCGAGGCTGGAAGGGGAAATTGATAGGCCCAGGGGTCCGTGTTCTGGAGTCTGACAGCTCTGCTTGGAATCCCCTTGCTTCCCATGATTTACCGTGGCGCAGCCTGTCAGTTTGTCTGTCTGGCTGGTTTATCGCGTATCATCATCATCAGCGGGCGCCTCTTTCTCTCTGTCCAGGGACGACAATCTTCAGATGTTGTCATGTTGATCACTTTTTATTTTTTGTGTTTGCTCCTGCATATCTGTCTGTTTGCATCACTTTTTTACTTTGGGGGGCGCTTTGCTGGGATGGGTTCTAATTTTACCTATCTGGCAAGTAAAACACGTCGTTCGGGAAATTTACGCGGCGGCCAACGCACCGTACCTGAATTTGAAACCCAAACTATCGAAATGCGAAGATTGCCGGGCTTGCAGAAAATAGATAGTAGCAATCAAAGACACCTCTTTATTGGCATTGAAGCCCTATCGTAGGCAGTCACATTCTTCTTTCCCTCCCAAGAACGTAGACTCGGCTAGTATGTAGTACCACTACGTACTACTATGGAACGTTAAAAATAAATATTAATATACTACTAGTACGTAGTAGTTATATCGTATGAGAACGACTAAGGTATACCATACGACAACCTAATTAAAACGAAAGGAATCAACCCAAGACAGAACTAATCCCAATCAAAGTAGAATCACCGAAGAAGCAAACCCGATCCCAAGAATCCATTTTGACAGCTGCGTTCATCTGCCATGTAAGCCCTGTTGTGCCACTTGGCGCCATCGGACAACAAAATACACGATTCAAGCAAGGGTCGGGCTGCGGCAGCCCATCCCAGGGACGTTTCCCCTCTTTACCAAGCCTGCAACCTATCTACCCTTCCCATCGCTCCGCATCGGTTCCTGCAGTAGGCCGACCAAACCTGATCGATCCATCCCGCCGTTGAACAGGTCGCATCTCAAATATGAGCGGATTCCAGGATTAAATTTTTTTGGTGGTGAAAGATGGCGTGAGAGTTGTTTGTCGCTCGGTCGCGCGCGCGCGCGTCGGCCTTGCGCGCAACTATCTGCTGCGTCACTGGCTCACAAGACTAGAAAGTTTACTATCTACGTACCACTTTCCCAAAATTTAGGAACCTCCCAAACTTGGTCTTAGGCCCCGGTACTTTGGGTTTCGGAGTTTCCCAGTACCTTGGATTTGACATAACGCCTTAGAAAGTGAAACCTATCTATGTATGTGCCCAACCTACCTAGGTAGAAGTGAGTGGCTACTTTGTTACGTTTCCAAGTATCCATCTACCCCAGAATGATAGGGCAGATGCATGAACGGTAATCTTTCTTTGCCTAGAAATCTAGCCCAAGTAGGTTCAATAATGCTGTACGCACTATGTCTTTTGCGCATCACACCTGGCATATGACATGCTACCGGATAATAGGGTCCCAAAGCTACTGCTCACTAACTTACTGGTACGATATGGGATGGGGTTAATGGCGGACCTGGCCGCTCTCGGCTCTTCCCTAACGACAAGAATCATATGAAAGGAATCGTTTCGCGGACATTACTACCTAGAATTTACCTAGGCCCATAGAAATAACGGTGAAAAATAATAATAATAATAATAATAACAATAATAATAGCCATATTAATAAACGTTAGTATGAACAGGGATTCGTCTGCCTAGCCTGCGAGACCGCCCCCCCCGGAAGTACCTGGCTGGCAGGTCCGTAGTAAGTACTCTGCTGTAGTGCCACCCATAAGGCCGGGTATCCCATAGTACCGACTCTAGCACCATGCCACAAAGAGGGTGGGCCTTTACTCAGGATCGTTTCACCATTGGTGTAGAAATAATTTATTCCAGTCGCTTGTTTCTCGAAATTGCTAGTAGCCACTACTGCCAGATAGATTAGGTATACTTACGGACGTTTTTTCCGTTCGTGCTCTCTCTTATCAGAACTGGGGACCGGCTTTTTCGGATTGGCTTCATCGGTTGTGGAATTACGTGCATGCCGTGGAGCCCAGAAATCCAAAGCAAGACCAAAAGGCAAGTCCAGAGCGAAGTCACCGACATTGAGAAAGCAAGATAGGCAAGGAGGAGAAGGGGGAAGACGGAAAATGGGGACTTGACAATGGGCACTGGCCAATTTGGCCCGGACAACAGCAATCTTGACAACTGATTGACTGACTGACTTGCCCATGTGTGTGCGTGCGTTGCGTGGGTGTGTGGTGTGTGAGAGAATACTACTAGTTGACTTCTTTCTCCAACTTCCAACCAATTGTTCTCAGTCGTTGCTTTGCTGATCTTACTCGAAATGTGGTCCGGGACGGTCCCAGTGTTGGAACATGGGCCATCCATTCCCTCAATTGCAGTGCACATCTTTGTTCCCTTCTCTTTCCCTTTCCCTTTCCCGTTTTCCCTTTGAGTTTTTGTCCATTTGGGAGGGAGGGGGGACTCAAGACTAAAAGGACATCCCCCAAATGGCGGACGGGATGCTCAGTGGGGCCGACTAGCTTAGCCGGCGAGTCAATCCCTCCCTTTCACGGGTTGAGTCTATTGGCTTCCAATGCAGCCAACTTCGGTTGAATGTCACGATGTCCCCCCCGGCAGGACCAGGCCTGCTATCAGTGGCCGACATGCTTATTGGTTAGTCGGATGTGCTGCCCTTTTTCCCATTTCTTTAACACCCTCATTCGTTTTGCTCTCTTGGTCTCTCTCTCTTTCCCTCTACACCATTTCCCCCCCGCCCCGCCCAACAAAGCCCCCACTTCCATTCGGTCTGGAGATGCTGACTGGCCCGATTTGCGCTCACTCGTCCATGTCTGTGGGACAGACAAGCCGCTGATAAGCCAGATAGGCTAAGAGATGATGCAGGTCCTAATGGTAACGGGACTATCATCCAACAGCGTAGCGAGTAATACTACCGTAAGTTGTAGAACATTCTCATTGCAAGGGCTGAACGGGTTGGCCGCATTGTCATTTGATGGCAAAAGTGTGATGGATGGTAAGCGCGCAGCTGTGATGTTAGGCCTCCAGAGCTGAGCAGGGGAAGGGAAGCATTGTGACAGGCAGAGAGGAGGATGGGCAATCACAGAAAGTTGGCTACTATTTTGGGAGCAATAATACCTACGGTCTCGGTTTGGGGTGTGTGGCAATTCACACACACAGCCATTCCCATGAGGATGCTAGTTAGTAGGTCGCTCATAAATACCGTATCAGTGAAAACATGGGAAAATTACGTGAGACAAACGGAAATTGTGGCCAACTTTCTTCTACTTTCATACACACACACACTTATCTCTCTCCCACTTCTTCGACAGACAATCATTGCTATCAGGTAATGGAATCATCTTCCTCGAGCCTAAACTACTCGGCCGTTACGAAGAGATTTTCTGGGGGGAAAAATAGAGGGGGGTGGGCTTAAAGTGGCCATTTGGACCACCACGAGTGGGAATTGAAAGGCGTCAGTCACACCTGGTACGACCTACTATATCAGGTATCGTATAGATAGGCGTCGTACCTCAGGAGCCAGGTATCTTGTGGCATTTCTCCCACACGCTCATGCCATCGCGGCCTCCTATTGGAACATGGTCATCTCCGCATTTACCAGGCCATTACGGTAAGACGTGGGTTCCGTAATAATGGGCTTGGAGGACCGACCATTTTCTCATGCACCATTGAAATGGGGCTTTGAGGGCCGCCAATGTTCCCACTCGTGCTCATGTGCCCCACGCACTTACGCCTTTTTTGGGCTCCGCGGCCGACGTGGTGGGGCCCGGTTTTTGGCTAGTCCGGTCGGGGATTCGTCGTCTCTTGTTAACTTCTGATCCAACTTACTACAACTTTTCTGTCCATCCACTCTGCTCTCCCTCTCCCCCCCCCATTCCCCTCTCTCCCTCCGTCCCTCCCTCCCTCCTCCACCCAAAATCCACTCTCCCAAATTGAGGAATGGCACAACATGTCCCGGCTAACTTAGGTTGGTCGGGTTCTACTACTACCTGCCTAGGTTGAATATTGCTCTGCTCCTGCTGCTAACTACTAACTAACTAACTGCTGCTGATGCCGCTGACTGTGATGATGAAGAAGCCCGCCGAGGAGGGCTCCACCTCCCGTTGGTCTCCGCTCCCAAGTTTCTCATTCGGTTGGTACTGAGATGTGCACCGGCGCCAATCTGCTATTCTTTGCCGCCCCAGACTAGAAAATCGACTTACCCAGACGGATGTGCATAAGGATAAAAAAAAAAAGTGGGCAAGCATGATGCCAATTTGAGGATAATCGATCCCTCCCCCAAAATTATTTGGGGTCGAGAAAAGGCTGTGGGAAATTAGAAAAAAAAAAAAAAAATGAGGAAATGGAAAATCCGAAATAATAAAAAATAAGGGTTCAAAAAATAAATCCTGAAAAGAAATAAAAATAAATTTCCACGAAAAGAGAATAAAATAAAAAAAACATAATAATAAAAATAAAAAGGAAGAAAAAGAGAGTCTCCGAACATATGACACCATACCATTCCGGCAGATTTATTAGATGATTTATTACTATATTACGATTACTACTACTATTATAGTAGTGACCGTTCGCTGCTGGCACCACCACCAGCGAAAGTAAAGTTCCATGCAGCCCATCTCGCCCAAAAAGGCTTTCAGACTAAAAAGTACGGCTCCAGTCCTACTGCTCACTACTCACGGCGCTACCAGCTCGTAGCACAAGCAGATCAGTCGCTCTTTTATCCACTGCCCATCCTTCTGGCCGGCTTTCCTCTTTCCATATCGGCCCTGTCTCTCATTTTCCCCGCGACTGTCCTCTTCTTTCAAATTAATCTTCTTTATTTCTTATTTTTTCCTTTTTTGCCCTTTTTAGACTTGTCTCGATCCTCATCTGGTCTTTCCTTTTCTCTTCCCTCTCTCTTTTATCTCTCTCTCTTAATCTTAATTGTCTGCCCTCTTTTTCTCTCTTTCACTTTTGCGACTCTATACAGTCTCTCCCGGTTTCCTTGAATCGAGAACGTCCTGAACCATATTCATCCTTTTTGGTTTGGCTCGTTTCGACACACAAGGTGCCTGTCCTTCCTTCATAGACTTGCGGCATAGTCGTCAGATATAATCCCAGATACCACCAACCCCCATTCAACCTTTCTACCAAGAACGATACAGTCGTTTGTCACAGCATACCAGTCAATCGATTAATCAATCAATCAATCTCGCTTCTCATATATACTCTACTGGTTGAGAGCGGTCCCTGGATTATCATCTGTCCTTCCCCCAGTCATTCTCTCACACTCAAAGTGCAAGCGACTCTGCAAGACATTCATTCACCCCCAGCGCTCATCGCTGTGGACGAGCTACCAACTATATAACTAATAATATCCACTAAAGAGTAGAGCTATCTCTACTCTTGTATTCACAACGTCCTACCATCTGTGAGTTCACTTCTTCCTATTCATGGCGCAATGCGAGTGACTGACCGGGTTACCGTTCCTTATCTCTCTAGACACAATGGACGGAACATACACCATGGCACCTACTTCGGTGCAAGGTCAACCATCATTTGCATACTACGCTGATTCGCAGCAAAGACAACATTTCACCAGCCACCCCTCAGATATGCAGTCATACTATGGCCAAGTGCAGGCCTTCCAGCAACAACCACAGCACTGCATGCCGGAGCAGCAGACACTCTACACTGCCCCTCTCATGAACATGCACCAGATGGCTACCACCAATGCCTTCCGTGGTGCCATGAACATGACTCCCATTGCCTCTCCTCAGCCGTCACACCTCAAGCCCACAATTGTTGTGCAGCAGGGCTCTCCCGCCCTGATGCCTCTGGACACGAGGTTCGTCGGTAACGACTACTACGCATTCCCCTCCACCCCACCACTCTCCACAGCTGGAAGCTCTATCAGCAGCCCGCCTTCTACCAGCGGCACCCTTCACACCCCGATCAATGACAGCTTCTTCGCTTTCGAGAAGGTGGAAGGTGTCAAGGAGGGATGCGAGGGAGACGTCCATGCAGAGATTCTGGCCAATGCTGACTGGGCCCGGTCTGACTCGCCGCCTCTTACACCTGGTAAGTCATTATCTAACCCGATGTCCCTTTTTTACATGGTTGCAAGATAGGCTGCAGGGAGTGGGTGCAGCCAACGGAAAAGGCACGGGGCCGGGCATCTAGGGTTGTACAGGGAGACTAACTCGACTTGTTCTAGTGTTCATCCATCCGCCTTCCCTCACCGCCAGCCAAACATCCGAGCTTCTGTCAGCGCACAGCTCTTGCCCATCCCTTTCCCCATCGCCATCTCCCGTGGTCCCCACATTCGTTGCCCAGCCTCAAGGTCTGCCGACCGAGCAGTCCAGCTCCGACTTCTGTGACCCCCGTCAGCTGACGGTTGAGTCCTCCATCAATGCCACCCCTGCTGAGCTGCCGCCTCTGCCCACGCTCTCCTGCGATGACGAGGAGCCTCGGGTGGTTCTGGGCAGCGAGGCCGTGACCCTTCCTGTCCATGAGACCCTCTCTCCCGCCTTCACCTGCTCCTCTTCGGAGGACCCTCTCAGCAGCCTGCCGACCTTTGACAGCTTCTCGGACCTGGACTCGGAAGACGAATTCGTCAACCGCCTGGTCGACTTCCCCCCTAGTGGCAATGCCTACTACTTGGGTGAGAAGAGGCAGCGCGTGGGAACGACATACCCCCTTGAGGAAGAGGAATTCTTCAGTGAGCAGAGCTTCGACGAGTCTGACGAGCAAGATCTCTCTCAGTCCAGTCTCCCTTACCTGGGAAGCCACGACTTCACTGGCGTCCAGACGAACATCAATGAAGCTTCGGAAGAGATGGGCAACAAGAAGAGGAACAACCGCAAGTCGCTGAAGCGGGCTAGTACCTCGGACAGCGAAACGGATTCGATTAGCAAGAAGTCGCAGCCTTCGATCAACAGCCGTGCCACCAGCACTGAGACAAACGCCTCGACACCCCAGACTGTCCAGGCCCGCCACAACTCCGATGCGCATTCGTCGTGCGCTTCTGAGGCTCCTGCTGCCCCCGTCTCGGTCAACCGACGCGGTCGTAAGCAGTCCCTGACGGATGACCCCTCCAAGACCTTCGTGTGCACCCTCTGCTCCCGTCGCTTCCGTCGCCAAGAGCACCTCAAGCGTCACTACCGCTCTCTCCACACTCAGGACAAGCCTTTCGAGTGCAATGAGTGCGGTAAGAAGTTCTCGCGGAGCGATAACCTTGCGCAGCACGCTCGCACTCATGCGGGTGGCTCTGTCGTGATGGGCGTCATCGACACCGGCAATGCGACCCCGCCAACCCCCTATGAAGAACGAGACCCCAGTACGCTGGGAAATGTTCTCTACGAGGCCGCCAACGCCGCCGCTACCAAGTCCACAACCAGTGAGTCGGATGAGAGTTCCTCTGACTCGCCGGTTGCCGACCGACGGGCGCCCAAGAAGCGCAAGCGCGACAGCGATGCCTAGAGCGGCATCTGCTTGGCTTGCAGCTATCACGATGATATGTGACCAGGAGCTCCCATATATCACTTAATAACATCCTATACATAACCTTCCATTCCACTGGTTGGTCTGACTTGGTCTTGCGGTTTGGCGTCCGGGCTTTGTTTCTGGCGGTGACAAGAATAGGAATTACAGGTGTACGGGTTTTGACCGGTTCTGGTGCCCTACTCAAAAAAAGGAAAACAAAAACGACAAACGATAACAAACCATGAGCAAAGGGCACCCTTTATGGGACCGAATATTGGCGAAGCATTAGACCGGCGGCAACGGAACTTGGGCGCACTTGGAGTCCACGGTTGGACCAAAACTAATAGAGCGCATGATGACTTTCACATTTGAGGCACTGGTGATCTGGGTTGATCTTTTCTCCGATTCCCCTTTCTACTCCTTTTTATCTTTCTTTTCACAACCTGTTTGCAGCGAGAGAATATCTCCGACTCAATCCTCGTGCGACGGGGGCTATTGACCCCCTGTCGGCGATTTTCTGTGTACCCGATCTCCCACCTCTTTTCCTTACCAGCTTCTTCTATATACTTCATTCTTCTTTTTTTGTTGCCTTCAGTTGCATTCATTGTGCCTATTCGATGTAATATTTTTGCACACTCCTGTCATCCTGCTGATTGCAGAACAACCCCCAATCAATTTGTGCTGGCCACATGTACAATTTAATACCAAATTTCCCCAATCGTTGCCTCATACCCCTGTGCGCATCCTCCTATTTCCTTCCACTCTTGTCGGTTGCATCCACATGTGCATAATATTTGTGTGCCATTTGTGTTGAGCGTCTTGTTCGTTCTGCAACTTAGCTAGTATAATTGATATTTTGATCATATCACAACCTTTACTCCGTAGACTGTAAGCTAAAGTTTGTATGATAGTATGGTTGTAGTCTAAGCTATATGCAGCGTATACTTTGTAGTGTAAGTCGGGCGGCTGCAGTCGGCTTTCCGAGTCTGGCCTCGAACGTCACCCGCAGAAACAAAAACCATGAATTGAGTACCATGCTCCACATACATTTCCAGCTACCTAGCTCAGAATCACACAACCATCCTAGCTAACTTTTTCATCATTCCAGTCTAAATCTAGACCTACATTCAATCAATCCCAAACCCACCCGAGCCAGCCAAAGGAGGGGCTTACTTCTCCCTTCCATTGAAGTGGAAAAGGAAAGGGGAAAAAAGCAAAGAAAAATCCACCATCTCCCCCGCACTCAATCAAGACTACCCCTCCCACAATCTATCTACAGGAACATGGCTACATCAACACCATCTCTCCCCCTCCCCACCTCCCCCACAAGTCTAAATGTCATCGCCTTGATCTCGGGAGGGAAAGACTCCCTATACTCTATTCTCCACTGCATCCGGAACGGACATAAGGTGGTTGCCTTGGGGAATTTGTATCCGCCTACTACCACCACCACCCCTCATGAGGAGGGAAAACCACAAGATGAAGAGGAACAGGATGAAGAAGAAGACATCGACAGCTTCATGTACCAAACGATCGGCCACAGCATCATTCCGCACTACGAGTCCGCCTTAGGGATCCCGCTGTATCGGCAGCCGATTACAGGGTCCGCGGTGGATACGGGGAGAGTTTATCGTGATTCTTCTTCTTCGGCATCATCCGGAGGGGAAGGGAAAGAGGGAGAAGGAGGGACAGACGAAACCGAATCTCTCATCCCGCTTCTTCAACGCATCAAGGCCGCCCACCCAGAAGCTAATGCCATCTCCGCCGGCGCTATTCTCTCCACGTATCAACGTACACGGATTGAGAACGTCGCAGCGCGAATGGGTCTCGTGCCGCTCGCTTGGCTGTGGCAGTATCCGGTGTTGCCTGCGCCGGAGGAGAGGTTTGGTCTTGGTAGTGGAGAGGCCGGGCTGTTGGAGGATATGGCTGCTGTTGGGTGCGAAGCGAGGATCATCAAAGTTGCGTCTGGGGGTTTGGATGCGGGGTTTCTGTGGGGGGATGTGTCGGGGAGGAATGCGATGGTTAGGAGGAGGATTGTGAATGGGATGAAGAGGTTTGTGTTGGATGGTGGGGATGTGAGGGGGGCCGTGTTGGGCGAGGGTGGAGAGTATGAGAGTTTGGCGTTGGATGGGCCTTCTTTCCTTTGGAAGAGGAGGATTGAGGTTCCTAGGTGGGAGGAAGGAGCTGGGGAGGGGGGTGTTGCGTTTGTGAGGGTTAGGGGGGCGAGGTGTGTGGATAAGGATGCGGAGGGGGATGGGGTGGTGCCGGGGGATGTGAGGAGGCCGGTGTTGTTGGATGAGGGGTTTAAGGGGGTGTTGGAGGAGGTATTGGGGGGTGAGGAGGTGATGGGGAAGAGGGAGGAGTCGTCGGTGGTGTCGTCTCAAAGGCAGATGGAGATGTCGCAGAGTACGAATGGTGGCACGTGGGTGGTTGCTAACATCACGGCCCCCGAGGCTGGTCCCGGGGCTGCGGAGCAGATGGAGGCGATTGCGCAGAAGATCGAGGCGATACTGGCTTCTACGCGGCATGAGGATGGAAGTGCGCCTCGTACTACGGCTGATATTGTCTTTACGACGGTGCTGCTACGCTCCATGGCGGACTTTGCCTTGATGAATGGCATCTACGTTTCCTTGTTCAAGAAGCCGAATCCTCCGGCCAGAGCTACGGTGGCTTGCGGAGAGAGTCTACCGGAGGGCGTGAAGGTCATGGTATCGGCGGTGGTGGACTTGGGTCCTAGGGAGCAAAGGCAGGGCCTTCATGTCCAGTCTCGTTCTTACTGGGCGCCGGCTAACATCGGCCCATATTCGCAAGCCATGTCGGTTCCGGTACAGGGTTCGGAGCACATGGTTTACATTGCCGGACAGATTCCGCTGGAGCCGGCTTCGATGGAGATGATGAGTGCCTCTGGGGAAGCCCTGACGCGGCCGTGGATCGAGAACTATACCACGCGAGCGGTGCTCTCCTTGCAGCATCTCTGGAGGATTGGTCACGCCATGGAAGTTGACTGGTGGCTGGGGGCCGTTGCTTTCTTAACGGGAGGAGAGCATATTGAGACGCAGGCCCGGCTAGCATGGAACATCTGGGAGCGGATGCATGCTCGTCAGGAACAAGAAGACGACGAAGACGGAGAATCAGGCCTGGATGTTTGGGATATCAAGTATGGAGGCCGTGCGCACGAGCAAGCAACGGGTCCATCAACACCTAACTTGCCTAACTTTGGGGTGGTCCAGTCAGACGCCTTAGTTCCTGCGTTTTTCGCGGTCCAGATTGAAGAGCTCCCACGAGGAAGTGATATCGAATGGCAGGGTCTGGGGTACAGATGTGGTGGATTGCGGATGGCTGCAGAAGAAACGGACTATGGCCGCAAGACCACAGTGTCCACGGAGCAGAACCTCAGTTACATCGGCATTGAGATCGACATGGGACAACTGGGGTCTGATCTGGACTCGTATCTGCAGGACAAGCTGCAGAAGCTGCCAGAGTTGGTAGAAGGTTCCCACGCGATCATCTATACCAGTCAGCCATTGTCCAAGCCTGCATTCCCAGCGCAAATTGTTCCCTGCAAATCTGTCTGGGGGCCGAAAGGACGAGAATTGGCAGCAGGTGTCATTATACAAAGACACGCCCCGGCATTATAGGCGTGCTGCTTGCTGTAAGGCTGCCGGGCCATGCAGGGGTCCATCGCGCACGGCTTTCAAGTATGCATCATGGATCATTCGATGTCTCAGAGTGGAGGCACCGATACAAAGTACATATCTCCCGACTCGTAGCAGATTAGAAACAACAATGTAGTAAATAGACTTCTGTAAGATTCAGGAGTGACAGTGGTTTCTCTTGATGGGCTGATCCTAAGAGGCTCGCTCTCGTGCTGACGTGCTGCGCGGCATGTGATAAGCGAAAAAACCCGCCTTTCCGCCCTGGGATTCCGGTTCGATCAAAGCGATAACATTCTCACTTCATCTTCTTCGTCTTCGCTGCTGCCACTCCACGCACCTCTCTTGGGTCAATTCTCCTGGTATGTTAACACGCCTTCTGTTTGACTCCTGTCATCTGGTCCTGTCATCACTAACCCTCCATCTCAACGCAGTGCTCCTCCACCGACCCATCAGTCGATATGACGTACTCGCTCTAAGGCCGCTCATCACCCACCATCCATGCCATGGCCGTTTCGCTGAGCCAGGAGGAAGACGAATCGCTTCCTGTCAACGGTTCCGCCCTCGACATAGAGCTGTCTGACACTCCCCGACAACCCTCCCGTTCCCCTCACCCGTATCGTCGCAAGGGCTCGCATTCGTCGTCGCTGCCTGCGGATACCGGCGGCCGATCAACCCGTCTCCACTGGCCACGGACCTCGAGCGATAGTGGCACCGAGGCTGATGATGAAAGCACGGGCATACTGAGGGGTCTACCAGCTGCACCTTTGCGACCAAGGAAAGGGTTGCGTTCGGGTCGTCATGCCGTTGGCGAGGATGACCAGTGGTTTCCCCTATTGCGCCCGTGGCCGTCGATAACCCGTTCCACCTCGCGGAGCTCGCGGCGGAGCTCAGGAGAAGAAGCCGAGGCCTCAGCGACAGGATTGCGCGAACAAGAAGCTCGGAAGCGACGTACTGGGGTCCTGCAGAGGTTATTGGAGGCTGCGTTGCTCCTCTCGGTGGGCGGCGTCGTTCTGGGACAAGAGAATACGAGGGCGGTTGCTTGGGCTTGGAGGAAAGGTGCGCGAGATACATTTGGTACTTAGGAATATGTTTCGTTCTTGAGGTTGCTAATGTTCCCTAGAGCTCCTTGCCCATGCCCTGCTTGTCATTGGGCTCTACGCCGCCTATCCTTTCCATCGAGATGGGCGTTTTCGCTTCTCAAGACTGCGGTCCTTTGTTATACCTACGAGTTTCGATCCTGCTCCGCTGCTTTACCCGATCTTGATACCCATTTACGTTGCTTTATCTTTAGCGCAGCATACCCCTTCCCTAATACTCCCTAATGTCCTCCTCAGTCTCTCATCTCTTCCGCCTGCCGTCATCCCACTGCATGATTGCGTGCATGGACACAGCATTGTCCATTGGATGATCACTCTGCTTCCGATTATCCTCTCGGAGCAACTATCGGCAGGAATCTCGCCTCCTAGACCTTTGTCTCTTCTCGGTCTCAACTCGGAATCTTTGGCTCTTCTTTTCCCTTTGCATCAAGCGTTGATACCCACTTTAGATTTTTTGTTGACTACCAGCGTCCTTCCAGCAGAACTGCAGCTTTTGACAAGCGCTTTGATCAATCTATTATTATTTGCGTCCTCGCCTCAGGCTGAAATCCTTAAGGCGTTGCTATGGCTTGGTGGCCTGTGCATTTTCATCTCTTGTCGCGACGTGCTTCGCTGGGAAGTGGCTTTGGCAAGGATTCCCAGTTGGAAATTTCGGCGAGCGCCCAGCAACTCGCAGTCACCTCGAAGTATCTTCAATGTGCTCGATCACAAATTATGCCAGCGACTAAGCAGGACGGGCACCTCTGAGGACAATCTGTCGGACAGTGACTCGCCAGAAGGCCAATTCTCGCTTGTCTCACGCAAGACAATGGTTGAGTCGCGTGACAGAACCAAGGCGGGCGAGCCCATTCGCACTGTAGAGGCTGAGGTGACAGAAGGCGTCCGGCAGCCTACACTTACACACCGGCGACGGCACACGATCTCTAGCGTCAGCGAGGTGGCACGCACAGGAAAGGTCAGAACTACGCCTAGTGGGCGACGCAAGAGATCAATGGCCCCTGGTCTAGCGTCGTTCTTGTCGCTGACAGTGCCTCAAGCCCAAGTCCGGAAATGGTTGTACGCGCTGTTTATCTACGTCACCGTGCTTCTCATCATCCTAGGACCTGTTCGAAAGTACGTGGGTGAGCGGGCGTTACACGGAGAAGATCCATTCGGGTGGGCACTGAGCTATCTGCTGGGCAACGTTTCATGGTTTCGGTTCTGGGTGATTATGTGGAACCTGGAATATTGGATTCCAATCCCCGCTCGCTTGGACCCTGACCTGTTGAACGCTTCCTGCGGTCTTGGTTGGGTCGAACATCTCCGCCGAGATGTCTTTGGGGAGGCTAATTCGCGCCTCCTCGTCGCAGCATACTGTATTGTGGTACTTGTGACCGGACTGGCGGTTGTGTTACAGTTGAGCTCCGTCGCGGAGGTAGATACGAGACGCAAGGTATTCCATGGCATGATGGTGCTGATGTTCCTTCCGACGGTGTACGTCGACCCCACGTTTTGTGCGCTGGCCCTGAGTCTAGTCCTGTCCGTCTTCCTGCTGCTCGATCTCTTCCGAGCGTCCCAGCTGCCCCCGATCTCGCGACCGTTGACTTACTTCCTTGCTCCCTACGTGGACGGGCGCGATCATCGAGGGCCAGTGATTGTGTCGCACATCTTCCTCCTCATCGGATGCTCGATCCCCCTCTGGCTTTCCCTGGCGGACATTCCTCGGACGGGCGATCATCCCTGGATCGGGTGGAGTGCGTTGACCCGGGACGTCAGTATGGTGAGCGGAATAGTCTGCGTGGGCATGGGCGATGCGGCGGCGTCACTCGTGGGGCGACGGTTCGGTCGGCGCAAGTGGTTTTGGGGAGGAGGAAAGTCGCTCGAGGGCAGCGTGGCCTTTGCGGTTGCTGTAACGTGTGGCTTACTCTTCGCGCGAATCTGGCTTGTGGTGGGAGAATGGCCGGTCAGCGGAGGCAGTGATGGACCGCACCAGAACTTCCCTTGGGTAAAGGCAATGGTAAAAGTCATCTTGGCCGCCGGAGGAACCAGCGCAACCGAGGCAATCCTGACGGGATGTAATGACAATGTGGTGGTTCCGATTGTGCTATGGCTACTCGTGAGAGGGCTTGGGGTCTGAGGTGGTTGTTGTTGTTGTTGAACCCTACCCCTACTCCGTTTCTAGAACGTCTCTCGGATGAGGTTATAGTATGCGATTTTTTTGTGGTCTGAAGGAGACACATCGAAAGGGGCGCCCCAATTTTGGTTACCCAAGAATGGCCCGACCGAGGAGGATAGACAGAAGAAGTAAACCGGACAAAAGAGGGTGATTTTCTTTCTCTTTGTTCCTTGTTTCTATATACAATTGCCTTTGAAGGAATAGAGGAAGAGCCAGGCGTCAGGCGGTCATTTGTGTGGGAATGACGTGGAAGGCTTTTTTCTTGTTGTCTTCATTTTCATTCTTCTTATTGTCTTTTTTGGCAGGAATGTGTGTGTGTGTCACTACTGTGTATTATGCAGTTGTTCCTTTTCTTTCTACTTTGGCCTTCACCCTATTGTGAATATTGATGGGCATGCAGTAAATAGAAATACCACCTCCATTACCAGTCCACACTTCTACTCCAAGTATCTACAGTGTAGATAACAATCAGGCAGCATTCCTAAGGGGCCCACGAGGTATCAACCAGTCAGCAGCCACCGACGCGAGTTGGCTTGTTGATCGCCACCAAAGTAAAGTTTCTTGTGGGCGAGGCTACGGGAGTGCGCAGCAGAAGAACTAACAGTCAAGTAGCTTATCAGGGCGATCCGGTTCTTCAGTCAGTCAGTCAGTTCATTCAGTGGCGAGGTCGCATGGGGAGGCTGTGTTTGTGTCATAGGTAGAATCCAGAAGAGTTAGTTAGTAACAAGTAGCCTGTCCGACGTAATAAATGTTAGTTAAGCCATTGAAGATGAGTCACTTGATAGCAGCCAACCAACCAGCCAGCCAGCGACGTCTGGGGGTTTGGGAATGGGAGCCTGCAGAATTAAATAGGGAGTACTTAGGTGTGATTCGGTGTCCGGGGAATGGGGGAGAATTCTCCCGCGAACGTTGGGTGGTTACCATGACTGACTGATGGAAAGTAACTGGGTCGATCGGGCTTGACTGGGGGGGAGAGAAAGAAGAGAAAAGTGGAACCGGGAGAAGAAGTGTCACTGCTGCAGTGTCCCTTGGGAAAGATGGAGGGTGACCTGACCTGGTTTTTACCTGGAATAGAATCTCGTATGGTAAGTAAAAGATAAAGTCAGGCGCAGGTTGAATGTGATGAAGAGGTGGGTTTCAGTGTAGTATTGGTTCTATACGGTATGATGTAATACCGATCATCTGTGACTTTTGCCTACCTCCGCTTCTTCTTCATCCGGCCTCAGGCGATGTGGATGGATGGATTGGATCGCGCCCGTTATCATCGTCGCCTGCAGCTTTATCTCTCTGGGGTGGTATTTTGATTTGCCTGGCAACTTCCGGGGTCCCCCTTTTTTTTTTGCTGGTAGTTTTAGTTCTGGGGGTTTCCTGCTCTCTCTCGTGCAATCCTGCAAGGTGATTAGTATATTAGTGAGTCGGTTGATGCCATGCTTTCTTTTGGTTTTGTCTTGTTGCGTGATTCTTTCGTTTTCTGTCGTATACTGCTTTGGTTGGTTCCTGTCTGTCTTTTGTTTTTGGCAGATGGATTGATTAGCTAAGAAAGAGGAACCCAAATTTGGTTGCGGTCATCCTAGTACGAAGTTGACCACTTCCGCTCTTCTGACCGCCTTGGGACCCCCCCCAGGTCATTCAATCATCCGCCAGTCCTATTCGGCTCGTTATCGGCGGTCACGCTCTCGCTCTGGCTCTTGTTGCGCTGCTCTCCCCCAAGACATCGTCAAGGATCCCTGGGTCCAGCTGCTTCCCGCCTTTCCTGCTCTCTCTTCCCTCATCACATCATTCATCATCTTCTTCCTACTCACCCTTCCTCTCTCTCGACTATTTTGGCTCTGTGAATCTTCTTCTTCTACTTCCTCCTCCTATATCTTCTTGTTTCATCACTTTTGACCTAACCCTCACCTCTCTTCCTGCTCTGGCTTATCTATCACTCCTCCCCACCGTTCTCGTCCCTAGTGCGGTGATTCATACCTTATCGTCGATCCCCCGATCCTCCTCCTTCTATAGTACTTACTGTACTTACTTAAAGTCCCACGCCTTGGTCGTCATCCGTCTGGCTATCCCTGTCGACCTTTCATCCTATCATACAAGCCCCCGTTTTCCGCCTCACCGCTCTCCTGCCTACTTGCGCCCTACTGTAGGTGTGCTGCGCACCCTATTTCTCGTCCCCCAACTATCTACTCCGACTCCTACTCTACCTACTTACTCGCCTAACGCTCTGGACCGTCCCTTTCTTCCTGCCCCGTCTGCTGTCCCCGTCCTCTGCCACGCAGTCCAGCCCTCCTTGCCTCTCCTCTCCTCCGGCTGTCCACACCCATCCCATCATCCATCCATCTTTCCTACTTCCTATCTCCCGTCTCGCTTTATCATCCGCTCTCTCACCTCGCCCATCACCGGCCGCTCTCCCGACCTGTCTTTCGCTCCCCTGATGGGCCTCTTCCATCATTCGACGCTGTTCTTGCCGCTGTTGAGGTAGTGTGTGGTTGACGGGGCGTGTGGTTGGTTTTCAAGAGACGCTCTCATTGCCTGGCTGCAGTCATGGCATCTGCACATCACTCCAGGAGGTCCAATGAGGGCCCTCATGGCGAGATGCCCATTGGCCATTACACTCGGCTGAGTGAGATCGGCCGAGGAAGTTTTGCCGTGGTCTACAAAGGTGTTCATACGGTAAGTTGGGATGCTGTCTCCTCTGATTCCTATCTCTGCCGAGGATCCGGCCTGTTTTCTATTGCACCGGTGTTCTCGGATGCCAAATTGCAAAGGCTAATAGTGACGATGCGGTTCCCGCGAACTAGAGATCACGCACCTATGTGGCAATCAAATCGGTTACCATGACCAAGCTCAGCAGGAAGCTCAAGGAGAACCTCGCCTCTGAGATTTCCATCCTCAAACAACTCCACCATCCCCATATCGTCGCTCTCCTAGACTGCCATGATACGACGTCCAATATTCATTTGGTGATGGAATTCTGTGCCCTGGGGGACCTTTCCCACTTCATCAAAGGGCGCAACACCCTTCAGGACAGCCCATACACACGGGAATTGATAGCGAAGTACCCCAATCCTGGGGAGGGTGCGGGTCTGAACGAGGTAATCGTCCGCCACTTTCTCAAACAACTCTCGAGCGCACTCAGATTCCTTCGGGACCGTGATTTGATTCACCGGGACATCAAACCACAGAATCTGCTGCTCTGTCCTGCACCATCGTCCTACCGCAGTGGGGCCGCCGATGTTGTACCTTTCAAGAGCAGTGAGGACTCCTTTAGCCCGAAGACCGGGCTGGAGTCTCTGCCAATGCTGAAGCTTGCTGACTTTGGCTTCGCCCGGTCTTTGCCGGCCACCTCTCTCGCGGAGACTCTGTGTGGCTCGCCACTGTACATGGCCCCTGAGATTTTGCGATACGAGAAATACGACGCGAAGGCAGACCTCTGGTCTGTGGGCACGGTGCTTTATGAAATGGTAGTCGGGAGGGCCCCATTCCGGGCAGTGAACCATATTGAACTCATCAAAAAGATCGAACAAAATAAGGACCAAATCTCATTCCCCTCGAAGAATCGTGTGTCGGAAGACATCAGGGAGCTCATTCGGGGCCTCCTGAAGCAGCATCCAATGGACCGGATGAATTTCGATGTTTATTTCGCGCATAAAGTTCTCACAGAACCGATTCCCGGTCTGGTAGCGGATGACGCTCCACTCGGGCGTTCCCCTGCCGACCCAACACCTCGACCTGGATCCGGGTCGAGGCGTAGCACGCCCGTCCAAATGAAACGCGAGAATGCGCTGTCTGGCGGAGTGCGGGATGAGCCGGCGACTTACCCGGCGGCTCAACGAGCCATGACACAGAGCCCTCGGCCAGAGACCCCTTCAACGCCTATGCGTAGGACTGGAAGTGCGGGCACCCCTCATGCTGCTCCGAACGAGCCTACACCGCCAGCATCGCATCCGACAAGGCCAAGTCCGGTCTCTCTGGCGACTGCCCCTGGTCGCCAGGAGCATGTCGATCGCCCTCCCACCACCACTGTCGTGGAACAGCAGCGGAGGCGTACGGCTTCCTCGGGAGTGCCTCAAGTCGACAAACCCGTCGAGAAAGCGAAGGACGAAAAGGAGCATGCTGCACAAGAGGTAGCATTTGAGAGAGACTACGTGCTTGTGGAGAAGCGTGCGGTAGAGATGAATGCTTTTGCAGATGAACTGGCCTACAACCCACGAATGCAGGGTGGCCAAGCAGGTGCTGTATCCCGGCGTTCGGGAGCGGCTCCAGGTACACCTCCGGCCGGGGGGTCGTCGCCTCATGCTTCGCCCAGCAAAGCCATGCAAATAATCTCGGGGCGTTCGCGTGCCGATTCGGCACACGTCCGTCAAAATTCCTACGATCGCCGCTACGGACAGAGTCCTACGTCGGCCACATCGGCCATCTCGAAGGCTCTCAATATGGCCAGCGGACGTTTGTTTGGGATGAGTTTCTCACCACCGCTGACCATCACGAAAGGCGGACGCTCGCCTCCGTTGGCCTACAACCCGTTTCCCGCATACCCCAGTGCCCAAACGAGCTTAATTGTCCACGCAGATGGGGGCAAGCCCGGCGCCAATCTGGACGAAGACAGCAAAACCGTCCATGATCTGGAGGAGTGTGCCACACGTAGTGATGTCGTGTACGGGTTTGCCGAAGTCAAATACAAGCAGCTGATCCCACTAGCGCCATCTGCCGCCACCGGGTACCCGGGTGACCCTGGGTCGGACGCTGTCGATTCGGCCGATGGTGGACTCACTGTTGATGCTATTGTGACCTTATCCGAGGAAGCCCTGGTTCTCTACGTCAAGGCCTTGTCATTGCTGGCGAAGTCGATGGATATTGCACGTGTATGGTGGACTCGCAAGAGCCGAGGCGATACGCTCAGCAGAGCGGATACTGGAAGCACAGTTGCGGGCAATCGGATCAACAACGTCGTCCAGTGGGTGCGCAACCGATTCAACGAGGTGCTGGAGAAGGCCGAATTTGTCCGGCTCAAATTAGTAGAGGCGCAGAAGAGGCTGCCATCGGATCACCCCAGCCATCCCAGCAATCTGTCGGTTGGATCCTCCCTAGGCTCCGGAACCTCTGCCGATGTGGTCGTCAGCCCCGACGTGACAGCAGAGAAGCTCATGTACGAGCGCGCATTGGAGATGAGCCGAGTGGCGGCTATCAATGAAATCACCGGCGAGGATCTAGCCGGTTGTGAAATCTCGTATGTCACCGCCATCCGGATGCTAGAAGCCATCCTGGATGATGTGGAAGTATCCCGACCGGGGCAAAGCGGCGGCGCTGATAGAGCCGACGCCCGGCGGGACAACGAGGATGGCGGACAGAACGAGCCCCAGGCGGTGATTCTGGCGAAAAGTAAGTGTTCTCTCCACCTTATGCACGGCACTGCGCAGGCGCTAACGCTTGGCACAGTGATATCGAAAATCCGGAGTCGCCTGGCGTCGCTCCGGAAGAAGCTGGCGCTGCTGTCGAATCGGTACACGCCCCCGTCCAGTGGACCGGGCAAAATGCCGCCGTCGAATCTGGTGCCAGTCTCCCCTGCAGTGGGAGCCACGCCGCCGAAATAAGAACGTTGACCGTTAGAAGCATGCAGGACCATGCTCATTTTGCCCCCCTCCTTTTCTCCATTTTTATTTCATCCTATTCTTCTTCTATTTCATGTCCCAGCTCGTGTGGGCATTGCTAGTGCAGGCAACTGCATTCCAAGCTCGTACCTTGACACGCGTGCGGGGCCAGCTTCTTCATCATCTTCTTCTTCTTCCATTCTCCATGCCAGTTCTCTCTGGGGTTTGATATATGCATTGATGCACGAGTGTTTTAGTGTTTCTTTATATGGGTTTATTATAGGGTTGCCGTGATTTGCTCTGTGTTTATTGGTTCCCTTGTTCCTTTCCATTTTCTTACAGGATACGCATGCTTTACAGGCCTGTTGGGCGGGTGTTTGCAATTGGCGTTCAAGCTGGGGACCCGGGTACACAAATTGCCAGCGGACATTGGATACGAGTGATGATGATGCCATAAGATCATAGGGAGTCAGGGTGGATTCGGGATGGATCTGGAGGATGCAGATACTGCCAGTCAGAGGCAGCTGTACTGTATATACACATAATAACACGCGAATATGTTCATCTCGTGGCGAGGAATGGTGCGCACTGGTTGGAGGATTGCTGCGGATTTAGAGCTCGACCCACGGCGGCGGGCATTGGCTCTGGGACCCGCGCAGACCTTAACTTTACCTAACTTAAACGTGCAAGATCCAGGCCCAAATTGCGTGATTGATTTTGGTGTGTCATAGGAATTGCACCGACGGCGTTGAACGGTTCACCATCTTCTTGGTGTCTGGGCCGTGGTTTGAGAGGTTTGAGAAGTTTGGGCAGGGAGTGGAGAGCTTCCCTCGTTCGGGTTCCGCTCCGACGCCCAGAAGAAGTTTTTTTCTTCTGTACCAAAGAAATTCCCCTTTTGCCTCACGGGATCCCGAAGAAAGATGACTCGAGACTCGCCCACCACATGGCGGGTGTCTGTCATGCCCGTGCTTCCTCTTGTCTCGGTCGCTGTCGTGATCTTTCACCCGTAGCTTGTCATTCTTTTCCTTTAGATTACTTCTTTCTTCCTGTTCGTGATTTTTACCTTAGACTTTCACAAGACTTCAGTTTTTCTAGAACATTTCTTTCAACCTGTTGGGGGACTCGGTCGTGATCTATACTTGGAGTATATGACACCCGTGCCCTAACATAATACTGCTTTCCACCTTTTTTTTCGATTTTCTCTTACATCAAAAATTTCTTATTTTGCCTCCATCGCTCAGACACCTTCCTTGACCAATTCCTGTCCGGATTTACAGGGGTCTTACCTGCTAGTCTTGGCCATCGTGTCCATACACATCACGAGCAGACCCTGCTCACTTTGGATTGCATCACATTTAGTCGCAGCACATCATCGCGTCTTACGGTCTTTGCCTCCGGGGATAGCCGCTCACTCGCACCTGGCCCTGGCCTGTTCTCAGCGCTACTAGCACTGACTATATAGTCCTGGACGATCGTCTTCCGGTCTTCCACCTGTCATTCTCGTGGACTCCAGTGTCTTGGGTTCCTCTAACAACCACGAAGCTCTTACCATGACGGACCCAGTTGTGGAATCTGCGTATCAAAAGGGCATCCTGCCCGACGCCAAGGCCGTCGAGGAAGGTCCTCGTCGAACGGATGGCGTTTCCGGTTTGTGTATGTGTGACTGTCCCATCTCCTCCCAGGTCTCTCCCAAAGTTTCCCGGCATAGTGATGAAGAATCTGCCCTGACTGTTTCGAAACTAGATGAAGGAAATGTCTTCGAGGCTACCCCGGATGACCGTCGCCAGATTGGCGTCATCAGTGCCTCCTTTCTGATCTTCAACCGTGTCATTGGTACTGGTATCTTCGCTACCCCAAGTACTATCCTGTCTTTGTCGGGTAGTGTTGGTCTGTCTCTGATCATGTGGGTCATTGGTACTTTGATTGCCATGGCTGGTACTGCTGTTTATCTGGAATGGGGTACTGCTATTCCTAAGTATGCTTTATCCTGAACGGTTGGGGTAGGTAGAACTTGAGGCTAATGACTTCTCATAGGAACGGTGGAGAAAAGAACTACCTCGAATATGTCTTCAAGAAGCCCAAGTTCCTGATGACGGCCATGTACGCGGCCTATGCAGTCCTGCTGGGTTGGGCCGCCAGTAACAGTGTCGTCTTTGGCGAGTATATTCTGAACGCGGCGGACATCGAAGTGGATCGCTGGAACCAGCGTGGTATTGGTTTGGCTTGTATCACCGCTGCCTTCCTCATCCATTCCTTCGCTGTCAAGTGGGGTCTCATGCTTCAGAACTTTCTGGGTGTGGTCAAGCTGGTCATCATCCTTTTCGTCATCGTCGCCGGATGGGTGGCTCTCGGCGGCCATATGAAGATCGATCCTCCTCACAACTTCACCAACGCGTTCGAGGGTACCACTGACACCGGCTATGGCATTGTCATGGCGTTGTATAATGTCATCTGGTCCTTCATCGGGTACTCGAATGCCAACTACGTATGTTGTTCTGACTGTGTACGTGGTCTGTGATAGGTTGCTAATATTGTTGTGTGCAGGCCTTGAGCGAGACGAAGAACCCTACCCGTACCCTGAAGATCGCCGCCCCCATTGCCATCATCTCCGTCGGTATCATGTACATGCTGTGCAACATCGCATACTTTGCTGCTGTCCCGAAGGAGCAGTTCCTGTCCTCTGGCCAGACCGTCGCCGCCGCCTTCTTCGGCAACATGTTCGGTGCGCGCGCAGAGAAGGTGATGTCGGTCTTTGTGGCCCTGTCTGCATTTGGTAATGTTCTGTCGGTCATCTTCTCGCAAGGACGAAGTACGTACATACCATTTCCCTTCCCTATATTGCGTCAAACGTTGAGCGAAGCTAATATTATGATAACAGTTGTCCAAGCCCTCGGTCGCGAAGGAGTCCTCCCTCTGTCGAAGATCTGGGCCAGCAACCGGCCGTTCAACTCGCCCGCCGCTGGCCTCTTCGAGCACTGGGTAGTGTCCGTGATCATCATGTTGGCCCCGCCTCCCGGCGATGCCTACAACTTCCTTGTGAACCTGATCTCGTACCCGCTGTCTATCGTCAACGTCTTCGTGTCCGGCGGTCTCATCTACATCTATCTGACCAAGGAGAAGAACTTCCCGGACTGGTCCCCCGGTATTCGGGCCACACTCCCCGTCACCATCTTCTTCTGCCTGTCCAACATGTACCTGGTGGTGGCGCCCTACGTGCCCCCCAGTGCCGGACAGAGCGTCTACAACAGCCTGCCTTACTACCTGCACTGTGTGGTGGCGCTGGGCATTTTCGCCCTCGGCGCTATTTACTATCTAGTCTGGGCGGTGCTGATGCCTCGCTTTGGTCGCTATATCCTTGTGAAGGAGTCGGTCGTGGATGCTGATGGCTGGTCCAGAAGTGTCTTTACAAAGATGCCGATTGAGCAGGCTGAGGCTTTGAGGCATGAAGGGCAGCAGCAGGGAGAGCACCATTTCTGAGGGGTTCCTTAGTGGATGATGCACTGCTTGACTGCTGCTTCGTTTCGATTATGACGCAACGATTCAACATCAATGCCGTTATTATGGCATAATCATAATGTTTACACATATCATCTTGCATGGGTGCGGAGTTTGTCTTTTTTTTGGCTGGAGGGAAGGGAAAAAGGGAATGATTGTTAGGGAAGAAATGGGTTTGTTTTGATAGACTTGCTGTCTTTCTTCGAGATACCTCTTGTGTTTTATTACTAGATTTAAAGCTAAAGCTCCTTTCAACAATCGACGAGATATTGCTGAATACTGTTCTTGAACATAGAATCATAAATGTGCCATTGATATAGATTTCTTAAATAATTATTGTATAGAATATGTATGTCCCAGCCCTCTATGGAAGCCCATTCACCGGAAGAAAGCATCAGATGCCTCTAATCATGAACCCCTCAAACTGGCTGGTGGACCGTCTTGCAAGCCACTGCTCCCGAAGGAGCAGCTCGACAGCCAACTGCCAGATAGAGGAATATCTACCCTTGAAGGCAAACCTGGCACCCGGCTGTATGGAGAAGACCTGCGTGAAAGAATGTAATATGTATGGAGAAAAAGAAGGAAAAGGAAAAGGGACGCAGAAATGGGAGAAAAGATGGGTGACATGTGATGCGGAGAAACCCTGGTCGAGTAGCCCTTATTGACTTCCAGAAGAGGAAAGGCGTTGGGCCAGGGGGGAGCTGATTGCCTGATTTAGTAGGCTACTCAGTTTTGGCTGACTAGTTGGTCAGATGACTGGATCGTGTTAGTCATAGTAAGATTACCGCCTGCCGGATTCAGACGGACGACCGACGGAATTCCCGCGGCAAAAAGGGAACTTTTCTTTCCCTTCGAGATTGGATGAATTGTTGATGGATTGATTGAAGGAGAGAATAACCTCATTGTATCAGTAATCTTTTTGGTCATTGTTGTCTTTTGATTTGTCTACTATCCGCTGTATCATTTTGGGTTGTTTATCTGGGTGGGGACTGCGTGTGTGTGTCTCTTCTTTGTCAATCTGTCTTTTCTCTCTATCAAGACTCGTTCCCATGCGTCGCTTTCCCTCCTCCGCACGGCTCCCGCTGAGCAACAGCAGCAACAGAAGGGCAGCTGCTGCTCCCCTCCGCTTCCACCGACTCTCTGCTCTTCCCCGCCCCTCTTCTACTTCTACTTTTAACTTCCCCACTGCTTCTTTATCTACTACTACTACGCCCTCCTCTCTCACCTTCTTCTCCTCCCCTTCTTCTTCTACTGTCCCTCCTCTCCATCGCTCTTCTCTTCGTCGTGCTCCCCTCTCTCAAGCTTCCAAACGTTACTGTTCCTATCGCAGGATGTGTGGTGCTCGACGCGGAGAGGTGACGGGCTCGACCAACGTCCCCGGTGGTCGTGAGGTCTTGCCCACCAACGTCAAGCCCCTTCACTATGACCTGACCCTCGAACCTAACTTTGCCAACTTCTCCTATGACGGTACCGTCGTCATTGAGTACGTTCATGCTCTTCCCTACCCACCCATGAACCCTAGCTGGTTACCCCGCCATCTGGAGCAGTAGCTAACTCTCCGGGAATATAGTCTCGACGTCGCTGAAGATACCACCTCCATCTCCCTCAACTCCAACGAGATCAAGATCCACAATGCCGTCGTCTCCTCCCAAGGCGCCGTCGTGGCCTCCAACCCCGAGATCACCCTCAACCAGGACCAGCAGGTTGCGACCATCAAGTTCGCCGACACTATCCCCGCCGGTTCCTCCGCCCAGCTGAAGCTGACCTTCACTGGTGAGCTCAACGACAACATGGCCGGTTTCTACCGCTCCTCCTACAAGGCTGCCGATGGTCAGACTAAGTACATTGCCACGACCCAGATGGAGCCTACTGATGCCCGCCGCGCCTTCCCCTGCTTCGACGAGCCCGCTTTGAAGGCCAAGTTCACCGTGACCCTGGTGGCAGACAAGAGCATGACATGTCTGAGCAACATGGACGTCGCCAGTGAGACCGAGGTTGCCGGCGGCAAGAAGGCTGTGAAGTTCAACACCTCCCCGGTCATGTCGACTTACCTGCTCGCCTTCATTGTCGGCCACCTCAACTACATCGAGACGAAGGCTTTCCGCGTCCCCATCCGTGTCTATGCTACCCCGGATCAGGATATTGAGCACGGTCGCTTCTCGCTGGACCTGGCCGCCCGCACTCTGGCCTTTTACGAGAAGGCGTTCGATAACGAGTTCCCTCTGCCCAAGATGGACATGGTCGCCGTGCCCGACTTCAGCGCTGGTGCCATGGAGAACTGGGGTCTGATCACCTACCGTGTCGTTGACGTGCTGTTGGATGAGAAGACCAGCGGTGCCGCCCGCAAGGAGCGTATTGCCGAGACCGTCCAGCACGAGCTGGCCCACCAGTGGTTCGGTAACTTGGTCACCATGGACTTCTGGGATGGCCTCTGGCTCAACGAGGGTTTCGCCACCTGGATGTCCTGGTACTCTTGCAACAGCTTCTTCCCCGAGTGGAAGGTCTGGCAGACGTATGTCATCGACACCCTGCAGGGCGCCCTGTCCTTGGATTCGCTGCGCAGCAGTCACCCTATTGAGGTGCCCGTGAAGCGTGCCGACGAGATCAACCAGATCTTCGACGCCATCTCCTACTCCAAGGGATCCTCCGTTCTGCGCATGATCTCTAAGTACATGGGTGAGGATGTCTTCATCCAGGGTGTGCGCGACTACATCAAGAAGCACGCCTACGGAAACACCCAGACGGGTGATCTGTGGGCCGCCCTGGCTAACGCCAGTGGCAAGCCCGTGGAGGAGGTCATGGACATCTGGACCAAGAAAGTCGGTTTCCCCGTTGTGACTGTCTCGGAGAACCCCAGCAACTCCACCATCAAGCTGAAGCAGAACCGTTTCCTGCGCACCGGCGATGTCCGCCCCGACGAGGACACCACGCTCTACCCCGTCATGCTGGGTCTGCGTACCAAGAATGGCATCGACGAGGACACCATGCTGACCGAGCGCGAGGGCGAATTTAAGGTGCCCGACCTTGACTTCTTCAAGCTCAACGCGGACCACTCCGCCATCTACCGCACCTCGTACACCCCGGAGCGTCTGTCCAAGCTGGGTGAGGCGGCCAAGGGCGGACTTTTGAGCGTCGAGGACCGCGCTGGTATGATTGCCGATGCCGGTGCCTTGGCCGCGTCCGGCTTCCAGAGCACCTCCGGCCTGCTGTCGCTGCTGAAGGGCTTCGACAGCGAGGCTGAGTTCATCGTATGGAACGAGATCCTGACTCGTGTTGGCTCTCTGCGGGCTGCTTGGCTGTTCGAGGATGTTTCCACCAGGGACGCCTTGAAGGCCTTCCAGCGCTCTCTGGTCAGCCACAAGGCGCATGAGCTCGGATGGGAATTCTCGGAGAAGGATGGCCACATCCTGCAGCAATTCAAGGCTCTGATGTTCGGCAGTGCTGGTATGGCTGAGGACCCGGTCGTCGTCAAGGCCGCCCAGGACATGTTCCAGCAGTTCGCCGCCGGCGACGAGAACGCCATCCACCCCAACATTCGCGGCAGCGTATTCAGCATTGTGCTGAAGAACGGTGGCGAGAAGGAGTACAACGTCGTCCTCGACCGCTTCCGCAATGCCCCCACTTCCGATGAGAAGACCACGGCCCTCCGCTGCCTGGGTGCCGCCGAAGACCCCGCCCTGATCCAGCGCACTCTCGACCTGGCCAGCGGCGACGAGGTCAAGAACCAGGACATCTACATGCCCCTGGGTGGTCTCCGCAGCCACCCTGCGGGTATCGAGGCTCGCTGGTCTTGGTTGAAGAACAACTGGGATGCCATCTACAAGCGTCTGCCTCCGTCTCTCGGTATGCTGGGCACGGTGGTGCAGCTCAGCACAGCCAGCTTCTGCACTGAGGAGCAGTTGAAGGATGTGCAGGACTTTTTCCAGAGCAAGGACACTAAGGTAGGCCCCATCCCTTCCTTTCATTAGTTACACCTGTGTTGTTCAAGTTTTATGTGCTAACTATTTTCTCGTATAGGGCTTCGACCGTGCCGTTGAGCAGAGTCTCGACTCGATCCGGGCCAAGGTCAACTGGGTCAAGCGTGACCGGGCGGACGTGGAGTCGTGGCTCAAGGCCAACAGCTACAATGGTAAGCTGTAAATCAGACATGCATGACATATTTCGAAATTATGGCGAATGCCGATTGAAATGAGAATATAAATGAGACTCAACCGACTATGTTCGGGGTGTATAATTAGAACAGAGAAAAAAAAGGATAGAAAATAAGAACTCGCATCTCCACATATTGAGTGTATTGAAGTTTATAAGATTCGCTGGTAAGGTATGATACATACGCCGTGCCCATAACGGCATTAATGCAGTTGAAGCAGTTCCTCCTCTTCATACGATATGGTATGATATAATCCTTTCCTATACCATAACGATACCACTTCTTCCAGACATCCATCCACCTCTCAATGGCAGGCAGGCAGAAACTTAAGAGTAGATAAATTACCATCCCACCTTCCCACCACCACCACCCTCCTCATTATTCTTCTTGGAAGAGAAACCCCTCGTAGGTTTCGACTGCGCCGCCTCATGTTTACGCAGTTCCTCCGGAACACGAGAAATGGGCGACTTCATGAGCATTTGCTTGAGGTCGTACCTAATCCCACTTGTTAGTATCATCCACAATATAACAACGCCAAGGGCATAGAATATAAGATAAGTAGAGGGGAGAGGGGGAAACACGTACATAACATCCGCATCCTCATTACCCAAGAAAGTAATAGCCACACCACTCTTCCCGGCACGACCGGTACGACCAATACGATGCGTATAGCTCTCAATACTCGTCGCCATGTTAAAGTTCACGACGAGACTAACATCCGGCACATCGATACCACGACCCGCCAGATCCGTAGCTACCAGGACATCTGTGGTTCCATTCCTAACGGACGCGAGGGCGGCTTCACGCTGATCTTGTGTTTTACTACCGTGTAATGTAACGGAGGAGAATCCCCACTGTTTGATTTCGCGAGCGATGGCATCGCAGTTGCGCTTGATGTTGACGAAGACGATGATCGGGGCGCGGAATTCTCCCGACGAGAGGATATCGCCGAGACGTTTCTTGCGCTTGTCTTCGCCGGCGATCATTTCCACGCGCTGCTCGACGGTGTCGACGGCTTCGCCGGCGGAGCCGATCGTGACGATTGCCGGACGGCGGAGGTATTTTCGGGCGATGCGTTCGACGGCGGTGGGCATGGTGGCTGTGTACATCATTGTTTGGCGGTAGCGGTGCTGGTCGTGGTTGATGTGGCGGGACATGGCGAGGGGGTTTTCGGCGTCTTCGGAGTCGGGTTTTTCGTTGGAGACGGGGAGGGCGTCGAGGATCTTGTTGACGGGTTCTTCGAAGCCCAGGTCGATCATGCGGTCCGCTTCGTCCATGATGACGTAGCAGCATTGGCTGAGGACGAGAATGCGGCGCTCGATGCAGTCGACGAGACGGCCGGGGGTGGCGATGATAATTTCGGCGCCGTCGCGGAGACTGTAGGCTTGTTCTTCGAGGGAGTGACCTCCGACTATACTGACGACGTTGAAGCCGAGCGGGCCAGTGAATTTTTTGGCTTCGATTTCGATTTGTTGTGCCAGTTCGCGGGTCGGCGCGAGGACGATGGCGTAGGGGCCGTCGGCTTTGCGCCATTCGAATTCGTCGATGCGTGGGAGCTCCGCGATGTAGCAGAGGAGGGGGAGGAGGAAGGCGGCGGTTTTACCGGAACCGGTGACGGCGACACCGATTAGGTCGCGGTTTTGCATGGCGATGGGGATGGCGGCGCGTTGAATGGGCGTGGGTTCTTTGTAGCCCACGCGGTTGATGAGCTCCATGAGGCGCTTGGGGAGGTTGGATTCGTCCCAGGAGCGCATAGGGTTGGGCACGCTGCCGCCCTTGGTGCTGATGTTGAAGTCCTCCTTGAAGATACGCCAGTCGCGTTCGCGCATGTGCTCGAGTTTCTTCTCGCTCCAGTGTTTGTCGAGCTGGTTGCGGGTGCTTTCTTCTCGGCGGCGGCGCTCCATTTCGAGGATTTCTCTGGCGCGGATGCTTCCTGCTTCGCGGTCACGGTCTTCCAGGGCGCGGGCATATTTGTGGGCGACGGATTCTGCGACGTCGTCGCCGAAGCCGGCGAGGCGACCACGGCCGAAGAAGTTGGTTTCGTGTCGGTGTTGGTATAGCGGGTTGTAATCGCCACTGGTGTCTTCTTCGGCGTTCCACTCGAAGTTGAATTTTCGGTCTGTGGTTCTCTTGCGTTTCTTCTTGGCGGAGAAGTTTGATGTTTGGTCGGCACCCATGTATCTCTGTTTCACTAGGGCTGCTTGCGCTGCGGCCTCGTCTTCGTCCACGAACCGGCTGTCGCCCTTTCCGCTCGTCAGACCGAAGGACATGGATTTCGGAGGAGGTGGTGGCGCGAGGTCGTAGTTCTTGTTATGGGACTGTGAATGGCGCATAGCTGCCGGGGCAGTCGGGGCAGCGTCTGAGTTGCGCATGGCCCGAGGGCCAGTGGGGATGGATCTCGCATCGCCGTTAGGGCCCTCGGAGCTGACAGAGGGCGAGTGCGTAGCACTTCTGTCGACGCCATTAGAGGCATGCTCGGATTTTAGTCTGCGGGTTGCTGCGACTTCTTGAGCCCGTTTCTCCAGCGCGAGCTTCTCTCGTTCTTTCTTGGATAGAAATTTCGGCTGTGTAGAGAGGTGGGATGTTAGCTATCTGAGCTTATATGGAATCCTCGGAGCTGATTCGTACCTTCGCCGCTGCGGCATCAGCTTCTCGCTTCTTCCGTACGAGTTCCTCCACACTCAGCGGCGTAGGGGCTGGTCGTTTCGTGCCCCATCCAACCTTCTTCTTCTTGGGCTCAGTCTCCGGCGGCGGCGCAGGTGGAAGATCTTCCGGCGGTGGAGGAGGCGCGGACGTGTCTGGCGGCGGCGGAGGGAGGGCGGAATCCTCCGGAGGGGGTGGCGGGGGAGTAGGAGGGCGCTCGATGGGCTCCGGAGGAGGCATAGGCGGGTGCGCCTCCGACGAACCGTTAGTCATAATACCATCCATGGCAACTGCAGAGGATGAAGCCTGAGATGGATTGCAGCTCGGCGCAGAACTACTTGGTTTGTCTCCCGCGGCCTGGCCATGTTACACGGTGGGGAACAGCGGCCATGTGCGCAATATGTGATCACGTGAATGTAGATAAGGCTCTATGATGTACGAATACTGCAACACTATTTATTGAGGTAACTGAAATCACATGTATAGAATGAAAGCTACCTACGCATTAGAATACACGAGGACAATGTCCAAACTCATAAGGTCCACCCAACCGGATCCCATCATATCGGGAAGAGCAGTCGAGAAGCGGCTCTCTGCACGCTGCAGATGCCGTCTCGCCTTTCGCTCAACACGCCATTCGCTGAAAGCTGCACACACATCAGAAGAGAGATTATTGTTCTACATATCAGCAAGCCTTTCACAAGCTATGAGCGGAAAGAGTACCGTCCTCTTGGCGAGGAGTTAGATTGTGGTTGGGCGTTTCCGCACCAACCGGATTCAGCAGCTTTCTTTACTTGCCATCAGACTTACATGCCACCGTTGACCGGTGTCTGCTGATAGTAGGCATAAGGGTTAGCTTGTGGGGGTGTCGGGACCACAACTTCCGCCACAGGCGTCGCCGAAGGAACCGGCTGAGCTGGGGGCAGCTGCACCGCTTCCGCGGCCTTCATCTTCGACACGGATGCCGGTCCGTGCACTTCGCGGTCCAGGGTCATGTACTCCTTTGCAGCATCCTTGGTACCACGTTCAAGGAGGTAGACCATGTAAATTTGAACAAGCTCCCGCACCACATCGGCGGGAAGGGTACTCTTGGACCGAATGTCCTCGATGACCTGCTTGATGCGCTCATACTGGACATTCTCTGTAGACGAGCTCGTGGGCTGGTCGAGCTCGAAGTTCAGGTAGCTGGTCCAGAAGGGCCGGCTGTCCATGTAGTACTGCTGGTTGGTCTGGAAGACCTGACGGGCGTCCTCGGCAGAGCCCTTGATCTTCCACAACAGGCGAGCCCATTCTGCAACCAGTGCCGCCTTCGTAGCCAAGTCTGACTGTGGCGAATCCAACTGGCTCTTGTACACTTCGATGGCAGCCTCGAGTCCGCCGTGACGGCGAGACATGTTGGCCAGAGACACTATCGTTTCGATGTGGTTGGGCAGGTTGATGAGAATGGCGTCGTGGATCTCCTTGGCAACATCCACCCGGCCACTCATCTCTTCGAAGTAGGCATATTGAAGACGGGTGGCTGGGTTGGCGATCGGCACGTACAGGCAGCTGGCGCGCTGGTAGATATTGCGCACTTCTTCTTCCTTGCCAGGTTGACCGGCCATCCACCTAGCGTAACGCTGCCAGAACTCATCGTAGTGAGCGCACGTCACCAAGCATCTCTCGTACAAGAATTGGGTTCGCAAGTAGGAGCCCTCAGATTCTTCGAAATCGAGGTATTTCTTCCAGTTGTTCAGCTGGCCCTCATCGAGTTCGGTAACGTGGAAGTACGGGCGCTTGATCTCCGACTCGTATGTCCAACGTTTCGTGGTCTCAGTCTGGGTCTTGGAGAAGATCTCCAAATGGTAGCTGTCTACGCGTAACCGCAGATCTCGTTCAACCTCTGCCTCTGCCTTCGCGCCGGGGGCCACATGCCCGGCAGCAGCATCAAGCTCCGCACGGAACTGGGTCAAAGTCTCCGGAGACGCCAACTCCACCACAGGGCGAGTCTGGGCCAACTGCCTGTACCTCTCGAAATACCGAGCGTACTGATGCATGGGGATGTGAATCACCCGGCCCAGGATAGCAAAAATCTTATCAAAAGCCTCCAGGCGCTCCTCGAACTCGATGTACTTGTCCCAGAAAGGGTGGGCCAGGAAATCCAGCCCAACGCTGGTTGCGCCACGCTCGAAGAGCCTGCAAACAGGAGAACGTCAGTATCAGAGCGGGTACACCACCATCAGAACAACGCTGGGGAGATGGGGGAGTGGAGGGGGAAAGAAGGGGAGTGACAAGGATAGCAAACATGAGCGTCAGATTCCCAATGAGTGCGAGCCCAAACAATTGAACGACTAGGATGGTCAAACTGTGGATGAAACTTATGTTCCCCCGTCTGCTTCGAGCGCAGAATAGGTGCCACCCGAACACAAGTCCTGGTGTTTAGTGTCCGTGCAGGGGAGGTGCTTGGCTTGAAATCAACTGTAAATGTTTCTTCAAAGGGGGTAGAGAGAGAGCAAACAGCCTGGAGAAGCCATGGGTGAGAAGTAAACTCCAGTAGAGTCCGGGTAAGGTGAAATCTCACCCGTCAGCGAGGGGACTGGTGCAAATGAACATTTGCATCACGCGGGTCCGGTATCACAACCATGTCCGTGCTGCGTTTGTAACGGTTACGTGGGGGATGGGAAAGGAAAGCAGCTCTACTATACTTACTCTCGGATCACATCAGCGTCATGGGAGGTCTCGGCCTTGAAGGAGCAGTAGTTGGTCCACAGGTCGACCGAGGGCGAGATGCTAGCGACACCGCGTTCATACACCTGTCAAAGAAGCATCAGCAATCCAATCAACTTCAGTCAAATCTGAACAGGCCAAGCCCATGCATACCATGTCCGCAGCCTCAGTGCCGGTGATGGAAAACTCCAGGTCGGCATATTTCTTCCAGTAACCGAACAACAGCGGGAACTTGGCCAAGAAGCGGTCGTAAACATTGCGCACGGTGGTGATGGCTTGGGGGTTGGAGTTGCGGTTGATTCCGCCCTCGAGCGCTTCGCCAGCGCGAACCAGTTTCTCCCAGGTTTCGAAGTTATCCGGGTCATCGAGCTGTACGACAACGTATGGGTTAGCATATGTGATGCAGCATTCCCCGCCGACCGAGGAGATAATGAATAGGATCGCATCATACCAACTCAGTCTCGAGCTTCTTCAACTCCGCATTCTCCTCCTCAGAGCCTCCATAGTTGTAGTCCGCCATGATGGCAGTTGGTGTGGTCGGGGTCAGAAGAGTAGTGACAAGGATGGTCCGCGACAAGGGGGAGCAAGGACGGGACGCTGTTGGAGAAGGGAAAGGATCGGGAGCAATCCAGCGACCAAGATAAGAGGAAGAGCGGAGATATAAAGCGACCGGGAAGAGAGGGAGGGAGAAAGCGCGCGAGAAGAAGGGGGAGAGAAAGCGAGGAAGACGGAAGAGAGAGAGCGAAGAGATGAGGACAAGCACCAGCCACAAGTCCTACTAGTTTAGCAGCAACAGTAGCAGCAAGTAACCAGTTAGTTCACCCAGTTTACAGTAAGTTAACTCATTCTCTTTGCTCTTTTCTTTTTCGCCGAGTTCCCGAGCCTCATCCCAAAGCGGTTTAGCGCCGTTCCTGCAATTCTCAACGCGGACATCCAAAGAATCACCACCAGCTCGAATTATCCGGAGAGAAAGAAGCCCCATCCATCCCATCTTCCCTTCCTCCCCAATTCACAGGAGAGGCACCGGGCACAATAGCCAAAATGGCCACCACACAAACCAGCAGCTTGGTATCCAAGCTCCCCATCCGCCTCCGCAATTTCTTCGCGCGCTATCCTCCGCAAATCTATTCCGCAGCCGTAGCACCACGCCCCGAAGCCCCCGAAACAGGTGCCCCCGTCAACGTCAAAGTCGAGGATCTGCCCTCTCCTTACACGCCCAACCGTGATGCGAAGGGCTTCAAGCGTCCCGACCCTAAAGCGTTCTCTCCCTCCAAGGCCATCCTGCACTCCGACTCCAAGCACCCCAACCCGTTCCTGCCGCGCAAGAACTTCCGCACCGGTAAGTGGTTCGGACCCCGGATTGGACTGCGTCGACAGGCGGAGCTGGTGAAGCTGGCGATCAAATACAACGTTGAGGCATTGTTGCCGCCTGGCCGCAAGTCGACGGAGTTCAAGGAGACGAGACGTGCGGAGCGTGGTTTGGCTATCAAGGGTACTGGTATCGGACAGAAGGTCAAGGGTCACAAGTGGGAGAGGACAATGGAGGCTCGTCTGGAGGACAGACGCAAGGCTATGATGGAGATGCCGGAGATGATCCGTTTGTGGAAGCAGGTTAGTTTTCCCTCTCTATTCCTTTCCTTTGTTCGGTATGCAGGATGGTGCACTGACTTGATATCACTTAACTCTACAGAGAGGTCACGGTCGTGGCTGGAAGTCGTGGCCCAAGCGGTAAAGGCTTACGCTTCTGGATGTATTATCTTCTTTTATTCGCCTCGGGTGGAATGGATCCGAGGTTTGCATAATGTCGCATCTGTCCTATTTTATACATCTCGTCGAGCTGCGGCCAACCAACCGTCCATCCAGCTCGGGGAGAGTTTCGATTGAATCATTGTTGTCGGGGTTCGGCACGGGAGTTTGTTCTCTTATGTATTTATTGTACAAATAGCTTGTTTCTCAAAATCATGCACATTGAATGTCTGCGTGAATGGAAATGGTATCAATAGAATGTTGAATGCAACCCATCTTCTCAAAGGGGGTTTCCGCCTTGTTTCAAGATACAATGTCGCCCAAGCTATGACTAGCGATACTCCAATCTAATACACATTCCAATGCAATGCAATGCTTATCCACAACCTAAAAGCAGATCATAATTCGTCATTCATGGCCCATAGTAAGACGGAGTGACAACATCCCCCACCATTACTGTCCTTGAATTAACGCTATTTCCATCGCCATTAGAAGAAATCGCCAAATGTCGCCCAAAGTAAATCTTGTTTCCACTCTTCCTCGTTTTTGCTAACGTCGAATATGGTTCCTCGCCACGCACACCAGTAAGCTGATCGACGCAGACCATCTGGCACCGCTGACAAGATCCAAGCACGTTGAAATGAAGATTGTCGGGCCCGATGCGCAGACTCTCCCAATGGTCTTCTATATACGGTCGCCCTGCGCTCACCGGCTGTGGGAAATCCTCTGCAACGACGATGTTCGCACGGAATACATCGGCAGCTACGGCTTTCTTGCGTCCAGTACTATTTGTGGTTGTAGGACTGCTTTTGATGGTTTCGTTAAGACGGTTCACGGATGAGCGGGAGATGAGCAAAATTGGACTCTCGTTGGATAGTAAGATGGGATTTCGTTCTGCCTCAGGGGTCGGGGTATCTTGAGGGAATGCGCCTGGCATAGCTGGTCGAAGTGGTGATTTTCTGCTGCCGAGGCCACGTCTGGGTTCGGCAAGTCTGGTGGAGGATTGAGGCGGAAATCTCGCAAGTGTACATGGCACACCAAGAAAGTCGGAGAAGAATGCGGACACCGTGGGAGATGAATATGCCTGCACAATAACCTGGTCTCCGCAAACAGTAGAAGGTTTCGAGCTATTCTGGCATAATGAGGTAGTTGTAAGGTTGCTATTCTCGCGGTCCAGAGGGATCTCAAGCGTTTTCTGACTTGGAGAACGTATAGACCCGCAGGTAACGCGCAAGACACCATGACTGAGATCGATAAATGGCCGTATCAGAGCCATACGAGGATACCTCTTTTGATTGAGAGCTGTACCTGTGCCTTGGTGGATCAAGCACCATTCGCGATCCCATACCAGACCTTCTCGTCGAATTTCCCAGCGCTTTCCGTCAGGTACTTTAAATGCACCACAACTCTTTATGGGATACACGGACAGGCTCTCAACATGGAAACCAGACCGGTGAGTAAGGTTGGCTTCCAGTGGTGGCACCAACGCACACACATTTGGGCTTTTCTCGACGTAGAACTCCTCGATAAAACCCATAAAAGTGTCTATATCAGTCAAGTTGCTCATCGCGCCAAGGCTTACTCTCAGTATCCCAGTAGGTCGCCCGTCCATGATATCATGGTCATCACCACAACGCATGCCTGCTCCAAAATGCCGAAGCATGTCTGCTCCAGACCAGTTAAGGCTGGCCGCCGTGCCTCCCGGGTTACAGAGCGTTCCAGATCTGATTTGTATGTTCCTAACGCTGGCCATTTTCTCCACTTCGGATTTGCCAATCCAGGCACCTTGACTGCTTCGCAGGTTGAACGCCAAAATTGGTCCTTGCGTGGAAGGATCGGTATAGTCAGAGTGTGATGGTTTGTATACATGGCACACACTCTCCCCATTGTAATGTCTCAATGTAGTCATGCGATCGTATAGTCGCTTCGCTAGGAAGCGGGTGTGTGAAGAAATATTATCCATAGATCCAAAAAGGCGCTCATGTGTATCAAATGCAGAGCCCAATGCGATTATATTATGAAACGGAAGCGTTCCGTCTTCGAGTCGTTCATGAATTGAAGATTGCTTCTTCGCATGCCATTGGGTTCCCTGTGTTAGAACCATATCTACCGTTCCCCCACCGAAAAACTTCCGCTTGTCGAAGATGTGGCCAGCACTCTTGCGAACAATCAACGCACCAAGGTCCGGGAACCCGAAGATTTTGTAGAAGCTGAGAACGGCAAAGTCAGGCGCAGCGGAAGCATCACTGAGGTCGAAAGGGGATGTCGACACAAGCGATGCGACATCAAGAAGCGTGTAAGTGTCCTTGGCTGACTCCCGTATCCTGCCGCACCATCCACGAGGAAACCGCCGGCCGTTCATATTCGATTGCGCAGGGTACGCAAAAAGTCGGGGACCTTGCACCGGTTCTGTATCTAATTGAGAGATCCAGCTCTCGACTTCTGCGTCCGTCACGAAGCACCTGCTCCCGATACCTGCAAGCTCACGCGCCCCGACCAAGCTCGTATGTGAATCCACATGGTATCCATACCAGAATCCCTGCGGTGTTGACTCGCGGAAAGAATCGGCAACCAGCTTGATTGCGGCCGTAGCATTCGCCACGAAGACAAGATCGAATTCTTCCGGATCAGCACTGAAGAAACGAAGGGCCCGTAGACGAATATCATCCACGCGCTGGGTCGATAGCTGTGAGGGTGCGGACATGGAATGGGGGTTCCCGTAGAGGTTCGACGTGAGGTCTCGGGAGAACGATTCAATCAGGGATTTGGCGTAGAGCGTAGTACCTGCATGGTCAAGATATGTCGTGTCTGGTTTCGTAGTTAGATAACTGAGCGTACGTTCATCTATTGTTTGAATTGCATAGAAGCCATCCAAGCACGCGGCCTACCTTTGAGCAAGGGATATTCACGTTCCCGGATGACGTCCACATCATCCGGGTATTGGCATTTGCCCCTGTCTGACATCCTGGTGGATCGTTCCAGACGACATTAATTGCAAGTTAATGATGAATTATGGTTGCAGGGTGGTGAAGGTCGAGTTTTGCATTGCTGGCAAGGGTCAAAGGTGAGGTGGCGACCGCTGATTCACTGCATATGGGATGCTCCCTGAACCACAGATGGATTTGTAAAAGTCCACTAAACACACGAAAGTCCAATAAGGTTCTTGACCTAAGTAGGTATAGAGTTGTCAATCACTGTACAAGTAGCTAGATTATATACCGTATGGTGATAGAAGGAGGAATAGAAATAAAGAATAGAAGTACTAACTTAGTCTCTTTGCCGATAAGGCTAATCGGTCGGAGCTTACCGATGATGAACTTGCCGACGGCTAGCCGCGGATTACTACCTCCAACACCGAAATTTGAGTCTCTGTTGGCAACGCGAGAGCAGAATGAAATGAAATGGAAGACCAGCATTCGAGCCTAGGAGGAGTAGCTGATACATAAATCTCCTGGAGAGAGAAGCTACCTGCAAAACAGCCTGAGCGTGTTCAGCCCGACCAGCACGCCGAAGCTTCCCCACTTTTGCGCTGCTTATCGAGAGCGGGGAGCGGCCGGGTCCGAAGATCAGTGGGATTTACTTTCTGCAGTAATGACGCTGCTCAAGAGTGGTGGTGGGGAGGTATTCATTACTGTTTTGTATGTCAAATGTATAGATCTGTTTTTGTACTAGGCTATCTTCTCATACTAAGATAGCTTACAATACTACAACTTTCCATTAACGGCCAGAACATCATGTAGGGGTCTACATAACGAGCAAGTTCTTCCATAAGCATAGCTCGCATATCTTATAGGAACTGCCGCAGTGAGAAAAACAGCTAGAACAAGAACATTGTCGGGTAGCACCAGATGTTGTAGAAAATAGACAAATAGCTTTGTCGACAGCAGCGGCTAAATGAAAACATTATCATCATATATGAAACAGTAGCAATCGCAGGTCATCAACGTTGATAGCTGATATTCATGCCATCGGTATGTCTTCCTTCGTTACTTCGTTTGAATCAATTTCTTTTTTCTGTCGTTCGTTGCACGTTATCCATTCCAATCATTAAACCGTATCACCCCATCATATCCATTACCTCGTAACCAAATGGCCTCTATACCACATACTGCTGCCGCCGACCCGAGCTGCTGTGGCGCCGGTGACCGCGTCGACTGCTGTGACTCCTGCGACGGACAGTGGTCTCCTTGACAACGACCTCCGGACGCTTGTAAATGGCGAGAGCCAGGATAGCTGTCCAGAAGAAGAAAACGACTTCAATTATCCCCAGTGCAAAGCTGGCCTTCAGCATCGCGCAAGTCTTGTCGATGTGGAAGGACAGCGGGTTATCGGTCCTGTAGCCGTAGTATCCAAAGGGACCCAGCGAAATATACACCGAACCTCCATCCCAATGAGAGCAATTGGCCCCTGCAATGAAACGCAGCTCATAGACACCCGCGATGAAAGCACCAAAGAAGAGGAGGTCGATGAAAGCGACAAACATGGCAGAGCGTTTAGTGGTCGAAAAGCGGATCAAGGTATCGAGGCACCAGAAAGCTGCAATGACGCTGACGATGAAGAGGACGAGAATGTAGGCAGGGGTAATCTGGTTTGCATTGAGGTAGCCATGGACGAAGTATGCCTAGATCGATGCTGTTAGACATGGCCATCTGAGATTGGGTTAGGGTTGGAATGCACTTACCATCATTCCGATGATCGGAATCACGAAGACAAGCTCCAGAATGCGGTTGCAAATGAAGAATATACTACCAATCATGTTGTCGGTTGGGCGCAGATTGCGGATTGACCTTCTCAAGAGTGTAATTGAAATACTAGGATCAGATGCTCAGAGGCGTAAAGAGGAGGAGTCTGGGCTAAACGTGGCGGCAGCTACAACGTCATCACACGCGGCTCGTAGACCGACCGAGACGATATTTTCACGACGCAATCTGGCTGTGTTCGGTGTCTTGAGTGAAGCGCCGTGTCGAGAGAGATTCCGTGGTTGCGCCGGACAACGTATAGAGGAGTATTGGTTAGGTGTCGATCAGATGCAGCCCAACTCAAAAGGCACGAGAGCCCAGCCGGTTACGTGCTAGAGAAAGCAAGGTACAGATGATGCATCCAGCCCAAGGCAGTACAGAGAGGAGATGCAGAAAAGAAAAAAAGAGGAACCGGACGGGGATGAATATGCGAGTCGGAGAAAGACAGAGGAGGCTGGGCGATTCAGGCTGCGGGGTGGCTGGGATCTCAGCGTGAAAACAAGGTTCTATTGCCCGACCTTGAAACAGCGAGATTCAATGGACGTTTCAACAATTTATTTAGAAGTCAGATTGAACTACCAGATTTGACAACTATTCTACTCCAATCAGCACAAAGGGTATAGTATTCTTTCAATTGAGCATACAGTCACTGGTGATAATTGTTCGGTGTTTACCGCCATCCTTGCCTTTGGGAGTGCCGTTGCCATAGCTGGCCCGTGGGTGGGGCTGCCCGGCCCACGAGGTGCTCGAGCCACGGTTGAGCGCCGGTCTAGCCCTCAGGGACGCTTTCTGCCTCTTGTGTGGCAGGGTCCTGGATTGACCAAGAAAGTACTTAGGACTATTTTTAACTGATGCAAGGGGATGGAGAAGAAAAGCCGTTGCGGACTCTCCTTTTCCACATCCCAATAATGTGGCCGAATTCTGCCCTCTCGGTATGATACCAGATCCACTATCCAAGCCTCTTAATGTGACAAATCTATGAAATGACAAGAAATACACCCTTGACCAATCAACCAAAACTCGGGTTTCAGACTTCCCGGTACGGCATATCTGTAAGGTCACGCCCTCGGTCCGCATGAGTCGGAATCGCGCCCGGTGTTTCGTGGGTAGTGGCGGCACCAAGTACGACCTGAGGGGTCTGGGAGTGGTACGCCGTATCAACATCGAGTCGCGCCGTTGGTCCGTTCAATGCTGGGTTCTGTGTCCGGGCATAGCCAGGTTGCATCTCATATCCACCAGCAACATCCTCGCTGGAGGACGACCAGTTGTCGTCCTCGTCACGTCTTGAGTAGCCGTACATGTTTGTAGTGTATGGATTAGATTCCGGTAGGTACAAGGGCCTACCAGCATCACTTCCGGTCGTCTTCGACTGAGGAGCTTCATTCAATCGCTCCTCCTCCGGGTTCCTCAGAGCGGCAGTGCTTCCATCAGTACCCACCAGGCGGACAGTCTCGACAGGCCCCACGGGATCCCTGCCCCATGTCCGGATGGGATAGGCGCGTCCTTTCTTCCAAGGCTCGTTGAGTGAAGGGAAATATTGACGGTACGAGATGCAGGCGCAGATAATACCTAGGAGCGATCCAGTGATGACATCGAACGGATGATGCCTTGCATCCATAATACGGCTCACCGCAACAAGCGTTGCTGCAAGAGACGGGATCATGACCAAGAGTGTCTTCCAGGCCTCGCCGCGGTTGTCCATTATGTGCAGCTTGCCACTAAGCCAAAGCGTGAGATAGAATAATCCGGCAAATGAAGCTGTAATGATTATATTAGTTCTCAATGCGCGTTTGTGAAAAGGTAGGTGGGTCTCTCACAGCTACTATGTCCTATCACCACGGATTAGCATTTGAAACGTGTTCAGAACTTTTGAAGCGCTGTCCTACCTGAAGGCCATGATCGGAAGCCGTCTTTGATAAGTGCATGTTCGCCAGTACAGATAGTGGAGTTCGACAGTCCGGGTATCGCGTCCTGACTTCCTGCGCGAGGCTGACACCGATCAATGAAGTCAGGCCGGGGCTTTCCACAAGCATTTTTCAGCACCTGCGTAATGACAAACGCCAGCCCTTGTGAGAGCAAGAGTCCCAAGATACCACAGTTGAGCTCCCACAACCGATCCTTCCATCTATATGGACCAGTGAATTTTCTCTTCCCCGAGACTGGATGCTGCGTCTTGTGGTGCGAGAAAAGCCCGTCGATGAATAGCGTATAGACGATAATAATGACGAGGGGTGCCAGGCCGGAGATACAGAGGGCTTCCTGAATGGTTATACGCTCGTGGACTGCATAAGGATACTGAATTGAGATATTTCGTAACGAAAAGTGCTGGTGATATGGTTCAATAGAATCAAGGACGTAGAAGCCTCCAATGCACGCACTGTTTCAGCGGTTATTAGCAAACGCCGTCGATGATCCGCCAACAGGAAGAACTAACATAAGGATAACATAGTCAAAGATATATCTGCCATGGACGACTCATATTAGCGATGAGGTAGCATTCCTCTCCTTGGAGTTCGATTCTCACGATAGAATGACCCGCTGCTTCAGGCGCCGCTTTGAGAAAGGCAACTTATCGGGTAGACGGTCCATCGGGTCAGGATCCACTTTGTTTAAGACAAAATGCAATAAGTGAGGGGCAGAATTCTCCTTCTTCACAGCTCGGATATATAAAGACCTGGCCGGTGCTCCAAAGCATCTATTTTTCTTGAAAAAGAGCAGCCTAATGCGACCGGTGTGCGCGCGAAAATAAGAGCACGTGAGAGTGTCTGTCGACAGCTGAAGTGTCCACTGAGATGTGCCCAGCGGCGAAAGGACAGCAATGAAAGAAGTCGGAGAAGGCTGAGTCCCTGATTTGTGACCTGCCAATGAGAATGAAACGGAGACAAAGCATGGGGCTGTGGGCGACTAAATATGGGGGAGGTCTGAATACTCGTTGCCTGCAGCTCTTTCGCCGACCCACTCGCCCAGAGTACATCGGCTCGACCACGGCTCGGTCAACCGCTGGCTGCCTCGTTTCAATGGAAGAGCCCGGTATGGGCCATTAAACCTTGTTGCCCGTAGAGCATAGCCCGAATGGAAAGTCTGGCTGGCCATAGCCATTAGAATAGCAATATATCATTGACCATCGAGTAGCTGGGCCGGGAATGCAGTTAGGCACGGAGTGTCATTGACAGATGATGGGCCGTGTTAGTGAACAGACCCTGCTTGATCGACAATCGGGCGGTTAGCTTTGGCTCGGTATGGCCGCTGTTATGATACAATAATATCGGGGGTGGATCCCATAGACGGCCTGTAACGCTCTTTCGGTCAATTTCACATTGTATGCTTATGTAAGCTACTCGCTATTGAATCGAATTGGATGGCAGTTCCAACTTTTAGTCTTTGTGGGCTAAAAGTAACACTTCAGAACGGGGCTCTGGGAGATCTCCACTGAGATGCCATTTACATTAGCCCTGTTGAACTAGTACTCAATTGGAGTTAGTACTACAGTGGTCACTGATACTATTTGGCTTAACTGCGGCCTGTCATGACTGCTAAATATAGATCTACATGACACCATCATCTTTACACCATCATCTTTACACCATCATCTTCATCTAGTCAACCGTCAACTACAGAATATAGGTTATCACTATGATCTAGCAGTACGGTACTAGTATAAGTATGTTCTATTTTGATCTTTATTTTCAATAATGAATGTTGAGTGGTGGCTTTCGTTCAATTCCCGAAGACTGTTACAATACACTGCAAATGACCAATTCCTCCATCATTGTGGCATTTACCACCCAAACTCCACAAAATACCCCTCATCCTCCACGACCTTCCCAAACATTTCGTCCGGGGAACCCTCTGTTGCCGCGCGTACAATAGGCCGTGCCCCTTCTTCAGCAGACTTGACACCGCGGCCTCCTCCAAAGTCCGTCCGGCAGTGGCCCGGGCAGACCACGACTGACAGAATGTTCTCCTTTTGCAGGCGTACCGCATCCACCGCATTCATCATGTTGAGGGCGGATTTACTGCTTCGGTAGACTGGCAGCTCCCAGACCCTGGCACTATACTCCGAGGTAGGCGAGTAGGCTATCCCAATCTGTCCGAGGCCGCTAGTAACGTTGACAATGCGTCGATCGGGATATTGGGAAGCACGGAGGAGGGGAAGGAAAGCCTCGATTACGACGGCCACCCCGAAGACGTTAGTCTCAAACACGGCGCGGTAGGTCTCGCGCAGCGTGGCGTTGGGGTCAGAGGATCGGTTGATTCCGCCATTATTGACAAGGATATCGAGCGAACCGAACCGTTCCCGAACAAAGGTGGCAGCAGCCTTGATGGATTCGTCACTGTTAAGGTCTAGTGACACTGGCGTCAGGTCGTCGGAGGAACTGCTTAGTTCCTTAATGGCTTCCTCGGCTTTCTCTTGCGTCCGGGCACCAATGAGGAGACGGTATTTACCGGTTCTGGTAAGCTGTTTGGCCGTGGCATACCCTAAGCCCCGGTTGGCACCGGTGATTAGGATTAATGGTTTCATGACAGTCATGGTGAACGTTATACGTTGGAGGGTGTACAACCAAGTTCCTGGATACTTTGGTAAGATGATCTGGAGAAGTAAAAAAGAAGGGGCAAGGTATTAATTAACTGCCGTTATATATATCTGAAGGCCTGGATTTAATCGGAGTTAAAATGCACTCACTACCTGGACTTAACCGGACTTTATCATGACCGGCTTTAAGGATATTTCTTTGCAGATCACTATCATAGTACATTTTACCGGGGCGATATCAAGGATGACACTTCATCCGGAGTTTCTAGACCCTATTACCAAGCGTTAGCAATTCTAGCGTTTGTTCACTCACCTTCCCTCACCTTCATACAGTCAACACCACAGCAATGCACAGCCATCAAAGCACACTGCTGCTGACCCTTAACCCATGGACTGCCTTTCGTTGTTCGCGGAGCACACACTCGTATCTGGTGCTGTCTACACAGCGTCACAATGTGATTAGTAAGCCTGCAAGCGCAGTCGCTTATTCTCATATATCCATCGCTTTTTGAATGTCGTTAGCGGCTGATAGACGGGAGCATCGACAGCATCGCTCTTTTGTCAAAGATAAGACATACTTTATGTCTAAACCTATTCCAAATCTGGGCAGGTGGGTAGAATAGAGCAAATTTTCTTCCAAAAAGTTCTTAGGCTCCCGGCTTCCTCAAGGCGGCTCCAATCATGCTGAAGAATAGAACGCCGCACTGGGATGGTTCCCATTATGGCAAATATATAGATTCACAAACGTACTGTCATTATATAGCCCGTTAGTTGCTGGACAAGGGGCAGATATTCTCTGTGGTCTCCCCCAATATCATTGTTAGATGTTTAATGACAGGAATGATCTTATCAGGAGCAAATTGGCGCGCTAATGATTGGGGATGCCATAACCTCTTGCAAATACTATCAACATCAGTTCTGAAACTTTCATGCATATGAAATGGCGGGTGCTGTTTTTTGTCTCGCTGCAACTGCAAGAGATGTTGATATGAGCGTATAAAAGTGTATTTACCACCCGTGACTAACAACCATGGAATAGAGCTTCTTATTATATTGTACAGATTATGATGATCTAGGTTCATGGTAGCCCACAGCTCCTATGTTATTATATCGAATCGTTTTCCGCGCTGACCTACTCTGTAGCGTACTTAATGCGAGAATCCTAGTGGGTCTACGTGTACTTCGCCCTATCGTTGGGCGACAACTCATGCATGAAGCACTAGGAACAACTCGGAAACGCGGAAAATTGCTAGGCTCTCGGCCTTTAGATTGAGAGCTGAGAAAAAGCAAATATTCTTTGTTGGCTTTAAAGTCGTTTGCTGATCCCCGACCGGAGCTGTACAAGCGAGTAAACACGCATCAATCCCCGCCCATCATGGGTTGTCCCAAGCTACGAAATCCCTTTCGCAAGAGACACTCCAAGAAACAGCCTCGGAAAGAAACCACCGATTCCTCAGATAATCCATCGAAATTATCGTCCAATGCTCTTTCTGGTACCTGTTCGACCCTAGAGCCAGTAGCTCAACCAAAATCTCAAACAGATGCCTTGCCAGCAGAGGATAATCAGGTTCCATTAAGCTCTGAAACCACTCTGCCACGAAGAGACGGGAAGGCTAGAAGAAGGAACCTCTGGCAGGAGGCATACGACACGTTGGATGAGAAGCAACGCCAGTATATGAAGCCGGTGAGAGAACATGAACAGAGCAGCGACAATCACGAGAATGCCGATACAAATCATGTATACAAAACATTAGATGAAGTGATCCAAACTGTCAAAGCGCAATACCAGATTAGAATGTCGAAAAGAGAAGACTCAAAACTTCGGGATGCTGCAAACAAGATTCTGACTGCCACGCTGAGCTGCAAGGATATCATCAGTGCAATCGTGGCACTCGACCCCACTGGCCACGCATCGAGTGCCTGGACTGTCGTTTCTCTGGGCTTAACTGTATGTCTGACATTAATCTATATACGCAGTTCACTTGATTAACATAGCATTGGTAGATGACACAAAATTATCGTGATCAGCAAATGGCCTGGTTTCAGTCGTCTGCCATCTTGACTGACATCCTAGCTCGGTATGCTGTGATGGAGAAGCTTTACCGCGATGATGGCTCTGAGCTGAACGATAAGATTGAGGATGCTATCTTGAGGGTCTATATCGCTGTTCTAAAATATGCAGCCGAGGCAATGACCATCTATCGCTCAAATACAGGAAAAAGATTGATGCAGAGTGTGGTGGCTCTCGCAAACCTGCCCTTGACAGATATTGAATCCTCAATCGCCACAGAAGAAGAGCATCTGGGAAAGTGGCTACAAATGCATCAAGAAATGCAGCGCAAACAAGAGGCAAATAGTATACTTCTCGGAATTGATCGGCTTCTCGACGATGTCCGAAATGTTGCCCAGAAAATTGAACTTGACAAGCTGCCGATAGCTGAAGGTGCTCACTTCGATTCGCACATGGATGAGAACCAGGTTGAGTGCTTGAAGAATACGAGAGTTGAGCTTCTTGATGGTATCATGGACTGGGTAGATGATACTCAGGGAAAGACTATCTTTTGGTTGAGGGGTGTAGCTGGAACTGGTAAATCAACAATCTCCCGGACAGTGGCGCGAAAGCTGCAGGAGAGAGAGCTGTTAGGAGCAAGCTTCTTTTTCAAAAGAGGTGAGGGTGATCGTGGGAACGCTTCACGGTTCATCACCACTATCGCTAAGCAATTCATGATTGCTCTCCCCCAGTTGAGGAAAGAGATTGCGACAGCAATGGAGGACGACTTGATTGTTTCCAAGTCACTGAAGGAACAGTTCGACCATCTATTGTTGAAGCCGCTTTTAGAAATGAAAATGAGCAATGGGCAGCGCCTACCGATTGTCATTGTAGTCGATGCCCTGGATGAGTGTGAGGAGCGAAGCATTGAGACGATCATCCAACTTCTACCCCGGTTGCAAGAATCGGAAGCCATTTACTTGAAAGTCTTCGTTACCAGTCGACCCGAGCACCCGATCCTCGAGGGCTTTGAACAAATAGAAGGCGAACACAAAGATGTCGCTCTCCATGAAATCGAGCGCTGTACAGTTGAGCGCGATATGGCTGTGTTCTTTGAGGACAGACTGTCGAGAATTAGAAAGAAGCGAAAGCTTGAAGACACATGGCCTGGGGAAATCAAAACTCAGGCCCTAGTCGACATGGCAATGCCGCTTTTCATCTTCGCTGCAACTGTATGCCGCTTATTAGAGGATTACCGATGGGATCCAGACGACAGCTTGAACAACATAATGAAACGTCAATACAACAACTCCCAGCTGGATAAAACTTACTTGCCTGTTCTGGACAGGCTCCTTGGCGGGCAGGATCAACAAGCCCAGAGTGAATTGGTAAAGCAATTCCAACAGGTGGTTGGAATAATTGTTGTTCTCGAAAGTCCACTTTCCATTGCTTCGCTTTCAAACCTGATCAACATGAAAGAGAACCTCATTCGCATCAGACTAGACTCACTTCATTCAGTACTCAATATTCCAAGTGACAACAATAAACCAGTCCGAATGTTCCATCTTTCCTTCCGAGAATTCCTTCTTCATCCAGCCACAAGAGAAACTACAAAACTTTCGGTGGACGGCCAGTCAACACATCGCGACTTGGCCTATAAGTGTATTGCAGTCATGATGGATCCCCGACATGGACTTCGACAGAACATCTGCGGCCTGCCTGGTCATGGAACATCAAGAGACGATATTGGCGCCGAACGAATTGAAAGGTATTTTCCAGCAGAACTGCGCTACGCTACCCGATATTGGGTCCATCATCTTACCCAGGGAGCTTTGAATATTTCTGATCAGGATGGAGTGCATGAATTTCTCGAGACTCACTTCCTTCACTGGCTGGAAGCAATGAGTGTCTTAGCACATCTGCCAGAAACAATAGGTAGTGTCAATATGTTACTCTCGATTGTACAGGTAACCGTCATCTTCCTTGTTAGCCAACCAAACTTACTGATGTTTACTATATACAGAGGTCACATGCAAATCTGATATCCAGGTTTCTTTACGATGCAAAACGATTCACTTTGAAAAATATTTCTATCGCCAAAGAATTTCCGCTCCAGCTGTATTCCTCCGCATTGCTGTTCGCGCCAGAAAAATGTACGATCAGAAACACATTTTTCCACTGTGTCCCACCATATTTCTCTCAGCTACCCAGAGTGCCTGAGTACTGGGGTGCTGAGTTACAAACAGTCGAGACTGGATCTGATATGGTTGAGAGCTTAGAGTTTTCTCCAGATGGACGAATGTTCCTCACACTTGGCGAAAGTTTGAAGCTGTGGGAAACCAGCACTGGTGACTTACGAAATACGCTAGTGCCTCGTACTCCCTTTGGTGGAGAATGCGCATTTTCACCAGATGGAAAGTTAGTGGCAGCCCTGATATTCGACAAAATACTGCTGTGGGACTCGCTTTACGGTACTCTAAAACATACCTTAAAAGTACAGTCTAATTGGGGTTCTGCGATGGCATTTTTATCAAATGAGCACTTGGTCTCGACATCCACTGACAAAACATTGGAAATATGGAGCACGATATCCGGAAAGCTACAGAAAACTGCACCCTTCGGGAATAATGAAAAGTTTATGTCTGGGGGACAAACAACGATCAACCTCTCGCCCGACGGTAGTTTACTGGTCCGCACCCTGAAGGATGGCACAACAAAGCTCTGGGATACAGCAAAGGCCGAACCACGACATATACTGAGAAGTCCTGGTGAAGAAGTTCAAACATTAGCATTCTCACCAGATGGACAATTACTAGCCACTGGGTCAAGGTATGGCATATTGGAGCTTTGGGATCTATGTGAAGGAACCCTGCAACATACTCTGCGCTGCCATGCCACTCGTTGCCATATCAATTCCATAGCTTTCTCTCATGATGGGAGATTGCTAGCTTTGGCTTGTGCAAGAGGATTGAATATCTGGGACATAGGCCACAGCCCAATATTATCCACATTTGTAAGCCACAATATGGGAAGTAACCTAGTCAGGTTCTCACCAGACGACAAGCTTGTGGCTTTAGTGAGAAATGATAAGGTGACGCTTTGGGATACGGCTCGACTTGAAAAGATGCATGCTCTAGGAGGACATCCAGATGGCGTGACTGTCGTGCGGCCTTCGCCAACTGGATCGTTTCTGGCAAGTGGCTCGTCGGATACAACAGTGAGAGTTTGGGACATTTTCACGGGTACAGTGCAACGCGTACTGCAGGGTCATTCAAATGCGATTACGAATATCTCCATCTCACCAAACGGTCATCTGTTAGCTGCGTCCTCAGAGGACGGACTCATCAAAATATGGGATGTATCAAACGGAGACTTGCAACATACCTTATCGTCGGACAATTCTGGGGGTATGGTATGCATGTTATTTTCGCCAGACGGAAACTTATTTTTGGCCATTTCGCGACACAAAACACGCTTATGGGATGTGGTCACAGGACTATGCAAGTGGACCGTCGAACAGAAAGTTAGGGGCCACCGTTTGCGGACTCATGCTACGTTTTCCCTGGACAGTCAGCTAATATCCTACGCGGTTCCATTGGAAGCAACACTCCGAAACACAGCAGATGGTTCATTGCATGAAACCCTGACTATACCTTTCGATGATGTTGATGAAGTAGCTCTCTCACCATCTGGGAATCTCCTAGCCACTAGCCATATAGGAGGCAACGTCGACGTGAGGCTATGGAATACTTCGACAGGTAGGGTGGAACATGTCCTCACGGGATGCTCAACAGAGGAATTACAATTTTCACCTGATGGCAAGCTGTTTTCGTCAGGCGATCCTTGGATGGGAGTCAAAGTGTGGAATGTTACCGACGGCACATTACGGCAGACCCTGGGAGCCAAGAAGACCGACCGATATTCGTGGCTTCTCGACACTAATAGAAAGGAATACAAAATCCATCATGAAGCTCAAGGCTACATCATTCCATTAAATGATGATTGGATAAGGCTTGGAGAAGATAAAATACTATGGCTTCCACCAGAATATCGAGGAATTAATGGAAATATCTCGACAAGGGTCGGGAACACGTATATCGTGGGATGTGAAACAGGTGATGTGATTTTTATAGGTCTCCGTTCACCCTCGGAGGATTAGGGATGTTGGATAATTACTACTACATAACTCTACATTCGTGCCTGTGGTCTGCTTTTCTTTATTCTTTGCCATGTAAGAAATTCCTCGTTCCTTATATCTGTAAACGAAATCATCCCTTCAATTGAACTCAAGCACTTATCTCACAAGAATCATTACAATCCACATAGTACACCCTATGATACATGCCGTTCATCTTTGCGAATGAAAGTGATGTCGATGTTGATTACCTCTCATTACCCTAATCATATGCATAGCCTGCTCCAATTGATCTTCACATTAAATATGGATATCTTTCAGAGCTGAAGAATAATCAGGGTCACTGTACCAGTATGATAAGGGATTCTAAAGTCACCCCCGCTTATATCAGGAAGATATCTGAGCATACCTAGATTTTAATAGGGAAATGATCTTAGAAAGAAACCATGGTGCCATGGATAAGAAGGATTAGAAGAACGATACCAAGCACAATATCTGGGTATAAGATGAACAGGTCAAGTAGTTGAAGAATAAGGGGACGACAAAAGCAAAAGAAGGTTCTGATTGAGAAAGTGTTTGTTTAGCCAACTGCTCTTGTTTCCCAGCTGTAATATTTTTAGCATAGACGGCGGCTAACGATGTGATAACTAACCTATCCACAAGGCTATGTCGTCCCTCGTCCAGGCGTCGATTGGCCACAACAGAGCAAGGATCACAATCCATCGTAAGAGGCGGCGCAGCATCGTGCAGCTACAGCGGGCTATGCATTTCCAAACCCCGCACTCGAGAACAGGGGTCGAGACAATATATGTGCTTCCATATTCCACCTGGAAAAGTTGTAAGAACCCCACCAAATCACCAGAGAATGCTCCCACCATGACCACCACACTATGGGACCCAGACCGAATCCTCCAAATCACCAAGGGCCCTCACGAGCGAGGCATGTTCTGTCTTGGTCGCGCGCGCTCCAGATACGACAGTCGATGTCGCTGGGACATCCCCTACACAAAATACCAGATTGTCCGGGAAACATTGGACGAGATAGCTGCGAAACTACCACATGAGATATACGACGACGAGCTTAAAGTATTAGCTAAGTGGGGATTATGCGATTATCATAGTGGCCAGGTGCATGAGGTTGTGTCAGGATGGCATTATGCCCTTGCTAGTCTTGCAAATTTATACTCGGCGTATAAAGAGCGGGCAGAGACGAGCCATACAGTACATCAGATACTTCAAGCCGAGGTCAAGAGATGTCGCGATTTGCTCCCACCAGACGAAGATAACCCGCAGAAGAACCTCTCGGTCTTATTAAAGAGGCATATGCGCAAGTACTCGGAGCTGGTAGAGGCGGGAAAGGCAAATTCAGCGTTGGCGAATAAACTGCAAGAGGAGAGGAGGGGAGAGGAGGACAAGATGCGGGAGATGAGTGATTTACAGGCTAAGCTTGAGACCAGTGAGAAAAAGTGTCAAGCTTTGCGCGAAGAGAATGCCGGTCTGGTGGTAGAGGTTAGAGCAAAGGGAGAAGAATGTGAACGTCTCCAAGAACAGCTGGGGGAAGCCACGGCCGAATTCTCCGATATGCAACGCGCCAATGAGAAACTTAGAGATGTCAATGAAGAGATGCGCAAAGAGGTTGATGACAAGCAGGGACAGCTGAACGAGATCACAGCCGAATTGTCTGTTGTGCGATGCAACAATAGCAATCTCAGAGATGCCAATGAAGAGATGCGCAGAAAGATTGAGAGAAAGCAGGAACGGTTGAACGAAATCAGAGGCGATTTGTTCGATATGGGATTCGCCAAAGACAGCCTCGAAGATGCCAACGAAAAGATGCGCAGAGAGGTCGACAGCAAGCAGGAACAGATAGAAACCATTACTGCTCAACTTGCTAGCGTCTCGGCGGACTTGGACAGCACTAAGAACGAATTATCAGTCGCTTGTGAAACAAAAACACAAGTCCAGAACGATCTTCGAGAAGCAGTCGAGGAAATCAGCAATCTTCAAGCTCAGCTCACCGAGATCCATGAACAACAGTCCACTACCATCTGGTGCAAGATTAAGCGTTGGATTCGTGAGAAAGCTTCATGTTTATCTCGGTATAGACGCAGATATGGAATGCGGGATAAAGAGGAAGAGGTTGCACTTGCTCCTGTAAAGCCGATTAACGTTGGATGAGTTATATCTGTACAGCTTCTCTGCTATTGAAACGACTTTGGGTACCAAATAAGATAGCTACGCAACAAATAATGCCAACCCTGGAGGAAACAACCAACCTGCAACATGTATTTTCTTTTGCAAAAGCCATAATACCTGCTCCTTGCTAAATTCATTCCACATGACCTACTGCTTACTATCTACCAACACGCTCATCATCTACCACAGCCTTGCACTGCCCCATCAATGATCTTCAGATCAGCGTGTGGCCGATGGCATGCTTTCCAGATGTTCCGACGCAGCCGTGCAGCCAAGAAAGACGCGAATGCTAACACGAAGTGTAGAGCATCAGATTAGTTCCATGCGGTTACTCTTGCAGATCCACGTCAGGCCACAGACTGTACTACACTATTATCATGACAGATCATTGCAGAGCCTTCTGGTTATATTAAGCACATGACGCAGCTTCATTACGTACTACGCTTACTTTTGCTGTTGCTGCTATGGCATTCATTCATACTGAAAAACCAAGACAAAGAATCACTTGAGAAAATCCCAAAATGATTGTCTATTTTAAGTAGCCTTTACATAATAATAGAATTGGGAGATATTGCTCATAACATCAGCCAATTCGAGTGGAGCAATGTCCTCAGAGCCGGGTACTGACGGATAACGTCGTTGTGGAAACAAAGGGAAGGGATCTCCCGAATGGGGCAACATGCTGAAAACCCTTTCTGGACCCTTAATTCGTACTAATGGAATAAGCGAGCATATAATTTTGTGCTCATGCTAGTAATACTCTATGGAGTGTTCACAGTAAGCGAAGGGAAACAGTGCTGCCTGGGTGGATATTGATGGATATCATGTGGGCCGGGGTCTCATGTCCACTTAGTCCAGTTTACCCTGCATAGCCCACTTTTCATCGGAATAGATGGGATCCACGTTACGTTTTAGATTATACTATGTTTAATTGAAAGGGAACCTGGAGTTACCCTGTTTGGTATCAGAAAGAGGTTTGGATGACATGTCCGATTGGCAACCATTCGATGACTGACATCGTCATTTGCGTGCAATATGTTGAACATATGAGACAATTGAGCCGAATGAAGAACTCTGAGCTTATGTCTATGAAAGCGGTTCTACACGTGTTCGTATCAAATGTCTGATAGGCACAATTGATTAATGTAATTAGACCCGAGAGCTATAGCTTATAATACACCGCTACTAGCCGAAAAATATCCTTGATATAGCCAATTTTTGTATTTCCAATATCAGTATTTTCTCCGGTCAGAGACCGTATCCGGCGCCCGGTTAAGTATCAAAAGAAGGAATGGTCATGTCTTAAAACTAAAGGGAATAAAAATCAATAAATAGAAAACATAACGGGTCCATTAATCATATTCGCGTGATGCCGGATGCGATCGCTATGTCTGACGAGCTTAGCAGACCGTGATGTACAGACCGAGACTAGATTTCAATTAGCAATGGTTCATAGAAGATGGTATGGAGAATACTTACGGAGAGGGGTTGTAGTCCTCAAAGAAGTTGAGGTAGGTGCTACCAGCCTCCTTCATCTCGTAGCTGACAGTCTGGCCAGCCGGGCAGGAGAACGTGGAGATCAGGTAGGAGTTGCCAGGCGAGACGGTGAAGTCGCCGTAGTCCTGCTTGACCCCAGGAGCGTTGTTGTAGGTCGTCGACTCACTAGCAGCAGACTCGAGCTGGGAGAAGTCAATCTTGCCGTCTCCGCTGAAGGTGTAGTCAGAGGTCTCAAGCTGATCCTTGGTGGGGAACAGGAAGATCAGACTGCAGGTCTTTCCAGAGTCCGAAGAGGGGATATCGAAGTTGAAGATGGTCGAGACGGTGGAGGAGACGGTGCCGAAGTACTGAGTACCGTAGGCGGTGTCGGGAGTAGAAGAGTTGATGGGGACGATCAAGTGAGGGTACTCATAGTCGCCAGAGAGATCGGTGGGGCAGCTGGCAGAGGACGACTGGGTAGCCGTGCCAGAAGGCTGAGCGCTGCTGGGAGACGCGGAGGTCTGGGGGTAAGAGGGAGTACCAGACGGCTGAGGAGCAGGAGTTCCAGAGGTCTGGGGGTAGGAGGAAGGCTGGGGAGCCGGAGACCCGGATGGCTGAGGAGCAGGAGAGCCAGAGGGCTGAGGAGCGGGAGTCTCAGAAGGCTGGGGGGCCGGGGTCTCCGAGGACTGGGGGTACGAAGGAGTTTCCGAAGGCTGAGGAGCAGGGCTTTCGGACGACTGAGGGTAGGATGGAGTCTCGGATGGCTGAGGAGCAGGGGATCCGGACGGGGCCGGCTGGGAGCCAGCGGGAGCAGAAGACCCGGGTCCAACGGGAACCAGCGGAACAGTACTCTCCCCAGGAACAGAAACCACAGGAGTAGTCTCAGCACCACAGTAGGTTTCAGTCACATAGACGGTCGTCACTTGCACGGCGCCGCTAGACTGGGGACCAGGACCGTAGGGCACGGAAGCACTGGAGGCAGGACCACCGGGAACCCAACCAGTCGACGCACCAGCGCCAGGGACACCTGGAGCGCTGGAGGAAGGAGCAGGAGCCGGCGTGCTGGACTGAGGCGCGGGGGTCGAAGCCGGAGCAGAGCTAGAACCAACAGAACCAGCACCAGAGCCCGCGCAGGAATCAGCTGTCAACTTGATGTTCTCGCAGCCAGTGACGGAGGAGTTCTCGGTGGTGTAAAGGTTCAGTTCGTTGTTGTCGCCAGTTTGGCAGGCAACAAAATCGGCGTCACCGTTGTACTCCAGCTCACCAGAGGAGGTGATGGAGAAACCCGACATAGGAGATTTACCCAAGTCACACTGGAACTGCGTGGTATCGCCTGTCAACATGTGTGGTTAGTAACATACCTGATATTATGTATATGTGGATAGCTTACTAGTCACGACACAACCGCGTCCGCTGCTATCAGTGATGCCACCATTGGAGTCAATGCAGAATTGGGTGGCGGGCAGTCCACCACCAATGCGGTTCTGACCATCACCCAGCTGGCCAATGGTGCCAGAAGCATCACCAGAAGCTGTCAGGTGAAAGCAGCAAGAGTCGCTCCGGCCAACAAGGGCATTAGCCCCAGCAGCGAAGGCTGCAAGGGTCGCAACGTTCTTCATACTTGGAAAAGCGAAAGTAGACGACAGCTAGAAAGCAAGCGAACGGATTGGAAGGGCGATATAAGAATAAAGATTGTTTTTTGGGAAAGTTATTGGCCGGGGTAAACTAACAAGCAAACTGAAAAGCCCAGGGTACGCTCAATATTTATAAACTATAGTGGGTACATAAAAGGCACGTCATGGGCAATTGCCGGTGATACTGTGTAAACCGGACAGAGTCAACACGCACGCCTCCACAGCACAGCAGTTCGAAAAAAAATAGAAACAGACATTCAGCCAGTTGCATTGCTTCTGCTGGACTGGCAGTTGACCATGGAAAAGAACATGGAGGGCCACCGTTGATCCCGCTAGGCACCACCGGACAGCGAATAAACAAGCTGCAAGTTGTCCGACAACGCCGGGCCTGGAAGCTTCGGGATTGAAGGAGCAATGAAAGCAGACGTCATGAGCATTGGGGCCTTGTGGAGGGGGAAATTCTATGAGAAATACCCGATCTGGAAGTTGGCTATGAGATAGAAGCGGTATCAGTGGCTCGGGCGATGCAGGGCACAAGCCAACTGTGGATCCAGCTCCATTGAGCAGCCTTTGGATCGGCCGGGAACCCTGCCCTGGTCAAGACCTTCCGGACTCATGGACTTAGGCGGGTTATTGCGAGTCCGGTGGCGAGATGGCAATGCCACCCACGGTACAACACGCCATTCAGCCATACATAGCGAGCATTGTTGTTATCCATACAAGGAACATGGGTAGGACACCCACGGGCCTGCTTCTATTCATAATCGCTCACAGTGGAAAACCGGGAACGCAAGGTAAGCGACAATGCTCTATGCTCGACATAAGCAATCAGTCTTGAGTGCAAGTATCAAGCACAGTCCGCGTAAGTCCGGAGGGATATGGAGGGGGAGCTATAGCCACCATCACGGCCTAACAACAGGGAAGGATGAGGATCCTGGGATTAACCGGGGAAGGGTGCCTTGCATTATGCTCAGAAGGGTTTGGACTCGAAGCATACACAACATGCAGTGCGGAGTAGGGGGACGCGGTTGACGTTGACTCTTGCCTTGGATGTGTTGCTCAGCAACTCGGTGAGCAGCTTTTGGATCCCGCTTGGGAAGCAGCACAGCCCGCGTAGCAGCAAAGCAAGTGACTGCATGTCATGATGGAATAATCCTTGGCATGGTGGATTATTGATGAGTTGATTATTCGATGAAAATAGCCATTAGAATGGAGATGAGGGACTATCATTCTACTCTTTCGGAAGGTCGGAGAAACCCGGCAGAACCCAGTCCACCCGGATCAATAGTAATTCCATATTCCGCGGGTGGGGGATGACGCCAGCCTCGCTGGACTTCCTCCATCCAGCTTCCATGAGGCTTCCAGGATCCATCGTCCTATTCCTTCCCTTGTCTGCCGGCAATACACCATCCGAGCAACTGCGCCACGTCATGGGGAATTCTTACTGGATCCTATGCCTGGCTCGCTGCCTTTCCCTCCCGAGAAAGCAAAGCGGAAAAAGAAACTGAACATGAACCAAAGGCTGGTTCTAGGCAACCCTGAACAATCGCCAATCTGCCTCCATGGGACAAATTGCAGCAGCCATGGTTGCCTAAGTGGTTACCCAAACGATAATGATCATGTATGTAAACAAACGATACACAGATCGATATATTATGAGCCGAGCCGTACATATATAGAAACAAGCAACACAATCCCAGGATTCCGGCCTGACCAGCCTCGTGTCATCGGCGTCCATCTGACAGGTGGGCAACGCAGCCCTGTTGGACGCCAGTGCCCTATAAGCTTCGCCGGCATCTGGATGGCTGCGCGATCGATTTCAATCTATACTCTTTTTGCCTTATTCAATATTAGTCTCCTATATTATTATTTTCCATTACATCTCCGGAATACGATCAAAATCTCCGTCGCACTTCTGCAGTGCGTCGTAAGTATGCCCGCCCCATCCTGGCTCCATGCTTATCTCCCCACCTCAGTATTTCTCAATCTCTTGAATATCGAACTCTGGTTCGAACCATATAATCACTCCATCCTGAAACACCATTTCTCAGTCAAAGCAGTCCCATTGGACCTCCAGGATATCCCTATCGCTTTTTCACCCTCGCTCACCTATTCACAATCCTCAAATTTCCAAACTCATCAAAGGCAAAGCCGTTGAAAGAACGGGGCACTCTGCAGACCAAATCCCCGCACCGCACTCTGTAGAAGCTTACGTAGACCCTCACCTTACAACGGTCAATCAAGGTCTAGACAGTTGGCTAGAATCCACCTAAACTCTGATTGCTCTTCGCTCTGTGAAGTGAGTTATGTGCTGGCCCACCATCCATGTGTCCAGGATGGGCAAACAAGACGATTATCCTTCGACTTGTTCGATTCCAGACCTTTACAGTAGACCAGCAGCACAGTGCTCCGAACAAAGGCTACATCCACAATTCGAATTTTCCACGATTTTCCTCCTGTCTCTTTTACCCTTATTCAAGGATTAATCCGACTGACGGACGGACGGAATAATGCTTATGCAAATGCATTCTGTAAAAATATCCAGATGACAGACACAGATGGATGCCTGCAGGACTCGTAAAATTCTGATTTCGTCGGACATGCCGGGGTTGGACACCAACAACCCCAACATAGCATAAGTCGAACCAGTTAACAATCAATTAGTGATTCCCTTGACTAACAATAATGTAATGCGCACGTCCACCAGTGTCTCACTCGATCCAAGTTGGTTGAATTGAACTAGAGCTGTCAGAATCAAGAACAGCACATCATACCCATGTCGATCTTCATTTTAAGTCCAGCTGCCCAGTCTTGACCTCATCAAGTCCCTAAGCAACCGTCGATCGATCAGGCAGCCCAGATCGACTCTGAATTCAATAGTATTGTTTCTCATTCTGGGCTATCCAGCCACCTAGCCAGGTTGTATCTGACGTAAACAAGAAGTAAATAAATACTTCATTACTAACTAATGGACGTGTTTGAAGGGTGTTGATCATTCAACTCCTTGGGAGCCTGGTGTGGTTTACCCCGATAACTATTGAACTAAAAGCAGCCATCAATGATCTGTTTATGATGTTAACATCATTATGATGCTGTGAAACTCTGCTGCGTCTTTTAGGCTTGTGGGGGAAATGGAATGAGGGGAAAGATAGAGCTCTGTTCAGTGTTCACATGTTGAAACTAAGATGGATGGATGTTGGCTGTAAAGTCATATAGATGAACCACCGGTTCACACTTGTGGCTAGCAGTGTCCAACTTGATGGCTTGGATATCAGGTAGTATCTTGGTATCTTTGATAGATGCTTAACTGCGGAGAAGAAGCGCTTATTTATACCCTAATCCATGGAAACTTCACATAATGCAGAAATCTAATCCTTATCCAGGTACATGGTTCAGAATGAATCTAGACTATTACCACAACCACTTTCAAAGAGAGTTTAGAGAGACTCAAGTATATATGTGTGTATTATGTCGAGGGTGAAACGTAACCGTGTCTCCATCTTTAACTGGCCGTAAGTACTCAATTGAGCCCAATACACCCAGTAACGAAGCACAGTCAGAGAGCCCTTTTCTTTAGTCTTGGACGTCGAACTTTAAATGACTATACCATGGGAAAGCGGTATAGCCATGCCAAGGTAGAGACTACCTTGCTTTCGGTCCATTCTACGGAACGATAGGAGACTGAAAATGTCGCAGTATCATGCATCTGTGCATGGATTTATATTGGGTATCTTTTGGGTTTCGTTCTATCTGAGTCCTACCTCATGCGGGCGGCCCTGAATCTGCTCACACGTTTGGGCGCATCCTCGGTCTCAATCGGCACGATTTCCGGCTCCTCGCCTACGAAGCCGCCATTTTGCTGGATCATTCGGTTCCGGATCTTGTAGAACTCTGATGCAATCTCCTTCTTATGCAGCTGCTCGTCGAGCTCATCGGGCTCTGGCGCTACTGCTGGACCTGCTGGAGTCTCCCGTTCAACGAGTGTGTCAGCAAGGACCTTCCCTTCGGGACCCCTGGGTGTAGGGTCTTCTTTCTCCACGATGTCGGTGATAGGCTGGGAGAAGGGCTTGGGTTCCGCTGGTTTGGCAGGGAACAGAGGTAGAGATGATCCAGTGGTAGATGCCTCAGACTTGCGTAGAGCCGAGCGAGGTTCGGCAGGTCGAGAAGTGTTGCTAGATTGGGTTGTTGACGCAGTGGCGTCTTCAGCTGCGTTGTGAGTTTTCCGGGCACTCTTGAACCGGGATACTTTCTTCGGGGCGTCATTCTGCACAGGTTGTTTTCCAGCAGGCTCTGTGCGTTCAACAACAGCATCCTGGAGAACAGGTACGTTTGACTCTCGGACCGGAGCGATCTTCTTCTCCAAGGTCGGAGGCTTGGAAGCCGGAGCGATGTCGAGTTCGTCAGCAAAAGCAACCTTCTTCTTCGGTTTCTTCTCTTTGACTGGCTCGCTACTCGCGTCTGCGTTATTCTCGACACGAACAACACTGGGCTGATCTAGGTCCTGCTTGATCTCATTTGGAAGCGATTGCGTGTCTTTTCCGGCATTCCACATTCCCCGAGCGTTGAGCTTTTCCTCCAGCTCGCGCATCTGACGGTGATAGTCTTCGCTCAAAACTCGCCTAGTGCTCCTTCCGTATTCGTCTTCCTCTTCATCTTCGTCATCATCATAATCATAAGCATCATAGTCCTCGTCAACAGAGATATCACTTGCGTCTTCATCCAATTCAAGCTCCGCCACGACAGACCCGACTTCGTTCAAGCTATATTGGAGCATCTCACGGCGTAATTTAGCATCCTCCGGAGACTCGTCGACTTCCATAACAGGACGCTCGCCATGAACTTCGACGGTCGGGTCTAACTCTGAGCTTGTCTCCTTGGCTTCGCTTCCCGAGGATTTGACGGGGTGCTCTTCGCTGGCGGATGTGTCGTCCTTCTTGAGACTATCTGCGAAAGATGCCTCCTCCGTAGGCTGAGTGACTTGCTGAGACGAGCTCGATACTGGCGTATCGGCCTTAGCCACATCGGGTATATCATTGACACCGGCCTTCTTCAAGACCTCCAATAGATCCGTTGCCTCGCTGCCGGGTGTGGTTGTTTTGCTTGAAATAACTTCGCCGTTCTCATCGAGTTCTTCGAAAATCTCAGTCATAGGAAAGTCCGCCGTAGGTTCCACCGGTAGCCGATCTTGCGAGTCGAGCGCATACAGTTGGTCTTCTGCCGCACGTAGCCGTTTCTCTATCGTAGACGCATTCTGCTTCACGTAGTCGATCCGCCTCGTTACCAGATCAACCGCCTGTTGCTTGGTTCGTGTCACGCCTTGTTTCTCTCCCAATATCACTTTGACCTCCGCTTCATTGACCAAGGAGCCACCAAAGTCGCGTCCTACTCTGAGGTAGTCATCCATAGTCGCATCATCGTCCAGCTCGTTTAACTCGTCTTTGAGGCCATCGTATTCGGCCTCCCACGTCCTCCAGTGGTAAAGGGAGTCTTGCAGCTTCGAGATGTTTCCCTCGAGTTCGAGGCGCTGGCGCTCCAACTCATGCAGACTGTTGTTTGGGACACCCATCTCTACAGTATACTGAGTATATCTGGGAGGAACAGCCGTTCAGCAGGTGTGTAAAGGTGTACAGGGAGGGGGGAAGTCCGAACAGAAAGAGAAGGAAGGCGGCGGCAAAGAAAAAGTTCCGCCGCGGAACAAGAGCGGAGAACAGAACATGATTGGTCCGTGCACGCAGCTGGATTATCAACCTTCCATGCCACTGAAGAACCACCGTCAGTCGTTCTTTCTACCAACCTGTCGCGAGCCTCGCGTACTGTGCTGTCCAGAGTGTCTTTGAGCTGCAGTGATCCTCAGCATGCCTCCTGCTCGTGATATCATGGCTCACCGGGGGGATGACGACGGTGAGTCTATTGCTAATGACACTTGAATATTCACTGACTGCCAGCAGAGGTGTGCCCTGTCTGCAAATCCTCCCGTTACCTGAACCCAGACATGCGATTTCTCATCAATCCCGAATGCTACCACAAGATGTGCGAGTCCTGCGTGGACCGAATCTTCTCCTCAGGCCCTGCGAACTGTCCCGTGGCGGGCTGTCACAAGACCCTGCGCAAGAACCGATTTCGCAAGCAGACATTCGAGGATATTAATGTGGAAAGAGAGGTGGACATTCGGCGCAGAGTAATGCAAATGTATGCCAATATCAAATTTGCTAGACCCTGGAATAAGCCACTAATCTTCCTCTAGTCTTAACCGCCGCGAAGAAGAGTTTGATTCGAAACGAGCCTATGATGACTTCCTCGAACAACGCGAAGAGATAATAGCGAACCTTGTCCATGGCACAGATGTGGCGAAGACAGAAAGCGACCTACAAAGATATGCTGCAGACAACATGCGGTCGATTCGCGCCAATCAAGCCCTCGAAGCGCAAGAGGCCTCATCCTTCCGAGAACAACAAACACACGAACAAGAACTGGCACGTCTTCGGCGAGAGGCAGCTAGACTGGAATATGAGAACGAACGGAAGGAGATGCTTGCCGGCCGGGAAGACGTTCTCAGCCGTCTTGCGGCAGGTCGACCTGGCGACGCAGCGGCTATCGCCCGCGAAGGTCACAAGGTGCTGCTTAAGAAATCTTCTGCTCGCCGCAGTGAAGAAGACCGGATTCGACAGAAGCAGGCTGCTTTGCGCAGCTCAGATGCCAGGAAAGCTGGGCAGGGCGCCCTTACCACGGCGGACAGGGCGGATGACAGTGGTGATTCTGGCTTGATCAAGGGTCTTAAGAAGATTGTGACGCCCGAGCCTGAGAAGCCTTATGATCCTTTTGGTGGCCTTGTTCCCAACAAGAGGGACTACTATACTCTGCGCGACTATTACCCGAACAGCTATCTCGACCCCATTCGCCAGGACACTCGTATGCAGGCTGGTGGATACGACCTTCAGGAATACTACTCGCGTACTTTGATGGAGGCCTTTGCGGGTTTGGGTTGCTTCATCGATGAGGAGGTGTCTAAGCGAGAGGTTACAAGTACGATGGGTATCTCTAGACCCGTCGCTACAGAAGGGGCTGCCTTGGCGGCTGTTTCAAGTGCAGGCGCCCCAGAAGCCAGCTCGTGACCCACGGCTGTTGTTTCTCGTTTCATCCTCTGATAGAGATTCTGGAATTGGTTTACCATAACATTTGGCTGCGGCGTTTAGGCATTTGTGTTGCATAGCGATGGCGTCTTTTTGACAGATTTTGAGCATTCGGAAAAGCTATATCACAGAGATTGTTCAATTCGTTCAGGTACAATAGGTATACAAACAGGTAAAGCTAGTACAAACCAAATGAATTGCATGACAACAAATAAAACCGAACTAGAAAAAAAGGAAAAAGTGTAATATACAACCGTCTAAATAAGTACAGAGGCTCACAACTTGCCGCCAGTGATCTGCTCTCCCAGCTGCTTGACTCTGTCCTGGATGACGTCCCAGCGAGCGGTCTCGCTCTTCCTGGTCTCATTGACGATACCCTGGACAGTAGGGGGCACACCCAAGTTCCAGATGTTCTCGCCCTCCTGGTGGTCACTGCGCCAGGCCTCGTTCTCACCCTCGGGGAAGACCCGCTCGATCTCAGCCAAAAGCTGAGCCTCCGTGGTGATGAAGTTCCGAGCATTCATGTAAAGTTCTTGCAGGTTATCTTGACGCTCTGCCTCCTTCACAGCCTGCTGGTATTCGAGGCGGGCCTTGGACTCAGCCAGGCGGGTCTCGCGGTCAGGATCCGGCAGCACGGCGGTATGTTTGGGGAGCATGTCCTGAATGACGGAGTTACGGGTCAACCGCTGGTCTTCTCTCTCAGGCTGGCGGAGGATACGGTCGCGGCGCTTCTGCTTCTCCAAACTCCGCTGCATCATGGTCTTGTCCGTCCGCTGCTTCCGGGTGTGTAGTTCCAGGAGACCTTCGCGGAGGTTCTTGCGTCTCATCTCCGCCATGCGCTTCTTCCACTCAATGTATTCGGTGTTGGGGTCATTGGGGTCCAATTTGGTCTCCTTGGTAGGAAGAGGCGTCGCAGCATTGATGTATGCCTCTGTCGGCTTGTCCTTGCGGCGGGCCGGGAAGAGTTCTCGAGGGACGGGCAGGGTACCCTTGACGCGGGGCTTCGAAGGAAGATCGGGCTGAATCGGTTGAGGGATGTCGACGAAGTTGGGAGACTCGGGGCCGACCCGCAGACAGGAAGATGAGGTGAAGCCGCGGAACTGCACGGTGGCAGCCCTGCAATTGCGGAAGAGAGACATGGTAAACAGTGTCTGTCTGCTCAAGGTGGAGGATTGAGCAGGGTTGATGACTGGTGGAATGAAAGGGAAGTAATTGATAGAGACCAGGTAGCCGGTCTATTTCGGATCGAGGGCCAGCACAGGAGGGTGAGATGGCTGATGGCCAGCGCGGTGCTATTGCGGGAGTCGAACGAGGACGAAGCGATTTTCTTGCGCCTGGTCCGTGCACCGCTTAGCTTGGCGCCCGCCTTTGGAGAAAAAAAATAATTTCCCGCGCTTCGAAACTTTTTTCCTTTCTTTCTCTTCCCTCCTTGCGCTCCGCCATTTCTTTTTTTGACACTTTATCTTTGATATATTTCCATATTTTTCTTCTTCGAGGTGCCTTGAGCGCTTACTTGCACAATGGGTACCTTCAAGAAGGAAGCCTCTCGTAAAGAGCGGCAGGGGAAGACTGGAGATGGCATGGGGAACGTCCGGGTAAAGGGTGAAAACTTTTACAGGTTAGTACACCCGTTGCGACAGATGGTCCTGGATATGTGTGCTGACTTGTTCAAGAGATGCGAAGAAGTTGAGGACCTTGAATATGCTCAAGGATGGTAAACCCCAACGTAACGCTGAAGGAAAGATCACCAAGGCTGCTTCGTACCAGTCTCGAGACGCCCCCGTCGCTAGGATTGAACCCAACCGTAAATGGTTTGGAAACACCAGAGTGATCTCGCAAGAGGCTCTGTCCTCTTTCCGTGAGGCGGTCGCTGAGCGTGCTTCTGATCCGTATTCAGTCTTGCTCAAGACCAACAAGCTTCCCATGAGCCTGATCAGAGATGACAAGGGTGTAAATGGATTGAAGCAGCACCAGGCCAAGATGGCCATCGAGACGAATCCCTTCAGTGACACCTTCGGGCCCAAGGCTCAGAGGAAACGTGTCAAGTTGGGTGTTTCGTCGCTTGCGGATCTGGCTGGCGAGTCCGCCAAGATGCACGACGCCTATGTTGAGAAGTCGGACCATGCTACTCATGAAGATGGTACTATGGTGGTGAACGGTGATGACGTCGCAGTAGAGGAGGACTCTAGTGTCGCGCCCATCGCAAAGGAGGCTGTCTTCCTTAAGGGACAGAGTAAGCGTATTTGGAACGAACTTTACAAGGTCATTGATTCCTCCGATGTTGTCATCCATCTCCTTGATGCTCGTGATCCGGAAGGTACACGGTGCAGGAGTATCGAAAAATACATCCGGGAGGAGGCTCCTCACAAGCACTTGATTTTCGTCTTGAACAAGTGTGATCTTGTGCCTACAGGCGTGGCGGTAAGTCTCTATTCGCTTTCTTTTCTCCTTGCAACCACCCCCTATTCCTTTGATATACAACACGGCTTTTCGCCGATGCCATCGCTAAGTCAAGGCTACTCCTGCGACTTCATGTCGTGTTATTCACTATGGGAGACTGTCTGTTACAGCTTTGGCAGATTGACGCTGGTCCGCGCCGACCTTCTTTCTGAAGCTAGGCTGATTGGTTTTCGTTTTGAAAGCCAATCGTTAAGGACCGAGCTGTGTTCTGTTTTTGAGTTGAGTCCTGCTTCCGCTCTTGAAGTGGCATCATAGCAGGTCTCTTAGTAACATTTCACACATCCTGTCATCATACTTCTGTTTCTTTCTTTTCTTAATTTTTTTTTCTCTTATTCTTTGACTATGCTATACTTTGATAGCAACGCTGGTGTTCAGCTGCTAACGTGACACCAGGCTGCTTGGGTTCGCCACCTTTCTACGGATTATCCTACCTTGGCTTTCCATGCTTCTATCAACAATTCCTTCGGGAAAGGCTCGTTGATCCAGCTACTGAGACAATTTTCTTCTTTGCACTCGGACCGGAAGCAGATTTCCGTGGGATTCATTGGATACCCCAACACTGGAAAGTCTTCCGTCATCAACACCTTGCGCAAGAAGAAGGTGTGCACTGTGGCTCCTATCCCGGGTGAAACCAAGGTGTGGCAGTACGTTACCTTGATGAAGAGGATCTACCTCATTGATTGCCCTGGTGTGGTTCCTCCGAACCCGAACGACTCTCCAGAGGATATTCTTCTCCGTGGTGTCGTCCGTGTGGAGAACGTAGAGAACCCTGAGCAGTACATCCCAGCTATTCTCAAGCGTGTTCAGCCTAAGCATTTGGAGCGTACCTACGGTATCAAGAGCACTGAAGACCCCGTCGAGTTCCTCAGTCTCCTTGCCCGCAAGGGCGGTCGACTCCTCCGTGGTGGAGAGCCTGATCTTGACGGTGTTGCCAAGATGGTCATTAACGACTTCCTTCGTGGAAAGATCCCTTGGTTCACTGCCCCCCCTCACAACAGTGGCGAGGAGGGCGAGAAGATTGAAGGTCGTGAAGGTCGCCTCGGCGAAATGAGCCGCAAGCGGAAGCTTGATGAGACCGCTCCTGAGGCTGCTGATACCACAGAAGCGGCTGAGAAGCAAGAGTCTGGCTCGGGAGATGAGTTCGAGGGCTTTGACGAGGAAGATGATGATGACGACTCGATCGCCAATCTTGAGGTCAGCGACGAGGAGAGCGGAGCGGAGGAAGATTAAACAGGAGCTCTATTCTGAACAATTTTCAACACCTCGCGGATCGCAGATCCGCCCGTCACTAACCCATTGACCTTGGGCCCATGTCGTCGCTCTTTCAACCGGAGCGGAACTGACAGTCACGCCATGCCCAACCGATCATCGGGCCGCTGACAAAAAGCTGCATGGCCCACTGGCATCCTTTTGACGATGCCGATCGATCGGAGGTCGGAACGCCACCGAGCATATCCAGTTCAGGCCTGGTTTCACACGGCCTTGCTGACATGCTACCTGGACAGCTTGCCTGCCAGTACATGTCAACCCATGCAGAAAAGACTGGGATCCGAGCCAGCTATTGCTCGGCCCCACTGCTTTTACTTTTAGATACCCGCATAGTGCTGAGAAGCATAGCATCAAATGAAGAGAGAGATCGTCCGATCATCCATGTTCATGCAATTATAGTAATCTGCGTATAGGTAGTTGGATATACGAGTAAAAAGCATTTTTGGACGCGACGCGGCGACTTTCCAGCTTCACCGCCAGGCCCGCTCACGTGCACCCAGCCTCACTCTCGTCATCCGGTCTCCGCAGCAGCGGCCAGAACATGCCAGCAACTGCTTAAGATCGGCCCCTTTTTCATGGCTTTGCGGCCTTGTACTTCTCTGCGTCCTTCAAGCATGGGCCGCTCTGCCTGCTACAATGGCGGACGAAGGCATGTCCATTGTGCCCTACGGGTCAGGCAATCTTGACGTCGTACTGTAAGCTTCCGCTCTAAGCTTCCCCTCACCCCGAGCCTGGCTTCCCCACCAGATACTTGACCCTTATTAAAATAGTCCTAACATTGCTTCTTGACAAGCCGCCATAACGACTCTGTCGTTGTTTTTGACCGAGACTCTCAGCAACTTGTTCTTCGACATGCAGCCGAAAGCGATGACGGCAACCTGGAGCTTGCCGACTGCCCGTATTGCCATCGACCCCTACGCGATAGCAGCTCAGCCCAGGACGACCACCATGGCGGAACGCAGCCGGAATTCATTAATCCGCACTATTTCCGCATGCTCCATAATAGCTTGCCCAGTTCTGTGAGCTCATCTAGCCCTCCGTCACCTCGTCGACGTCTTGTGCCACCCGCACTTGCAGACGGTCCTACCAGCGAGCCCAGCTACTCGGGTAGCGGCATACAGTCTACGCAAGGAATATCTTCCGCCGCTTTTACACAGGACTACTTTAAGAAGTTTTTCGTGGAAGAAACAGTTCTAGGGAAGGGAGGGAAAGGAGTGGTTTTGCTGGTAAAGCACGTACTGGACGGTGTATCGCTCGGACAGTATGCCTGCAAGCGGGTTCCCGTTGGAGACGATCATGAGTGGCTAGAGAAAGTGCTCGCGGAGGTGCAATTGCTGCAGCATCTTACACACCAGAACCTAGTCTCGTATCGACACGTGTGGCTCGAGAACGCGAAGATTAGTACGTTCGGGCCAAGTGTGCCTTGTGCATTTATCCTCCAGCAGTATTGTAACGCTGGGGATTTACACAACTATATCTGTGGTTCGGTTGAAACTCCGACAACCACTGAGCAGCTGAAGGAGCGTCTGCGCAGAAAGTCCCGGGGAGGGCCGGAGCCTCCGTCTGAAGCTGGGGGACCTCGCAAGTTGAATTTCGAGGAAATTTATTCCTTCTTCAAGGACATAACCTCGGGGTTGCGTTATCTCCATGCTAATGGGTACATTCATCGTGACCTGAAGCCAAACAATTGTTTGCTTCACAAGACCAGTGACGGAATTCGAGTGCTCGTAAGCGACTTTGGCGAGGTTCAGGCTCAGGACTCGATGCGAAGGTCTACTGGGGCGACCGGGACGGTTTCGTTTTGCGCCCCGGAAGTTCTACGGCGAGAGTATCCAGGCGGTCCATTTGGGAACTTCACCTTCAAGTCTGATATTTTCTCTTTGGGAATGATCCTCTACTTCCTCTGTTTTGCGCAGTTGCCCTACACGCACGCTGACCTGATCCACGAGGAGAAAGAGGATCTCGATCAGCTCCGTGAGGAAATCAGCCATTGGGCTGGGTTTGACGATGCACAATTCATCAGGCCGGATTTGCCTGGACAGCTCTACACATTCTTGAAACGTCTACTGTCCTTGGACCCTGACGGGCGGCCGTCTGCAGATGAAGTTCTGAGCGGGCTACAGGCTGGTGCCAACGTTAATGAGAGTTTTCGATCAAGAAGGACTAGCCCAACAAGCCCTGACATACGTCCAAGCGCAAGGATCCATCCGGTGGAAAGCACCGAGACTCCATCCTTCCGGCCCTCCACGTCTCCGAACAAGTCTCTGACACGGAGTCCGGTGGCTGTACGGCGAACTCCGCTTTATGAGCCCGATGGTGCTGAGACTGGATTGAGCCCGGTTGTAGAAGAAACAAGCCCATTATCCGAGCGAAACACCTCGCTCAGCCCGGAATGCGACATGATGGTACGGCCTTGGTTCTCCGGCGCACAATCTCACTCTCCCCCACAGGCCGAACATCGCGAGGTTCCCCAGGAGCAACCACAGCCTGTCCAACAATTACTACCCCCGCCTCCGGGTCGTTTCTCTCTGGCCAGAGTCTTCCCGAGCGCCGCATCACTCATAGACTCGCAGATACCTGTAACGGCGTTGCAACTGGCGGCGTTCCTGCTCAAGGTCGTCTCCATCTTCCAGCCCTGCAGTCCTCTGGCAGTCAACCCCTGGGTTGTATATCCTTTACTTCTGCTGGCTGCGGTCAATTTCCCAGCCACTGGACTATGGACCCAGATTGTTTCTCTTCTCCTGCACCTTTTGGTTGTCAATTTGTCTATGCGGATGGAAGCACTGTGCTGGCGGGCATCACATAGTGCGATATTGTTTTCTCGATAGCTACGCCGCAATGCGGCGTACCGGCGTTGTGTGTGGTCAAAAGTGAGCAAAAAGCCTGTACTTACTAATGTATCGGGCCTGACGATGTATGTATAATGAATGATGAAACGCCGTTTTCTTTGGATTCTTACCTGGCTTTTCGACACCCTGTAGTCTATGTATCTAACAAGTTTCAACACAACAGTAGAATTGGTGGGTAAATTGGCCAAGATTGCGAAGGATCGGACTAAAGGGCTTACCTGCATTAAGCTCGCATCAGCCCGGGCTCCAATCACCTCATCGACTTTTCGGTCCTGATTGGCACAATTTCGGCTCTACAGGATGCTCCATCATTTACTATCCTGATAGCTTCTGCCTGGTTGTTTCTTATCTCCCTCTTATTATAACCAGGCCTCCCCGCTGCCAATTTCCCTCATGCTTTCTAGCTTCGGTTCCCTCGGACTCTTTGCCTACTGCCCGGCATGGCAATGAACCCAGAGGCCATCGAGCTCTCGGAAGCTCCACAGTCTGGGGCGAATTCCATGAAGCTTCAGCAGGCTCTAGTGAACAGAGTCAGCGGCACTAGCATCCTGCAGAGCCATGAAGCTAAGCCTGAAGCTGAGTCCGAGCCCGATGAGACCCTCTATCCCCATGGGATGCAATTCGTCCTCATCTCCATGTCCCTTTGTTTCTGTGTCTTCCTGGTTGGTCTAGTAAGTGCTACTATTTGCCGATTCCCTATACGCTGGTTAAACATGTCAGGATGCCACGATTTTGACCACTGCCGTCCCGCGAATAACCGATGAGTTCGGGTCGGTGGCTGATGTTGGTTGGTATGATGCTGCTTTGTGAGTCTATCCTACCGATTAGTATCAGCCCTGTACATTCCTGCTAACTCCATCCAAGCCGACTCACCTCCTGCATGTCTCAGCTCTCCCAGGGAAAGTTGTATGACAACTATCCGGTCAAATGGGTCTTTCTCGTCAACCTCCTGCTGTTCGAGGGCGGCATCCTTCTCTCGGGACTGGCCCCGAGTTCAATGATCTTCATCATTGGAAGAGCTATAACCGGCTTAGGATTTTCGGGGATCAGCCAAGGGTGCATGGTGTAAGCACTACATCGCCTGAGCGCGTATTGCAAACTAACAGTCGTCCAGCATCATTGCAATTTCCACGCCGCTACGAAGGCGACCGACCTTCGTCGGCCTAATCAGCGCCAGCGAATACACTGCCATCGCGATAGCACCTATTCTGGGAGGTATACTCACATCTGACCTATCCTGGAGATGGTGTTTCTACATCAACGTGCCTGCAGCAGCCCTACCATCCGCCGTGCTTCTCCTTCTTAAGCTTCCCAACATTACCCCCAGGGGCTCGAAAACACACATTCAGAAACTCCGCGAGCTGGACCTACTCGGATTCTTCCTCTTCGCACCCGCAGTGCTATGCCTCCTCCTCGCGCTCCAATGGGGCGGTGATACCTACAGCTGGACCAACGGACGGATCATCGCCCTTCTCGTCCTCTCGCCCATCATCTTCACGGGTTTCTGTCTCCTCCAGCACCGCAAACAAGATACCGCCATGCTCCCACCCCGCGTCCTCCGTAAACGCATCATAATCACCGGCGCGGCCTTCAGCCTGTGTCTCTCGGCCTGCCGCGCCATCGTCCAGTACTACGTACACTCCCCATCTCCATCCTTACCCTCTAACACAAACTAACCCAGCAACAGCTCTCAATCTGGTTCCAAACCGTCCGCAACGCCACCCCCCTCCAAAGCGGCCTCAACACCCTCCCCCTAGTCATCTCCGTCCTCGTCAGCGCCATCACTGGCGGATGGCTCATCTCCCGCACACGCACCTACACCCCGATCCTCCTTCCTGCCTCCCTCCTCGTTATCGCCGGCATCGCTCTCATGACAACCTTCACCCCCACCACGCCCGCCAAGCTCTGGATCCCATCTCTTATCCTCCTAGGCCTCGGATCCGGCAGCGCCGTCGGTGTACCCTTCATCGCCGTGCAGGCCATTCTCCCCATGAAGGACATTTCCATAGGCATGGCACTGATGACTTTCTCGCAGGACATCGGAGAAGCGGTGTTCATCAGTGTGGCGCAGGCGATTTTCTTGAACCGGTTGACGGGGGATTTAGCGAAGAGTGTGCCCGGACTGGATCCGGTAATGGTGACCCATTTGGGCGCCACAAGTTTGGAGGGTAAGTTGCCCGGGAAGTACTTGGAGGCGGTGGTGGGGGCGTATGATGTTGCGGTGAGGGGGACGTTCTTGCTGGCGGTTGCGTTGGCGGGGAGTGTGTTTGTGGCGGCGGTTTTGGTAAAGCGGAATCCGTTCAAGGTTGGCAATGAGTTGGGGGAGGGAGATAGAGAAGAGAGAAGCAGGGGAGTGTAATAATTGTATGGCTGGCTTCGACGTACAGGAATTGTAATAGTGTCTGCTGCGGCTGCGCAATTGGGAATTATTGCACCGACATGAAAGGTCTGATCAGATCGCATAATGCAACAATCATAATAGAAAAAGAGAAACCAAACTTCATGCCAATACTACTTACTACCTAACTCATTTACCAGGAGCAATCATGTAATGATCTATAAAAAAGAACATGAGAAAAAGAAAAACAAATGCGCCAAGCGAGATTCGAACTCGCGTCGCAACCTGGTCTCAATGTCAGATTGGGAAGGTTGCATCCTAACCACTAGACGATTGGCGCCGGTTGTTGAGATACCCACTCAATTTAATTTCTATATGGTAGGTGCTGGTTGGTCGTTTTCGCTCTTTTGACAGCTCGGGAACCATGTTTTGGGGTGTTTTAGGGTGGAAAGTGGATCTCTAAGAAATGGGGCTATTGGTACGGGGGGGTTTGAAATGAATTTTTGTGTGCTGGAGTGGGGGGCGGGTTGTTTGTGTGAAATGAGTGGAATTTAGGAGGTGCTGGCTGGCTGGATTGTCGGTGCTGGTTGGCTGGGTTGGATTGGTTGCCTTGTTGGGTATGGTGGCGAATATCGTACTTTTTACATTGTGGTTCGTGGAGTTTATGGGAGGTATCCCTTCTTTGTTGATTAAGAGTACTCTAATACATGGTTCTCTGATAATAAATGTATTCTTACTCGAATTATGGGTCTAGATCGAGTGCTTTTACTTAAGGCTATCATCTCTCAAAAACATGATTATCTGTTCACGCTGTGTTGACACCCCCGAAGGAGTTAACGCCGATAGGAGGCCTTAGAACAGAAGCACTGTGTTATCATCACTAGTAGCCTACTGCAATTCAATCTATGATCTTCTGATTACTAGTGGGATGACACTCATCTGTTGTACTATGTCAAAGGTGCCACTACTAATTTGCGATCTCCTATCCTACGCCATGTACCGTTGGTATTTCATTGGGTCGTCTATGTAGTATTAGTAGAAATATACTACCAATGTGGTTAACGTCCGTACAGTATCTACAATCTCAAGAGCATTAAGATGGGAATTCTCTTAGAGAAAATGATTAGACTCGCACCAGTATGCACTGATTTCCCTGACCGATTAGTCGTGGCACAACATCGACTCAAGTAGCCCTCTACTTTAGGAACTCAATAGGTTTTCGTTGGAGCTATTACAGTGAGGGAGGGGGTACTCAGTGCGTTTATTCTGGGAATTTCGAGCCCTTGATGAGCTTGGAGATGTTGAAATTGAGAAGTGTGAGGAGGGAAAGATAAAGAAGGTATGTGTCTGGATAAAGTTGCTTCTACCCCTGGGGAGTATTGCACCTGGAGGTAATGGTAAGTCGATAGAGGCTGATGGTGAGAGATGTCATCATGGGAGGATGAATGAGGAAGACAGGGCTATTACTACAAAGAGGCACTATGCACCTGCATTTGATGCATGGATTACCTCGAGTGTCTGAAATATGCCCGTCATTCAATGTGGAGGTCAATGACTCTATCTCCTTTTGAAAGTAAAAGCCGAGGGTCGTAGTACGCTGGGTTCTAGCTAGTCCTAGCTGGACTTTTGTTTTTAAACCTTAGTAGGGATGTAAGAAGTGGCTGGAACAGTGGGAACAGCCAAATAACGTTTGCACGGCTGACAGGGTATAGGCCATGGCTACTAATATGATTAGACGAAGTCAGAATTGGGAGCAATATAGAGGGTAGAACAGTGCTATACATATCATAGCTTCCTATATCTCTCTATTTCTGATTGCCAGTGTTAGCATTTATAGATCTGCATTCTCTCAAGCCTTGGATCGAGCTCAGCATTGACTTTGGACCCTGACGGAAAGCAAACTTGTGATGTCATTGCATTGACCGGCTGAATTGCGACTTCAAAAGAGTCCTGAAGGAAGTCAAAGACCCAAATTATGGCCCAGATACATCAGCTGCCATGAAACATGCACCTTGACAATATGAAGAGAAGAATGGGTGGTAGTGAGTTGTGCTCGTAAACTGAAACGGCGAGGAACGAATGACGCCAATGCCCCGCCGCCCCGCCGGTTCAGTTGACTCCGGCCTCCCCGCATCCATCCTCCGTCTCTGCTGGTCTTTCCCCTTCTCTCTTCCACCTTGAATACCTTCATCATATCCTCCAACCATCATCATGGATCGTTCCAACAAGCCTGCCGCCATCGGCGTCGGTGCCTCTCTTCCCCAACCCACCATCTCCCTCCGCGACAACACCGTTGAAGCTACCCTCCCCACCGGCGAGTCCGTCACTGTCCACCTCTACGGAGCCACCGTCACCTCCTGGAAGCTCGCCAATGGCAAGGAACAGCTCTTCGTGAGCGAGAAGGCTCATCTAGATGGCTCCAAGCCTATCCGGGGTGGTATTCCCGTCGTATTCCCGGTATGTCCCCTTCAAGCCAATGACTACTGAACCGCCAGCTTGCTTTCTACACCTCGCTCCAAGCATCCCACTGAAAGGCAAACAAACTAACTCCTATCTCCATCAAATCAGGTCTTCGGTCCTCCTCCCTCCAATCACGCCACCTCTGCACTCCCTCAACACGGCTTTGCCCGGAACTCGAACTGGGAATTCCTCGGCAAATCCTCGTCCGAAGCGTTCGGCCGCGACCGGAAAGAAGGCGAAGACGCTGTGAAGTTGGACTTCGGATTGTCGCATCCTATGCTGAGCGAGGAATTCCAGAAGGCCTGGCCGTATCAGTTTGGATTGGTGTATAGCGTAACTTTGACAAAGGGGAGCCTGGAGACTTCTCTGCAGGTGCAGAACCAGGGCGAGCAGAATTTCGATTTCCAGGTGTTGATGCACACGTATTTGAGTGTTGAGGTATGTCACAACCCAACTTCCGGGCTGTGGTTAGGCTAATGAGGCATGGCAGGACATCTCCAACATCCGCGTCAAGAACCTCCAGCAAAAGGAATACTTGGACAAGACACAGGGCGGTGCAGCTATCACGGAGACTTCGGAGGCAGTGGAGATCAACAAGGAAACGGACCGTGTGTACAAGGCATTGGATCCGAAGGTGCCGATTATCGTGTCCACGGCGTCGGATGATCAGCCTCTGTTCTCGATCACAAGGGAGGCCTTGACGGATGTGGTGGTGTGGAACCCCTGGATCGAGAAGGCCAAGGGTATGGCGGACTTTGGTCCCGATGAGGCATACAAGAACATGCTTTGTGTCGAGGCCGGTTCTGTTGCTGGATGGCAGACCCTGGAGGCAGGCGAATCTTGGGAAGGTGGACAGACTATCCGGCCCCGGCTGTAGGTGGCATAGCAGGGTAGGATAAGTTTAACTTTACGTGAATAATCATGCAGTGACGATGAATGCCTAAGTTGAGATTGAAATAGAATTTTACCCTAGTATTGTACGTTGCGTACTTCCGCGTACGTATAGTATAGTATGATAATGATGGTGTCGACATCCTCTCCAGCACTTCAATCCTCCTTTCTCTCCTCCCAAACGAAGCCACCACCCCAAATTTTCAAAGCCATATAGGCCTAAAATGACCCCCTAATAACCGCCGCCTCCGGTACCGAAATCACCCTGGCACTCGCCCTCTGCGATTCTCTTCTCCAAGGCCAACTCCTCCTATCCCCACCACTCTCATTCCCTCTCTTCATCCCACATAGTGACATCTTACACAGCGGACAAAACGCATTCCTTTTCGTAACCCACGGATCCAAACACACCATATGGAAGATATGCCTGCACGGCAGGGATCGGATCTCGTCATCGTCAGCAAACTCATCCATGCATATTGCGCACGTGCGGTGGTTGTCTCTGTCTGTATCTGTATCTATATCATCCGTGTCTTTGTCTCTATCTTGACTGGTGTTGATGTTGCTCTTGTCTGGTGATTCACCGGAATTATTCCCGGACGTGGATCTCGCTCGCGATATCGCCCCTGATGATAGATGCTGCTGCTGCTGCTGAATATGATTTTCCTTAAACCAGTCTTTGTATCGCAGTTGCGGATACAGCTCCTCGATGAGCTGCTGCGAAATTACGATCCGAGTGTGGCCTTCAGGCGCTGCCATTTCGGCGTCTGGGTAGGGGTGTTGAGGGCCATAGCGGCGATGACGGCGACGACGTCTGCGGGCGCCGAGGATGAGCCTGTAGTGTCATCTCGTTTCAATATAAATTTCTTTATTTAAGGGCGAGATTTGTGGTGTATGTTGCTCTGCGCAAACTGGAAAGACATACCATGTTACGAAGAGGAGAAACGTGACGAGGACTGGTGCGAGGTAGCCTACTAATGCTAAGGAGGATACTTGGACCATGTTGTGGCACTGTTGGGATGGTGGGCTTTGTTAGTTTAGCTGTGATATAGATGGAAGTATGGGTTGTGGAAGTGTATACTCACGGACTATCTATCTATTCAGATAGTATATTAAGTGAGCTGAGAGCTGAGTGAGTACACTGCAGCGCAGTTATAGATCTCGCAATAGAAAATCAAAAGTGTTGAAGTTAGTGAATAACACCGCTTGCTATCGGATTTCTTTCCCTCGTTTTTCGGGACCATGACGCCAGTCTGACTGGCTTCCAACTCTTTCTCTCAGGCTTGAGTCATTAGTGAGTGGTGGATGTGGTCATGTGGAGGATAGAAACACACTTCCCATTGATACAAGTAGTTGGTATATAGCTGATGAGCTCGGATTTTGGGGGATCGGAAATCCCCTGCGAGGTTTGGGGCGCAACCGACGCCCGGGGGATAAGCATGGTTGGTTGGTAAGTAGTAGTAAGCCTCCTGGATGAGGGGAGAGGATGTGTGTGGCAGTGAAGATGAGATGACGGCCTCCTGTCAGCAGCCAAGAATTCCGCGGATTAATCATCTTGAACTACTAGTTATAGAACTAGTATTGGCTAGTGATTCGGAATTAGACTCTAGGCTCAATGGTATGCTGGTATTACAGTTGCATTCTCCAGTCTTAAAGCATGATGAGTACATTCAGCTTCCGCCTCGGTCATCTTATGATAGAACATAGACCGAAAGAATAATGGGAAATCGAGCACAGGATCATAACAAATGAGACTTCTTTTGATGGCCATGGTCACAAAACATAAAGTCAGACAGACAAAAAAAAAAAAAGCAAGGAGTATAAGATAACTGAAACTAGGATATAGACAAAAGTACAACGCCATCGCTATGCAAAATCCATTCAACTGGTGTTTCTCCTCAATGCCTCATGCGTTTCCACCCGGATATCAAATAGTAAATCGTCAATTTCTTTGAGCGAATTCCGGTCCAACTTGGCCAGTTTCATGTCGCTCAAGACTTTGCGGAGGGAGTCCGTGATCTCCGCCTCTGTGATCTCTGGCTCCTTCTGACTTTCGGTCTGAGTTGTGCGGGATACCGCTCGCATCTTTTTCCCCTCCTCCATTTCCTTCTCTTCAGACGGGGTCTTCTCGAAGATGGGTTCGGTCACTGGCGCGTCTTCCATCTGAACATCGTCAGGAGCCGTTTGTTTGGTCTCGGGCACCGGCTCATCCATCGGCTCGTCGAGCTGAGCTTCTGTTGTAGGCTGTACTGAGCTGTCTGGTTCTGGGAGTTGCTCAGTTGGTTTATCTTCTACAGTGGTCTTGGGCTCCTTCTCATCCTTGACAGTTTGATCTACCACATCTTTAGTAGGAGTCTCGTGCTGGAGCTCAGCCTCTTCTTGGATGCTGTCTTTGGCCTTGTCCTTGGTCGACTTGCGAGAACGACTGGGTCGTGGTGACTTCTTCGGAAGCGGGCTCTCCTCAGGGATAGCGGGCGCGGCCTGTCCGCTGAGACGAGAAGATCTTCTTTTCTGAGAGCTTTCTTGCGTGTCCTGGACCTTGGTCTTTCCGCTATCTGTACTAGCTGCTTGCTCGGCGGGCTTGCTCGTGCCGATGATATCACTCTTAGAGTCGGTCTTCCGTCGCTTTGGCGCAGATTCGGCAGGGGATGATTCGACATCCTGTGACGCGTTAATCGGTCTCTTGGACCGAGTAGCGCGGCCTCCCTCGACATCTGCAACAGAGGGTGTCTTTGTGAGTCTTGAAGAGCGACGCCGTTCTTTGCCCGAAGGTGTAGATTGGTCTGCCTCGCGTTTTCGTTTCTTATTCGCGCCCTGCTCCGGAGCCGTTGCAGCATATTCTATACTTGCCGCGTCGTCCAGATCTACAGCGAGCTCTAGATCCTGCTCCAACTGAGACGCAACCTGGGTCTCCATGTCATCGCTGCATGAGTCCGCTATGTAGTCGCAGCCATCTATTTGTTGACTTTCGCTGTCTTTCGGTTGCTCAGCACTGGCCTGGTGCTCGAGAGAAGCTGGCTCGATGATAGGTTCCTCAGTAGCACCAGAATCCGTTGTAGGACCTCGAGGATCTTCGGAGTCATGAGGACCAATCTTTGACAGATCTTTCGGCTGGTTGACTTCAGTGGAGCGATCTTTGTCTTCTGGCAGTTTGCCTGTTGACGAACGAAGACGCTTTATCAGTGGCTCCTCTGAATCAACCGTCATGCTTTCACCAGTCGGCTCCGGTTGCCTGGGCTGAGCATTCATTGCTTTCTTCTGCCTCGACGAGCGCCGGGCCCTCCTCTTCGATCTTCTGTTCTTGCTCGACGTAGTGTTCGCTGATCCTGGTGTGTTCATGTTTCCTGTGTTACTTTGAGGATCGGGGCTGGTCGATTTCGGCTTTGGAGGGGAGGACTGAAGTTCGTTTTCTATGGCAGAATCTTCTGCTGCTGGAGTAGATAGCGACTGAGGTATCTCCGGTTCGCTCAATTGCGTTCGGCTTCGAGTACCCGGCGTAGGGGAAGAACCGAGAAACCCGTACTCGTTGTCAGTTGCGACAGGTGGTAGGGTAGGGGTTTGTGGAGTACCGGCGTCGGCATCCGCGTTGCGCAGGTCGCGCAAGTGCGGGGGCGTCATGAAACCGAGTTCTCTTGGAGTATTCGTCGGAGGTGAAGACGAACGCAGGCTCTCGATGATCGAAAACAACTCGCTACGTTTTCTAGGATCTCCCGAGCCCGTTGGGAGGGGGATTGGATGATCTGTGGCCATATCCGGATCAGAATCATCGTCAGCTTGGGATACTTGGACTGCCGAAGGCCCGGTCTGCTTCTCCGAAGACGAGGGCATGGCTTTACGCTCAGACCCTCCCGTTATGGGCGACGAGTTCAGTCCCAATGTGAATGGATCATCAAGAATGAAAGCAATGCGAGATTTGACCGATGTATCGACTGGAATGACCTTGGCATCTTGAGCGTCTTGACGACCGGCCTGTGCCTCGAACTAATAAGTCTTAGAAGGGCAAGCATAAACTTTACTTCGGAACACGTACCTGTGAAATTTGACGATGACCTCGCGGCTGCTGAAGCTTCATCTGGAGTTCAATATCCTGTAGCGCGAGAGATATTGTCTCGGGGCAGGGTACGGTTTCTTGTGATCCAAATGAACAACGCCAGAAATCAAGGAATCTTTTTGTTACTGAGGCATGTGTGGACTCAAGACCCGAACAGATTATAGGCTCGAACTTTTGTACACAAAAGGCGTCGTGAGGTTCTGCTGCTTGCAAGATGTTCAAGACAGCCGACGACAGCGCGCGACACTAATTCTGAGTTAGTATGTAGCATAAGCCCCTTGCTTCGCACACTTACAGCAGTAAGGATTCTGCTTTCCACGCCACTCTCAGCGTCAATCTTGCGCTCCCCGTCTTTGAGGTAAAACGCAAGGGACTGCTGGAGGTGTGTGAGCATTGCTGTACGGAAAGTAGGTACACCAGATCCCAATAGAGACGTCAGGCACTCAATGAAATCGGCAATCCCGTTCGGTTCGACAGGATCGAAGCTTTCGTAAGATTGGCGAAGTGTTTTATCCACCAGTTCAAATAGTTTGTGAGGGAAGGTCGTTTCATGGGTTCCTTTTACCGTCTCCGCCTCGTGACAGTAAGGAATTGAAAGCGAGAGTCTCAGGAGTGACGCTGAGGGGGTGCAGGTATTCCGAGTCCCTTGTTCTATGATAGAACCGGCGAGGGGCTCCACAGCCATCGTGGCAATTGCCCGATCGCCCTTTTCGGTTCTCACGACGCGGATTAGAGAATCGACAAGCGGATTCCAGACTTCGAACACGTCGGAAAACTTTAGCCCGGCAGACAGAATATTAACAATGTTTTCGTAATCGCGACAAACTGAGCCGTCACGTTCGCGAGCTGTCTCCATTGGGAAAGAGGATAGAGAGCTTGCAGACAGCTGTGCCACAGACTTCCATACGGTTTCAGCTAGTCTGTCATCGCCAACATGAGCAGCTGCGTCGAATACATGTATATCAGCGCACTGGCTAAGGAATTCTAGACGTGAGCTCCTTGATAGCTTGTCGCTGCATGTCGCTTCCAGAACACGGGTAACGAGGCGCGTATATGACGGGGAAGGCCCCGAATGGCCAGGTAGCTCACTGATAAATCGGAGGAAGTGCAGGATGGGACTGTCTAGACTCGTATTCGCCTTTTGATGACGATGTGTAGGCGTTGTAGCAGCCTGGAAAGTCTCATCGGCTGTCTTCAAGAGTAGTTTCTCGGTAAACCGTGCACTACCAAGACTGTAGATCATGGTGGTGGAAAGAAAGCTAAACCGGTCATAGAAGGCATCCGCTGAATCCTTTTCGATAGCCGCATTGAGCGATGAGGGTCCAGCGTTCCAGAGGCGCTGAAGGAGGCCAAGCACGTGTGCTACAGCTTGCATCGATTCTGGCGTAGGTGTAATCTCCTTGCTCGACGCATGTGACAAGGCCTTGGACAAACCAATCCATGCCGTAGCAATATTCGATCGTTCAATATCGGGGTTCCAAACGGAGGACTTGAAGATTTCCTCAAACACGCTCAAGACTGATGTTATCCTCGACCGAATCCACCTACTATCAATGGACGGCAACTCTTCAGGGTCCAGTTTGTTGCTCTCGTTGACCTTGTTCTCTAACCACACCTTCGCTTGCGGGCTCCAGAGCATATTGGACAGCACGTGGGCTACTCTGTCGCTGAGGCTAGGCACAGACGAAAATATACTCGAAGCCGGTGAAACGACATATTCTTCCCAGACGACATCAAGATGCTGAAAAGATGCCGAGGGACGAAAGGCGTAATAGAGAAGATTATAATAACTGCACAAGGCTAGCTGACTGGGTTGTTTGTCTTGCTTCTTCCGATCAAACTGAGAGACGATGGGCTTGCTCAACATCCGTAACAACGAAGGGCTTGTTGTGTCGCTGGGACCGACGACATAGACGAACCGATTCCAACCGACAATAGCTTGCGCCTTGATCGCAGAATCGCTGCAATTGAAGCATCTCTGTAGCACAAGAACCCATTCCTTAAAATGCTCCCACTGATCGACGTTGAACTTTTTGCTGCGTAGAAGTAGAATAATCACACTCCATATCTGAGGTATGTGGACGCCGCAATCAGCAAGTGCCATCATGCGCGTCATTCGCTCGCAAACTTCCGTCACAAGCTTCCTGCGCTCATCGAGAGGCCTGCTGAAGACCTCACGGACGCATTTGGACAAGGTTGGGTTGGGTCCACACGCTATAGCGGTCTGAAAGCCCACCGAGATAGCCTTGATTCTGATATCTTTGACATGGTGTAGCAAGCCGGAAATGAGATGATCCATCCACAGAGATGCATTTGAGACAAAGATCATCTTGGATTGGTTGAGAACACGCAGATAGATGCTTAAACGCTGGGACACAATTGCGCTTCCAGTGACGCGATTAGTCAATTCATGGAGAACCGTCAAAATGCGTAATATTCGCGTATTTGTCATGACCTTGGCGTTGAAGTTCTGGGTTGACAATACGGACAAGTAGTGAGTTACCACAGACTTTGGCATCTTCACATCTTGAAGACAGTTGACGGAATGATCGACGAGAAAGGTCTTGAAGTCATCTGGCAGACGCGCAGAGATCTCGCTATGCCAGACCAGAGCAACAGCCAACTTGAGAGCCTGGATCACGAGGTTGGTATGTAG